TGAATTAATTGTGTGCACTGCATACTTTTACCATTTTTGAAACTGTAACGATACCCTTCCATATTCTTTTGTTGGCAGAAGAAGCGTCATTGACCAATCAAAAGACATTTTAAACACGGCAGCTTCCATAAACAAAAATGGAAGCTTTAATCAGCATCTATTGCATGTACCAATAGTTTTTCTGAAAACATTCACTGGCGGGTTTAGAGGGGGACAGGGGGGCTGCCCCTCCCCCTTTTGTGCCCCAAAATATACATAAGATTTAATAAATTAATTTTTTGGTGTGGCTCCTGCCCCCCCCCCCCCGATCGCAACTGCCCCTCCCCCCTTTTCAAGAATCTTGGATCCGCCACTGACATTTAATATTTTGACATTCAGGGATAGTTTGCTTAATCAACCATTTTCTCTAATATTGTACTTTTTCGGAAACAAGTCAGCTTTACCCATGGTAATATACTTCAGCTTAAAAAAAAATAGGCACTATGCGTGCCAAAAAAGTTTGTGATCACTGGTTATAGAGAATGTTAAGAATGGCTGTTAATTCAGAATCCAATGGAATCCTTCCTCACAAATGGAACAAACTAGTCTTAAGAAAACACACATGTAATATCACTACTCACAGCTTTGTCCAATTCAAATATAATGAGTTTAGTGTCACAAAGCATAAAATGCCTAATTAAGAATACTTTTTTCAATATTCAAATCTATTTTCATTTTATGTAGAGCTTCAAAAGTTAATGCAACTTTCAACTTGCTTTTTATTAATCAGTGCAATAATGAATCTCTAAGGTGGAACGCTCAGTGAATATAGGTACATGTTAAAACTCTTTCGATTGATGGAAACACAATATTCCCTCTGCGTAATTATAATACATCAACTTAGCATAGCAAAGCAAACATTTCACACACTGCCTCAACATCAACACAAAAATGCGTAAAGCCCTCAATTGGATTGGACAAACACTGAAGTGCCATTTTTGTTTCTTTTTGATGAGGAGGGTTTATCGCCGGAATAAAGGCAATTTCCTGTGAAACAAATTGAGATTTCATTTTCCATGCCTGTGATCCACATTTATCAAGGTAAAAGGTAAAGAAAATGAAGTGATCAATCTCATAAATACACTAGGCAAAATGAATCGTGAACAAAGTAAAAAGATCCCTGGAAACACCAGAGATGGGATCAGGTGCCTAGGAGGAGTAAACATCCCCTGTTGACCCGTCACACCTGTAACCTGAGCCTTATGAAATAATCAGGTAGACGAAGTACTCCGTAATTAAATTAAGTATAAAAGCAATGACCTGAAAAGGGTATGAAATATATCAGAAAAAAATACGACCCAACGATAGGTCGTATTCACTAAACAAGGTCATTATTTGCGAAAAGCTGAATTTCAACGGGGTTGTTGAAATCCTTGTAACATCAATTTATTTGTCAGTAGCTTGCATTGGTTTAAAAATTGATCGTACTCGGAGCATGTTCTTGGGTATCGAATCAGTTGGGAGACATAAACACCCCATGCAGGTGATGTTGAAATATTATTACATAAATAAGGGAAGTTGACGATGAAAAAGCTGAAGTTATCCTGCTTTTCATATAGTTTACTGTTTCGATATTAGTTGGCCATTATCGTCTCGCATCCTATAACTGAAACTAGATAAAATAAGAAACCCATGGGTCTTGATGGTCACATATCCTCAGTCTCTCAGGCGATGGGGTCGGAAAGAATTTTATGATGAGGAGAGGACAATAAGTCCATTGTCTTTGCATAAAATTGTCTTAGAGAAGAACAGGAGCAAGGTAGATTTAGCTCTACTCTGCCTCCTGATCCCTAGACCAAGAGGAGATGAATTTCACTATTCCAGTAAAGGGTTTGTGCTCATTAAGCATTCTAACAGTGCCTGCTTGAGTAAATAAAGAAATTTTCCAGTGTAACTATATTGTGTTCACAATGTATGGCCAATTAAGCTCCATCCTGAGGTCTGAATACTGGACCCATGCAGGGAACAAAGACACAATTTTAGGACTAAGAAAGAATTTGAATATTGAGGTTTTTGAAAAATTGCATGACTTTCGATGATTTTACCCACCCCTCTGAAATCAGCGTTCGTTATCTTCACATTCATCAGTAGATGCTACTTACCAAAATTAGATAAATTGGCTTAGACAATTCAGAGAAAAGACTGAAAATGTTCAAAAGATTGAGATCTACGCATTCCCGTACACAAACGGGAACGGATAGAAATACGTCACGTGAATAGAAATACGTCACGTGATTGACTCATGTAACTTAAAAACTGGATTTCTGTGTGAAAATGCAGACTTTAGTTAACAAAAATCGTTGATGAAAGCTGAAATTTAAACTTTAAATATTACTCATTTTGTAAATTGTTTATTATTATGTGGCGATAAATAAAAAAAAAAAATAACAATGTGACAGTTGTCTTTAAGATCCCGACGAAATGAAGAGATGACGATTAACGTTATTGATCCTGTGTGTAATACACACAACAAAGTATGTCTATTGATATTAGCAAATATTTACCGAAATTTAGAGAAAAAAAAATTCCTAAGAGAATTTTTCATTTTGTCATTAAACAAGCTTCAAAGGACACAATTAATGTTGCCTTGTATTTCTACATTTGCAAATTCAAAATGGAAAAACAAAGCTAACATTCAATATTTACAGGTCGGACAATCGTTACATTTACTGATGTGTTGAAAATGAAAGACGATATTGGTTTTTCAAAATGTATCGACGATAGCGGCACATTGGTAATGAGAATTTGGAACATTTATAAGGAAGTCAATAGCCTGAGGTAATGGGATCCCCATTGTATATATATCAATATAGTCATTAAACATTTTTGTTTCAAATATATAAAGGTAAACCTTTTCTCCGTTGCATAAAACTGGTTTTGTTTACCGACGGGGCTTAGGACATATTTTGTTCAATAGGTATTTGACATGATATAATCAAAAAGACTTGAGACTTGCGTAATAAAGATGCGCAAGGATACGGCCAATTCCATAGCGGTTCTTACAGACATCAATAGAAGCAGCCAGTGATTATTTATTGTAACCACTTTATGACCAAATTTCGCCATACTTACAATAGACATACACATTATGTCAAAATCAAGACCAATTCGTCTTGATCAGCTAGCTTGTCCATGCTTATTCAAAATTTGCCACAAACGGTGGGAAAAATTAGACATTGTTTCCGAAATGTTGTGTGTATGACTGTCACTTAATATTTAAGACTGGGTATAACTCCCTTGATGATAAAGTAAAAACATGTAAATTAATGGTATTGCATGTCTTGATACGTTCTATTATGATAATTTGTGAATTAACATGTATCTGTTTTTAATAACGAGTCGAACATATTATCATATCATCTTATTTATTTATTAAATGGATGCAAACTATTCGATTAAATTTCTTAATACATTTATAATTATACTTGATTATTAAAATAAGCACTTGTAGGCAAACTTTAAAACAATGTTTGTTTGCCCTCTCCTGACTCAGGATGAAAAAATTGGGTCGGTAGGTAGGTGAGAAATTTTATTTCCCAGAAAATTTAAACATCATGCTGAAATTACAATCTATTATCCGGAATGCATAAAAAAATAATGTTTTCTGGAGGTTAAAAAAGTTTTTGAGACGGGCCATTTTTACCCAGTCGGTCGGGAGAGGGCAACTAAACAATATTTTAAAGATGGTCTTATGTCATGTTGTAAATTTTGAATTTACCGGGTGGCAGTAAATACAAAATTTACAAGTTGTCATGTTGTAAATTTTGTATTTACTGCCACCCGGTAAATTCAAAATTTACAACATGACACTTAGCTGTTTCTCGCCAAAGGCACAAAAAAGAATACAGCGAAATACTTTACGTTTACATTATTCATTTTTAAAATGGCACCCTTTTATTCCGTTGGCGACACTTCAATACACATATATTTCAAGAGCATAAAGTGATATCATCAAAACGTCACTAAAATTTGCTTGTGCTGATCATTATTTATGTAAGACAAGTCCTGCTTCAGTGAACATCCGGCTTCTGTAGACTGTATTTCATTCTATACAATTTCATTATGAATTAAAACTAAATAAAAAGACAACACAGTTTTGCATGCTCCAGAAATATCTTATTTCCTTAAAAAAAAATCAATACACCGAAACCTTTGTGAAATTTCCAATTTTTTTTTTTTTTTTTTTTTTTTTTTTTTTTTTTTTTTTTGGAGGGGGTTGGGGGGTGGTGGTGAAAAAAACATTAATGTGCATAAAATCCCGGTTGATATCGTTTAGTATGTTCTACAGGTAATATACATATTGTTTTTATTAATTGCACGTACCACTTTCCATAAAGTAAAATGAACGAATCAACGAAGAAGTTGATTCAAGAAAACTTTACTTCGATGAAGGCGTCACAGAGAGGCAATTGACTTTTAAAGTTAACATTAAACAAAAACATACTGCAATTATCTCTTCTTTGAATTTTAAAAACAACGAGTAAATTCATGTTTGTGCAAATTGCGAATCCTTACGTCCCCGGATTGTCAATTTACTTTAAACATTGTCAAGTTAATGAATATTTCCTAAAAGAAAATCGTAAATTCGAAAAATAAATATCATGTTGCAAAATTTGATATCATTATGAGTTAGACAGAAGAAAGACATATGCAAATATTTCTATTTTGGTTGAGATGCCATTTTCCTTAAAACAAACTAAATTATCAGTGCTATAACATTTTTAAACCTTTTTATGAAAGGAGGGGGGGGGGGTTAGAAATTGCACCTCTGAATAAATTTTCTAATGAACATTGGAATTCGATACTGTGTAAATTAATAATCATAGTCTTGCTGTTCAGTTTGCCTACGATTCACTGTAATTTAAAATTAATTTTAAAAATATATATTCTTTAAGATTTTTGATAATTTTAAAATGTTTGGCTTAAATTCGTAACAAACGATAAATTTTGTGAGAACTTACCTTGTTGACGAGTTTCGGATGCTGCTGATGTTTGTAAGTGTTGTCGTCTGCTGACTGCGGTGCGTTCCGATGCGCGCGGGCCCCTATTGATCTGCCAACCACCGTAACCTGTCACCTTGGTTTCAAACGACGGGTAAGGCTAGGCAATCAATAAAAGGCTTTACCTGTGCTTTATATTGAAAATTTCGTAACAATTTTGATTTTAAACATAGAAGAGGCATATTCATCCTAAGAGAAAAATATTTTTCTTCAAGAATTTATTTTTCTTCAGAACTATTTATCACCAAATCTTTACATGTAAAGTATTGTTTTATTAATGTACACATTCGCGTTTTTATTTATTTATTTATTTTTTTTTTTTGAAGGCTGGGGGGGGGGGGAGGGGGTCAAAGGAGAGTGACATAACTAAAAATATTTAGAATATAACTAAACTGATTTTAATTGTTTGCATATGGTTGACAATCTCCTTCGTTACATCGTAGAACTCCTGAGTCGCCACCAACGAAGAAGTTGATTAAAGAAAACTTTACTTAGATGCAGGCGTCACAGAGAGACAATTGACTTTCAAAGTTAACATTAAATACAAACATATTGCAATTATCTTTTCTTTGAATTTTAAAAAGATAAATGTTTAACAAGTCAGCGCAGTTCTTGAACAATACGATTCCATAGCCCTCTTTCTAAATCAGGCTTGATTTTGAACGACCGAGAGCATCTGCTATTCTACTTTTCTATTTGCATTGTCTGCCGGATTCAGAAATTCAAATATTAACACTTCTTAAGATGACGACTTATATACATCCTGTGGACAAAGGGGATCTAGTGATTTATGAAGTGGATCCAAAGGGAATTGGAATATCACATGTACTTTTGTCTTATTTCTCTATGAAGAGGAATCAATTAAATACTAGTTTAATACCAATTAAGCATCAACATTATTACTTAAGTCACAACTTTTCCAGTCCACATGCCTTAATGAATTTTGAATAGTGGATGGCGGGTTATTAAGTAACGTATATCTCTTAAGCTTTTACCAGTTAAATTGATTTTTGAAATTTCTTTCGAAATCTTGTTCGATTCTTATCTGTGTTGAATTCTATTATTATATTTGGTTAATTGAATATCTTAATGTTTATAGCTGGTTTCACATGTGAGGAGGTCTACAACCATGAGGGGTGCCGAAACCCATCTTTCCGGATATATTCGGATTGCCTTGGCCGTCACTGGTACATCAAGTTTAAACACCGAAGGAGCATGCGCGTTACCTTTTTCCCGGGAGCCAATTTCAAACACCTGAAGGAGCCAAAAAGATATTCACATTTTTTGCAATGTTCTTTGGAACACTAAGAATAAAATCAAGTATAATTGTAGTATTTTGTACCTATTTTTCCAAATATGGCGTGGTTTGCCTTACCCTATGTTGGTTAAGATGATCTACGTAACCCTGCCAAGGATCCGATTCTTTCCTCCTGTGATATAAAGAGAATCTTGTTATAATGCCCCATTGCATCTGAGAGCTACTTCCGGCGACCTTCAGCCCAAAAATGTTTGTAATTTTCTTGAAATCAATTTCCAGGTAGTATTTCTGGTTTCTGGACTTTTGATAACGTTCCGGGATTCCAAATCTGTATGGCTGTATGCCTAGTCCGTACATAGCTCGCCACGCCTGTCTGTTGTCAGCCAGCGCAGAAAATGAGTCGTCAGGTCGGAAATTCGTGCTGCCATACCTCCAGACGGGCATTAACCGACAAGATTCGTCTAAAACATTGCAAATGATAATTCTAAAGTTTAAATGATTTATCACATCTGAAATTCGTTGCATAATAGCGAGAGAGTTCACGGAAAATGCCTACAATATTAATAATAAGCATGTTCTGAATATGAAATACCTTTACTTACATGCAGTCTTGGTGATCACGTCGTCTTGTTTTTTGATTTGTTTCATTGCTGCTGATTTCAAAGATGGCTTGTTTTTGGCGGGTGAGAGACTCTCGGCTTCGGTCTTAACAGGGTTTTTTCCCGTCACTTCCGGTGTTGATGTTTGCGGTTTACTGACCTTGACCTTATTTGACACTTTCTTTGGAGGTTTTTTGTCCATATCATTAATTTCTTTCTTCAGCTGATTTAATTTTTTTACTGTTCTGTCAATTTTCTTGGACAATCTATCAATCTTTTTGCTTTTCTTGCTATTCTTTTGGTGTGAATTCTTCCCTTTGTCTTTCCCCTTAGGTTTCTGGTTCTTAGCTTTCTTTGCAGATGTTACCTTTGGTTTGTGTTCACTCTTATGTTTCTTATTATTATGTGATGTTTCTGATTTATTCTGTTGCTTGGTCTTGGGAGATAAAGACTGTTTGGGGGCAACCTTATTGTGAGATTTCTTTTCATTATTTTTACCATGTTGATCATTTTTCGAGTGCTTTCTCTCTGCGCTTTTGCTCTCTGGCTTCTTTGTCTGTTTCCCATTCTGTCTATGTTTACTGGACTGGACTTTATCCTTGTTCGTATCCTTATTTTTGGCCTCGTTCTTTTGTTCACGTTTCAGTCTCTCATCAGAATCATCAAGACCATACCTATGATAGTCCACCATTCCGTATTGCGTATTTTTTCTGGTATTTCGTCTTTCTTTGGTTTGTTGAACGTTTGTTTTTGGGTGTTTGTGTTCGGCTCGGTGATTCCCCTTCTGTTTTGACTGTTTACGGTTCAGTTTTCTATGTTTTTTGTTACTGTATTGTTTTCTATGGTTAGTCCTGTGATTTTCGAAAGATTTTGCCTTACCGGTCTGTCCACCACGGTGAATTGTCTGGACCTTGTTATTATGGTGCTGCTTCTGTGCCATCTTATGCTTCATCAACTTCACTTTATGTTGGAGGCGGAAAATCTTTTGTTGGATCTTCTTTTTCATTTGATCCTCTAGATTTTTCTTTACGGAGTTATGTGCAAGCTGTAGGGGTAGGATCGGATTCTTTTCAGCTATATCGGTGTCTGCACAGTGCTGGATTGACATCATCATGAAGGGGACGCCATCCCAGAGTTCAGGAATGACGCGTAACACTAGCGTCGTCACGGGATTGGCTAGAGTGACGCTTGTTATAGTGTCTGGAATGGCAATGTTTCCAAGGTTGGCAAAAATCTGGAAATGATATAAACACATCACATTTGGCTATTGCAAGATATGTGTTGGAAATTTGGCGTCAAAACATTTTCAAACATTTTCTAGAAGGAAAAATTATACATTCATGATTATCTGCTGAAAATACATCTGACGTAAAAGTTTTGTTTTCCCAGCTGATTCGACACGCAAGAGCATACTCTACGTAAGAACAATTTCTAAAACGAGATAAGCTATTGACAAATAAGTTTATAAAACAAGAATATTAAGAGTCTCGTTTAAAGTCAACATTTCGCAAATTCTATGGTCGATACAATGATCTTGTCAGGAAATACAATCTATCATTAAGTCGAATGTTGACTGACGTTTTTCATACAAATTGTAAGGCCAATACTTTTACACCGAATTGTCTACGGATTTTTCCGTTTGCCCGATCATGACAAGGAGCACACGGCGAGTGTGACCGGTTGGCAGGGGATGCTTCCTCCTCCATGGTACCTGATCCTACCTCTGATGTTTAAAGAGGTCCGTGTTTGCTCTGCTCCAAATTTTTATTGTTTCAATAGACTTTTGAGCTTGATTACTGTTCGTTGTCTTCAAATTTCACATCGCAATTAATATGCTATGCAAGTTTTTAGACGGTTTGAATTATCTGTTTACCAGTCTTGGAGTTGTTAATGTACGTCCAGTTTTAGACGGTGGAATTACTTGTTTACCGGTCTTGGAGTTGTAAACGTACGTCCAGTTTTACCTGTTTACCGGTCTTGGAGTTGTTAATGTACGTCCAGTTTTAGACGGTTGGAATTACCTGTTTACCGGTCTTGGAGTTGTAAACGTACGTCCAGTTTTACCTGTTTACCGGTCTTGGAGTTGTTAATGTACGTCCAGTTTCCGTCGCTGTTCAGATACTGGATCATATACTCCGTGATGATCCCACGTCCGTCTTCCCGCGCCTGAGAGATCCGCCCCTGCTTTCCTCGCATGGTCCAACCATAGATAGTTGTTAGATGAAGGAAAGGGATGTCGGCAAAAACCCGATTGTTTCTCTCTCGGTAGTCGATCCGTCGGCTCTGCAGCTTCCAGAAATAGCGAGCCACTTGTGTTGTTATCCTCCGGATGCAATCCGTTCCTTATTAAAGAGAACATAATCATAGTTTTGTTCATTTTCCAGGAATGGTTCTATGAATGCCAGAAATGTTCATAGGTATATATGTAGGTATATCATCAGGTTTAAAGGAAGATTATCTCACCTTTACTTGGTGGTTGATTTCTTCCAGTCTGGTTCCCATCATTACCAAACACTGCACAACTAACAGAAGAGCAAGATGAACATAAGAGTCCTTGAAGATTTTACTCCCAAAATTTGTAAAATAAAAAAATATGTAGTTCTGAAAAGTGAATTCTAGGCAAATTACACAATATCACAAATGTGTTAATTTACAAACCTACAGTATTAGTTGATTCAGCGGCACGTGCCACTAAAAAAAAAAGGAAATTGTAAATCTTGTCATAATTATTGTCCACATCATTGCATAAATGTACATACCAAAATCCAACAAAAAGCAAAAATTTCAGGTGGAACATCCTGTGGTTATCATGTTTATGCAAGTTTGTTGTGTTATGACGTCACTTTTGACATCATGTTTAAAATTTTGGAATGCCGATCCCGACTACTTCCTTTTTTTGGGTTGCACATTCTTCAGAGAGTCGTTGAATGGCAAACTTAGCCATAAAATTAAGAAAATGTTGATAAAACTACAATAATTTTATTTTTCTGTGTCATTTAACTTTCTCATAAGTTTGCCCTTCCCCAGGACCCACTCTATCCTGGATTCGTCACTGTTGTGTTAGACAAATTTCACATTCTTGAGAGTTATCTTCCGTTGTCGGCGTCACTCATTTTTGTTTCAACCTTCAAACAGTATTGGACAATTTTGACCCGTTCCTGAATTGCCTTAGTATGGGGCAACAAATAACATAATGAACATATTCAAACGGATTTAATTTGCAAGATATTGCCCCTAAAAGTTGGTAATGTTATAGAGGAAAAATAGTGTCTTACGCCGGTTGACCCCAGATTGACCCCGCAAAGGGAAATAACTTTCGTAATTTATGTGAAATTCATCTATGAAGTAAAGCCTATAACAATAACTAGCTATTTTTCTTTTATTTAACCATATAAGTGTATTTTTTTTCACTGTCAGGAACTACAAGAAAGATTGTTTTTACATGCTTTTATAGTGTACATGAACGTAAAGGAAATTTATACAGGAACCCGTCATTTCTTGTCGTGGGCGAAAACTTGCATTTTATCAGAATATATGACAATGTGTAAAGAGAGACAATCCAATACGATTACCAGTACAGCTTGATGTAGACACACATGTTCGTCGGGTTTGTCTAGATTTCATCAAAGTAACATACACTGTAACAGGCTTACTTTTAAAAAAAAATTTTCGAAGCTTACGGAAAATTACCTATTTTCGCAAACTTGAATTTTTTTTAATTTTATGTTATTAATTAATGATAAAAATAGAACTTAGAACAGACGTCACCCTCACCAAAATACCGTCAAACATATAGATTATTGATTATATGTATTCATTTCTGGAGAAGAAATAACCAATCTGATTAAAATCAATCCACAGTATTTAATAAAGGGTATTTTGATATATATATATATATATATATATATATATATATATATATATATATATATATATATATATATATATATAATCAGATACATATACCTCATGTATTTCTACTATCTAATTATCGATATTGAAACGTGTGCAACACAGCTTTAAAACAAGTTTATGTTAAATTGAGGGATATATGTATTCATGTTTTTAATTATTGATAAAAATGATTTATTTTGCTCATAACAAACACCATAGTTCTGATTATTGTATTTTACCCTTTGATATAAAATGTTTTGGTTCATCCCTTTCTTTCCTCATCTGTCTGAACTTCCAACTTGCTTAGTGTAAAAATGAAGACTTGATATATTAAAAGCACAAAGTAATTGTGACGTGACCTAAACCCACAGGTCATTTCGCGCTGAACAAGGTTATATAATTTCACAGGGATTACAAGATTTTGAAATTCTATTCCTGACTAAAACACTGGAAGCTCTTTTGATCAGATGTGTCATGAACCTAAACCAACGTCATGTAAACAATGTCAAATTTCTTCTGCTTACAACTGAGCCATTCAGGCCGATTGTAGGAGGGGGGGGGGGGCTCAGGGAGATCGAGCCCCCAATTAATTTATATATATAGTATGCCATATGTATAGAAAACAAAGTTACTTTGTGGGTGTGCCCGCTCAATAACCTTTTTTGGATTTTTTTTCAGTCGTAGACCCCCCCCCCTTTCTCAACTAAAATATTTTGCTGCCCCACCCCATCCCATCCAAACCATTGCGCTTCCAATGGATCTGCCATGCAAATTGGGGACATTCATGTATCAAAACTACGTTAAATAATATTATATGAACAAAGTCATTTAAAAATAAATGCATGTTTGGCAAAGTTTGTGGAAAATTGTATCATGGAAGGTCCAAAATGCTAACATACCGGTATTAATTTTGTTCTTAGTTTGTTGTTGTTTTTTTTTTTTTATTAAGAACACATATAAAATTAATAAAATAATAAAATACATTTTCACAAAACCATCGCGGATGGTTGAAATAGATATGAAAACTTATGGCTTTATCAATGAATACAAGTTTATGTTATTTAGTCAGTTCCTTTGTATTTAGCTTTTTTTTATATTTATACACAGTACTTTGTAAAGTTATTATAAAATTGGCTACAGTGCTGGACCATGGAGTTTCTTCTCAGAAGAAAGATATGTTAAAAAAGTTCATGTAGATTTAATATCATTTATCTTAAAAATTGTTCATGCTGTTTCTTTTTCACTCGGCAGGATGGGGGGGGGGGGGGGTATCACAAATATGAACCTTGCATATATACTTACTGAAGAAATGACTTTAGGAGTGCTTCCACTAGAGGGCCTAAAAGATTCTGAAGTCAAAATCAATACTCATGTTACTGCTAAAAGACTACGCCCTTAATTGTTGTTAAAGCGAATTTGACCTGGTTTGATTAAAAAAGACAGAAAGAGAAAACTAGGTTCATCCAATACTCATATGACAGAGTACAGCATAGTCACTGATTTTCTGCACTTGATGTAAACAAAGACTAGATGATATTTCCGTGCTGTATTAGCCGGGTATTAACGTGTCAAACTTTGCTTTTTTTTCCTTCTGCCACCTGGGTGTCCTGCTTTTCGTGTCAATTTACTATTTACTCATCACGGAAAAACCATATTAATCTTATATTAATCGTAGGATATTTGTATGAAACATTCCCTGAAATACATCAAAATACATATATATAGAGAGAGAGGGGGGGGGGGGATATGTACATGTGATATTTCAAATATTGACGCTTCTGGTGCATTTTAACCTTTCGTATATATATTTAAAAAATAATACGAACAATTAATCAGAAAATAACGATGAGATAAATTACCCTGGCAGTAGACCTCTTCATTTTTACATAGTCCACTGCGTTTTTAGGAGGTTATTTAATAAGAATGTTAATTACCGCGTTTTCCTTCGCTATAATATAGAAACATTTTTCCTATACTCGTGGGTAAGTATTTCAAGTGGTATCCCTGTTTGTTCAGACTGTTTAATTATGTGTGCCCAACACTCACACAACAGGCAGAGAGACCAAAAATATTCAATAAATCTCTTCAAGTAGCCGCGATGATTTTGTGAATCAAATTTGTCACACTTGGAATTTATTACATCCAGAAAATGAACAGCTTGGTGAACCTATTGGTCCATCACAGTACAGTAAACACGCCCAGTTGTAGTACATTAATGAAATGTCCCCCACTCAGCGTGTGGGTGGGCCTAAGTCTTTATCAATGGAAATCATTTGTTCTTTTTCGGAAAATTAACTTCAAACACTCTAATCAGGACGTGCCAGCCATTTTATCTTTGATGATGCGACTTCAGAAACTTGGTCCAGACATTTCTTTGTGACGGTCCCAGCCTATAGTCAGTGTCAGTGGATACATTCCTATCATAGGAGCCACCGTGGAGGCATGGTGGTGCTCGGTTCACTCTTACACCCAGGAATTTTCATGGTGCTAGTGACTCTAGGGTCGGGACTACAATGCCCCGCTTGTGAACGCATACACTGTAGTCCCCGGAAACCCTCCCAGTTGACTTGTAAAGGTGGTACCAGCACGGGGATATGTGGATGCTGTCCCACCTGTGCTAAGGTGATGGGGGAGCGATGTGGAGGGGATTTTAATTACCTTGGTAAATGTGATAGAGGACTTTACTGTCAAATTCAGGACCCTCAGAAATTCACAGACCGTCAACCCGAAGGAAACTGTGTCCTAGGTTAGTATATGATTCATGTTTGTTGGATTGTCTGTCTGTAATTAATCTTCATTAGCAGAAAAAGGAAGGAATTTGGTATTTCTAAAAAGTTAAGACAAAGTTGCAATTGTTCAAAAATTAAAATGTATAATTTTATGATTTGGAAACGGTTAATTTTATATAATTTTATTTGTACAGGATTTATTTTTGTAGTTACATAATCATCCCATTTTAGTTTTTTCAAAGAATTAATAAATATCAAAACTTTGCATTTGACATAAATCTAAGGTAAATTTAGCAGAATTTTTAAAAAATTAAATACATTTATAAAATAAGAACTTTATTTCACATTTTAAAATAGCATACCGAGAACATTTAAGCTATAAATTAGATTTGTGAATACCCGTGTTTTATCTATATATATTGCTCAAGGAAACATATTGAAAATATGTTAATTAAATGATTAATGATTCGCAGATTGAAAGATTTCTTTGTTGTTTAATGTAGGCCTGATATTTGCGGTAATTTTTTTCTTTTTTCTCTCTCTCTCTTTTGTTTCTTTCGTCTGTCCCATAATACCATGAAAAAAAACCTCATATACACTCATATAAATACTGGTAACTTAAAAACGAGAAAGTTTTGAATATACAGAAAATTACAAACATGGAAAATGAAATCCGTTAAATTTGTTTATCAGACTAGAATAGACAATACGTCCCATACAAGCAATCTGATATGGTGTATACTTGTATTCTATAAAACCCATGTCAATCAGTGTCTAAATATTCAGTTTCAACACAAAATTCAAGGTAAAAAAGGTTCTCTTAAATTTAAGGCGCACTTCCGATGTTATTCGTGTTCATACGATGTCAAATGCACCCAGGTCTGCACAGAAGTGTGACCTTAGTGGGAATATCAATGGGAGAGAACTGTTCGAATATGAAATTAATTGGAGTAAGAGACAAAATTGACATGTCGCATAGGTCATTTGTTTATAAGAATAACTTTCTATAACTATATGCAAGTTAATTAGGGAATATATTTGCCCACAGAGATACACGTTTTCTTAAGGGTGTCCGCTACAATAACTCTTTAATTTTTTTTTCTTTGAATGTCTCAAAATAAAGGTTGAATATTTTTCGTTCAACAGTTTTTACTTTATGCACTTAAATTATATGATTCATTGTTCTATCAAGTCTTAGAATTTTTTTGTTGTTTTTGTTTGTAAAATGTAGATATTACAATCTATAAACGTTAAAAGAATTTACATTTTTTTAAAAGAGAAATCGAATTTCCTTTAATCTTGCCTTTCAATTAATTACAAGTAACTGCTGATTATCAGAACCCGAGGGACGGACTACCTTAAGGATTGCAAAAAAATATAGACTTTCCCAAAAACCTACAGGGCCTGTAATTGTATTTATGGCGTATTTTTACTTTTTTCTGCGTTTGGACAATCGAAAAAAGTCTTTCCATGGCGAAGGGCGAGCGGAACAGGCATTTATTATTCCCAATGGCGTCAATTGGTAGACGAAAATACCCTAAAATATCTTACAACAATATAGCTACAACATAGCTAGTGCAGTTCTCCTATCCAGCTAAATACCACTGCTTTTGTTTTAAGCTGTCATTGCGGTTGATTCTACGAGTGATTTTCGGATTCCTTTTATTTATTGTGTCTCAGTTTCACCGATTAACACTGTTTGCAATTATCAAGTCGTTATTTGTGGAAACAGGATATCGACTATTTCCATGGTCTAATTCTCTCTCTCTCTCTCTCTCAAATAAAAAAAAATGATAAAAAATAATGAAATAAGTGGGATTTTGGCAGGATGTGTACAGGTACTGTCACCGTGTGACACAGATTCATTTAAGATGACATTGATTAAATTGTTCTATTTGAACAACTTTATCAAAACCTTCTCTTGATGAATTTATATTCTATTGTTTAATAGTCTACATTTTTAATTTCGTCTTAAACTTTTTTTCACGTTCTTAAACTTTAAATATTTAGTCAGCTAATTTCACAGCTATCAAACTTGGAAGAGAAAACGTTAACCCAATACATTTCAACGGCTACAAACATAACAAGACAGGCTTACTTCTCTAAGTCACGACACAAAACAATCAGAAGACTGATACAACGTCTTTATACATACAATTCTATAATCATCAGTGAATGTTGCATGTGTTTGTGTTTTCCAAATGACTAAAACATAAAATACTGACTAGTATGAAAATTCAGCATTTCAGAAAAATGTGATCTATATGATGTACATGTAGTATTATGGATCAACATAAAGAAAATGTTAAGAAACACATGACCGAGTTGGTACTTTATTTTTGGAACCAGTGGTGGGAATTTACCCCCGAAATAAGTCTCTTAAGGTTATGATATGCCTGTTATGCACTCCATGCCTCCCCATCAATCTCTTCGATCTAAAACCCAGTGTAACCAGCCTCTGTAGACTGTAGATAGTTCCACAGACTCTGGGCAAAGATCTAAAGAAATAACAGCTTACTGGTTTGCTGCACTAAATGTACTTGGATTTAGGGGCAGAATTGGGTGCCCCCCAGCAGCCGTTTTGACAGTGTTTATGATGATCGGATTTGGAGAGTGCAGAAAGAATCAAATGATGATGTTGATAATAACTGATATTGAATTAGCATTAGCAGTGTGACATACGAGTACAGTACTGGAAGGGTAAACCGCAGTCAGGCATCGAGATACGACGATGCTCATCTTCGTTGCCAATATCCTCTTGGTTTTTATAAATGATAAATATCAAATAATATAGATTTGCTAGGAAATCATGATTAATAATCACAAAAATACATAATTAGATTATTTTTATTGTGAAATGTCATGTTTTGTTTCCGATAGTTCCCTCACATATACAAGATGCTCCGAAGCCTCATCAGAAATGCCGACCAAAATGTTCGCCAAAATTTTGCCGGGAACACCCCAGAGCAATATGCAGTGCTATGTAAGTACAATAAGACAGAATTAACAACGGGTTTTTCAAAGAGGACAAAATTGGCAATTTTATGTACCCCTTACTCGCTGACATAATTAATGTTAAAGTAGTTTTTCTCGGTGAAAGACTTTATAAAGCATCATACAGATTTGGCACAGATATATTCTTGGATGTGAAGTATCGAAGTACAAGTCTCGAGTATCATTTACAGATTTAAAAGACCCTTCTTTTTATTGTTTTATCACATATTAAGGACCCTCTATACACCAAAAAGTTCTAATTTTGTGGTACTAGTATTTCTCTTTGGTCAGAATTATCTGCCCTTGGTTATAAATTCAAATTAATTGAAATCGGCAGTGAATTACCAGGACTCTTTTTTGTTTCAAATTAAACTTTCATTGAACCATGGAAAATTAAGGAAACCAAGGAAAATTAACTGAACATATTTTAACTATGTAGCAGTGATTTCTGTTCATCAACACCTTTTTGTCATTGAAAATTTTTCTTTTGGGGTAAATCCAAGCCTGGTACCGTACATGTACATTATTATTATCATGTACATATGTGCACCTTTATACGATAATTTTCTAAAAGTTTAAACTAATTTTTTTTTTCCTTAGTGAATAGAGGATCTTTTAATTCAAACTGAGAAAAATGAAGGAAGTAGAACTTTATTTGGAAGAATCCAAAAAGAAAAAAAACCTTGACATGTAGACCTTTAAAATGAATCAATTTATTAATGAATGATTAATAGTTCCCAAGTATGCACATGACAGGATATTTTTTCTGATTTTAGCAAAGTAGCGGACCAATCACGTGACTGCCAATTTCCTTGTCAGCATACTTCCTGTCAGGCCTGTAGATTCATAGCGGAACCAAAATGTAAATCATGTCTAAAAGACGACTTCCGGTGTCTCAAGCGATACGGAAAGTGTGTCAAACGTCAGTATTGTACAAAGAGGAAGTTCCCATGTCGAAAACAATATAATGTGAGTAATCGTTACACGTGAATTTCGATTATAAATGGTAATTACTTAGTTAATCTCTATTTATTAAATAGCAGTTCAGATATATGTGTTGTTTGCAGAAGATTCCATTTTCCTTTTAGTTTGAATTCTGACAAGTCAACATTCATAAGTACTCACATACTGAGCAAAGTGAAATATTGAATGAAAATTCTTGTAATTTTCATTGGAAATATCACTATTTTTTTTTATTTTACAATAAAAAAAAACATCATCATTCAGGCATCACCATTGCCAAAAGTAATTCAGATAATCTCTGTCGGAAAGATTTGGAATGAAATCAAATCAAACCTGTGATCAGTATTAAGATGAAAGTCGATACTTACGAGAATGAAAGTCAACTCCCAATGTATTTTGTTAATAACACATTGAGTTATTTCTATCGTTCTTTTTTTAGTAACTAATTAATGGATAATGTAATACTTTCTTTTTTTAAGTTGGTACTTTTCAAAATCCTTTATTCATGGAAACTTTCAAGAGCCATGACAAAGCACTTTCTGTGCTCCAAGATCGTACACGACAATCACAAATGGCGGGTGGGACGAAACACTGACACCATGTTTGATCTGGTCGATCCTAGAACTTGCATTACACTGAGCTCCAAGCAAACACAGCCCGATTTAGAATTTATGAACATAATAATATTTGTATTTAAGGTGGACAGACTTAAAGCAGCATGACAAGTCATTCAACTTTAGAGTGGTTATAGTTGTAGTGTATCACCCAGGGAAATTTTCAAATACTTTTAAACTTACCCTTCTACTTGATTATATTTTTTTTTGTATGTGTTTTGTAGAAAAAACAGGAAGGACGATTTCAGTGTGGTGTGCCAAGTTGTTCATAGGGAAATGACACTACAACGTTATGAACTCAGGCAAATTCGATTGAGAATTCTGAATGGCCTTATCTAAAACATGTGCCATTTCCTTAATTTTGTGATAATTAAGTGTTTTTATTATTCATATTTAGCTCACCAGAGCTAAAGGCTCAAGTGAGCTTTTCTGATCGAAAAGTGTCTGGTGTCCTTCAGTCTTTCATCTTTTGTCTGTAAACTTTTCACATTTTTGACTTCTCCTCAAGAACCACAAGGCCAATTTCAACAACTTGCCACAAAATATCCTTGGGTAAAGGGGATTGAAGTTTGTTCACATGAAGGCAAAGCCCTATTTTAAAGGGGAGATAATTGAAAATTAATGAAAATTTAATGGCATCTATTAAAAATTATCTTCTCAAGAACCACTGGGCCAGAAAAGTCGAAACTTTTATAAAAGCTTCATAACACACTGTAGATTCTAATTTATTCAAATCATGACCCCCCGAGGTAGGGAGAGGAAACAACAGGCAATCAAAGTTATACATGGTAATGTACAGGAAATGCCTTTAAAAATATTCTCAAGAACAGCAAAGCTATAGTTAGTTATATTAATTTAGAAGCATCCTTAGGTAGTGCACATTCAATTTGTTCAAGTCATGATCCTCTGGGGGTAGAAGATCAAACTTTTACATAGAAATACATGTGTATATAGAAAAAAAAATCTTTAAAAATCTAGCTTCTAAAGCCATGACTAGTCAAAGAAATATGGAAGCATCGTAAGCAAGTGTAGATTCTGTTCAAATTTTGCCCCCTCCTTGGGGGTGGGGTAAGTTGGGATCACTAATATATAATTTTTTTTCATACTGAACTGATTTCTGCTTTTCTCTAGCCAAAGCTAAGGTGAGCATTGTGGCCCATGTGCCTCTCATTGTTTGTTGTATACCTGTACAAAATGGCTAATTTACGTATTATTTTCTAATGCTGGCTCTGGTGCATCGTGTTGCTGTTCTCACCTTTGTTATTGTTACGAGGATAATATCAATATTGTTCAGTGGTATGATACAAATGCAGTTTTTGTTTTATTCCTTTGTTCAAATAAATAAGTCTAATAATTGAATTTTATTGATTCAATCAAATCATTGTGTTTATCAGTGCGATTAGTACTAATATTATATCTAGCTTATTCCCCAATGAACATTTTGCTGTAAAACATGCATATGCATTTGGTGCTTTCTGAAATTTGATGGAAACCCATGCTGGCAATGTGGTTCTCGATTTGCACAGTCTTTTACTGAAAATGATGATAACTTCCTCCAGAATGTGTACCATGAGATAAAGAAAATGAAGTCAAATCATATTTATAATATTTACTGATGATATTACAACACCATTAATGGAATGCTAGCAAGAGACAAGAATGCCATGGGGCTGTGTTTAACTTTGGCAACAAGAATCAAAGATCCACAATGAATAGCTTATATAAATATAACAAGATATATAATAAAATATTCAATCATTTAGTAATACCCATATACAGCCCCAGCTAGGACAGCTGGTAACAGAAAACCCCCTAGTGAGATGAGAAGGTTATTGGTAATGACTAGTGAACAGAGAACACATCCGTCTGTTTTAAATACAAATAAAATATTCGTCTACACAAAAGAGATGCCTATTGTGTAAATCCTGAACAAAGGTTACTGAACAGAAAGCAAAAGGTCATGTACAGATATGATACAGAGTTACTTCCATTAGTCATAAAAAAAGAAAAGTTTTATCCATTACACAGAATGTATGAGTTCAACCTAAAACAATTAAAGGACACCACCAATGTATTTACAGGGCTCTCTAAAATACACAAAGATGTAAGAATGAAAATATTTTTCTAGACATTGATACAAAATTCCATATAGCTGAAGTAGTAGAATAATTTATTCCCATTGATCTAGAAAACATATCTTCCTTCCTTACTTGAGGTGCAATAGAAAAATAAAGATCCAACTTACTGCACCAACTGAATGAGGAAAAAAAGCATATACAGGAATGCTTGTCTGATATCAACTTATTTTTAAATTCAAAAAGCTTTGCAATTTCAATTTTGAATGTTGATACATATAAATGAGCTGATGAGATCGTTACACTAAATATACACAAAGAATACACAAACATGGATATAGTCAGAAAATAACAGAACATAATTTATAAATGTGACTGGTTCTTCCATAAAACACAAGTTTATTTATATTGCCCAAAAGGAGGAATATAATTTATTAAAAATATTGGCATTCAAGCATACATAAATAAAAATTAATAAAAATTCATTTAACACCAGGGAATCGGAAATAAAAGTTCAATGGATTGTTCCTATTGAAGTATCTTAAAAATAAATTCATCAAGAAAAAAACTAACAGGAATAATTTTATACAACAGTCTAGAAAGCAGGGCATGGTAACAAGATGGGGACATGTGACCTTGACCCATGACCTTGACCAGTGCTATTGTCTTGGCATGTTGTATTAAACCCTCTCATACATACATGTAGATTTAAAAAAATTAGAACCACAAATAAGTACTATATGTATTTATAATGGCTTATTCCTTTTAACTCTCTGAGATAAAGATTTGAAAAGATGTGAATTACAAATAAGTACTACATGTATTTGTTAATGGCAGAAATATTCATTATCCCATAATAAACTAAGGACATACAAGGTAAACAAAACCATCAATATTGCAATAATTGTACAGAAAATATTAACATAATGTATATCAACATAACAATATAAAAACTGAATACTAAAAGGTCTAATAATATATCTGAACAATAAAAATTAGTCCTTTCTGGACTGTGTTGTGAAAACTTGATTGTGAAGTCATTAATGAAGAGACATATTGTCCTAATCAACAACACAGAAAAGGCTATCCACAAGAACTACAAAAATAGTCCAGAACAATGAAGGTTCATATTGCATGTTTAAATCTGCTCTGCAATAGCTAATCTAATTAAATAATATTAATAAATAGATTGGTTAAAAATACAATTTGTCAATAAATACCTAACAATTATAATCATAATTTATTATTGGTAATCATAATTTATTATTGGTAATATCAAGTTACCACTGTACTATATAAAACAAAAAAGCAGGGTAATTTTAACCTTGCTAAACATAAACTGTTCATAAAGTCTCAATAAAATGCATGCATAGGACAAAAATAAAACAGTTTTGTAATTGCTAAGACGTAGCCCTGTCTACGTAGAATTATGAGGTATTTATGATGCAGGTCTGAACACCTGCGACCAATGAACAGAAACTTTATCCAAAGACGTATAACGCCCCCACCTAAATAATCTGTATTACCCATGGCTAAACTCTGATACAATGGATTTCACATCGAATATTGTAACTTGTTTTTTTTTTCTTATTTCTTTTCCTAAAAAAAAAAACTAATTTCTACACTGATCAGGTTTGTCATGGCTCATCTTCTATCAATATGGTCATGTGGCTTTATCTATATATATTTTTATATATTAAAACAAACAGTCTTTATCACATAACAACAAGAAATCCACATAATATCACAACTCAGGATCTACTTGGGTGAAAAGATGCAGAGATTTCAGGCCTCAAATAAGTAACGACACATCATTATTAACCCCTGAACGATTCCTCTTTTTCCTCAAATAAATTTACAAAATTTTCCACACTTGATAAACTTTCTCAGGCTTTTCGTGTGATGGAATATTCCTCCTCATCGTCGGAGTCATCATTCAGCGGGTCGAATTCCGTGTCGCTCTCCTCTTGACTCAGTCGGTCGAATCCTCGGTGTGGAGTGAGGAAGTTACCAATGTTAAATTTCTTCCGGGACCGTGATCGATGTCGTCGGCAACAATTGTGTTGGCCTGTCAAAAACAAAAATGTCAAGTTGCTGAAAACTCTTTTCAAATAGGATAAGACTTGATCATAAATTTACTGGAATAATTTAAATAAACAAGTTTTTAAACAAACATTGAAGTCGTACAAAAACATTATGAAGGAGATTTTGGAAGTAAATTGCGTAGACACTTAACTACTTTTAACATCAACATTGTACATGCTAGCAATGGACAATATTTTTGAATGAGACCAATTTTCCTAAAACATTTTTTTGTTTCTATTTACAGTTTATAGTAAAGAGGGGTTAAATTTACATGTAATTAAGATTACACAAACTATTGATGAAATCAGAATTGATTGAAAACTTAAAGACTATAAGACTATGTAAATCTACATTATAGCATAGTTTAATTAATTACTAGATCAAGATCTGCAGCTCTCTTATCTTAAAAGTTTGGGATGGATGACATAAATTCCATTTTCCACTCTGGTCAATCAAGCATCCAAATTTCTCTCAGACCTTATCTTAGAAGAGGTTATGATTTTAGGATCGACATTCTCAGGTAATGATAATTATGAAGTAATTTACAGAGCTCCACCTTTAGCTGGCTGATCATTACCTCTAATAAACCTGTCAGATCGGGACACATGTCCATCAAACGGACAGACGGGAGAGTCTCGGAACAAAGTCAGCTATAAAAACAAGGACTGTTGAACTTTCACCAGGGAACAAGGGTTTATGTGAATTTTGACCACTTAAAAATTTGATGTCATATCGGTTTATTTATGTTACCACTGAAAATCATAAATACCGGTAATTCTTGTGTTTGTTTTTCTACCTTGGTTAGTATGGTTAGTCAGCTGACAATTTAAATTTTGAACATGCATGAATATACTGGTACCTGTAATACCTGTAAAGAAAATTCAATTAAACACCTGTAACCAGAGTTAATATTTCTGAGATTCTAATTTGTTATTATTTTGAACACCTTCCTCCTTGTGCAGTTACCTGTATACGCTCGGCTGGATTAACACTGTGATGTGCTGATTTTTGCTCTGTGTATAAAGAATTCAAGCAAGTGATATGATGAGAAAAGCAACAGAGAATGTACGAATCTGGCCATGTTTAAGCAACATGTATACAAAAAAAAAGCAACAGAAAATCTACATCACACTAAAGCAAAGGTGACAGACAAGATATAAACAGGAATACTGCTACAAAGCTTATACAGTAATGGGAGCTTTGGAACACACACCATAAACCTATTTATCTTCAAATGCTGCTCTTTCTTTTTATTTGAACAATTTTAAAAATGACAATGAAATCTTATTATTCATAAGTGTATAATTTTCAAACAAATTCTGTTTATATTTTAACTACTGAATTTTCCTAAATTGTTCAAATTGTCTTTATTTTTCAGTCATGAATTTTCCTAAATCAGGGAAAATTCATGATTGAAAAATAAAGACAATTTGAACAATTACACATGCATTGGTATAATTGATTTATATTGGTCTGTATGGCCAACTGTTTGGTGAATACCAATACTGTACTGATTTATATTCCTCTAAGGACCCGAATTATCCACATTTTTGGCTAACCCCAACATTTACATATTAGATAAGGCTTTGTTACTAGCATGATGTACATGAATGGCATTTTTTAGCACACAAAACAGTTGTAAATGGCATATTTTTTATGGCAGAAGTACCGCATGTGTTAAAATTATCAACCAAAACCCAGTTATTTTATATTTATCTGTATTTGATGCTTTCCGCTTACATATTTTTCACTTTTACTCCTATCCTCAATGAGGAAATCTAAAATAAAATAGACACATTTTACATAGGGCACATAATTTTATAGTAGATGGGGTGACCTTAGCTTCACTGCTTCTGGATAAAAATTCCAGGTAAAATTTCCTACCAAAGAGCATATAAAAATTCTATCCAAAATAATTCAATTATGATTGACTGTATTTTCTCAAGAAGTTAAAATTGATAAGACTCAAGATAATACTTGATTGTTACTAACTGGAAAAAACTACACAGTGAGAAAAGATGGAGAATAAGAGATGACACTAGCAGAGATTAAAAAAGTAACAGTGAATTAAATTAAAACATTATCTATACACTGGCAAAAGTGGCTCGCATAAATTTTATATCAAATTCACATGAATTTCATGTGAATTCTTTGCATGAGAAAGAGACAAAAAACAAGACACAATAAATTTTAATGAAAACTTTGTGTGATATTGACACAGTTTTCATATGAATTTTACATGAAGAGCATATTGCATAGATATCGTGCAAAGAAAACTTCACATGAAAGTTCTAAAAAAAAAATATGTAAATATCATACAAACCAATTCACATGATATTCACATGAAAAAATATTTACCGGTATATAATATTTTACACGATTTTTGTACAATTTTCAAATAAAAAGAAAACACATGAATATCAATTGAGCCACTTTTCCCTGTGCATAAATACAGTTGAACTTTGGTATCTCAAACATCAGTATCTCAAATGCCATGGATATGTCAGTCATTTGAAACTCCCAACACTTTTTTTCTATATCAGTATCAGTAACTTGAACCATTGGGTATCTCTCTGTTTATCTATAACCCCTTTGAGTTTGAGATAATGAGGTTTGACTGTATTGTTATCAAGAAGTTCTAGCTTCCCACAATGTCAACAATAAAGTGACTGTAATATATTACCACAGGTATTTATGTAAAACTGATCTGAGACAGGCCTACCTTTTTTGTAGATTCTGATGACTATGACGATGACTATGATGATGATAATGGGGATGATGAGCAGGGCCCCGATGATAATGGCCGGCATTATTTCCTCCTCGGATGTTAGGGACTTTTTATTTGTTTCCTGGGTCTCCACAAACGTGGCATTCACGGTGGTCCCTGAGCTAACTGGAGTGGTACCACCTGAGAAATTCAGTAGAACATAAATACATGCTCACTGCAATGGAATTTTTTCTATTAGAAATGTGTATACATGTATTTAGTTGTGTTGTTAGTTACACGTCAAATTAGGAGCAAAAACTATATACATGGGGTAATTTATAAGATACCAGTAAAATGTATTGCTGATTCTGTATGAAATATGTGCAAAAATATTGGTATGCAGGGGAATATTTATGTTAAATATTTCTTACCACTATCCCCCCCCCCGAACAATAAATTTCCACTTTCAAAGTAAGAGGGTAATCTTCTGACAGAAAATACAGAAATAGTGAAATTCAAGCAAATTAAGAATACCATCATGGCAAAAGGGGGTAAAATTTGAGACCAAAACTTCTTGAAGATGAAAATTTTTTGAAGAAAACAAGGTAATTTAAACATATTTGAGTTATCTCTCCTAGTGATTTATGAATATTTGAGTTATCTCTCTTATTTATAATATTAGACCTATCTCTCTTAGTAGTGGATAATTCATCCTTAATGCTTCATTAGGTTTAGAAGCAAAGTTCAATGGTCATATTCCATAAAAATTATAACTTTTGTACAAATTTCAGTGAGTTAAAAAGATTGTAAGAAATTTAAGAACTTTGACACAGTAAGTTGATCAAGAGGAAAAAAAGAGATAATTACTTTTGACATTATTTTTTTTCTTGAAGGATTATTCTGTAAACTTTGACCCTATCTTTGTTTTTTGACTTACTGAGGAATATTCCTCCATGCCTTCCTGAGCCATCATCAGCCTTCATATCAAATCTCCAAACTTTGGTGGGATCAAGTTCTCCAACATACACCCGAAGATTAACTGGATCCACCACTATATCATGTGGATTCCGTAATCCCTACAGGAAAACAGCAATAAAAGTAAATATGTGTTGACAGTAATGTGTACTAAAACTCATTAGACTGTTAGAGTTGGGAGTTAAATTAAACCTTTTATAGTTTCCAAACTAAAAATGATACCTAGATTTTTATTTACATATATCTTAATAAATGAAATGATTTTTTTTTTAATATTTTGAATTATTTTCTGGAAGAATTCCAATTGTTTTAGTTACATAAAGTTCTAGTTTAACTTACAGGTTTGGCATTCCAGGTCTCAATCAGCTGACCGTCATTAATATCAATGATGAATCCTTGTACAGGTGGGGTTCCCGATAAATTCGGACCATTGACAGCGAACAAAAGTCCTCCGTGGAGTGGACAGTAGGACACTGCAAAGAGACGGCCACCAAACTCTGGAGATTCTATCATCCTCTGAAAGTTTCCCTCAAAGTCAAAGCACTGAATCCTCCCATTCTCCCGATCAGCGACACAAAGGAGACCCTTGTCCTCCGCGATAGTCATACTGTGGGGGACATTGAAAGTACTGGGGCCAGGTTTATCTGTACCTACAAATGTATTGGATCATTAACAGCAATAGTCATACTGTGGGGGACATTACAAGTACTGGGGCCAGGTTTATCTGTACCTAAAAATGCATAGGATCATTTACAGCAGTCTTACATATATTGCTACAATAAAGGAGCTGACCTGAACTCATCAGTTGTCATTGCATTACCTGTACATTCACCACAATAATATAAACTTTTCTAGCACATTTATTTCTTTTTCTTCATGGCTTAGTTTGCATTTCCTCAAAATTTACTTTTTTATTTCTTACCAAATGTAGCTGTGCTACTTGCTCCAAATTCCTTGATAAAGGTGCCTTCCCTGTTGTACTTCACAATCCGAGAGTTACAGTACCTGTAATACATGTAACTACATGAAGATTCTGTAAAATCACTTATTTTAGTGGCGTCAAATTTTACTGATTTTAGGAAAAATTTTTGGTTTGTTGGGATTTGATTTCGTGGTTGAAGTATGGTTGAGTTATATTTTAAATCTTAACATATCTTGGAGGACATGAATTTGTGGGTTTCTTCATATCCCAGAAACAACAAAAATTAAAGCCCCACGAAAAATACATGATTTTATAGTAAATGAAAGTTATATTTGAGAGTTACCATTAACCACAGAACACATGCAATCTTTTAACAACAATTCTAGGTGTACATATCATAATGCTCTCATTTTACAGTACATTCATAATCTTTCCATATAATTATTGTCATTATTAGACACAGTAGTCATAGTGTTATTGGAAAAAATAACAGTGTATAGCCATCCCTGACAAAGAATAACAGTGTTTACCCATCGCTTACAAAGAATAACAGTGTTTACCCATTGCTAACAAAGAATAACAGTGTTTACCCATCCCTGACAAAGAACAACAGTGTTTACCCATTGCTAACAAAGAATAAAAGTGTTTACCCATCGCTAACAAAGAATAACAGTGTTTACCCATCCCTGACAATGAATAACAGTTTTACCCATCACTGACAAAGAATTCCCCTGTGGACAGTACGGCTACGTCTGAAGGCTTACAGTACTGGTTATTTCCCTTGCCTGGTTTGAACCTTAGACCCAGGACCAAATCGGTCTGGTCACTGCCAGCTGGGAACCTCATCACCTGTCAATCACACAAATATATATCAGAGCTCAAACCATCTCACAATAAAATCTACAACTGCTTTCAATGTACATATTCTAACTATCAACTTTACATTCATTCCAAACTGACATCTATTATGTTTATTGGTCCTTTATATACACATATCATTTGTGTTATGATTTTATGTTACATAATTTTTGCCATCATTTTCAGTTTAAATAAAGATCATGACCTATGTGTACTTTGTTGAACTTTATGCACTTACCTGATGAAGGCCCACATCTGTCACCCACACATTCATGTTATCATCCACAGTAATACCATGAGGTAAGAAGAACCTAGTAATAACATAATGACTCAGTCCTGAGATGAACAATAAACATTGTCCATGCCATCAATATGACAATTTTCAAAATTCTAAAAGGTGTTTTCATTTCAGCACATTCTAAGTAGAAAGGTATTTGTGTTGTGTGTTATAATGAATTAGCCCAGTAAAATGTATACATTACACAAAAGAATCTGTAGTATGTAATTTGCTTATGACTGCAGCAAAAGTTACATTAAGTGCCAAGATGTAGATAGTACAAATACATGTACAAATACAAGCAGAGGATCATATAAAAGAGAAAACCTACATGTCTTTGCCAAACTGCCTGATGACTTGGCCATCCTTGTCATACACTACAATACAGTTAGCTCTGATGGGTTTGTCCTGCTGCCGAAATACATTATTGTAGTCGAAAGTTCTGAAAAATATTCACGGTTATGAAAGATTTAAGAATTTCTTTTGAGTACTGGGGATTTTCTCAGTTGTGATGATGTCTGTTTAACTTACCGGCCATTCCACACCCTCTCCCCTCTGTGAAACACGTAGACGTTGCCGTACTTGTCAGCGGCCACCCCTCCCACCTGTCCTATCACCACCTCTGACCCTGGAGTGGGGCTCCCTCTGGAACCCCCAAAGTCCGATTCAAAGTCCATCAAGTGAGTCACTATAGAAATTAAAAAAAATAAGTCATAAAAAAGAACCATTTAACACATGACATATGATGAAGATACTTCATACTGATAACAATCTAAATCATAAAAATAATATTCAAAATAGAATAATACAATACTGATTTCACTTGCTGAATAGAATACTGTAAATCACTATTTATTCATGAGATCTTTATTTTCGCATAAATACACAAAACCATCTAGTCGCCAAAATTTCATTCTCACGTGTAATTCTATTATTAAAGATTGCATAGAGCAATAACCAAATTTGTGAAAATTTTGTTTTGCTTTTAAATACCAAACAACAATCTCATGAAAATAAGGTGTGGCAAAAATTTAGTGATGTACAGTAAAAATGAATAAAATATAAATATCTGGACAACGATCCATGCCAAAAGAAGTTCTAAAACAAAATATATCTATCTATAGAAGGAAGAATGGACGTCTGCTAAGAAAGGTAGCAATTTTCTTCATAAAACTTCTGTTCATGTCAAATCTTGCCCAATTTTGCACTACATTTTGATTGTAATTTTCATTGTTGGGAAAAAGTGGTACATACAGAGAAAATCATTTTATTCAGCAAACGGTTGTTCATTTTCTAACATATCTTACACACATAGTTTAGATTATAGAATTTACGGACTGAAAGTTTTCAATAAATACATGTACCTGCTTGAAATAGTGGACTTATACCAGCCCCATTTGTTCCCAGTGTGGAACTTACTTTTCAATTTGTCAATCAAAATATTACAACCCATATTAATTTAACAGTCATTCAACCTTTGTATTAACTTGACCAGTACTGCTGTAAAACCTTTTTTTTCAGCAAAAAGTGTCATGCACCTTTTTTTTCACTTCAGAAGATATGTTATTTTTATTCATGTAAAATCTGAGTAATCTTTCTACATCATGATTATCACATGTTGCTGCATTTGTGATTCTCAAGATTAACATGAATCATTGGCCACATATTTATTAGGTGGGTGGGCTGGCCAGGTAAACAAAATCAATTTACGTAGTACATAGTACACTCCAGTCACAACAAATCTAATGTCTCATGCGTATTTGGGTGCATGGGTAAATACCAGTAACAGCCAATCAAAATTCTTCTTACATCTGACAATCTGCTGTCATTTTCTCAAACCCACCATACAGTTATATTGTATTGAACAAGGAACAAACGTTTATGTCATGCCTGAGTGGCTACATGTCACAGATGATTGACGATCAGAGCTCCGTGAACTAACAGGCCTCGGGGTCCATGTAACGAAACATATCATTACAGATTTGTACAGTAAGTTATCTGTCATTATATAAAGCTAAGTTTTTGTGTTTTCAATATCAGGGACTCTCTTACTCCATAAAAACAAAGATCAGTTCTGCACTGGTATCAACTACATAAAAATCACAAAAAATAGCAAAAAGAAATCTGCATAAAAACACTTTTTCTAGTGGTCAGCATTTTTTTCTTATCATGTGTGGGGTTATTGTCATAAAAGAATTGATTTTATAATTTACCAACAATATCACATCAATTCAAAAGCTTTATGCCAATTTTTGTTCAGGTTGGTAGCATATGCCACTAATTTTAACCTAATTTGCACCACCTGTTATTTTCATTAGTTAATCAAAAATCTTAAAATTTGTTTCTACATAAAAATTACTATGTTATGGCAACATCTGGTTAATGTGCTGAATAAAACTAAAGCGTTTGGATGAAATGTACAGGTATATCACTATGTGTTTTATCTGACAAACAAATACCATTAAATACATGTACATGTGCATCTCACTAAGATGCATACAGGTTTATCTTCTAATGTTGAGACCCCCCCCCCCCCCCCCCCCAGAAAGTTTGTGTTTTGTATGTAATATACCAGAACAGAAGTCAGTGTTTAAGTCAACAGAAAAATAGCAAGCTACATGCATAATACACTGTATCCATTCAAAAAGTAAGAATTTGTACACAGAAGCAATGTAACAACAAATCAAACTGAAATGAGTAGAAGGAGAGAAATGGAGAAGTATATCCAAAACAGCTTCTTTCAACAGTTTGCACACACAACAAAAGTATAAATAAAACTGACAACTTCTGAAACTCACAACAACACAGCTAAACTGCTTCACTGACAACAAACAACATTACACCTAAGCTGAGTAGCTCACTGACAACAACAACATCTTACTGTGTTTTTTACTGTTAGGTTTACTCTGAGGTTTGGCTTGTGTTGTCAGGCTGGGGGTAAGGACTGGGGGTCCTACTGTGGAGTGACCCTTCTCCAGACTAACAGCATAAGCCTCCTTAAACATGGTGTTATCTGGTTCATAAGGATCGTCCTGTTGTCCATGTGGATGCCTTGGACCTCCTACCCTATTTCTATTCCTATTAAATACCTGACCTTGACCTTTTCGATGATTATTTGTTCTTGAGTTTGCCGGATAGCGGCCATCTTTCCCCATGTCCTGATTCTGACTTAAATCTGAGTCGTAGTAATCATTATAGTCCTGGTGGTTGTACCGGTGTCGGCCGTAGTTTTTCTGGGGGTATTTCTTCCTCCCTCTCTGGTTCTCTACTTCACTGTAGTATTCATATTCTGGGTCGTAATCCCTGGGGTACATACCCTGACCCCCCCTTTCCTGTCGCGTAAAATCCCACGGAATATCCTCAGCTAAATACACCTGATCCTTACCTGTTTCTGGTTTTCTGGTTGTTGGCTTTGTCGGTGCTGGTGTTGGAGTTGTTGTTGGTGCTTTGGTAACTGGAGCTGCAGTAACTACGGGTTTGCCACTGTGACCTTTAGCATCCCCCATATGACCATGTGTCCCATGGGCTGCCATCTCCAGTAGAGGGTTGTGAGGAAGCTGTTGGTAGGAGTAGGCTGGTAGTTTCTGAACCAGACCAGGCATGTTGTTTCCGGCACAGGAGTGGTACTGCAGTCTGGTGTTCCGGTCAGCGTAGTACATGATGTAGAAGTTACACATCTCATCATTATGTGTGGCCCTGGTAAAAAAACATTGTAAATCATGTAAGTGAAATCTTCATCAAATCTGCCATGAGATATTGCAAGGCTTAATAGAGACTGGGAGAAACAGGAGTGTGTGGCTCTATAAATTTTTCATAAATAAATCATCAGAACAGAGCTCATTCTCCTTAATTGACTGCATATGAATTTCTGAGATTTGACTTACCCAATATATGTGGCACGATTTCTTCCAGTGGAATTATATACACAGCGACCAACCTAAAAGTTAACAAGAGGCCCATGGGCCACATCGCTCACCTGAGTAACTTTGGCCATGCTGTTCATTACCAGACTTCCCCCCTTGTAATACCTATTGTGGCCCCGCCCTACCCCCGGGGGTCATGATTTGAACAATTTAGAATCAACACTATCCCAGGATGCTTCCACATAAGTTTCAGTTTTTCTGGTCCAGTGGTTCTTGAGAAGATTTTTAAAGATTTTTCCTATATATTTCAATGTTTCCCTATTGTGGCCCCGCCCTACCCCCAGGGTCATGATTTGAACAATTTAGAATCTACACTACCCCAGGATGCTTCCACATAAGTTTCAGCTTTTTTGGCTCAGTGGTTCTTGAGAAGAAGATTTTTAAAGATTCTTCCTATATATTTCAATGTAAAACTTGTATTCCCTATTGTGGCCCCGCCCTATCCCCGGGGTCATGATTTGAACAATTTAGAATCTACACTATCCCAGGATGCTTCCACATAAGTTTCAGCTTTTCTGGCTCAGTGGTTCTTGAGAAGAAGATTTTTAAAGATTTTTCCTATATATTTCAATGTAAAACTTGGATTCCCTATTGTGGCCCCGCCCTACCCCCGGGGGTCATGATTTGAACAATTTAGAATCTACACTACCCCAGGATGCTTCCACGTAAGTTTCGGCTTTTCTGGCTCTGTGGTTCTTGAGAAGAAGATTTTTAAAGATTTTTCCTATATATTTCAATGCAAAACTTGTATTCCCTATTGTGGCCCTGCCCTACCCCCGGGGGTCCTGATTTGAACAATTTAGAATCTACACTATCTCAGGATGCTTCCACATAAGTTTCAGCTTTTCTGGCTCAGTGGTTCTTGAGAAGAAGATTTTTAAAGATTTTTCCTATATATTTCAATGCAAAACTTATATTCCCTATTGTGGCCCTGCCCTACCCCCGGGGGTCATGATTTGAACAATTTAGAATCTACACTATCCCAGGATGCTTCCACATAAGTTTCAGCTTTTCTGGCTCAGTGGTTCTTGAGAATAAGTTTTTTTAAAAATTTTCCTATATATTTCAATGTAAAACTTGGATTCCCTATTGTGGCCCTGCCCTACCCCCGGGGGTCCTGATTTGAACAATTTAGAATCTACACTATCTCAGGATGCTTCCACATAAGTTTCAGCTTTTCTGGCTCAGTGGTTCTTGAGAAGAAGATTTTTAAAGATTTTTCCTATATATTTCAATGTAAAACTTGGATTCCCTATTGTGGCCCGCCCTATCCCCGGGGGTCATGATTTGAACAATTTAGAATCTACACTATCCCAGGATGCTTCCACATAAGTTTCAGCTTTTCTGGCTCAGTGGTTCTTGAGAAGAAGATTTTTAAAGATTTTTCCTATATATTTCAATGTAAAACTTGGATTCCCTATTGTGGCCCCGCCCTACCCCCGGGAGTCCTGATTTGAACAATTTAGAATCAACACTACCCCAGGATGCTTCCACATAAGTTTCAGCTTTTCTGGCTCAGTGGTTCTTGAGAAGAAGATTTTTAAAGATTTTTCCTATATATTTCTAAGTAAAACATTGATTCCACATTGTGGCCCCGCCCTACCCCCGGGGGTCATGATTTGAACAATTTAGAATCTACACTACCCCAGGATGCTTCCATATAAGTTTCAGCTTTACTGGCCCTGTGGTTCTTGAGAAGAAGATTTTTTAATGACCCCACCCTATTTTTGTCTTCTCTTGATTATCTCCCCTTGTGAGGGGACCTGGCCCTTCATTTTAACAATTTAAATTCCCCTTCACCCAAGGATGCTTTGTACCAAGTTTGGTCAAAATTGGCCCAGTGGTTCTTGAGAAGAAGTCAAAAATGTGAAAAGTTTACAGACGGACGGACAGACAGACAGACGGACAGACGGACGACGGACAAAATGTGATCAGAAAAGCTCACTTGAGCCTTCGGCTCAGGTGAGCTAAAAAAATTCTCCATTCACTCAGTGTCAGTGCAGACAAATTTTATTTCTGACATTTTAAATAGAACATAAAAATCTTTAATACTATTAAAAGAAATTCATACCAGGTAATCGTCTTTCTGGATTACTATTTTGTTCTCCACTGGGTAGAAAGCCTGGGGCCATTGGGGATTCCCCTTGCCAATCAGATTATATGTATTATTGACCTGGTACCCTGATATCACAGTGCCTACAACAGATAGATGTGTATGTATTATTGACCTGGTACCCTGATATCACATTGCCTACAACAGATTGGTGTGTATGTATTATTGACCTGGTACACTGATATCACAGTGCCTACAACAGATAGGTGTGTGTGTATTATTGACCTGGTACCCTGATATCACAGTGCCTACAACGGATTGGTGTGTATGTATTATTGACCTGGTACCCTGATATCACAGTGCCTACAACGGATTGGTGTGAAACACATAGCAAAGCTGTTCATCAATTCAAGGTTCATTTCATGATTACAGGGTAATAAACACTATTTTTTGTTATGTATAAGCATCAACGGGGAACATGATGATAAACTCTATATGGATAAGATAATAATAAATACATTTTAGTGATGATGTACTATTGGTCCTATATTTACTTTTATCCTTACACTAGTGGATCTGAAGTATAAACCTTACCTAAACTGTGTGCATGTGTTCTGTATCCAAAAGGATATATGGGACCACTGGCCTTAAACTGGCAAGAAATGTCGGCAAAAACATCTGTAAGGGATCAATTATAAAGAGTTTAGTTTACATTAAATGGATGTATAACTTTGCAAGTTAAGCAACCAAAATCAGCAATGAGACTCTTCATGGATTGATTAATTGATCAATAAATTTCAAAAAGAATATTCAATTACGCTGAATTGTTCCAAAAGAATCCAGAATTAAGTAATTCATAATTAATCTGGTTAATTAGTTCACTTACTGACTGTGTTGCCTGGTATTCTTACGGAATATGCTAACAGTAAATAAATTCCAGCCTCGTACCTCTGCCTACAAAACACACACGGCAAGATGATATATCAGCAAATTTGGATTTAAAGATTAAATTTATCAAAACATTTAAATCTGTATAATTCTTTACAGTAGAAGTATGCTTAACCTTGAGCTACAATTGGACATAACAATGTACTCAAAAGGAGGAACTGATAGGATTATTCATATTAAACAAATCCAACAGAATACATTTATATTTCCCTTTATCATGTGCTGTATCTTGTTGATAATGTAAAATAATGTAAAACTCTGGTGTACATGACTTAATGTGTATGAATAAAGCTTTTTTTTCAGAAAATAAGACTTGATTACTTATTACATATACCTATATATACATGTAACACACAGCCAAAGTGATAAAATACTATTATTCCTTATAAATGAATGAAACATGATAAATGCCAACAGAAAATTCAATTTTTATGTAATGTGAGGTTTTTACCTTAGAGAGGTCATACGAAGCCTTATTCCTGATGTGTCTAATGATCCCGCTGAAACAAATGATAAAAAGATCAATTACAAAAAAAAATCATATCAGTAAGACAAATTACTTGTAACAATTCACTGTAAATCACATATACTTCAGGGGCTTTTCTAATGTATCTCAAATTATAGCTACAAGTTAGTTAACTATGAGATAGTTACTGTTAATAAACTAATAATACCCCCCCCCCCCCAAAAAAAACACCACACAAACGATCAAACCCCCCCCACCCCCCACCCCCCCCAACAAAAAGAAACTGTCCTGAATACTTAAGGAGGCCAACTGGGGTTTTCATTGCACAATACTTTGCGCAGCATAGTAAAATAAAGCATATTTATTCTTTTAAAGCAACTATTTTTACATAATTTATAAAAATTGTCAAATTTAGGAAATCTTAGGTTAAAAATTCTAATTAAGGTTTTAAAATAACTGATTTTTTAAATGATTTTTCAAATGATGGGTAGATAGATGTCGTAATAGTGTGTTTTTGATGTTATGAATAACCGAAGTTAAAGAGGGGTCATTAATTATGTCATAAAATAAAAAGTATTAAATAGATGCTCTTGAAATTTTAAACATATGAATTTGAGAATCTCACAATCATTTTGATTATTTTTTATGTAAATCTGTGATATCTGTCATGTTTTGTAGTACCCATAAAAACAGGAAAATATCATGAATTTTGACATTTTGAGATGCCCCCTCTGAAAAACCAGACGGTAGAATTTTGTGTTTCTTGCATAAAATGTACAATATAGTATTACTCATTAAATAATAACATTTGAGAAAAAAGTCTATAGTAGCATTTGTATAATTTGCTCCGAAGTGCAAAAAAAATGGTATTTTCCTATATAATCCTATAGTAAATGCACCTGTATTTTGAGATGGTTCCTAGAATATAACCAGGCGGTAGATTTTCACTAAACTTGGCATGTAGACTGAAGTCAATGTAAGGTACATATGGTATAAAATTAAAGAGTTTCTCTATAGTAGTTTTCACACAATAAAACCCCAGTCGGTTAATTTCTAACACATATACATAAATAGGGAATAATGGTTAAATATAAAAATATAGCCTTTAAAAAATACTATCAATCTTACCAATTCATCAAGAGAGAGCTGCAGTATTTTTCTTAAAAAACAGTATTGCAGTCAAATATTTATCTCATTACTTTTAATTTAGTTTGTATACACTGGTTATGAAGAACCTACCTGGTAATGGATTTATATAGTGGATTTGTATGACGATATATTTTATATTGGTCTGACCGCCAACACGAAATCCTACATCTGTTAACAATAGAAACAACAGCGTCAACATGAGTTATATCTGTATCAGGGGTAATTATTACATATTTCATGATATAAGTGTGTGTTTACTCTATATTTCTATTGTTACCACTGTTCATTACAATATATAATGATACATACAAATACATTTAAAGTAATAATGTTAAATTAACCAGCCACTGATCAAATTTACATTGACAGAATTATAATGGGGCATTAATTCATATATCATGTATATGAGTAATGAAATGAATATTCCACCTAGTATTCCCAGAAACAATTAAGTGTTTGCTTAAACCAACTACTTTTTTATTGTTACAAAATTGAGTCACTCGTAAGATCCCTGCGTCTTACCTTTAGGTAGTTGGAGAGGAGGGGCATTTTTGGCCCAGGCAAATAAAATCTGCTCCTGCGATTTACATAAACGACCACAATGCCTGCAAAATCAAGCACATATTATTTTGATACATTTGTCAAAATAATCAACAATACCAACTAACAATTACTTCACACATTAACTGTAATAGGTGATCACAATTTATGAATTTTTCAAATAACATCTCTACACACATATAAATATTTTTAAATATTTTCTCCTTAAAAATTACTTAGTACATGTATATTAAAAAAACCCACTCACACTTTAAATTATACTTACTTGTTTGTGTTTCAGTGATTTTTCACAGAAAGACAAGTATTTGATTTATTTCTTCATTTATTATTTAAGTTAATTAACAAATGTAAGTCCAAACACCACAGACAAACAAACAGATACACACCAATAGGCATCGGTACTAGCTGGCTCATCACAACCAAACAACAAAATATGGTGGGCCGTGCCCGCATTAGCTAAAGCTTCGTATTGCACTGAAATAATTAAAAACCGTAATCATTTAGGTTCTGGTCTATAATTAAACCATTACATTATAAAAGACAAATAAATGTCACATATAATCGAACATTAATACTTTGGTGCACTAATACACCTGGGCATTTTGAAAATCTGATAAAAATTCACTGTAATAGCCATACAAGTTCAGAGAGTGGCAGCACGATTTGATGTTACAATACTGTGTAATATTTAGTGGCTGGGCACAAGTTTAAGATACAATGTACCCTGTATACCATTATATAACAATACAAGTATCTATAAATTTATATGCATATATATACCTATTTCATGTTATTTCAAATGTGTGTATGAAAGCATTGAACTCTATTAGCAATGGGTTGTTTTTGAGCAGTATTTTTTCAATGAATAAGTATGTTGTTTTTCATATGTACAGTGTATTAAATCCAGGAAATATGCCTGCATTACTGGTAAAACAAAAGTAGTGATAAACTCTGCACAATAATTGTTTTTGCTTGCAATTATTCAAAAGACAAAACTAACAAATTGCATTCCAGGTTGTCTACAGCAAATCATGGATATTCATGAACAGGATATAACAAGAAAACCCAAAGTGACAATTATAGGTTGATTATAACTATTGATCCCTGCTTGTCCGCCAAAGACAGTGTGTGATAGAGCGATGGTTAAGACCTCGTTCCATCAGCGGGGCCACAAGGTGGGAGGAAGAATCACACGACATATTGACAGGGGCTGACACAACATCAATAACGCAATCCACAAAATTGTAATGCCACCATTTATTTTTTAAATTCAATGTAAGAACACGGTAAGATAAGAATTTGTCCCCCTTCCCTTCCCCCTGATTATAACACTCGTCTGATGAAGCAGTAGTCATACAGAAGTAATTCACTCTCTTTTGTCAATCATGGTCAATACATACAGTTAACAGTGAGAGTCGTTCTTGTTAAGATTCAGGGCAGAGGAGTAGATCGACATCTCAATGATACCATTTAATTCTGTCGCTGAAGCTAAATTGATTTTAGCATACTTTATTCAGTATATACTTTATTTTACATACATGGTTAACAGAAATATAATATTGATAATACGTTATACCAGGTAATAAAACATGTGTTGTTATGTTAATCAACTTTGAACAATATGACAAAATGAAATAAATGTAAATTGTAATGTAAACATGGTAAAATTTGCATATGGTTTACATGTTCTACACATTCAAATTATACTGTTGAGGTTTGAAAAAAAAAATTCATTTCATGGGTTTATAACTATAATCTGCAATTATTTGTTCTAAATCTGTCACAAATGTAAATTAAGTCATAAAGTATCTTTTTTTTTAATTTAATAATAAATCAGGATATAATTATGGGTTGGTACATGATCAAATCTACCATAAAGCCCTTTAAGGGACTTGATCATGTGACCAACCGCTATTTATTTCCCAATAAATGTTTTAAAATGATACCTTATTTCTTAATTAATAGATCTAAAATAACTATTGATTACTGAGCAGTTCCCCTCTGTTACGTTTAATTTAAATCAATCAATTTTTACTGTTTATACATTGATATTTATCATCTCTATGTTTGTAGACCATAGTAAAAACAATCATTGCATTAAAATCTATGAAATAATTACCCCCAAAATTGTAAAATTCTACAGAATATTGTATTTAAAACTTAAAACACATTATCTGTGGAATTTAATGATTTCTTCTCCCAAACTTTTTTTTAAAAACCTTTATTGATTTTATGTTAATTAAAACCTTCTAATTAAAGACAAATAAAATTTTCTATTAGACTAATGACATCTAAAAGATGAATTCTTAATTACTATTGCATCCTCATTGAAGCCTCAGGGGTCTTTCATCTTAATTACCTGTCCAACACATATAATCAAATGATGGCACTATTAATGCACCTTTGCTCATGTTCGTTAATGAACTCAAGAATAAATACTTGTATTTTTCAGAAAAAATCATGATTAATTAAAAAAACAGCTGACTTAATATACAGATTTGCTTTAATTAAATCTTGAATAATTTCTGCATCACACAGGCGAACAAAGTACAAGATCACTGCATGTGTTTCATTTTGACATCTATTATAGCTGAATAAGCTAAAAAACTGCATTTGAAATCTTAAATGACAGGAAATTATTCCTGTGGAATTAATTCAGCCAAAATTATTTCAGTTTTTAAATTCCTATATGAAATCAACTGCAATTTCCCAAGTATCCAGGCAACTATGGAATTTAATTTGTTTGTTTACAGTTATTTCCACACAAATAGAGCCGTGTATCATCCAAAGACTGAGGTAAAAACTCCCATTCCCCCATATATCACAGTGTTACTAGGTGCACAAGCTAAAGCTCTCTTCACGAGACCCTTGTTCTACATCCAAATATCCAGACTCTAATACAATGAGCACAAAATTAATATTTTCAGCAGAAAATGTACTAATTAATATTCATTAGTACTACAGAGTGAAAATGTCTAATTAAAAAAAATTATTTCAGAGTTAAGACAGTGAACTTACCTATATATTGATCATTTGCTGGCAGTTTATAACTACTACATAGATATTCATCATACTGTAAAAAGAAAAGGTATTCATGATAGAATTAAATATCAATCTCTTCCTGTATTTCCACTTATTACTATGTGTATACACCCATAAATATGTCACTATCACCATTTCTTTTAATAATTATGTCTTTAAAAATGTTAACCATGTAATCAACAAAATTATTATTTTTTTCTTACAATTAGAAGATAATAAACAGAAATTATTTATCAGATTTACATAAGATCTAATTAAAAACATTTTTAACTTTCCGGGTAAAGCCTTTAAGGAAATAACAGGTATCGAGTCAAAATATGACTCTGAAATAGTTGATTTTACCCTTCTCATCATAACCCCTGCACCCCCCCCCCACCTCCCCCAATGCAAATCCTCATATCTCACATGAACAACTTACCTGTGTAACAGATGCATTTTTCATTAATAAATCCAATGTTTGTGTCAGAGTTTGTGATCTTACAACAGAACACACAAATACACTCCAGACCAATAAGGTCAAGGTCACTTTATGATACAGTGTCATGGTAACTTAACGTCAAGGACAATTCATCAGCTGTCCATCTGTTCCTCTTACAGTAACATCCTCCAAAGCAATCTCACATTACACTAAAATAAAAAGCAAAATGTTTAAGAAAGACAATAATTAATTTAAACATTTTTTTAATGTCAAAACTTAAATTAAAAAAAAGAAATATTAAAGTTTTACTGTTTCAACTGTTTAATGGCCTTAATCAACTTCATCAAACACTTTCAAATTCATCACATTCCGATAAGATTCAAAGGCAGTCCAATGTCCCCCCTTTTCCCTCTACATTAAGGTTAATTAACAGTCCCTGGTGCTTGACAACTATCTTGTAAAAATGCATATTACAGAGTCAATTACCTTCCCTTTTACCTTTAAGAGATAAGAATTGTGCAATTTGTACCTAGGAAATACAAGTATTGCATTCGTCAGATAACATTTGACAGCTACATAGGAATTACAAGCAAAAGTCTGTATCATGTCACTGGCTAAAAAAAAAATCCTTCCAAAAAATGACCAGTTTGGGCCAAAACTTTTGACGGGCCGTGAATAATGAGTTAAGATTTTCTTGGCCAATACAACAGATTTTTTGTCCATGGCTCTGTCTCGATTGACAATTGACGCTGTCCATGTCTATATATGTACATAATTATTACCACATTATGAAGTGACAACACTTAAAGTGTTAATGTTGTAGGAAATAATGGAACTATTTCCTTTCACATGTCATTTATTATAAAAGAGATTATGCATATGCATGAAAACAGCACTTTTTTTTTATTGATATGTTGAAGTACAAGTAATCATAAATCTTATAAAGTATTAATATGGAAGTAAATTGAACCTGATTAGAATAATCATCTTGATCTGCAAAATTTAGGGCTTAACTTTCAATGAAAAGTAAATGCCTAAATATGAAGTTTTACAAATTATAGGATGATTTGCATTTCTTATGTACCATTTCATAATTCACTTACATGTAATATTCATGAAGCACACAAGTCAGGGAGTGCCTTGTATCACATTAATATACTATGAATAAATACAAGTCAATCATTAATTACAGGTAATTATTCCCATCATAATTTATTGACTTTGGTCACAGTTTATGTCTGTTATACTTGTATATAGGAAGTGCCAGGTCAAAAAAGCACAATGATTCTTATAAAACACTGCTCTTTATAATTACTAGATATTCTTTTCTTTATATGTCATGTAAATATTATATTATACAGATATAACATTACATCAAGCATTTAAAATATAACAATACTGGCAGATTTTGTTGTTTTTTTTTTTAATTTACACACTACAGTGAAATGTGGAATGTACATTGAGTAATATATTGTAGTTTCTGGCTTCCAATGACAGCTGTTCAATAAACATGTGAAATTCAGGTTTGCAATTATGAAGTTACATATTTATTTGTATTCAACAGATATTATCATCTCTTCTTATTTTAGAGTTTGACAACGATTGTACAGTAGACATTTAATATCGATCACAGGCAAAAGAAGAAAACAGGATATACAAGAATGGAATAAGTGTACCGTGACAAAAATATATAACATTGGAAAGTAGTCAAGCGCAATACTAAGTACCGTACACTCACAGATCTCCTTTAGTATTCAAGAGTCAACCAACCAAAAATTTATAACTATCAAACTTAAAATTCTCGAGTTTATATGTGCTTGACTATACTGGTGAAACTACATACTACATGTAAAAGTCAGAGCTAGATACATGTAACATAAAGCCCATGGGCCTTTTGTGGATTGAAAGCATTACTCTGCTCCTTAGCTTACTTTACATATAAATAATATACAAATTAATTGAGTAGCTGACTATCCACCTGCATTCATTTCTTTGAGACAGGTGAATTAGCACGGTTACAAAACGTTGTCGGGGGAAAAAAAGAGAAATTTACACATTATTCTCAAACGTGAGAGATAATTTCAAATAAAAATATCGATTACAGAAATTATCCAAATCAAATAAACTTAGCATCCAATATCTACCACAACACGGTCCATATGCCTTTTTCATTATTATTATTTCTTTGGGAAATATCCGATCACAGTCCGATTAAATCTCCTTCTCTTTTATCCAAAGCAGTACTTAAGATCATTTTCCTACACCTCTTTAACAAAGATACCTCGCTGCGTTGCAGAGATGTTCAATTTGGGGGGGGGGGGGTGTTACTTGTCTTCAACGCGTGTACACTTGTTGCGTGAACAATACTGTATGAAATACTAGTTTAACAGTAACATAATTAAAAGATAAAAAGAATTCGCTAATACACGTAAATTTACCAACCTCTCTCCGTGACATCTGTCAACATTTTGCCTTCGATATTTGTTTTCTACATTTCCGGTATCGAAAAATAGATTCGGAGAAGGTAACTCTTGAATTTCCGGTTTTTTGCTCCCGTTTCAGCTTGGTGTCTTTGTTTTGTGTTTCCATTCATGGATTTAATAATTGGGACGTGGAGCTTTTGTTTTGATGCTATTAGACAGAAGGAAGAATTCTATAGAAGCGAGATTAGTTGTCTGGATGCAGTAGAAAATACTATAAGTCGTATGTTTTCTTCCCAGATTGCTTTATGCTTCTCACGAATCATTATACGCGGATCTAAACACTTTTGGGCGGTTTTTTATTTGGTTATTATTAATGTATGAGAATATGAATATTCTGAAAGATTAGAGCTCATGTTCTAGATTAGTAAGATTGGGATCACTTAATCTCAGCGAGATTCGTAGGGACTAAAAATTTTGTTCTGGGACACCAGACCAAAATTTTTAGTCCCTACGAATCTCGCTGAGATTAGGGATCACTATTTATCGAAACATGTTGAGGACGTACGAAATTTTGAGATGTCTAGACCTTAACAGCTAAACAGAATTTGGTAGTGACACATCAAACAAAAAGTATCAAGGCGCCGAAGGGGGGTGGGGGTGGTAAGTCGCCCCATCCCCACTTTTTCTTAAAAAAAAAAGCCCATTTCGCTTTTGATTAAGTATGGAGATATTTAATTAAAGGAATGGTTGCCCCTTTCTATTGTCGAAAAGGAGGAGCCCCCCCCCCCCCCTCGGAAAAAAGATTTTATTTAAACTTTAAGAATTATTCTTTTTTTCTTGTCACATAGCAGTGTTTTTTTTTCCTAGTCGACCTTGTCGATCTTTTTTTACGTGGAACTTTTTTGTTTCTCAATTGCCCCCCCCCCCCAACTTTGAAAAGTGATGCTACGTCTCTGCATAACATGATTGGAGAATGTGTACATTTCCATGATCATAGTACTCTAATTAGAGCTTAAATCCCCAATCCCAACGCAGACAGCTAGTTAAAACATTTTTTACGGTCTGGAGGAGACTAGGAAGGTTACTGAATAATTATAGTATGTCTAATTTAATTTACTTACAGATTGATTTTAATGATTAGTTCGAATTCATTACATAATTCTTAAAATATCTTGAAACATAATTTTCATGAAAATTCCACCGATTTCAATTCTGCATTCTGCCATAATACTTGTATATCGATACAATACGGTATAATACTAAATGACAATGACGCAGAGTTGTACTGCCGGAATCAAATATTATAGATATCTTACACGCATTTTCTGAAATATAAATTGACAATACTTAACAAAATAAATATATAAATAAATAATTGAATTAATAAATGAACACACAGTTGCCCTGATATTTTGCTTCCCATATTATTCTCATTCGCAAATAAACACGTTAAAACCTACGAATGAAAAAGAAACAGAAATTATAATACTTACAATACATTTCTTATCAGCCTTTGAAGATAAACTTCCAATTATAACACTTTTTTTTAAAACACGAAGTATCCCTGAAAAAACATACAGAAAATCCCACTTGCTGATACGACGGAATAAAACTTCCTTGGTCGCCGTGCATAGAGGAACAAGTAATAATTGCCGAAATCATGGAACATGATCAATATCGTCGCGCCCCGGGGGCTGCGGCAAGGAGTCACTTTATGTTCCGCTTATAGTGGTTTTATCATCGACTGTCTTTTTTTATGAGAGAGAGAGAGAGAGAGAGAGAGAGAGAGAGAGAGATTTTGAATGACTCCAGGCTTTTATTCTCCGGTCAAGATTTCAAGGTTTTTAAATTGCATTTTAAAATCATCTAGACGAACAAGTACAATAAGATTACGTATTATCATCTGTCTACATTATATTTTACATAAAAAACAACTTATACTGATATCCCCCCCCCCTTTTAGCTTAGTATTTTAAAAGTAGAAAAAAAAATATCGGAAATAAATACCTGCATTTGTCATAGGCTGAAAATTATTACGATTGTGTCTCATAATAAAAGTTAATGTCTTTTTCGACGCTGGATTGGCTGCAGACTGCAACTCTCTGGGACAGAAAATTCGGACGGACATACCATTCAGAAAGACTATACAATCTCTGGATATGTTTGTTTAACATTTTCTGTCTCAGAGCTATAGGTCTGCAGCAGCGATTAAATTGTGTTGTCTTTTAAATTTATATCTGGAGCTGAAAGTGCATACGCAAATATTGAGTTTCTCTGTTTAACTTTAGAAATAGAGGGTGACGAGAGTTACGGGCCATGCATTGTCGGGAGGGGCGGGCCCCCAAACTCTGCTGGGTATCGGGAGTATGACGCAGCAATAATGGATGGACGCACATCAAAGTTTGGCGCTGTCACTGCTCTTAGAGGGTTAGTATAGAATATAACTATTTTTCTTCAATGGAAAGTATGTCAATCTCAATTTTAATCAATGAATATATTATTTTGGACTAGGATACCACAAGCCGTGTCGGTGGCGAGAGCAGTGATGGAGCGTAGCCGGCACAGTATGCTAACCGGGGAGGGGGCAGGGCAATTCGCTCTGGAGAATGGGTTTCATGCCGAGTGTGAAACACCACATCAAAGTATCATACCAGTAAGAAATTCCGGGGTAAAAAATATACTACTTCTAGCTTACAGTACGAATTATCGGGATAAAGTATTGAGATATTAATTTCCATGACAGGAAAATGACTCGAAAGGCCACGACACATTGGGATTGATAGCACAGAGAAAGAACGAGCCAGAGATTGCTGTCGGTAATACCTCTAAAGTATGATTGTACACTTACTGTAATACATTAATTATGACCCCTGACTTACAATGTCCTACATGTAGGTGTGTCGACCAGTGGAGCCCCTGGTAAACACCCTGGTAGGGTCGGCGACAGTGCACTCCCAGGAGGGGGACTATACGCAAGTGAGCTATCTTCACATCTTTGACATGTGATTTTCAGCAATCATATTTGTCTGTGCCCCCACACTGAACTCTCCTATTTATTTTTTTATCCAGACTCCCATGGTGCTGCCTGCTGTAGTGGAGACGGGGACGAGATACTCAAATTTTGTGCTTCCTTCCACATTGTCCATCTCATCTCACAGGTATAACACCCATCTCATCTCACAGGTAACAAAATACATAGAAAAACGACGGACTTACTGAGAATATTTTTCTTTACTCTTATCTTTACGCTGTAAGCACATAACAAGAAGCAGCCTCAGAACACTGTTTGGACGTATACCCGGTATTTTGTTTTGAAATCAGTTACGACCGAACGGATGCCGACAACTGTTTTCTATTACAGGGAAGGCTTCCCCAGGAAGCTTGTACAGAAGTCATACAGAAAATTTACAACCAAAATAATCACCTGGAAATTGCTGTGATTGCCTCCGATATAAAGGTACAATTATACTGGTTACAGAGAACCATCAGCACCATCCATACGCCATCATAATATGAATTCAAACTCCTCATGTCCTTGTTTAATCAGTGATTTAATACTTCCCTTTTAGCAGATAAAAGCAGATGAATTCACCGTGCACTTGTTTGTTGTAAACTCTCAGATGAAACTGCGCCATTTAGTAAACTGAATGTTTACTGAAAAGGTCTGGAATGGGTAGCTAAATGGTAGACCTCTCTCTCTCACTCAGTCACTTTTCAGTGAACATTCAGTAACTAGTTTCATCTTGTTAAAGTTTTATGATATCTCAACAGAAACAAGAAACAAGAAGATGAAATAAGCTGAATTATTTTCCAAAGATCATTGATTATTTGACAGGGTAATTATGGGGCTTGTTCTACCGTGAGGTCGTGGACTGACCCGCTGACCCAGAAACATTATGAAGGCTTCCCCTATGTCCTCTGGACCAAAGATATGACCTGTCCAGAAATCCGACTGGCCACCACCGTCTCTTGATGACAGGAAAGACAACTCCAGATGGACCGAGTATGACTGATTGATATGTTAACAATGTACATGAAGAAGCTATAAACATGTTCAAGGCAATGTCCATTTGCACACTTGGAACACTGATTATGACTTGAGTTTATTCAAGCAGACTGTTCGTTTTTTCTGAGCCTTGTACAAATGTTACACAAATAGAGACAAGGCACTGAATCAGAGAAAATATTTTATGAAGAATAACAATGTAATACAGCTACATGTACATGTATATATTCCTTGTTACATGTATATAACAATATTAATGCAATAATTTTGGGAAAGACAGAATAAAATGAAGATTTTTGCTTTTCATGTCCAACAAATCATCATTTAACTGTTTTCAACGACCCATTTACAACCCTTGTTCAGAATTAAGTTCCATTCCTAATTCACTGATAACTAGAATACAAATGTCTCACATCTCTAGTTTGTTGTACTTCACAAATAGGCAGCCCATCCAACATACATCTGGCACAAGTTGTCAAGACTTGTAGCCTCCTGTTAAAAATTAAAAAAATAGATGTGTAGTAAAATGAATTGATTAACAATACTAATACCTCTACAAAAATACCTTGCATGTCTAAAGATTCCCCCCAAATGCATGTACATGTAGCTCTTGCTTGTATATTTTCAGAGAATACACAAAATGATTATCTATGTGCCCTTCTTTGCAGCCCTTCCTGAATATATATCAATGAATCTAAATCAGCAATGAAATTCATGAGATATTTTAGAACAAAGACGCCTGTATTCTTCCAGTGCATTTAGAATAATAAATCAGTAGAAATACTTACCTGTAACAGATAATTAACATGTCCTTCCACTGACAGAGCCACACTCCTGGGTTTCTGCATCGTGCCACGTCTAATCCCTTTTAAACGGGACTCAATGTTCTGTACATGGACCAAAGCCTGAATAATTTAAATAAAAAAAATATTTCAAACCCTCAGCATTTTAGAGGTCTTCATAAAAACTTTAAGAACTATGTCTGTGTGCATTATATACTTTTCTTACTTAAGTGCAAGGAAAAGGAAGGGGGAATGCAAGGGATCTAAAAAATTGAAGTGATTTTGTTGGTCAATATAAAATATGGTATCCTTGTCATAAAGAATCTACCAGTACTCTCCCCTGAGCTGTCTCTGTATCTACCTGATCATTATGAATTTCCCCCTGAGCTAACTCTGTCTCGGAAATCTTCTGTGTTTTAGATTTCCTCCTCCACTCTACCAAAGGGTCATGGATGAAAGTTCGTAATACACTGTAAAGAAAAGGCTTATTCCACTTATTCCATATCTCCCTGTGTGATTTTATTTCCAAAAATATAACAATGAACTATTCTATAGACCTACAATTACGTAAGTTCTACCTCATCAAGGGGTCCATCTGATCTCTCATTACCCTGAGGGTCACCTCACAAGATCTACGGAAAATCCCCTCAATACCAAGGGGCCCCTGAAATATACATAATGTTTTTAATGAACCAGCTAGTAAACAAAATAAAGGTGGTTAGGTCTCAGCTACAAAGTTTCAGTGTCTGTTATTCATGGAGAGGGATACAGAATAGTACTCACAAGGGCGTCCACTAAATTCTGGGTCAAGCGGAATGGGACCTTTTCTGGCCAATCAAAAGTCTCTCCCTGAAAAATGTTTATTCTGACTTCATGATTCATATAATATTAGTACAGTACTAAAACAGCTCTAAATTATGCCATGTTAAAATAAATATAACTTCAAGAATTCATTTATATTTAGATTAGTGTATTTGATGCCGATATATGTACCCTGTTAAACAGGCAGTTGAAGTCAACATGAATACAGTCTCCACATGTTGAGTCGAACAAGATATTCTCCCCATGGCGATCTCCCAGGCCCAGTACGTAACCCACCATACACATGACAGCAGATGTTCGAGCATAGGCTAGACGGGCATTGTACCTATATACAGCCATTACATTTCATTAATTCTATAATCCATGGAATAAATCTACAGTACAAGCAAGAAAATGTGAGCAGAGAACAAAGATTGCTTTCATGTGTTTATGAATCTTAAAAATATGAAGACTATTTTGATTACATTTATATGTATCTTTCAATTTACATGTCACTCAAAAAAAAAGCTCAGCTTGCACACTTAGATCATGAGAAAAACACAGTATATTGTACATGTATTTTAAATTTCCCTCTGTATTACTCTCACCATGAAGTGGGATCAGGAAATGTTTGTAGGAACCATTCCTTGAAAACAGGAGGATGTTTGGATAGAAATTTCTCCTTAAAGATCTTCTTCTTCAGTCTATATAAATAGAAATTACATTAAAATGTTTTCACAATGGTATTCAACTTGATACGATTCAACAGATCCTTAATCCAAAATCCAAAAGGCATTTATTACATTTTTGTTTTGAAGACTTGAGAGACAAAAAAAAAAAATCACAAACAGATGAGCAAATACAAATAACATTCTTTGACAGTCACTGAAGTCCAGTTCTAGAACTTTATGGTAAGATAAATGGATTTTATTAAGACAGAAATCTTACTCATGTGGACAGTCCTGTTTGGGGGTCATATTCTGTAGGTCCTTCCCGCTGAAATAAATCCCCCGCTCCTTATACATTCTCAGAAGAATGTTCCTTAACCCCTGAGTGTTATTCACCCATTCCAAGAGGCCACAGTACTCGTTCAGGGGGACCACAGACTAAAAATACAAACCAACAAGTGTAAGAACAGAAAATGTGTACACACTTACAATTAAGTGCAAGAATTGCAAATGCCTAGGTTATGCTGTTAAGGATGATTTAACAGTGAGACAAAATACTAAATCAATGCACTAGTTACATAGGTCCTGATGTGCAGATCTCTTTTTCGAGCTTCCGGATTTTTACTAAGGAACTTGTTGACAAGGGCATTAAACTCCATCAACCGACAATCCTTCCTCAAATCGTCCTGACAAAGAAATCAGTCTTGATTCATACCATACATTTAATGAGAAATGTTTTAAAATTTCTTTTATTCTGAGCGTTATAATGTATCAGATGTGAATTACTAATGGTCAGCTGAAGACTCTGTATGGTACTGTGGAGGTAACAGGCATGCCTACCTTGGGCTTACACAACATGGTGTACAAACGCCCATCACTCCCATTCATCGTAATCTTCTTGGGGCGTTGAAGAGATGGTAGTACTTCAATCTGGTAATGAAAAATAGCTGCTGCGTAACCAAAACTACAGAAAAATCAACAAAGGATGACTGCACTTAACGCCTGTTTTTGGGTCTTTTTCGGTTGCTTCTGTTGCTTTTATATCTAAACCTTATTTCACTTTTGTATGTTTATGAAAGAATCCTGTCAATATGGAACCAAATTTAAATCTTAAAATGATTTAGACTGTGATACAATAATATGATTCAATGTTTTTTGTCCTTACTGCTTTTCAAATATAGTGAATTTACACTTACCTGCCCTTGATTGAACATAAGATATGCATGAGAGGTGGAGCTAACATTGTAAGAATGGGTCTAAAATTAGACTCGATAAATAATAATGACATGTTTGGAAAAAAAGAACATGATCACTCTTTTCAATCCCCCTCTCCATTCTGTATGACACAAATACACTTCTGACAAAGGTTTGAAAACGAAATTAACAATATGAGCACGTCAATGTAATTAAAGCAGATTTTATATCAATGTCAGATGACTTAACATGTTCAGACACAGTGTCTAAGTTAGCACAAAACATGCTACCTTACAAGTCATGTGACAGAATTTAGTATTCACAAAGTTACCTGAGGTAGGAAATCACGTGGTGAATTATCATATTCAACATCACAATCCTCGGTTACAACACAGAGAGTGAATGTAAGAAGAAGCAGTTTTTTCTCTTTTTAACCATGAGTGCATGTTTGTCTATTAATCTCCTTTTGACACATTATTATTTATGCAAATATACAACTATTTTTAAGCGTAGAACAATAGAAAAACATGCGCTGACTACGGTGTGTATAAAGTCAGTAAAAAAGTGGGCGTCCTCATTATCGAACAGAGATTAAAGAAATTGTGATGACCCCTGCCTTTGAAAACGAATTCGAACTTCGTATTAAACATAATTACATAAAGTTGTAGATTGGATGTTGACCATTCTTGCAATGAAAAGAAAAATGCTTGTTTTGAAAGTTTATTTTGTCGCAAATTTCGCATGTCCTTAAGTGCAGTCATCCTTTTACCTTTTTTTCCCTTCTTTCTTTCTTTTTCTTATTCTTGATACATGTATTTTTTTAAACCATGCATGACAATCAGCCACTGTATCAATGTACATCTCACAAAGTAATTGATAAAAAGTACCATTAAATCATATGGCTCAAAGAAAATTAAATCGCTATCATCTACAGATTTTTTAGGACATGAAATTTTGCCATCAGAGACAATGAAAAGATACATGTCTTGTATCTTGTATAGAACGAGCAAATGGTTCAAGTTTTAGAATCTATTAATCAGTATAAGTAAACTTACTCCTTCTTCAAAGCTCTGCAGGAAGACTAGGTCTGTGGGGAAGGGATTGTGGTCTACATGACTTCCTGGGGTACTGGGGAGGGTCACCCTCATTGCAGATTGTAGGGGGAGCAGGATCGGCCCAAAGTCCCTAGTAAGTAACAAAGATCAGTGTTATGTATTATCTGAAGGGAATAAAGTACTTGTTTTAAAATTCTTTAACTACTCTATAGGAGGACATTGCCAGAAAAAAATAGATCAACTCACATAGAAAAGTCTTTAAAAAGTGCTCTATTAGAGATCAAATTTGATGCCTAAAATTTACCTCAAAATGCAATATTGAGTCTGCAAGAAGGTCTTTTAATAATTTCAGCTAGAATTTGATTGAATTCTATGGTAACTATTAAGCCTTACTTATCCTCTAGAAGTCTTTTGAGGGGTCTGAAGTGGTTAGTGATACTCAGTGTGCAAGTCCCCTTAATGTCTTTCTCACAGAGCTCCAGCAGCCTCTCTGTCAACTTTGTGGCATCCTACAATTGATAACAAAGTGTTGGACATAAATAACATCCTACGATTGACAACAAAGGGTTAGACATAAATAACATCCTATGATTGATAACAAAGTGTTGGACATAAATAACATCCTATGATTGACAACGAAGTGTTGGACATAAATAACATCCTACGATTGAAAATGAAGTGTTGGACATAAATAACATCCTACGATTGATAATGAAGTGTTAGACATAAATAACATCCTACGATTGATAATGAAGTGTTAGACATAAATAACATCCTACAATTGATAACAAAGTGTTAGACATAAATAACATCCTACAATTGATAACAAAGTGTTAGACATAAATAACATCCTACAATTGACAACAAAGTGTTAGACATAAATAACATCCTACGATTGACAACAAAGGGTTAGACATAAATAACATCCTACAATTGATAACAAAGTGTTAGACATAAATAACATCCTACGATTGACAACAAAGGGTTAGACATAAATAACATCCTACAATTGATAACAAAGTGTTAGACATAAATAACATCCTACAATTGATAAAGTACAGGACATACCTAATGTTACGATTGACAACAAACAGTTATTAATTCCTTACAGCAAAATAAACAAGAGGCCCAAGGGCCTTAACAGTCACCTGAGTATAGTACAACAATTTAGAGGATCCATAGAGTATAAAATGAACTGAAAGGTGAAGCTTTTTTGCCCAAAAGCAAGAAAAATAGGATGATCAGGATCTACAAAATAATTAGTCTAACATTCAGTAACAGTTCATAAATTAGGTTCTAATCTGTTCCCCATTTATCACGGTGACCATCACTGTACAGTATATTAACAAACTATTGATCAGTGCTTCTATACTATTTTAATTCCTAGTTGAAAACTTTTACATTGGCCTCTCTTGGTCTTTGATGAACATTTAATAAGACAAGTTATTTTTGTCTCATTTTTATTTATCTATTACTGTAAAAGTGGTTATTTACGTGTGGGGGAAATTTACACTACTTACGCGGTAAGCTTAGACCTGCGTAAAATACCCCCGCGCGTATGGTCACAAAATTTCTAAGTTCTGGATCCATTCTAGACTTTTACTAATACTGATATGAAGGTCGAACCAGTCATATATTAATCGTGGTATTGAACGCATGTGATTAGATAATTACATTACAAACAACGTCACGTAAGTAGAGCTTCAAAACGTCATTCTCATATTCATTTCCTTTGTATGTACAAGTTCATCCCTCTTAATTTCAAATAATTAGTTCAAAATGTTACACAAACTCAAAGTCACTATACAAACATACCTACTGAATTATTTGTCAACACTCGCCACCAAGATACAGGTAAGTAGATCCCACTTAAAAGTTTGAGCTTGCGTAAATAATTACAGTGAAGCGTACACCAGTTGTTTACACTTCACCGCTTTTAACCGTGCAGATCGCCGTTATATTTAGCAATCCAAGGAGAATGCACATATCGATGACCAGTAAAAATTCTTTTTGTTTTGTTTGTTTAATTTCTAATTTATTTTTTCTTATTCATGCGTGTAAACTTCTTGACCTTTTCAAAGGGGGACAACTCGATGTTAGTATCTCGATAATTCATGCGACCGCGTATATTACACCCATGCATAATGTTTGACAGTCACAAACGCGTACTTAACAACCAGTGTAAATAACCACTTTTCTTTAAAGTCTTAAAAGTCTAACTGATCATTAAAACTATGAAAGTACTTTTTGTATTATACAATAAAAATTCTTGCATAATTCTCTTATTTTATTAACCTTTCAAGTACATTATTTACAGTGATTAATTATCAAAAGTAAATGGCAAAGGGGAATAACTCCTCTCAGAAGAATACAAATTAATAGAGCCCTTGCCAGAACCAGAACACTTGACCAAATGGTCCAGATGTTCAAAAATCTGGTAAAAAATACCCTTCCTTATTAAAACATTTACTCTTTTTGCCTCTGATATTCCCAGGTGCAGAGAAAATTTTTAAAGAAATAATGCATTCTTACTACAGATTCACTATATTATCAATAGAGCCCCCTCCCCACCGAGAAACACCAGAGCCTCTGACCCTGGGACCAGAAGTTTGCTCATTATAAGTGATCACTTTGTTTATCTGCTTAACACTAAGGAGCAGACAGGATAATTAAATAGAATTAATGCATTTTCACTATATTATCAAGAGCCCCACCCTTATGCCAACACACCTGGCCAAGGGCTCATGCAATTCACTACTCTGGAAGAAGCACTCTTTCTCATCATAACTATACACATAGCTTCTTTGCTTTTTAACCAGAAGCAGAAAGGAATATTTTCAAAGAAATTTTGCTTTTTCACTATATAATTAATAGAGCCCCCCCCCTCCCCTTTTCACCAGAACCCCTGACCCTGGGGCCATGAAATTCACAATTTTGGAAAAGGCACTCTTGCTCATCATAATTATGTACTTAGTTTGTTTAAATAATACCAAGGGGTAGAAAAGAAGATTTTCAAAGAAATAAATCACCTTCACTATAGGATCTATATAGCCCCACCCTAGCACCAGAACCTCTGTCCCTGGGGCCATGAATTTCACAATTTTGGAAGAGGCATCCTTGCTTATCATAACAATGTACTTAGTTTGTTTAGATAATACCCAGGAGCAGAGAGGAAGATTTTCAAAGAAATAATGCATTTTCACTAAATAATCAATAGAGCCCCGCCCTAACACCAGAACCCCTGACCCTGGGGCCATGGAATTCACAATTTTGGAAAAGGCACTCTTGCTCTTCATAACTATGTACTTACTTAGTTTATCTAATACCTAGGAGCAGAGAAGAAGATTTTCAAAGAAATAATGCATTTTCACTAAATAATCAATAGAGCCCCGCCCTAACACCAGAACCCCTGACCCTGGGGCCATGGAATTCACAATTTTGGAAAAGGCACTCTTGCTCTTCATAACTATGTACTTACTTAGTTTATCTAATACCTAGGAGCAGAGAAGAAGATTTTCAAAGAAATAATGCATTTTCACTATATAATCAATAGAGCCCCACCCTTACACCTGAACCCCTGACCCTGGGGCCATGAAATTCACAATTTTGGATAAGGTACTCTTGCTCTTCATAACTATGTACTTAGTTACTTTATTTAATTCCCAGGAGCAGATAAGAAGATTTTCAAAGAAATAATGCACTTTCACTATATGATCTATATAGCCCCGCCCTAACACCAGAACCCCTGACCCTGGGGCCATGAAATTCACAATTTTGGAAAAGGCACTCTTGCTCATCATAACAATGTACTTAAATAGTTTATTTAATACCTAGGAGCAGAGAAGAAGATTTTCAAAGAAATAATGCATTTCCACTATATAATCAATAGAGCCCCGCCATAACAACAGAACCCCTGACCCTGGGGCCATGAAATTCACAATTTTGGATAAGGCACTCTTGCTCTTCATAACTTTGTACTTAGTTACTTTATTTAATACCAAGGAGCAGATGAGAAGATTTTCAAAGAAATAATACATTTTCACTATATAATCAATAGAGCCCCGCCCTTACACCAGAACCCCTGACCCTGGGGCCATGAAATTCACAACTTTGGATAAGGCACTCTTGCTCTTCATAACTATGTACTTAGTTACTTTATTTAATACCAAGGAGCAGATGAGAAGATTTTCAAAGAAATGATGCACTTTCACTATATGATCTATATAGCCCCATCCTAGCACCAGAACCCCTTACCCTGGGGCCATGAAATTCACAATTTTGGATAAGGCACTCTTGCTCTTCATAACTATGTACTTATTTACTTTATTTAATACCCAGGAGCAGAGGAGAAGATTTTCAAAGAAATAATGCACTTTCACTATATGATCTATATAGCCCCACCCTAGTACCAGAACCCCTGACCCTGGGACCATGAATTTCACAATTTTGGTAGAGGGTTCAATGCTTATTACAATCATGCCAACAGTTTGACTGGTTGATGTCCAGGAGTAAAGAAGAAGAATTTTTAAGATTGCATTAATTTTGAAGGTTTTAGCCCCACCCCTCAGGCCCCAGGGGGGCAGGGACCATGAAATTCACAATTTTTGTTCCCCTTCACCCATAGGTGCTATATGCCAAATTTGGTTGAAATTGGTTGAGCGGTTTCAGAGAAGATGCTGAAAATGTTCAAATGTTAACGCACATCGCACGACGACGGACAAAAACGGATAGCAATAGGTCACCTGAATGACTCAGGTGACCTAAAAATATCTGAATCTGAAACTTTTTCTCTAATAACTACAGAAAAGTAGAGATTTGAGGTTTTCAATTCAACAACAACATCTTTAAAAGACAAAGTTATTTTATATTGAGTAAAACACACTTACAACAAAGTGCCAGGGACAGACAATTTTGCTTTAGAAATGTAATTTGTTATAGCTGTTGTTCACAATATGTTTTAAAGCCATGGGGAATGAAAAATCAAAATTAAATATCAATTCATTGTTAGCATGTTGCTTTAAGTGTGTTATACACATGGCTTTTGAAATGCCTTCCAAATACAGTTAACCATGCTTTCAACAAAATAAAATATATTTTTAAAGTATTACCCATCAGAATTTCAATATTTAGTGGATATAATGATTTACAGATATAATGACGCAATTTCAGCTGTCCTGGCAATTCATCAAGGATGTATAGATAAACAGATATTCAGATTACTGTGAAATCTGAGAGCTAGTGGGTAATTTTTTGTTGTATGCAGACCCACAAATTCATGTTCCCCATGAAATGTTTAAGGGGATGAAGGACACATGGTCACATGACTTTGTTAAACTACGTCATAGTCTCCATTTATTCAAGTGCAAAACGTGTAAAGCTTCAGTTCTTGTATAAATTTTTGACAATTTTTTTTCTTTAATTACCATCTTATATTTAAAAAATAAAAAGTTTAACATTCTTGTAAACATTAACAAATTATGAAAAAAGATTGATCCACTCCTCTGTTTCTTTAAACTGCGCGTCCAACAAGTCGGTGACGTCATACACGATCTGCTAGTACAGCAAGATCATACTCGGTGAATACAAGGGGCGGTATTATTATGTAAAAACAGGTCATAATCAGTATATGATGAAGTATTTTGAGAAACAGGGAACACAAAAATTATTTTTGCATGGCTTATGACGGAAATCTTATGTAGGTATATCTTATTTTGCTTATTTAGCTTACGTGTGACGTCATAGTTGGTTTTTCCCGTGCTCGAGATATGTAAAATGACAAGTTTTTGTCCTGCTTATGTAGTTTTTAACGATGTCCTGTGCAATATTGATGTCAGCTTCACCATTCGAAATTTTTACAGTTAATAAATAATTTGAAGGACTTGCATTTCAATGTAAATTTAAAAATATTGAATGATAGGATTTTTTGTAAATTACGTTTTTTGTTGTTTAAGTTGTCTTAAAAAGTTCGTAATTTTCCCTATCCAGATCCAGTGTGATAGATAAAACTTGCCTTTTCGAATTTTAAACCCAATTCATACTCTGAAATATTTTAAAAGATACGTGTTCACTTACATATTTTTTTATATATGCTTTAAAAATCCATTTAGGGACAGAGTAATGAGCCCGGAAACATGGAGAATTAAAACTACACTTCGATACTGTAGGGCATAATATTTGTCAATCAATATCTCTAAAATAAGGTAAGAAACCTAATGATATAACTGCTTTAAGATATGTGGGACATACTTAATAAGAAATATACAAAATATAAAAAAAATTGAATAACAGGTATTTTTTCAGCTAAAGGTCCTTCTTCCCCTTAAATTCAACTATACAGTGTGCATGATGTTTCTTTTTTCCACCACAAAATTATATTCTCTTGAAGAAATACTTTTTCCTCAAATAACAAAACTTTGCCCCCACAAAAATAAGTGACTCTACAGTATGTCAAGACTTACCTGAATAAACTTGTTCTGGTTAGGGTCAATCATTCTGTAATAAAAAATATTTATATATAAAAAATTTATTCCATGGCCGAGCAGATTATATCATTTCTCATTATTTAAAAGAAATAACTTAATAACGACATTAAAATGTTTAAAGGAAACATTTTTAATGAATTCACGCTGAAAGCCATTCCCACCAAGGATTCCAAAATAATGAAATTTTAACTCGAGATGAGGGATACTGACATAATAAAACATTAGTTGCTATTCCTGGTGAGTTATTATTTGTGTTTTACCAAAAAAAAAACCCACACTCACTTGACAGTGGCAAATATATCCTCACATCTCTGTTTTCTCACGCGATAAGAAGACTGAAAGACAAGAACAGATTTAAGAGAGAAAGAATAATCTCACAGCTATCTCACAGGATAGGACAACTAAAATACAAAAACAGAGTTAAGGTAGAACTACCTCTCTGCTCATTCAACTTAAGTTTTTCTAAGGGCTACAATAGAAGATAAAAATGAAGAAAAATTAAAACCAGTTTTTATTGAGGATGAAAAGCATGGTGCTTTCTCTCAGTTTTTTTTCTCTTGGAAGAAAAGACGAAGCAGCTTCCCTATAGAACTAGGCATGGGCTAATCAACAGTACTGTTAAGTTTCTTACCTTTGATATAGCCATCATCATCCAGATAGATTGTTGAGGGAAAGATACAAATATTTTAGCTATCAGCTCCTGCAAAAACAAAACAAATAGATGCTTAATAAACAGAAGGCTTGACAAATTCTTCATGTCCTGCCTATAAAAATTATGTAAATTTCAGCTGCATATTTATGATATAAAGGTCACCTTGAGTTTTTGGAAGACCTCTGGTTCCACATGGCAGATTCTGGAGATGAGCTGAGAGAAGGCAGTGAACAGTTGATAGGGAGCTAGGGTTCGACCCATCTTAGAAATGTTCTAAAAATAAACAATTTTTTTGAAATAACTGAACAACTCTATCCCATACACCAATTTCAAGTTTTGAAGGTGTTCCAATAAGTATACATAGAAATATTGTTTTTACCTCATTAAGGTCTGAAAGTGACTTCTTCATGTTGGTGAGTTTCTGTGAGGGTTGCGTCCCCTGGGGCTGGCGTGACCTCTCCTTTTTCTCTGCCTCCACCACTGAAGCCCCATAGTCGAGCCACAGACTGAGTAGGCGGGGCAAGGACTGGTAGATGTACTGGTTCCCATACCTCAAAGATAGCCCAAAGTGTTTCACAACAAAAGGCACCACCTCCCTGTCAAAATTAAGTTCACCTTGTCAATGCATTCAGAGTGCAAAGAAATATAAAATACGAAAGAACAGACATATTTCCTTCGTTTTAAAAAAACAAAATTGCAATTTAAAACATGTTTTTTAACCAAAACAATAACTGTAAAGTGTAATTACACACCAAATTTAACAGTTTAGAACCAAAATTCCAGGATCAGTAAACACTCACCACTGTTTTGAGGGGTTGGGTCTCTCTTTATCGTGTTTATCCTCTAGCAGTGTGGTGATGATTTTGTCGTAGTATTTACCAATATAGAAATGGCCATCCTCCCAGTCATGGTTAACATTGGTGACTTTACGATAAAGTTTTAAAATCTCGTTACTCTCCAAACAGGAAGTCTCCTCACTGAAACGTGATTGCAACAAGAGAGCCTGCAAAAGAGATGTCATAACAATTTAAATTCAGTTGTCTTTAGTATCTCAGGCATCAATATCTGAAATATCATTGGCATATCATAGTGAGTTGAAAGACCAAACCACTTTTCTTTAAGTATTTAAACCTGTCAGAATATCTCAAACCCTTTGTTATATTGAAGTTTTCTCTTAGTTCCATTGAGTTTGAAATAAACAAGGTTTGACTATATTTATAAACATGTCATTACAAGATCACATATTTATGCCTAACACCCCCCCCCCCCCCCCAAAACACACACACTTTTTGTCTGCTGTGCTGTCTTTTGCATATTAAAATACCTGTGCATAATGTTTCCTCTTGACTTTTGCATTTTCTGAGGTGTCAGCTAACAACTGCTGCATGCTGCCAAAATTAGATTCCATTCCCCTTTCTAAATACTTCAGAGCTTGGTCAAGTTCACCCTTAATGTTTAGTTAAATACTTGTAAATATTTGTGTGAAATTGTTTTCCAGTCGTAAAGAAAAGCAAGTGTAAGGAAACATATTTTCAAAACATTTTTTTTTAATGTGAAATACAATATATTATTAAAACAGATTAGGCTGCAGGCATTGTCCATATTTAAATACATGGTTAATTATTTCATGAATTTATTTGCCACGTTTATTTCATAGATAAGAAAATTAAAATTTCCTATTGGAACTCCTCATTTTACATAAAGGAAATTATTACAGTACATCTAGTAATAAATGAACAAAAGTACATATCATTAACCTTATGTCGGAGGTATTTGGCTTTCTCCAAGACAAACTCGGGTAAATTGTAATCAGCAGCCTGTAACAGGAAACTGTAGGCAGTCTGTAGATATCCGGCCCTGAAAGAAATGTAGAATATGCATTTTTATAGCAAACTACATAGATCTAGTACTTTTGTGTAAATATTATATAGAACAGATTACAAGTTTTTGTATTGTATGGATTTACAATGAGAGAGTAGTGTAATCACTGTACAAAAAAAGCATCGACATGACATGACTCATGACTTGACATGACTCGTGACTTGACATGACTCATGACTTGATATGACTCATGACTTGACACAACTCATGACTTGACATGACTCATGACTTGACACGACTCATGACTTGATATGACTCGTGACTTGACACGACTCATGACTTGACACAACTCATGACATGACATGACTTATGACTTTACATGACTTACTTTTAACAAGCCATAATTAATTCCTTGACATTTTACAAAACTAAAATCATTGTCAGTTTACACTATGCTAAGTGACCTTGACACATTCTGAGATGAAATAAAGAACTCAATTTATTGTAGTACATGTTAAATGTTTTTAAGGGAAGTTTTCAAATAAAACAATTATTGCCCTTCATACCAAGATGTCCTTAACCCTCAATGCTATTTTAAGATCTGAAGGAAGACAGAGAAACCATTCTCTTGACTTCAGGCTGGTTTCTGGTAAATAAATTCACTGAACATACATTTGTTAAGTATTTCAATTATCTAGAAGGGGACATAAAATTATGATAAAGGAAGTCACATGTTTGCATAATATCTATGATTTCACTTTGAGCTTGATGGGGGACCTCTGATCTTATTGTTAAACCCAAATTTCACCTTGTGTTAAATGAGAACATCAAATTTTTCCATTGCTTTGGGTGGGAACATTAAATTTTATTGCTAAACCCTCAAATATTTGTCATATTACTCATAAATAAAACATCAGGAAGAAATCCTGATTCTTTTTACCCAAACCACTTGACAGATCTGAAGAGGAAGCCATCTGGAGCCTATCGTCTACAGGTACTCCTATTTCCTCCTTAGAATGGGTTTCCTTAGATGAGGAAGGACATTAATAATGCATATCACTGTATGTTGTACAGCGTATAGTCTACTACAGTCAGACCCCAGTGTAAATGTAGGACAGCTGCATATCTCTACAACTGATAATTCACCTGTACATCACCTGATGATTTACAGGTACATGATAATGTCAGAGATTACACCTGGAATACTTAGTTTTATATACTTCCTGGTCCACTGTTTCAAAGTTGACTTTATTTTAAATACAGGAGTGTGTAAAATGGAGACCTCATTAGCTGACGGAAACAATATACTTTTGTTTTTTTTCATCCATTGACAGAGGAGCTACTACTTTTCTCCATTGGTGTTTAAGAAGCTGTATTTGAGTTCAGCTTGTGCAAGTAAGAGTTTTCCCTTGGACTTGGAACAAAAAGATAATTTTAATTTGTTATTTTCCTTATGAGAACACATTTGGATGTAAGAGATGTCCATATTTTTCCGTTCCTCTGACGCATGCAGCCTCCACAGAGAAGAGAAATATGTGGCCGTATGCGTTACATGTGAGGTCAGCGTTTGTGCGACATGTAAGACCAGCATACATCGAGGTCACGAACATATGGACAATGACCTAGCCTTGGTCGATTACAAACAAAAACTTTTCATCAGTGAGAAGGTGGCAGAAGAAAACCTGAATAAGTACCAAGAAGAAATACAATTGCTGAATCAACAAGAGCAGATCTGTAACCTGAAATCTGATGGACTTCTGATATCCCTTCAAAACAGAGGTGAGTCTCAGAGCTCTTTATACTCTTAAAGGCAGAGGGTTCCAAAACTATGGAGAGCTCTATAAGAGGGCCACAGGCTCTTAAAGAACACCCAAATATCAGATTATTTCCACAAACCACCTGAGACAGAAGTCAATCTTTATGTTACAAGTTATGATTTTCTTTTAGAAAAAAAAAATTATGACACACACAATTTTTTTATATTTCTCACACTAACCTTGAGTTTGAGTAAATTTATGACTGAGGAAGTTTAGTTGATATTTCAGTAAAGGTAGTCACTCAATGTTAAATGCTTGATCAAATGAATTCACACAATACCGTTATATTATACTTCACAGGGAAAGAAATTAAAAATGAGATTGACAGATTGGTTCAAGAGATGTCTAAAGCCATAAAAGAATCCAAGAAAACCAATATGGACAAAATAAACAAAGCCCAGAACAAAGCTAAGAAGCAACAATCACAACTCGCGAGTTTTATCAAACAGGCCAAAGCCGAGCTTCAAAAGAACAACGTCCACAACATTCTTAGTCTCTACAACAACATCAACGATGCCGTGGACAGTCATAATAACAGCCGTGACCTGCAGGTTGATACAGAGTACTACAAGTTCACAGCTGGGGAACTCAGAAAGGAGAATATTGATGAAATGTTTGGGAAACTGGAGATGGACGGGAAGAAATTAAGCCAGGAAAATGTCTACGAAGATGTAGAACCTGCCTGTGTGTGCACTCTAAATCAGGTTCAAAGTAATGTTGAAAACTTGAGTGAATTCAAAGCTTCTGAAAAAGGCATTACAAGCATCTGTCCATTTAAAGAAGACAGAGCGTTTTTATGTGATGAAATGGGAAAAGATCTCAAGCTTGTCAAAGAGACGGGGAGAGTACTAAGATCTCTGACAGCCAACACAAAGAAAAGTGATATCGCCATTACGTCTGATGGAATCGTCCTCATAACGTGTCCCGATTTATTCTGCATCAAAACATTCTCCTCTGACGGAATGATTCGTAAGTTCATTCTAACTGAAGATTTACATCCGCATGGAATCAGCGTCCATTTTGACACAGATTCTATCGTTGTGGCATTAGTGGACGCGTGGGATTATAATGTGACATCCTCAAGTAAAAGACTCCTCCGTAAATATTCCAGTGAAGGGGAGATAATTCAGACAATAGAAGGCATCAATAAAACAATCACAGGTGGAGTAAAACCACTGTTTGTCTCCCCTTACAAAGTCCGCATCAGTCAGTACTCAGGAGATATCGGAGTGGTCAACTGGACGTCATGGCATCAGGGTAATGTCCTCGTGTTCACTGACTATGGAACTCTGAAATTCACCTACCCTCCCAAAGTCAACAGTTCGTTTGAACCTCAGGACATGACTTTCGATTCTGAGAACCAAACTGTTGTGGCCGATGCTGTTAGTAAACTTTTGATTTTACTAAATCCTGAAGGGGTACTGCTGCGGACAGTTTATCAGTGTAATCATCAGCCCTCATCTCTGGGCTACTTTGGGAAGGGAAAGTTGTGGGTGGGCCAAAGTGATGGAACTGTAAATGCTATTAAATATTTGTGTACTTAAATCTAGCACTATTGATAGTAATACAAGTTTTATATAAATAGTATTGTTATGTTTACAAAGACCATAATGTTTTGTTTTCCTTGAATTAATCCCCTTGTAAGATTCATGATTTCCAATATCCAAATTAGGAATTACAACTCGACATTATTAATTGTATAAAATTTATGTTATTCTAAAATACATACAACATGAAACATCTTTTCATATATTTTATGTTTCTTTTATTTGTTCATGCAAGGAGAAAAGCTCACACTTTCAGAACTGACAATCTGTCACCAGGTACATTTATGTCTCACACATTTAAAACAAAATATGACCTACTTTCTTGCTATACGAGCACTGGAGAGCCACCAGCGACCTATTTCCTGGTCCAGGTCAAGGTCAGTCAGTCTCTGGACCAGGGTAAACAGCGTCCTTCTGAGGGTCAAGAGAGGCTCCTGAGTCCTGAATGAACACTGCAAGGAAATAAAAATAGCATGACCATAGCATGATGCAATCTCAACAAATTTATATTCAAAAGGTTTTCACTGGCTGATCAAATACATGTACATGGAATTCATAAATTATTAATTTTGTGAAAACTGCGGGTGGTTTCATTCACTTTATATATATAAATATACCAGGCACCTTCTATAAAATTATTGCATTATTTTCTTAAATAAAATTAAAATATTTTTCACAAAATAAGACTTACAAATAGAACATTTTTTTTAACTGAATTCCTTTTTTTTATTTACCATTTAAAACCATTGTTTTAATGATGGAGTGATTAAATGTACTAACTTTTTAATTGTGCAGAATTAGGCATAAGAAATGCTAAAAATTAATCCTTAAAGAGAATCATTATAAACAAATTTCTGACCTGAACTGTCTCAAATCTAGTCTCCCATTGCTGTAGAAGCTGATCCATCGTGGATTTCCCCTCTGAATCATCTTCAGGGTTATTTCTGATTCCAAGTAAAACTCGACAGTTCTCCTCAATTTCATTTAACATGTGTAACCTGAAACATAAAAATAATATTGAAACTTTTTTATTTAAAGGAAGTTAAAGCTTTAGTTTTACTTACTACTTAGTCTTCAAACCCTTGTAGGTGTAGACATGTTGTGCAATTGAAACCTTTTTTAAGAAGTCTCTAAACAAGCACAATTTAAGTTTTTTTTTTCTGTCTTAAAATCAAAAATTCTTTTATCTTTAAAATCAGACCAAGTCCAACTACAATTTTTGTTAAACTCATTACCTGTCTATATATTCGTAGCCCCTCAGGTAAGCAAGTCCAATTATAATTTTTGTTGTTACCTGACAATATATTCATAGCCCCTCAGGTATGAGCCACTCTCCATGCTGGCCGCAGACAGGGGCCCTATCTGTTCACATCGGACAGTATTCAGCTGCTCAAAGAACTGACCCTCCTTCTGGTTAACGTATCAATAATAAAAAATATATAAAAAGTGCCCACTGCATTTTCCTCAGGAAAAAAGTAATGCTTTAAAATTCAGAATACAATTAATTTTGACATACTTTATTCTTTGCAGCAATTAGGATTTTACCAATTCCAAATGGCCAACCCCTGGTGTTTTTATTCTGAAAGATGAAAAAAGAAAGAATGCAATAAAAATCTTGAAGAATCACTTCCAAAACCTGCTAATTTTGCTAAGTTTCATACTGGAAAATACCTGTTCAGTTCCTTAGATTTTTTTTGTTTTACTTCCATACTCATGAATGAACCCAACAAAAGATCAAAATCCCCACAACTCACAGATTCCAAGAATGTCTCCAGTTTATGCCAGTCTCCAAGTTTCCATGCTGCCTCCACCATATAGCTGCTCAACTGAGGGCCCCATTCCCTTCTGAAATAAACACAACACCCCTGACACACTCAATATCACTTTAACAGCCTCTGTACAATACATTTATAACTTTATTTTTAATGCACAGAGTATCATTTTTGTAGATTTGATGTCATTTAGTGACCTTTCAGTAATGGCCCCCGTGGCATGCAGTAGGGCCTGGGTTTCCTGACCTATTTCTAGTAGACTCTTGAGGAGTCCCTGGTGATATGTGACATCATCAGCCTCACTTTGAATTGCTTTTTCATAACAAGCCTGAGAGTCATGGTGCTGACCTGTAAACATCTTACAAATAATTTACAGCATCAAAAATTTTAAAAGTGTAATTAGAATACACAGAGGCCTACTAAGAACTGTACTGTTAGGAAGCATCAATGCATCCAATAAATTATAAATGACAGGTGCTGGACTTTACCCAGACTTTCATGGGCCAGAATTTCCTCCATGACAGTGGGTTGGGCCTGCCTGATAGATGCCACGCCATACACACCATCTGGTTCATCCATGTCAACATACAGTTTCTGTAATACACAATATCATGTGTTCAATAACTGAGCTTCAGTTTACCTACCATAATTTTCTGAAAAACAAACATGGAATCCTTCTTTGCAGAGCATTTAATTTTTCCTCCCCTCCCCCGTAAACTTTCTAGGTTCAATATCAGTATTTGAAGTTCCCATTAAAACATGGCCATGGAAAGATAACTCCTAGATATTCCCTCCTCATAATGGTATTTCCTCAATAGACAGTGACTGAAATTTTTTTTCTCAAGATGAAATTACTTGATGCTTGAAAATGCAGGGGTTGTTGAATTTTTTTGTGCATTTGAAGAGAAAGTAACTCTGTAGGCCCTGTACTTAATTTTCAGTCTCTCTCTCAACTTTGATGAAAACAAGTTGTGCTTACTGGATGTATAGGTGTTTTTATTTACCAGTCTAAAGTAAATTGCCCTGAAGTTTATTTTGGAAAAAAAACTTCTATTCATAATTGCACAATTTTAGTATGAAGATTAAACAGTGAATAGCAAAGATCAATACTGTAGTTCAACCTTTAATCACATCAGCGACTGATTAATTACCTTTTATAAATCTATAATTATCATCTTATATACCTGCATGAAGTCTAGATGATCTTGTATGTTTTGTCCCTTGCTGGACAGGAGCTGCTCTAGGTGCATCAGAGCTCTGGTGTAGGCTTTACAGGAATGACAGGCGTCAGCCAGCAGGTCCTGGGGAGTCGCCTCCAGGAAGCGGGTCACGGCGACATAACGGGGCTCGGTCAAGTAGCTGGGCTTCTCTGGAATGTGTATCATACTGTATAATGGTCAAACCACTGTTTAGATATTGGAAATGTGTGGTTAGTATATATACATGTAGGAAATGTTTAAAGACTTTGTCAGATCTTTCAAGTGTACGTAAAAAACATTTCAGAAGCTGACATTATAACTTAGCTCATGTTTAAAACATCAAAAATTGTTTGAATTTATGGAATGTTTATTTAACTTTTAATGCAGTTTACTTTTTCTTAGGGACCTGACAGAATCTAACCTTTTTCTGTGAAGGTGACAGGTATTTATCTTTCCCTCAGTAGCTGACAGGTTCTACCTTTTCCTGTGAGGTTAACTGATGCTTACCTTTTCCAGTAACCATGACAGGTGCTTACCTTTCCTTGATAGCTGACAGGTGATTTCCTTTTTCTGGTTGGGTGACAGGTGCTTACCTTTCCTGGAGAGCTGACAGATGTAACCTTTTTCTGGTTGGGCCACAGGTGCTTACCTTTTCCAGGGTAGCTGACAGGTGCCCTCTGAGATTGGAACCTCTTCCATTTCACCAGATAATCCAGTACAGAGAACACAGTCTGGGCACTCAGATGATGGGAGTGTGATATTGGTCGGTCCTTGTTGTCCGTTTTTCTTGTCCGATTCAATACTTCCTTGATCTCTTCACTTATCTGGAAAAAGAAATTGTTTACAGTTCCCAATGATTAATATACAGATCTACATTCCAAACGATGTACTTTTCTTCCATTACTAAGATATTTTCTGTAGAAACATGTCAATTTTGAACCTGATTTTAACATATGTACAGTCAAACCTCGTTATCTTGAACTCAATGGGTCCAAGAAAAAAAAAACTTCGAGATATCCAAGGATTCAAGATATCAGGGGTTAAATACTTAAAGAAGTGGTTGAGAGTTCTTAATCACTTCGACATATTCAGGTTATTCGAGATATCAGTTCAACAATATATCAACAGAAGTTCAACTATATATCCCAATTTTCAAGATGCATGCAATAAATGAAACTGAAATTCCCCTCCCTTATAAACTTCAAGGTCCCCTATTTGTTTTAACTGTATATATTTACCTCCTTCTTATCCTCCTCTGATCCATCTACTATAACCTCCAGTACGACGTACGGCAGGATATACAGGGCCACACCTACCACGTGCTTGATCAGGGCCCCACAGGCTCGAAATACTTCAAACGCTTTCTCATTCTTCACCTATGAAAGCATTAAGTTTCTGGATCTTATTTAGCAAAATATGTTAAAAAGACAAACAAAATAAATGTTGTAATGTCATTAGGAATGAACAAAATGGTTGTTAATCCTGTTACACTAAAATAATTCTAGTACTTAATAATTATTGTACCTTACAGAACATTGAGCAGTAAATATAACTTGGCATGAACAAGATGGTTGTTAATCCAAATACACTTAAGTTAGCATGTATACTTTCTTTATTTTTAAGGGGAAGAAGGACCTTGAGCTGAAAAAATATTTGTCATTCAATTTTTTTCATATTTTGTATATTTCTAGCTAAGTATGTCCCACATATTTTAAATTGTTATATCATTAGGTTTCTTACCTTATTTTAGAGATATTGATTGACAAATACTATGCCCTACAGTATCTAAGTGGAGTTTTAATTTTCCATGTTTCCGGGCTCATTACTCTGTACATAATGGAATTTTTTAAGCATATATAAAAAACATGCAAATGGACATGTATCTTTTAAAATATTTCAGAGTATGAATAGGGTTTTAAATTAAAAAAATCAAGTTTCTTCTATCACACTGCATCTGGATAGGGAAAATTACGTACTTTTTAAGACCACTTAAACAACAAAAAACGTAATTTACAAAAATTCTATCATTCAATATTTTTAAATTTACGTTGAAATGCAAGTCCTTTGTATTATTGGTTAACTGTAAAAATTTCAAATGGTGAAGCTGACCTCAATATTGCACAGGACATTGTTAAAGAAGACATAAGCATGACAAAAACGGGTCATGTTTACATTTCTCAAGTATGGGAAAAACCAACTATGACGTCACACGTAAGCTAAATAAGCGAAATAGATATAACCTACATAAGATTTCCGTCATCAGCTATGCAAAAGTAATTTTTGTGTTCCCCGTTTTTCAAAATATTTCATCATATTCTGATTATGACCTGTTTTAAATAATAAAACCGCGCCTGCATTCATTGAGTATGATCTTGCTGTACTAACAGATCGTGTGTGATGTCACCCTCTTGCTGGATGCGCAGTTTAGGAAAACAGAGGAGTGGATCAATCTTCTTCATAATTTTTTTATGTTTACCAGAATGTAAAAACTTTTTATTTTTTTTTTAATATCAGAGATGGTAATTAAAGAAAAACATTGTCAAAGAAATGTACAAGAACTGATGCTTTACACGTTTTGAACTTATGTAAACGGAGACTATAACGTAGTTTAACAGAGTCATGTGACCATGTGTCCTTCATCCCCTTGATTACAGTTATGAAAAATACATATTCTTTACCTTTGAATATAGGTAAGGAGTGTATACATTATTTACCTTTGAGGACAGGTAAGGAGTGTATACTATATTTACCTTTGAGGACAGGTAAGAAGTCCAGGTGTGTACCCAGTCCTCAAACTTGCGGGTCCTCTCACTGCTGTAGTAGATAGGCTTAGTGAGCTGGGAGAAGTCGCTCTTCTTATTCACTATGTACCTGAGTGTGTACAGCAACATAGATGCCTTATTAAATCTTTAACAAATCACTAGTGAATATTCACAATTCTGCAATCATTATTTCTTAAACATTCTTACAATGCTAACTGAATTCTTGATAGAAAGGACGGGATACACAATATTGTTTTAGATTTGAAAAATAAAAAGAGTTCTCAGAATGGCAACATTTCCTGATGCCTCTTACTTGGAGGAGAGCAGGGGGACCAATATCTGCTGAGCGTGTTCTGGGAAGCGGTCCCAGAGTCTCCCTGACGTCTTGTCAGAGTCTGATGGCTCACTGATATGGTAGATCTTCAAAAGTTCTTGTAAAGCATAGGCTGCACAGTCCTAGTAAAATAAAGGTAGGATATAAATAATCAAGAGGCAGTAGTTACTAGAGGCACTCAAAGCTAGCTCACAGAATCATACCCCTCTTTAACCTTGACCTAGTTAAAATAACCTTGAGTAAGATTCATGATAGATTATTACATTTTGAACAATCTGTGTGACTGACATGATTTACACACACACATACAGATGGACACCTTAACACCCTTTCCTAAACTCTGTTAGCAGTGTTTACTAAGATAGGCAGCATAATCCTGGTGAATCAAACCCAACTTGAAATCTGAGAATTAAAATAGGCAATAGAACACATTTGCATAGCTGTAGTGTAATAGAAATGGTCATATACCAGTACATGATGTACATGTACCACCAAACAGAAAGACTGGACCAAATGCTTTATTTGCTTAAAAAAAATTACTTTTAATATCTTTAAATTAATAGCAGTTTCACAAGACCAAAGGGAACTGTTTTTTTTCAGCTACTTTATTGCAGAGAATACTAGGGCTGTGTCAATGTATCGATTAATAAATATGTATCAATATTCTGGAATGTATTGTATTGAAAAAATAACTTCCAATACGTATCAGACAGGCAGTTTTTCTTATAATTCTGTGAAAAAATTGGGAATTTCAGTCACCAAAGGTTAATTTTAACTGCTTTGAATTAAATCTGATCAATAATGAAATAAACATTAAGGAGATAGCACATCTTAAACATCTATTAAAAAATACAAAGACAACTATATTTAACATGTTAGTTTTACAGTCATTAAAAGTTTGAATTTGAAATGTACTTTGTAAAGACAGTGAGACATGAACTTCCAATTTGTATCGTATCGAAATATTTTGCTCAATACACAGCCCTAGAGAATACTACCTGTCTGATCCCTGTACCTGTATACGACTTTCTTGAGCTGCCAGGAAAGCCTTGACGACTTCGTTAATCAGACCCACGGCAAAACTGTCATCCCCGATACTACTGTGGAACTTAGCTCTCTCCTCTTTAGGGTTGTTGGTCATAAACTCTAACCTGTAGTGTCAAAGTACAGAAAGCATTCTTATTCAAGCATTTGTTTATTTATTTATTTTTGCACATTTGTGCTAATTTTTTTTAAGTCACACGTCAAATTGTTGATACACTGTAGTAAATCTATATGACCACCTTATATGATTGACAATTGTTTAGAATTAAATACCGGGTACATGCAAGTTTTAAAAAAAAAATACATGTACATCAAATCCTAAGATTGAATCATTTAAATGTACATATTAATTACATCTGACTGTTGTTTTAGATATTACAAAATGAGCATAAAATAAAAAAAAACAACTTTTAATTCATTAAAGAGTTTAACAGTGAAATGACTGCAATTTTATGTAAAAAATAACAATAATAATAATTATAAAGACTATGAAAGAAAATTTTATACTTGTTTGAAATCTGTCTTAAAATAAACCTCCTACCTTCCAGGGTCTATTGCCCCCAGTTCACCAATACACTCAGCAATCAGACCCTGGGCCTTCACATTAGAATCCCTACAGCTCTTCAGCAACTTTACAAAGGACAAAATAATTGTTGTAAAATAAACATATATTTATTTTGTAGAAATTTTGTGCTCTTTACATATACAGTCATGTATAATCTGCCAATTAAAAACTTGAAATAATGTGTGCTAGGATCTTTCATTTAATAAATGTTCAGGAAAATAAATTAAAAGATAGATTTCACTGTCTATCAATAATATTATTCATCAGATAGGATTAACATAGACATACCACTGAAACCAGCTGTGAGATAATGGGGTCTGCCGTCTCATTCCCTATGATATAATCATACAACACATCCTAATGAAAAAAATATAAACAACTGTTTGGTTCCTTTGTCAAATTTAAGAGTTAACTGCCCTTTGAGTGTAAATTTACTCAGATGAATGCTGTGAATAAGATTTTCAATACTAATTGTCATTCAATTTTGAAAGGACATTCCTCCCTTTCCCCACAAAAATGAATGAATGAATGAATGAATGAATGAATGAATGAATGAATGAATGAATGAATGAATGAATGAATGAATGAATGAATGAATGAATGAATAAATAAATAAATAAATAAATAAATAAATAAATAAATAAATAAATAAATAAATAAATAAATGAAAATTAACTAAATAAATAAAAATTAATTTTTTTTTTATCTAAATCATTTGGTAAACCTCCTGGTTTAAATTATTTTTTAGAATTGAAAAAATATAGTTCAATGTTTCCTTTTTTTAAATCCAAATTCCAAAACATTTATTTTCATTATTTATTTATCTATTTTTTTTTTGGAAAAGAGAATAATAAACTGTCATTTCAAATATTCCATAGAGTTGTTTAAAGATATTAGAAGAAAATCACCTAGCTTTATTCATATTTTTCTCAACTGTAAAACAACACAGTATATAAACCTAACTTTCACTCGCACAGTAAAAACATTTTTAAAGTGTAAACTCTAAAATTCTATATGAAATAATAGTTATCATTACTTCAATAATTTAGAGAGCAGGGGGCACCTGTTTGGACCAATACAAGCTTCTATATTAACTGATAATGCTGGGAAACACTGTATAGTTAGGAAACCAGTGGCAGAGACTGCTCATCAGGGGGGACAATCCTGTATTATCTTCACAAGCTGTCTAATCCAGTCCTCTAATGTCCCAATAATCTGTACTTATCTAATTATTGTACAGCAATCATCCAGTCAATAGATAATGTGGTGTAGTTAGAACAATTAGCTAGCTCTACCTGTGTGTGGAGGATAATTATCACACCTGTCTAGATAAGCAGGTAAACATCAAAGCCTTCCCTTACCTGCCCATCTGTACCTATCTACTGCTTGTTTTGACTGCAATCCTCCTCTTGTCATTGAGAGACCTTCTGTTAGGGCCTGCATAAACAGAGCCCCATTACAGTTAATGTCTTTTGATGTGCCTAAGAAAACACAACTTCCCCACCAAAGACAATAGGTTTACACACCTCTCCACTCCTATACCTGTCTCAGGTGACACAGAGGTGTAAATATACTGAGCTACTCCTCATATGTTCTTAATGTGTGATTTTAAACATTTCAAATAAAAACTGCATAGCAAACTATGGAACATCATTTCATAACTAGAACTCAAGAGCACAACTTCATTCTGAGCTTTCTTGTCAACATTAGTGTGGCTATATGTACTGATTTAAGACTTTTACTCAAAGATTCTGCTTCAAAGTGGAGATAAAATATATACGGATGTGAAGCCTGAACAGTACAATTCGTTAAATGTTGGAATTTGAGTGATATCATGTGATATATCAACTTTTAAAATTCTAACACACTGTGAGATAAACATAACAGAATCAAGATGATGTTTTCCTCCCTGATTGATGGAATGGACCACAGCATTTCTCTGAGGCATGGACTCAGCCTCTTCTCCTTGCCACCACCCAGTTCCAGCACCACCCAGAGACACCTCCCTGCAGGGACAAGGCCAGGCGACCTGGAGATATTCTCCCCTCCCTCTATCACCCACACACTGTCACCATTCACCTCCCCCATTCCGCCGGTGCCTTTGTCTCCATTTCTCATGTCACCTCCGTCACTGATGCCCCCCGCTGAATCACATCACCACCATGCTTATCTCAAACGGCTACAGAAGAACCCCATGTTCAGAGATCTACAAAATCTTCTTGCTCAGGAGTGCTTACACATGCAGGTACCAACTAATCTCATTGACTCCAGTCAGAACAACACAACTGTGAAATCAGAACATTGTGATGTGTTTCCTAGACACATGAAGTTACAGGAGAAATTCTTGGAGTTACGAGCCATCGAATCTTTACGATCAGAGGGACTAAATCTGGAGTCTACGTACAGTGGTGAGGTGGGACAGATCGAGGTGTCACGTTATCAGGCTCTGTGTGCAGCAGGAATCTCTGATCAACACCGGAAAGCCGTCAATCATCACCATGACGTGAAAAGGCTAGATCTCATTCAACAGTATGAAGTCATTTTACAACAAGTCCAAAATAAAAAGAATCTGCCTCATGTGTCCTCAAACGATGTCATCAGCAAGCCGCTCTTAACAACAGACAAAGGTGTAGTCAGCATGGCTTTCCCTCACAAATCCAGTGGACAGGTAGCAAGACAGTTAGCTTTTGCTGCTGGTAAACAGAACAATCCTTGTGTCAAAAGACCAGATACACCTGATTCCATCCCTGAAGTGGTTAGTTCACCAGAATGTTTAGAAGTTGACTTGAGCAGAGAGATTGTAACTGATGAGGAAACAGATTCAAGTTTCTTCAGGACAAAGACCATGCTTGGGGATTCTGGGATATGTGAGGATGATGCAAGTTCCTGTGTGTCCGATGGAAGTGATCCTCATTCAGATTCTGGCAAGTGTAGTGATGACTCCAAGTTAAGTGCAATAATTCCTTCTAAACCAAATTGTGTTTTACAACCGTTTGACATAAACACACATACACATATCTTTAATGGTGGGAATTTCTTCAAAAGAAGTAGAGACTTTGTGACAGAGGATGACAGAAGTGAAGAAACTAACCAATCAAAAGAAAGTGACAACACTGTTACTGATGAGACTGTTATTATGGGAAGACATTCTCTCAAGAGGAAACGGGGTCCTGAATCTAATGATGAAAACATCGAGTCAAAGCAGCTAAGAATTTCAGAAAATCCTCGGGGAAAAAAGATAACTGCTGAATCTACCCGTATCCTGTCTACCTGGTATGATGAGCACATTCGATATCCTTATCCGTCAGACCTAGAGGTGGAACAACTCGCCGAGCAAACAGGACTAACTCATCAGCAGATCAAGAAATGGATGGCCAACAAGCGAGTCCGTAACTACAATACTCTCTCCATCACTGGCAATCAACATCCAATCAAATTCAAGTTCAAAGGTCAGCGATACTCAGACAATGGACCAGATGGGAAACCAAACAACTACAAGCAACTTCATCCAGAAGCTCGGCGGATTCTCAGCGAGTGGTACGATGCTAACAGGGAAAATCCGTACCCATCGGATGAAGTGAAAAGTGAACTGGCCAAAAGGACTGGAATCTCGGAACAACAAGTGAAGTCTTGGTTTGCTAACAAGAGAAGTCGGGCTAATAACACGAGGAAACAAGTACCCAACTACTTCATCAAGAAATTTCCCGAGTTCACCAGTCATGTACAGATGGTGAGCCTCACTCGAGAACTCGCCAGGAAATCCAAACGAAGTGATTGTATTGACTCAGTCTTACAGTGTGCATATAGGAACTAAGTTGTGTTGATCTTACAGAGACCTATAGTGAGGGACTGTCTATCATTTCCAATACTGATTTTTTAGTGCATATTTTGTTAAGGATCAAAGAATCTTACTTCTAAGTGCCAAATGAAAATTATCTAATTTTGTTCATAGCATTTTTTTTTCTATGAGATTGTACATAATATGCATTTATTAAAAACTTATAAAACTATTCTGAATTATCAATTTAGTTAAGAGTTTTTGAATGGAACAAATAACAATTTCATCCCTATAATGTCACAAGTTTCAAAATGCCTGAGAGTGGTATCAAAGTCAAAAAAAAAATAAAACAACATATGAAGCAATAAGTATATACCGGTATGTTATAAAAGATGCTGCTTCCTGTATTGTTTGTAAAAATGTTTAATGAATTCCATCCCTCCAATCAACGCCCCTACCTTTTCCTGCTGTAGCAGGGTGCGGAGCTGTGACAGGGCATGGATTCTGATGTCCGCACTTTCATGTTGGACTCCCTTAATTGTGTGTTTTAATTTAGTCCCAAAGTCGGACTGGCTGTAGAATCAAAATTATTGTTATTCAATTAGCAGGTATTTCATATAGAATTAAAAGATACCACAGAAATAATAAACATTTAATATATACAAGCTCAAGTTTAATTCACAAGATAAAGCTGCAAAGAACAGGAATCTTGCTAATTTCCTAAACGATACACTATTCATTATACTGATACAAACAGTTAACTACTAATGCAATTCTATTTTATAATGAATATTCATGATTTTATTCGGAACACAGCATATAAAAGAAAAATCTAGATATTCCAAATAGGTGTGTGCAAGTTCAAAAACAGATGTATATTTTTGCAGAGAATGTCTTTTTTTTCTATGATAATTTTTCAAGGAATCCATAAAGTATATTGATTTCCTCTTATACACAGAAAAATCAGTTGAGATATAATAAATAAAAACAATAGAACATTAAACAATAACTGTGGTAGTCTCTTTTGCAGTGAAAAATGATATATTTTGGTGAAAAATGATGTCAAAGCAATTGTTTTACATTATTTAATTATTATCTGTATACAAAAACATTGCCAAATGTTATTATTTTGCTCTGCAAAAGTCGTACCACAGTTATCATAAAAGGGTGATTTTTAAAGGCAAATTATTGCCAAATTTTAAAATTAACAAGCATTCTGAGAGTATTGCATTAGCAATACTAGTCCCCTACCGGCAAGTGTAATCTGGTTCCCGTTAAGAATTGAAAATGCCATAATTCCGTCAGAAATTAATGAAGCGGGACGAAATGCAAACTTGTTCTATAACTAATCAAGCTAAAGCCACATACCAAAAATCAGCTCAATATCTACAAGCGTTTAGAAGAAAATTGCGGAAAACCCGTAAAAATTGAAAAGGCCGTAATTCCGTCAAAAATCAATGAAGCGGAACGAAATGCAAACTTGATCTGTAACTCAGCAAGATACACTCACATACCAAAAATCAGCTCAATATCTGCAAGCGTTTAGGAAAAAAGTGCGGAAAACCAAGTGGGACAGACTGACAGACAGACAGAGGGACAGACAGACAGACAGACAGACAGACAGACGGACGGACAGACGGACGGACAGACTCAGAGGAAACCTATAGTCCCCTCCGGTTTCACCGGTAGGGGACTAATAAACAGGAAATGCATATTAAATTAGATCCTTTGATCCACTCACAGAGATCTATATGTGAGTGGATCAAAGGATCTAATTTTAATTTGATTTGCATCTGGAACCTTTCCAGCACTTACAAGGAATATTTTGCAATGGCCACCAGTACATTATGTGGTGGGCATTAAGCCTATGTCAATGTAAGTATGTAAAACTGAAGTAATGATCACCTAGATGGACCTATCTCTGTATATTTCTTGAGGACAGCGTTAGCATCGGCCAGCTCTGGAATATCAGGCAGGAAGTAGATCTCATGGAATCGGTCTTTCAGGGCTGACCTTAATAAAAAAGATTAAAGTTATATGAGATTCATTATAAAATGGGAAATGGACAGATCTGACAATATTATATACACAGCAATACCATTAGTTAACAATAAAACCCCAAACTTGCTGAACATGTAGATGTACTATCATAAAGATGATGAAATTTTTCATATTCCGAGTTAGTTTACATCACCCAAACAATCATCATCAGAAACCTGCGGTCAATCTCGCAATTCAAACCAAGTTTTATTTGGGGGGGGGGGGGAGGGGGGTTGGCATGCTGCTCTTTGTTATTAATTTTATTGTCTCCATTATAATTAAAGCCTGAACAATAAGTCAGTACAGTTTAAGGGTCCTCCACACCCCGCAACTTGTGAAATATCGAGAAAAAATACTTTCACTTCTGGTTTGTGCACTGAAGATTTCCCTTGCACAGTTCTGTAAGAGAGTCTTATAAACGCTTTAGAGATGATACTTTTTTATGCAGTAAACTGAGAGCAACACCCTAATCATAAACAATGAACCCATGGCATGATCACTGCATGACTGAAAGAAAAAGGCGTAGATTTTTTTAATAAAAGAACAGCAGACCTTTGAGTTTTTGTAGCATAATAATTTGTAAATAACAGGTATATCTATGAGAAAAGGTATATACTTTCAGACTATTCAATCCATTGCGATATTGTCAACAAAGTCTGTTGTGAACAGTTGAAATTTTTGCATACCGATTTGTGAGTTTCAATAATAATCCTATCTCAATGTGCGTTTATAAATATTGATAAATAGTGTGCAGCCAATAATGAGGAACTTGAGTATGATTATGTATGCAGAGACTTAATTACCTAAGTTTTAATTACCTAAGTTTTTGAGTCCTGGGTAACAGGAAAGATAACTCTAAAAAGGAACTTTGATACCAAAGATCTTGAAAATAATTAATTTTTCTAAATCAATGTTTGATTTTAATTCAATTTTTTGCTGTACTTTAAATTATTAATGTTTCTTCTATAGTATCTCGAGTCTTCCATAATTTTTTTTCTCCATGTACCTTAGAGAAAAGGAGTTATATCTATCTTTTATAACTTTTGTTAATTTCTTTAAAAAATATGTTGACTGATAAAATTAAGTTTTTAGGGTGCTTTTCTGACCTAAATAATATAAACCAGGAAAAAAACAAAATTTGTTGTGCTACTCATCAAAACACAGTGGGGAAAAATTCTTAAAACTTATGAAATGAAATTAAAAAAAAATTAAAGGTGCTTAGACACAGATTTGAAGTCAATATTTTCTCAATTTTTCTGTATAATATCACGACTTATATTTTGCAATAGCATTTCACACGAAAATATAATTAAAAACTTATTTTATCTGGAAATTATTGGAACTACGAATTCCTGGACGCGTTTGATTAACACATCCTTGCACTTTCACAAATTTTATCTTTATCCTTAATATTTAAGAAGAGAAGCTATTTTGTTGTGTATTAATGAAAAACATTACATCTATAATCCTGAAAATTCAGAGTAGAAATGTGCGAAAGCAAACCCCCTCACTAATATCATCAGCTCGTGCTCAGTGTTGTGTACAGAGTTTAACAAATTGAATACACCCGTGAAACGTAAACTATTTTTATAAACAGGGGACGAGCTCTGTTATTGTTAATGTTTACGATTCACCGGGTGTTTTCAATTGTTAAAGTCTGCACACACCACTGAGCACGAACTGACAATACTGTGAGTGGGTTTTGCTTTCGAACATTTCGACTCTGAATTTTCTGGATTATAGTTTTAATATTTTTCATTAATACACAACAAAATTGCCACTTTTCTTAAGTATTAAGAATAAAATTAAAAGTTGTGAAAATGCAAGGATGTGTCAATCAAATGCGTCCAGAAATTTGAAGTTTCAATAACTTTGAGATGAAATAAGATTTTTATTATATTTTAGTATGAAATGCTATAGCAACATATAAGTCATGAAATTATACAGAAAATTTGAGAAAATATTAACTTCAAATCTGTGTCCAAGCACCTTTAATATAAATTTTATTTCAATTCTTGGTAAGTTTTTAAAAGTTGATATGCTTGTTAATAGTAATGCACAGTAATAAAAGAACAAAAGCTGGGGGATGGGGGTGGGGGTGGGGGGGTGGGGTGGGGATGGAGGACCCTTAAAGTGATAAAAATACATACAGACCAGGAAGTAAAATACCTGACAGGTCAATATCACAGGTATGTGGGTCATGTGACCTGGATACATAGCAACAGTCATTAGCAAGTCGGCAGCCATTTTACTGTCTAACACCAGGTAATATTTACTTTACTTTTAAATTTTGATATTTACCTATTCATAATTTTAAAATATTGAACAATGCTTTAGATACTTAACTAACAATAAGGGATCACTTTCAATAAAATTATGGTTGGATTTTAAATAGTACATGTACATGAAAACCCAAGAAAAGCCTTGATTATAAGTTCAGACATTTCATAATCCTTCCTTGTTTGCAGCTGTAATTGATTCCTTTTTTCAAGTACAGTAAAGAGAAAAATGAAACGTATGTCAAAAGCGAGTTTTCAGTGAGCTCAGATACAAACAACAACCCATACTCTGGTCAACTCAAGTGAAGGGGACGGGGGTGGGGGTGGGGGGTGGGTGGGTGGGTGGGTGGGGTGTTGCTATGGAACATGACAATCCCCAAAGACTTTTAGATTTTTGAATTTATATAAAGTAACCAGAGAATGACACTCAACCCACCCCCTCATAAGTTGATAAGAAGAGTCATATGTACGAAACCATCTTGTTTACATCCACTTCTATCTTGGGAAATTCCTGATTCTGTGCATACAGCTGTAGGTGAATGTATTTATTATACTGAACCCTGCATTGTATATTTGACTGAGTTATAAAACAAAAAAATAAATTACAGTATTTCACTGTTGAAAATATAATAAATCTAATGTTACTTATTCCAAAATGAGAATTTTACTAGACTAGTGGAATAAACAATGTTCTTTATGGATCACTTTACATGTTTTTGTATTAAAATATCCAACAGACAAACTCCCAGTGTTTACAAAATAAACTATAATTTGTTGATTAATTGACTGTTTCTTGTTTTACGTCCCTTTGTAAGATTATTTCATTTATATAAGATTTGGTGAAGGGCTTCCAATTTAGACCTTTACTCGACACTCAGGGCCATTGAGCAGTGCGGGCTCTTCGTTAAGTTCCAATGCCTACCGTAACACAAGATTAGATTTTTGAAGGTCTCAATCTGAAAGACCCACCACTTTCACTTCAAAGTGCCCAGCCCTGGGGAGGGTCAGTTGCTACCTATTATTTATTGACTTACGGGTTTGTATCTTTTCTCAAAAACCCTTGTACACACTCTCAACATCACTAGGTTTACTTCTAATGTATTGATGTTTTGTTGGGATATTCAGACTTAACATAGATCTATTTATACTTCAGAGTCACAAGTTTAATCATGGACCCTCATACCAGTGCCCAGGACGTGAAGCGATGTGACCTGTGTGAGACCGCTGTGGTACAGATGCACTGTGATACGTGTCTTGTCAACCTGTGTACAAATTGTGTAGGAAAACATATGATATCTGATGAATCCAAGGATCACAAAGTCGTCAAATTTCAGGCCAGGAAATCCACTCCCCTCTACCCTGGTTGTACATCACATAATAAACAACAATGTACAATGTACTGTAATCAATGTGATATTCCTGTATGCATTAAGTGCATTGCATCTGATCAACATCTAGGTCAAAAAGTATCAGAAATCTTGAAAGTTGTGGATGAAAAAAAGGCTAAAATTATCAAAGAACGAACCGAGTTACATGAAAAAATTTATCCAACCTACCAGGGCATTGCCTTTGATGTACAAAACAGAATAAGTCAGTTAGAAAAGGAATATGGAGATCTCTCAACAGCCATAACAAAACATGGAGAGGACTGGCACAGAGAAATTGACAAACTTGTCAAGAAACTTAAAGCTGAAGTTGATGAGATGAAAAACACTCAGTTAGAAACTCTACACAAAAAACATCTTGATGAAATAAACAAGAAAATGTCTGACATCAAGGATGAACTCAACTCAGTTGATGTTGCTGTGGATTCTAACGATATTTCAAAACTGTTTGATATTACAATCAATGTAGACAGATATAAAAATCTTCCACAAAATTTTTTACCATCTTTGCCAAAATTCATTCCAGGCAGAATCCAAGAACTTAGTAAAATATTTGGAACCCTATCATCAAGTTCTTCAACATCAGATGAAAATGATTACAGTATTAAGACAACACAGAAATCACCAGAAGCTGGATCCTCTCCTCCAGTCAAACAGCTGCTTGATGAACCAGAGATTGTCACCACCATAGACACTGGGTATGATAACCTTTACAAAGTGGCCTGCCTGAGTGATGAAGAAATCTGGACAAGAGGAAATGGCAACACCATGAAACTTTACAGCATCAATCAAGGCTCATTACTCATGTCAATCTCAACCAAGTCTGGGGGTGAGCCATGTGACATAGCGGTGACAAAAAGTGGAGATCTCCTTTACTCTGATCACATTGATAGAACTATTAACATTGTGAAGATAGAGGAGAAGATAACACTACAGAACTGGATTCCTCGCAATTTTTATCTTAATACCTTCTCAGATGATCTCCTGGTTATGATGTACTGTAAAGAAAAAAAACAAACAAAAGTTGTCCGTTATGCCGACTTTACAGAAAAACAAACCATTCAGTTTGATGATGAAGGAAAATCTCTCTTTTCTTCTGAATCGCAATATAACAAATATATTACTGAAAACAGAAATCTGGATATTTGTATGGCTGACAAGCGAGCTAAAGCAGTAGTGGTGGTCAATCAGGCCGGGAAACTGAGATTCAGGTACACTGGACATACTCCTGCTCCAAAAAACAGATCATTTGATCCACGAGGAATCACCACAGACAGTCAGAGTCATATCCTTACAGCTGATTATAACAATGACTGTGTCCACATCATAGACCAGGATGGACAGTTCCTCTGTTTCATAGACTGTGGACTGAGTGAACCCTATGGTTTGTGTACAGATACAAATGACAATTTGTTTGTTGCTCAGTGCAGTAGCACACAAGTGAAGAAAATCAAATATCTGCAGTGAAATGCATCACTGTATACATGAAGAATGACAATTACAAACATTTTCTTGATGAAATCAACCACTATATCAGTTATATTTGCACTGTATGACAGTAGCCTCAAAGCTGCATAATTTAGAACAAACTTACAGCAGAAATCAGCAAATATATCAGTCTACACTGTAGATTCCTTATTTTACGCGAGTACTTAATATCGCGAAATGGCCCAAGGGCGTCAAATCGCGAGAAAAATAATTCGCGAATGGGTGATTTATCTTGAGATTTTACATATATTAAAGCGTCATGAAAATAAAAGCAAGTAATTTTATTTCGTGAGTGGTGCTTCTCGCGTAATTATGTGATAATTAATTCCTCGCATATATTTAGGAATCTACAGTATTCACACTGTATGGTAGGAGCCTTTAGAATGAACAACTTACAGCAGAAAATCAAAGTAAAGAATATATTCCTGGGAGCTGAGCTTCAAATACTTAAAGAATAATCGACCATTAACCAAAAAATATCCACTTTTTTTTTCGTTCTCTAATATAAACATAGATAATCCGAGATTACAAAGCTCACCTCGACCAACGTTATCTGTAAGTGAGGGCAAACTCTAACATTCTAGTAATGTGCATCCATGTAAGTTTGCTCTTAGTAGTAGGAATTTTATAGTTTCTTGAAAATGGATCTGCTAAAAATCTTTTGTTTCAATCACAGGGAAAATGTAGCTCAGATCATCAAGTAAGTTTTGATCTATACTTGGCACTCACGGCCATTGAGCAGTGAGGGATCTTTTTCATGCCAGCACCTGGACCTCGGTTTATACGGTCTCATCTGCGTCTCACAGTGGGATTCGAACCGACGACGTAAGGATCAATTCCTTAATCTGTGACTCTAGAGCGAACGCTCTAACCACTGCGCCACGCGGGCGACAAAACTTTGGAATGTACCTGCTCCAAAACCTTTAATTTGGTAACTCATTAGGAAATGAAGGTCAGATCCAGCTTGGTATTGATCATCCTTTATGTATCATCCATGTAAATTTAGTCACTCTAGAGCTAATAGATATTTGGAAATCCAAAACCTTTAACCTGTACACTTGTTCAGAAAATGTAGGTTAGATCCAGCATTCACAGCAAGCCTGGTAGTATACATCCGTAGATGCATCATCCATGCAAGTTTGGTGACTATAGGGCTTGCAGGTGTCATAACAGTATTTCACTTGAGGTTCATGTCAAATCACGGATGATGCAAAATAATTCCTGAATCTTCCCTTTGGATTCGGGCATTTTAACACGAGACTGGAGCTGAATTTTTTTATGAGATGAAAAACAGTATGTAAACTTCCTGTATTGACTAGATTCATTATAATTTAGGGCATGCTGATTTTTCTATATACTGTATTTGAGTGAGGTGATTAGGTCCTAAACTTGATTTTCAAGCACCTGCTCGACTTCGACTGAAACAAACTTGCGTGCCTTGCTGGATGGCTATGTACTTTTTGGTACTAAAATCTTTATAAAGAATTGTTTTACAAGATCTGAAAAGGAAACTTCTCAAAAGTTTGTTTTCAATTAATACCACCTACTCAAAGTTGCACATTTTTGGTAAGAATATATAGACAGCAAAATTTAATACTGTTGTGCAACCTATAGTTACTTGAAAAAGGACTTTCTCCTAAAACTTAAACCATGATGCCAATGCTGACACCTGGGTATAGCATATTAAGCTCATCTCAATTCAATGAGGTGAGCTAAAAATCATAAAGTTAATTACATAAACTTAATTTCAAAAACCAACTGCAAATGTTATAATATGTGCATCAGGTGCTTTATTCATGGATTACATAAATTCTTTCATGTTGAGTCCCTCCTAATCAACACTGAACTTGTCCATCCAGTGTTCAGCATGTTATTATATGGTGAAAAAATTAATGGAGTTTCATTATAGTCATTATCACAATGAAGTTTGAGGGGATATAGTTATAAAGGTGTGTGTTAATGTGTGTTAGTGAATGCATGTGTAATGAAAGTAAATTTACATAAGGATCAATGTCATTTGCTGCGTTCCTGAATTGAGTATTTTTTGTTATTCTAACTTGCTTTTTCTTTTGAAATATAAAATTAATGATTTAAACTTAAGATACAGTTTTTTAGTGTCATTGTTCTTTTTAAATTGTGAATATTGAGTTGTGCACATTCAGGGTCAGAATTATTCTTTTCTTCACTTGAATTTAAAGGAAGTATCAGTGGTAAATAGATCTATGACATAAAAGTTAATAGTTGTAGGGGTTATATGTGACAGGTTTAGCTAAATATTAAGGAATTTAATACACCAAGTAAACATTTATGCTTCACCGTTTGCATGTACTTCTTGATACTTCGTCGTATTCCGAAGCGACCTGGCCGCCCAAACATTTCTTAGCTCGGCTTCAGACTTGGCATTAAGACCAACTGCAATTGATCAAGCTGTGAGAATAAAATATGGCTTTCTCTCTTTATTTTCTTTTTTTGAATTGAATGGTATTTCTTACAAATGATTAATTTTACAGTTTATTGATGTTGTTTTATTTTCTGTTATGGTGTAGATGAAATGAGGAATGAATGACAATTACTGCAGATCACTTTCTATTTGTGAAAACTATATTTTGGCATAATTACGTCCCCTCATGAAAATTTCACTCTCTCGCATATTTTTACTGGTGAAGGTTATATGTAACAATATTTCCATTTCTATTTGTTTTCTCTGTGATAACTCTTTGAAAGTAAGTTGAATTGATTTCTTGATCATTCTACCGGAATGTAAATTTCGCCAAGCGAAAGGTCAGGAGCTAAGAAGGCCTAATATGCATGTAAATCTTGTGCGTCCATCTTAGCGTCTGACGCTAAGGAGGCCCAATATGCATGTAAATCTCGTGCGGCTGTCTTTGTGTTTGACGTCAGTGGGTGGGGATATTGAAATTGACATGGGAGGCCTCGTGTAATTTAAATCTATTAGTCTACATTTTTAAAATCTAAATTAACAATTTTTTTCACAATGGAATGGAAATATAAGGAATCACTGTCTAGTTAGTAGAGTTTGCCAGGGACCTCAACTATAGTTGGAAATGTGGGATAATTTATCCCACGTTTCCATCTATCGTTTATGCCCTGGCATACTCTACTAACTAGACAGTGATTTCTTAAATAGTCAGGATTAGTGAAAATTTTGTCTCATTTATAAATACCAAATACCCATCTCACGAAAATAAGGTGTCGCAAATATTTGGTGATCTACAGTAAACATTAAAAAATAAAAAGACTTTTGTATGATACTGCTTTTTACAATCCTTTCATTTCTGCTTTACGTACATGGTGAGTGTGTTGTATGTAACAGGCCTCTTAGAAATGTGCTCTTTAGCAAGCTAGGGGATACTGCGCTTTGCAGTGCCCTTACTAACAAAAAAGCTTTGGAAAACCTTATTTCACAGAATTTGTGCATAAACATTTATCTCTCTTTACTTATGTTTTTAAAGATGCTGAATAAAAATTAAAAAAAATTTAATGATCATGTCTTTTTAATTTCTTAACTGGATGCATATTCATGTATTTAACTGTTTGGATACATAGATTTGCTCTGCAGTCATACAAAAGTTCAGTTTAATAACAAATACAAATCACTGCAAGGTTTGTAAACAATACTCTTGGGAGATTGCAAGTTAAATCCCAAAAATCATCTATCATCCGTGAGATCAATATTAATTGTAATGTCTACTCTATAAAATTATTACTATAAATATCTGTAATACTTTTATGAGTTTGTAGATACGTCACATTCAAAATTTGCTTAAGTTTTGCTTTAAACATTTTTTTTTCATGATAGTTCTTTTGTTCACAATACGCAAGACTGAAAGTCACATCATGTGAAATGTGCAAACATGGTAAAATTTTTCTCTTGAATGGGAGTGCAGCAGTCAGATGGGTTTAATCGCCATTGGCTAGATAGCTCAGTTGGTAGAGCACCTGACTAGAGATTCATGGGGCCCTGGTTCGAATCCCAGTCTGTTCCATCACACTTTTCTCCTCTCCTCTAACATTTGACACCATGCCATGCCATGGGAATGACAGGTGAAAGACCTGCCACGGAGGAGCCTGGGTTGGTGTGTACACGGGCGAAGACCTATAAGGAGGGAGGAATTAATGTGGCGGTCAGATGGGTTCAATCGTCAGTTGCCAGATAGCTCAGTTGGTAGAGCACCTGACTGGAGATTCAGGGGGTCCAGATTTGAATCCCGGTCTGTTCCGTCACATTTTTTTCCTCTGCTATTAAAGAAGGATGGCTTGAAATAAGGATCATAGTTTGTGCATGAGGTATATAAAAGGAAAAGAGTAGGAGCTAGGGAGGATGGATAAGAATTAAGAGAAGCAAAGTGCAAACATTACCTCTATCCAATCTTAAATTAACACGAGCTCTTGAATTCTGACCCATTATATACATGTACAATAATACAGTTTATTTCTGCAAATTGTTCATCTTGTGTTTTTTATAGCAATTTTCAGGTATCAATCTAGGAAAATTAAGACCTAGTATGTTGTAACAGCCTCTTGCTTCAATACTCATACTTAAAAAAGTTGTACCACTTTAATTTTTGAGGATTGACTTCTGTTGGTGAAATTTCTTGTGTCATTAATAAATATATTCATTTGTGGTATCTCTCTGTGATATAAAGTATATAAACATATTTCTTATAAAAAAATTCTGTTCTTTTTTGCATTATAATATATCAAATTGGACAATTGGTCAACTTATTTCCTTCTATCACTATCTTTGTACAGGATAATGTGTGCAACTTCAAGTAGCTGTCATCAGTCTGGCAAATACAGTTGAATTTCTGTATCTCAAACACGGATATCTCGAATACCATGGATATGTCAAAGTGATTTGGAAGTCCCAACTGCTTACTCCTTAAATATTTTACCCTGGATATCTCGAATCCTCGGTTATCTCGAAGTGTTTTATCAGTCCCTTCGAGTTCAAGATAACGAGGTTTGACTGTATTCTTTTCTTGGGCAGCTTTTGTAATTGTTGGAATCCTGGTTTAACTTTTTTGAACCAAGCAGATATATATACTTAACCAGTGACCAGAACAGTGGCATTTTTGTGTGTTAAATGGAGAAATATTGTTATTTAGTATGCTTACCATTTGACAGCAGCAGTTCATTTGCCTGATTCTAATAAATATAATGGGCATTCCTTCAGAATAGGGACTGCAACATCAGCAATAATGAAAGATCACATATTAAAAACTTTGGGAAGGTGGTCATCAGACAGTTATAGACAATATATCCAAACTTAAGAGGATGTGGTTAAAGATGCTCAGGGTAGTTTGATCGCCCACTGTGACCCCACCCTACCCCCGGGGTCATGATTTGTATAAACCTGAATCTACACTACCAGGTGATGCTTTCATATAAATATGACCAATCAAGGATTTGTTTTTCTTGAGAAGAAGATTTTTAAAGATTTTCCCTATGTATTCCTATGTAAAACTTTGATTGCCCACTGTGGCCCCAACCTACCCCCGGCGGTCATGGTTTGAACAAACTTGAATCTACACTACCTGAAGATTCTTCCATATAAATATGACCAATCATGGCTTTGCTGTTCTTGAGAAAAAGATTTTTAAAGATTTTCCCTATGTATTCCTATGTAAAACTTTGATTGCCCACTGTGGCCCCACCCTACCCCCGGGGTCATGGTTTGAACAAACTTGAATCTACACTGCCTGAAGATTCTTCCATATAAATATGACTAATCATGGCTTTGCTGTTCTTGAGAAAAAGATTTTACCTACGTATTCCTATGTAAAATTTTGATCGCCCACTGTGACCCCACCCTACCCCGGGGGGTCATGATTTGTACAAAGTTAAATCTACACTACTTGAGGATGCTTCCATATAAATATGACCAATCGTGACTTTGCTGTTCTTGAGAAGAAGATTTTTAAAGATTTTCCCTATGTATTCCCATGTAAAACATTGATCGCCCACTGTGGCCCCACCCTAACCCCGGGGGTCATGATTTGAACAAACTTGAATCTACACTACCTGAGGATGCTTCCATATAAATATGACCAATCATAGCTTTGCTGTTCTAGAGAAGAAGATTTTTAAAGATTTTCCCAATGCATTCCTATGTAAAACTTTGATTGCCCATTGTGGCCCAACCCTACCCCTGGGGATCATGATTTGAACAAATTTGAATCTACACTGCCTGAGGATCATTACACATAAGTTTCATATTTTCTAGCACAGTGGTTCTTGAGAAGAAGATTTTTAAATGATGCCATTAATTTTTCAAAATTCATAATTATCTCCCCTTGAAAGAAGGCATGGCCCTTCATTTGAACAAACTTGAATCCCCTTTACCCACTTGAGCCTTCAGCTCAGGTGAGCTAATAATACGATTGTTTTGATAAGGAACATAGAATTGTAGCCATTATATAGCAATTTGCAGGGGTTTTCCTACCATTTATAAACTGGGTCCAGGGTCTGTAGAATTGGGAAATTGACATGAAATATGTTCAAATTGTGAAAATTTTTAAAAAGGACCAATTTCATTATTTACCCCAATAAATGAAAATGAAGGGGGCAAAAGGTATCTGTAAATATAACAAATATATGAAAATAGGCCTGTGTTAATGAGAGAGTGAAAAAAGATCGGATTACAGATTTTGTGTGTTTAGGCATATTAGTCTAACCCTTACTATTTTTAGATGATGCAAGCAAGTTGCACAGTAAGCACATAGGCAACTTTCATGATCACTATAATTCTTTTTATGATCAGTATAGGATTTAGGTGACTTAAATGACAGGAAAGTGATTTAATAACTAATTGCTAAACATTGTTGGTGATTTAATTACCAGATGTGTTGCATACAGGCAAGCACGTACTCCTTGCCCTTAACCTTCATGTATCAGGTGCTAGTGAGCATGTTTCATGCTAGTGGACTTCGCTCATATATGCAAGCATTCCTTGCCCTCAGCCTACACGTATCAGAGGCTAGTGAGCATGTTTCATCCAATTCCACAGAGTATGTTCTATCTTGTTTCAGTCATAACTTGAGTCTGCTTTTTTAGTGCTGTAAATTCTCATCATGTGCTAAATAACTTAGCTGCATAAGCCCTAAAGGCAAGTTTTAAGTATTAGATTAATAAAGTTGAAAATAGATTTCCTCTGTTGATTTTGGATATTCAGTAAGTTTTTTTATTGTGAGTTGTGAGGTTGGCGTGCTGCTCTTTGTTATTATTTATACTGTCTCCATTATGTAAGGGTTAATGTACGAGTCCTTAAAAGTAATGGAGCCGAGGCCCCGAAGGTGCCGAGGCCCATTGCTTTTAAGGAATGGAGCGCTACGAGTATATTAACCCGCGTAAAATCCAACCTTTTTAAAATGCTTGTATTTATTTTTGTTAATATATAATAAAGAATATTTATTTGATACACTGTAAATATACATTACATATTAGTAGTATTTAATTTATATATAGAAAGTAAGGCGAAAAAAAGTGTACTGAAGTTATTCTATTCCGGTGACAGCTTCGATAGCACAGTAAAATGAGAAGCCCACTCCGAAGGTGAGGGTACCGGGTTCGATTCTCGACAGTTGTACATTTATTTTCTTAATGCGAAAATAAACTTGATAACATTTTCTAAGTTCTTTCCTCGCAAGAGGCATGGGAAGGAGAAAAAGAACATAATAAATTCCGTTTTCAATGTAGTTTGCAACTCTCCATTCCTGAAAAATAATGGAGCGCTCAAACAAAGGAGTGACGTCACAGGTGGATTTTACAATTAAAGCTTGAACAATAAGCCACAGTTCAAAGTGACAGAATTTAAATCTCCACTCCATATATGGACCAGGAAGTAAAATACCTGACAGGTAGATAACACAGGTATGTGGGTCATGTGACCTTAATACACAACAACAGTCATTGACAAGTCGGCAGCCATTTTACTGTCTTACACCAGGTAATGTTTATTTGACTTTAAAATCTTGATATTTACCACGCTATATAACTTTAAAGTATTGAATTACTATGGATATTTTGCTAACAATAAAGGATAACTTGAAAAAAAAATATTGTTGGATTTTAAATACATGCACATGAAAACCCAAGACAAGTGTTGTTTATGAGTTTAGACATGTTGTAATCCTTCGTTGTTTTCAGCTGTAATTGATAACCATTTTTTCAAGTACAGTAAAGAGAATAAATGAAACATATGTCAAAACTCAGAACATCTGACCTACACTTACATGACATTTTCAGAATGACAGTCTTTTAAACTCTAACAACCTCTACATCACAACACTTTGGAAGACTAAAGGTTGATGTGGCAACTTTTCAGTGAGCTCATATATAAACAACAAGCCATACTCTGGTCAAGTAAAGTGCAGGCTGGGGAGGGAGGTGAGGGGGGTCTGGAACACTCCCACCCTAAAGACTTTTAGAGTTATTGAATTTATGTAATAATGAAGTGACCAGAGAATGACGTTGGACTACATTAATATCATTTTCAATTAAGGAATGAATTTTATAGCTACCCAATTTATACGGTATACAGTGGGTTGGGGCAGTTTACGCATTATAAACTGCGAAGCGGTTTATAAAAAGCATAAACTGTTCCAACCCACTGTATACCATATAAATTGGGTAGCTATTAATTTCATTCCTTATAATTTAATTTTCATTCATTTAGTGTAAGAAAAAAAAAGATGACTGTCCTTAAAAAATGACTTCAAATTGTTCAAAATTAAAATGTAACGTATCAGGCGGATCGATACGTTTTTGACGCAAGCCATTGTGACATAGGCAACCCAATTTATACGATATAAAGTAAATTTTTTATCCAATCAAATACCGCATTATAACCAGAATTAAATTATTAAAATATCAAATATTCGTCATATTTGATGTGCCGCCTATTAATACAATACTGCCTGGTTTTCTGGTGGACTGCCTCTTAATACTTCTAGAGATTTGTACAATATTTTTGATTTTATTGTCATCTTTCTCAGTAACTCGTGTAAACATTCTCAACATCACTAGTTTTAATTTTACTGTATTGATGTCCTGTTGGAATATTCAGACTTAACATAGATCTATTTATACTTTAGAGTCACAAGTTTAATAATGGACCCCCGTACCAGTGCCCAGGACGTGATGCGATGTGACCTGTGTGAGACTGCTGTGGTACAGATGCACTGTGATACATGTCTTGTCAACCTGTGTAAGGCCTGTGTGGGAGAACACATGATATCTGATGAATCCAAGGACCACAGAGTCATCAAATTTCAGGCCAGGAAATCCACTCCCCTCTACCCTGGATGTACATCACATAATAAACAACAATGTACAATGTACTGTAATCAATGCGACATTCCTGTATGCATTAAGTGCATTGCATCTGATCAACATCTAGGTCATAAGATATCAGAAATCTTGAAAGTTGTGGATGAAAAAAAGGTTAAAATCAACAAAGAACGAACTGAGTTATATGAAACAATTTATCCAACCTACCAGGACATTGCCTCTGATGTACAAAACAGAATGAGTCAGTTAGAAAAGGAATATGGAGATCTCTCAACAGCCATAACAAAACATGGAGAGGACTGGCACAGAGAAATTGACAAACTTGTCAAGAAACTTAAAGCTGAAGTTGATGAGATGAAAAACACACAGCTACAAACTCTACAGAAACATCTGGATGAAATAAACAAGACAATGTCTGACATCAAAGATGAAATTAATTCAGCTGATATGGCTATAGACACTAATGACTTATCAAAACTATTTAGTGTCACCTCCAGTGTAAATATATACAGAAATCTTCCAAACAAATTAGCACCATCTTTACCTAGATTCATTCCAGGAAAAATCCAAGGAAAAGAACTTTGTAAACTATTTGGAACCTTATCATCCAGTTCTTTAACATCAGATAAATATGCCTACAGCATGAAGACAACACAGAAATCACCAGAAGCTGGATCCTCTCCTCCAGTCAAACAGCTGCTTGATCAACCAGAGACTGTTACCACCATAAACACTGGGTATCAATGCCTTAACAGTGTGGCCTGTCTGAGTGATGAAGAAATCTGGACAAGTGGAGGTGACAGCACCATGAAACTCTTCAGTATCAATCAAGGATCACTACTCAAGTCAATCAGAACCAAGTCAGGGTATGAGCCATGTAACATAGCAGTGACAAAAAGTGGAGATCTAGTTTATACTGAGTATGGTTATAGAACTGTGAACATTGTGAAGAATGAGAAGATAGAGGAGGTGATCAGACTACAGAACTGGATACCTACAGGTGTCTGTAGTACCTCCTCTGGTGACCTCCTGGTTATCATGGAAAATGATGATTACACACAAACAAAAGTTGTCTGTTACTCTGACTCCACAGAGAAACAAACCATTCAGTTTGATGATAAAGGTAAACCTCTCTATTCATCTGGTCTTTGTTACATAACTGAGAACAGGAACCTGGATATCTGTGTGTCTGACATTGGAGCTAAAGCAGTAGTGGTGGTCAATCAGGCCGGGAAACTGAGATTCAGGTACACTGGACATACTCCTGCTCCAAAGAACAAACCATTCAATCCACGAGGAATCACCACAGACAGTCAGAGTCACATCCTTACAGCTGATGATTACAATCACTGTGTCCACATCATAGACCAGGATGGACAGTTCCTCCGTTACATAGACTGTGGACTGAGTCAACCCCGGGGACTGTGTACAGATACAAATGACAATCTGTTTGTTGCTCAGGATGGAAATAGACAAGTGAAGAAAATCAAATATCTGCAGTGAAATACATCACTGTGTAGATTAAGGATAATGAAAGCAAACATTTTAATGTCAGTTTATTGTGTGCAATTTAAGTAAATGAATGTATCTGTGAATCACATATTAACTGAAAACTAAAACTATTGAAGAAAATCAATTATCAGTAAAATCCATTATTGTGATGCATAGTCTAAAAGATGTTAGCACATGTAACTATATATGATAAATTTCTTTTAATTTACAGATATATCACATTCAATATTTATGCAAAATTTGAATACAATTTTTTTTTTACTTTTAGTATACATCTTGTACAAGATCAATGTAAAAGTGTGCAAATCTGTTGAAATTTCCTCTGAAAAGAAGGGATGGATTGAAATCAGAAAAATTGCTTAGGAAGTATAGAAGAATGTTTTGAGAGTTAAAAAGAGGGGAAAAGAAAAGGGGACCAAGTACATTCAGTACCTCTATATAAAATTCCTACCTGTTATCTACGATGATGAAGTTGATGATTTCTGCGACTTGTTTGGGCAGGTGTTCCAGAAGTGGCAGAAGAGTAGCAATAATCTGTGACATCATTTGTCCAAGGAAAGGCAACTCTAGGCTAAAAAAAAAATCAAAACTAGGCATATTCTTCCAATAGATATAAATTCACAGCTGAGAAATTTGATCCTGCTTTAAATGCATCAAGTAAGTTTCAGCATGTATGATATAACCAAAACAATTAAATTCTAATGTCTAAGAAGAACATGCAATCTTAAAGAACATTTTTACTTATCAATTTTTACAGTACTCTTTCAGTGTACATTACCTCTTTACAAAACAGTTCCAGGCTCGACAAATAATCTCAATGAACTGTCGATCTGTAAACTGGAGTCCAATCCTGTAGAGAACCAAACAAAACTATAAACATCCATGTCAAAATCTAGTTAAACATGACCACACATGACAAAATTTTATACCAAAATTATTTTTCCATTTAGAAGATATATCCAAATTTAACGTTTGTCACAAAATACAATTTTTTTTTTTTTTTTTTGCATGATGAAATTTATTTATTTGTAAAGAAATAAAATCAGATGGAATAAATTAGGTTTATTCAAATTTTAAAGATTATCATGAAAGTCATTAGAAACAGAGAGCTTTACAAATAGAAATAAATTTTCAGGGATTATTAACTCAATAAAAATTAAGCATATAATTTTTGTTTATAGAAGTATTTTGTCTTCATGTTTCAATCATAATGTATTAAATTTATTTATCTTGTTACAACCTGATTAATTATCCTTTGAGCCCCTCTACACCCGCTATCTTACTTAACCCAGCCTCACTTTGGATCCTTTTGTGACATCATTGCTTACATCAAATTCGTTGCTGGTGTTTGCTTCCAAAATATCTGTGTTGCTTACCTTATTTCAAGCCTTTTATACCGTTTTTTCCTTGCCAAATCATGTAGATATATTTCACCACTGGATGTGAATGCATATTATGTAATTATTGTATAGATGTGTACTTTATAACTGAATTTTTGTGTTCATCACTGGAAATTTCCAATTTCTTTGAAACTTCACATCAAGATGTCGGACTAAGAACTCAATGGATTCTTCAAACCTAGGGAATTCGACCAACGCACAGATTTGGGGATCACAATTTCTATTCCCCTATAAATAATAATCAATCAGGGAAACTGTATGAAGGTCAATTCATTACTAATTTTTGTCAAATTTTTGTATCTCATTCCCTAAGTTTTAAGGTTTTAGTATGTAGGAGATAACTTTTTAGAAAATGTACTTCTGTATCTCATCCTCGAAGTGTATTGTTTACTAAAGGGGGATAATTTTTATTAAATGTAATTTGATCTCATCCCCCTTGTTCCAATTTGTGTTTTAAAGGGGAATAACTCGTATTAAATTTGTAATTGCAGAACAGTTGTCCAAATTGAATTGTTAATATTTGTAGTGTGTAGTTATTTTACATGCTTACATTGGATACAATAAATTAATTTACCTTACATAATGTCCTGTTTTTCATTAGTCAAAGCAGTCAACATCAATACAAATCAGACAGGTATAAATAACAACTAGTCTAAAATCTGTAAGTTATAATGTCACACTTACCTCAAGGTCCCGATCACTTTATGGCGGATTGTTCCTATGTGTTTCTTCCCCATCAGTTTAATAATGGCTGTCAGGCTTTCCATTGTCTACAACAAAAACCAAAATTACTTCACATTTACTTGGAATAAAAATGAACAGTTAGAACAAAAAGAAACAGCTTGTCTGGTAAATTTTGCATCATATTTAAACAATTTAAAACTTCAAGAAACAAGTGTATGTCACCCACAGGTTCTCGAGAGCAATACAAAACCTCGACTTTTATTCTAAAATTAACTTTAACTGGGTTTCAAATAGAGATAAATCCTACAACACTACAACTTACCAGTTTTTTGTCGGACAGTGGGGTGCTGGCGTTGAGTAGCTGGAAGTCAAAAAATGCGATGACTCCTAGAAGTCTGGGCTGTAGGTAGTCAGCCATTTGTTCTGAAGTCTTGATGTCTTTGGGACCCGTGTAATTGTGATCATAGGTGGAGAGATGTCGCAGTCCATTAAATACCTTCAATAACACAAAAATCAGCAGCAATCTTACAGCCTTTTCTTAATTTATTTACAGTATTGAAATATTTCATTTCTATAACTACTGCAATGTACTAGCATCAAAAATTATTCCAATCATAATTTTTAATCTCTCCCTTAAGAAACTTCATGTACATGTATCTGTACCAACAAAATTTCCCACCCCCTTACTCATTACATTCATCCCACCCCCTTACTCATTACATTCATCCCACCCCCTTACTCATTACATTCATCCCACCCCCTTACTCATTACATTCATCCCACCCCCTTACTCATTACATTCATCCCACCCCCTTACTCATTACATTCATCCCACCCCCTTACTCATTACATTCATCCCACCCCCTTACTCATTACATTCATCCCACCCCCTTACTCATTACATTCATCCCACCCCCTTACTCATTACATTCATCCCACCCCCTTACTCATTACATTCATCCCACTCCCTTACTCATTACATTCATCCCACCCCCTTACTCATTACATTCATCCCACCCCCTTACTCATTACATTCATCCCACCCCCTTACTCATTACATTCATCCCACCCCCTTACTCATTACATTCATCCCACCCCCTTACTCATTACATTCATCCCACCCCCTTACTCATTACATTCATCCCACCCCCTTACTCATTACATTCATCCCACCCCCTTACTCATTACATTCATCCCACCCCCTTACTCATTACATTCATCCCACCCCCTTACTCATTACATTCAATCAAAAGTGTATGTACAATGCACTGCTGTAATAAAGAGGTAAAAACTCCAGTACCTGGTTATAGTGGGTGCTGAGATACAGGAGGAGTTCCTGATGAACCACCTGGAAATTCATCCTCAACAGCTGGGCAAGTTCAAGGTCAGTCTCATTCTGTTAAAATGTTGCAAAATCATTATATACAGTATCTCCATAGAATAAATATTCATTTTCAAAACAAAGGATTTTTTTTAAGTAAAGCTAATGTAAAAATATAATATACTGTATAATGATCATTTACAATGTACAACAGCTATGTGTTAAAATTTGTTAGATCAGAGCATTCACTTTCATGTACATGTGAATCTTCTCACCAATTTCCAGGAATATTCATGTAAAATCAAATAATTTACATAAAATATGTTTACGTAGAAAGAATTCATAGCCTTTCCATGCCTAAACAATCCAGTCAAAATGATTTATTTGAACATGAACTGTTTTAAAAGGTGAACAAATGGAATATAACACCTCACTGACCTGAAGGAAAATGATGGCTCGCTCCATCTCACTGCGCTGACAGAAACAGACGAGGTATGCAAACACATACTTAATGTTCTCCAGAAGTAGCTTCATACGACTCTGTAACATTAATGGTTTATTATTATAAATATTACCACAGATCCTTCATGGTGCAAACATATTGTATAAAACTGTAAAATGTCAGTTTCTGGCTGTTTAAGCAACTTTGCAATGCAACATAGGCAAACTCTTTTTACTTTTAAACTTTAATTTCTAAATATCAGTTAAAAACGCTTGATACTTCTCGTTTCTGTAGAACATCTCCATTTTATATACATGTATAACTTAATGAGGAATCTATTAAACAGATTTACCATCAGGTCTAGAATGGTGCAATATATCTATAGAACAGAGACTTAATTGTAGATTTGGATGGCAGGACACAAATTTTTTTTTAGTACAAATACTTACTGGTAGATCTAGGATGGTGGCTATCATTTTGATGAGTGAGGAAGCTTCTGATGACGCTGTACTGACAAACTGAGGGATCATACACTTCCCAGCAGCCTGTTATACAAAAAATACACAGACAATGTAAATGATGCATTCATGAATTACTGCGTTTAAAATACACCGTTAAACTCTTGCAGATGAAAATGCAACAAACTTATATACAATGTATCTGCCTTTTTTGTGTACAGGCAATTATCAAGCAGGATTCACATTTAGGGCTTTAGATAAAACTGTTTGAAAATTCTTTCATTATCACTGCCAATTTACATTCAAATATACCTCCCGGTAACCTAAAGCTTGAATATCATTTGTGAGAATTTTTGAACAATTTTTGATAATTTTTTATTAAACTTGCTAAAATATAAACAGTAATATATACTGTAAACCACATTTCCTTTGTGGTTAATGTTTTGACATTTGTTAGTATATATGTATACAGTACAGCTCACGAGTTTCTTCCACCCCACCGTGGAAAACACACGGTGGAAAATACCCCGTGTTACACCGTGTACACGGAGTTCCACCGTGTGCGTATATTGCGATTACACCAAAGACGCACCGTGTCGCACCGTGGACATTACCGTTTCATCGGGTGACCCTCCGTGTTCCAGCGTGCAAAAAAATTACGGAAGAAAATGGTTTGTTTATAAAAATAATTTTAGAATTGAAACCATAGGTATGTTGGTTTAATTGCTAGAAAGAAATAGTAAATGAAAAATTATTTAATTCAAACAGCTCACTATCACACATGTAAGGTCATAACATAACAGCGGCGTTCAGTGTAGACTTTGGTTCACCGTTGACGGTATACATGTATATATCAATTGAATAAATTTGTTTTGATTTCTGTTGAATTTATATTTCATATTCATTTGAAAACAAAAACAACCACATGTCGATTGTGCAAATTAATATATTTCTGACGTATGCTATAAGTGCGCAGGTACAAATCCAAGTACAAGTACATGGTCTTTGAACTTAATAATTATTCAATGCCAAACATAGATACGGATCGATAATTTAAGTTGTTATTTTCTCTGTGAAATAATATGGTATTAAAGGTATCAATTTGACAGTAAAGGCATTTACAAATAATACCTATGATATCAGATAACTAATTTAGCATCATCTGATCACTACATCGTAAATAATAATAGTGAAAAAAAATGTCGAGTCAGTATATTATGATATTCATACGGTATATGAATAAAGTCTTATTTTGCAGAAATAATTAAAATAAAAAGTGTAGACCACTTATCAATGAAGATACTAAGTTGCTACATGTGAGGAAGAAAAAGTACATGTACATGCAAGAAAAAACAAAACAAAACACGTAGCATTCACTAAAAAATCTTATACGCAGTTTGGTAGTCGTACAGTCGGCAAATTCACATGAAAATCAAGCAGTTGTATGCATCCATTGATTAAACTTGACATTAAGAGACATAAATGTAAAAAATTCAATGTTTGAACGTTTATTTCTGTCGAATATGTAAAGTGTCAGTATTTCTATCTGGGTATTTTTTTTATTACTACTTAATCTTCTATGATCAGTACGAAAAGTAAAAAAAAAATCGCTTGAACTGCCAATGCAGCATTTTAAAAATTCTATTACAAATTATATACTATTCACTTTTTTCGTAATAATTAAAAATTATTTTGAATTCCATATTTTATAATGTTAAGATACGAGAGAGAGAGAGAGAGAGAGAGAGAGAGAGAGATTTTACTTTCAGGTTCATCCTTCTGTTTTTTGTTGTTGTTTTTTTCATATACATATAATGTATCTCTCTTATTTTTTTAAAGAAATCATAGTTCACCTCCAGTTTTTATTAATCGAAACAAAAAAGAATCGGTGCAATTTAGGTACAAGTTCAACCATCACATACGGAATCCACGTGCTCTACCTGTCAATCAAATACCGGATATCGATGAATTGCAGAAACTTTTCGTGTATATATGGAGTCACTCCTTGGCTAATATATTTCACACCTGTTCAGAAGAAAAATATATTGGGACATTCAGTTGCTGTGGCCTTGGGACATTATTCACATGTTGAAACTCTAGACGAGTGTATACTATACACCCCAACTGGCTTCGAAACTTACATGTACACTTGTCGGGAAGTTAATTGGAACTTGAAAAATAAACAACTATTTATTTAATTGTTTATAGAATTTTTAGTACAGCAACATATTTTTTAAAAAGAAGTTACAGTTACAAACGAATATTATTCAAATATTATTCAACTGTATCTAGATTATATAAAGTCGTTATATACTGTAACATAACTTACATGTACTGGTAAAATGAAGAAAAAAGAAATCATAACTCTCCATGTCGTAAAATTGTCTCTCTTTCGTTGATTTTATAATTTATCATTAAAATGCTATTTTTGAAAAGGATTAGAATAAATCCTTAAAAAGGACAGGTAATACAATAAATAGGCATATGTAAATATTGATCTTTTTTTAACATGTCTGTGTAGAAATTATCCATAAAACTCATTATGAAAAAGGGGGGGGGGCTGTTATTAAACGTAGGAAGAGCACATATACAGTATGCTTGCTTTTATTTAATGGTTTGAAAAATCTACGCTAGGTACTAGTAAAATATAAAATCTTCAATCTAGTTTTTCATATCTCCTACGCATATGCTTAGTTAGGCAGTGAACGCATTTATTTAACAATTATAGCAGACTTTTTTTTCATACACGTTACGGAAGAAAACTGTTTGGCTTTTTACATCATTGTTTAACATAGAACATATTGCAGAAATATCATTTTCACTGAATAGTATCATTCGAAATTTTTTCCATTATCGACGTCATTGACAATTGTTGAGCATAATTATAACGTTTTACGTCTTATCGTTTACATATTGTGATTATTCTTGGCGACAAGTTTTGTGAAAAATATTGTGCCCATAATGCTTCGATCTGTACACAAAATGCAAGTTAAATATTAAGGTTTTTATTTTACACATAATTCTGAACAATTACAAACAGACACAGATGAAAAAGTGGGGCATCTTCAATACCTGAATATCAACATTTCATATTTTTTGATGGCCTGGGCAGAGATTTACTCATTACACAGAGACTACATCGGGTCTCATCTCAATATGGGTTCCATTACGGGACGGAAATTTAAGTCAATCTTTTCATAACTTTTTTTTTCATCCGATTAAAATCAAATTAAACAATATATTTTCTGTGTCGTATTTTGATGTAGTAATTATTAACATATACAACAGTTTCTACAGTAATTTATAATTTAAAAAAAAAGTACGTCGGATAAGATAATCAATTGACAATTCCACATTGATTTCCTGAGCATAGTGCAAATGCAGAATATTCCTTTCTAATTTTTTTTTTAAATTTAGGTTTAGCTTTTGTTTTACAAACAAAATAATCTTTAAGAAGATATCTTCCAAATAACACAAGATTGCTGACTGCATGATAAAATTCTGTCTTTGTTAAATTCATTGACACGTCAGTACAATATCGAAAGTAGGAAAATGCACGCTGCGGATGATATGCATTTCAATGATTTTTATTCTAAAATCTTCAATGAATTATTTTAAAGTCATTTCAAACCACTTAACGTTGATTAACCAGCACGGAGTTTCATGGAGCAAACGCACCGTGTCCCACCGTGTTCACACCGTGTCGCACCGTGTGCCAGCTTTGCGCTGAAAACGAACATCAAAGACACCGACATTTTTCAAAGTCCACGCAAAAGCGTGGACCAAGGGTCCACCGTGGCCGGTGTTTTCCGGAAAATACTCGTGAGCTGTACTGTATATGCATTAAATTCCTTTCAAGATTTTCAGTCTAAGCTTGTTTCTATCAAGACATACAGCTATTAATAGTGAGGATACCACAAAGTGAGATATTAAGTAAAACAAGATGTGTTTGTGAAACACTGATACCCCTGTATGGTAGCTCATGGCCAAGGTTTAAAGTTTTTCAAATGTAGGTTAAAGTCCAAGGTCATAGTCAAGAAGTCAATAATGTTGGTACATAAGGAAAAGTCTTGTTACAAGAAAAGCACATGAAATATGAAAGCCCTAGCACTAAGCATTCAGAACTTATGGCCAGTGTTAAAGTTTGGTAAAAATCTTTCAAAAGTATTCCAAACATCAAGGTCAAGGTCTAAAGGTCAAATATGTTGGTACCCAAAGAAAGCTCTTGTCACAAGAAATACAGAAGTGAACCATGAAAGCCCTAGCTTCGATTACAAGGGCATAAAAAGAAATTCAAGTTAAGCACCACAAGTTTATCTGAATTGAGAATCACTGACCTTTAGAAAGGACTTGCAGTCTCTGAAATCTAAAACATCCGCCACATCTCTTAATATCTCATCTGCCGATCTGCCAGCATTGCTTTTCTGGGAGTCTAACATTGCCGTCACCAAAAACTAAAATACAGATTTGATATTTTTTTAGTGCTACAAAAATGTAATATGTTGTTGACAACATGCATTCAAATCATGAAGAATACTGTAACAATGAGAGAGTCCTTTATCTACCTTACAAATCTGCTGTCTTGAGTTGAGAAACAAATTCTGAGTTTTAGTTTTCTTGTATTTGGCCACTGATTTAAGCTGAAAATCAGAAAAGAAATACTTGTTAACGCCCAAAAATATTCATGTGATGGTAAGGTCAATACATCCTGCAGTCCACTTGTTATAAGCATCCTTTCAACAAGTTTAACCTTGCATATTTACTTTTTTGTTAAAATACATGTATGATTTTGGTACCTTCAAAATCTGTCCCAATGTAAAAGTGCAATGTTAGATATAATGTCACTATGATATTGCCTACCTGTTGGTATGCTATTGCTGCAATTAACTGGACTTTAGACAGCATGTTTTCAAGTAAACTAATGATGACCACAAGTAACAACTCATCCTCTGCTACCCTAAAGTAAGAAAAAACACAGAAAGTTCCCATTAAAAATTGCCAGGTCTACAGATTAAGTCATACATATAATTGTAATAATAAATCAAACAGTCAATATTTCATGGATTACTTTATCACCTAATGAGCAGTTAAATGTTTGTGGGCAACAAAAATTTTACTATATGTTCACTGGGACATATTTTTGTGGGAAACTTGTACATACACAGGATTTGATAAACTGATATGGTGACAGAGTTCTCAATCCTAGTGATGTAAATTCATGCAGGGTTCTCATTAACGCAAGAATCTGCGTCCTAGACGCAGCAAAATTACTCGGGATGCAAGGTTCTTAAAAATGATGCGTCCGCGGACTAATGATCGGATGTGTCCTCGTTATCGAGAAAATTCGGGTGATTTCGAAAACGGGGAATTTAGATGTTAGGATTTGTCAAAGAAATATTTACCGTAATCAAAACCTTCCTGTAACTATCATAAAGTTTATCCAACTTTTCTTGTACTTATTTCTCTTCTTTTTTTTTTTAAACAGGGATTGATCATAAGATATTTCATGTTTATTAGTCCATAGTCATAATAGTGTCGCATGCCAAACTCCGACAGCTGTAAACACACTGCAGCTTTTATAAAAAAAAAAAAACACTTTTGAATCTTGAGTGTTATCTACATGAAGAAACCATAATTACTGCTTGTATACACAATGCGGCATGATTATCTCATGAATTTCACCCAGTGCAGACGACCGACAGGATTAGTTACGCCTCATTGCACATGACACCTGTGATTGTATACAGTCAACTTTTGGGTACTAGTTGATTATGCAACAGTTAATTTTAGATTTATAAACACCAAATTAATTTTATGGCAATTGATTAAGCGTCCGCTGTATGTTAGAATATGCTTGAATGCATTACCAGTTTATTTACTTGAATATGTTAATATTGCGTAAACAAACTGATAAAATGATAAAGATTTTTAGTGATGTTTCGATGGAAGGATACTGCAATAATTTAGTTGGGACTCAACATAATTTTTCTGGGACGCATCAAATTTAGCTTGGACGCAACCTTCTCAGAAATCTTGAGTCCTCGAACTCAAGTTAGCAAAATCCTAGTGAGAACCCTGTTCATGGGTGAGGGTGACCTATGAAATCCATGAAAACATTGATCCCCTTGAGCAAGACGATTCCACAGCAAAACTTACCTGCCAATCTGGGCGATTGTTAAGATCACAGTCTGTTGAAGTCTGACATTCTGTTGGACCCGTGCTGACTCCAGTGTCTCTTTCAGTGTGCGTACAATCAGCTGATTGGAGTCACTGTTTCCCTCACCTACCATGGAGCCTATAATCTTACTGAAAAAGAAAAATAAATTCATCCGAATCATTCAGTCACTTGTGTACAAGAAAGTTCCAAAATTACTTTACAAGTCTTAACATTATTCTCAAAGAATAAAAGCCAAGTGGATGCAGTATCCTTTAGATATAATCGTCTATTATTCCTTTGAAGATATAAGATTTATGGGTATATAAAGCTATGTGATACCTGAACTGTTCTCTGACCCCAAAGTCAGGGTCCTGGATGAGGGACATACAGGTCTTTAACATCTGTATGGTAGAACTGTTGTTGGAGCGGACTCCAATGTGTCCAAAGATTCTCTCTAGACTACAGTTGATCAGCTCTGAGGACAGAAAAAGATTCTGGTCTTACATACATGTATTACTTCTCGATAAAATATAAGTGTTTAATTTCAAAATACATGTATATAGGGTCAAATTTGAATGCTGTTTTTTTCTTTCCTATGGCACTAAATGTTTAAGCCTGTTTACTTAAAACAGATGGGGATAGTGTTCTTAAATAATTCTGTTTGATTTAAAGCAATTGGTTATATTATTGTGCAAGGCTAACTGCTTTTATGAGACCACAATTATACCATAATTATACATGTATAACAAATGATTTATAGGCTGTTGTGTAGAATTTATCATTCCCTTTATTAATCTAATATCCGCCGAAGCATGGCTGAAATATTGCGGACTCGGCGTTAAACAATAAACGATTAATCAATCAATATTAATTTAAAACATTTATTTGGATGAATGTTATACAAATATTTATCTCATACATGTACATAGCATCAACTGCAATTCTTTTAATTGTCATAATCTTAATTTGTAAAAAGAAAAATAAAATACTGACTTAGTTTCACTTGAGTGTTGTGTCTGCCGATAAGATTCAGGAAAGGTGAAAACATATTTGGATCGACAAGTTTGGGTCTCTCTTTTGATGAAGCATTCTCATGTTTATCTGAAAACAGAAATCAATCTACCAAAATAGGGGAACTTCCCGCTGTACCTAATAATGTATTTAATCTCCTAATATCTACATTAGACAAAATTTCCAACTTTCATTTGTACAATAATTATTAAATTATAATTACTGTCATTATTATTGATGAGAATAAGAACTTGATTTTGGAAGAGATAGCAATTAGTCATGTGACTCCGGTGATTTTGTAAAATACCCACCCAGCAGGTTGTCACAAGATAAACACTGGATCTTACGACAGTGATCCACCAAAGCAAACTTATTTCTCTCTTTTCTGAAAAAAAAAAGTTAGAAGTTGAAGTCTTCATTAATTTCTACAACTGCTTCTATGCTCTTCATTAATCCAGTCGCTTGTGTTCCCAAGCAAATCATCCGGATTATTGGCATTCAGATTAACAAAGCTCCACTGTACATCAAAATAATAATTGCTGTGAACAATGGGCCTGAATGACTCACCTGAGTACAGCCTTTCTACAAATGACACAGGCCAGAATTCCAGCTATTGAGACTAAAGCTTCCTGGGTCACAGAATCAGGTTTATTGACCATAGGTCTATCATAATAAAAATGGTATTAAAGAGACATCAAAAAAACTTTTCATAACATATCATTGGATTTCATCATCGTTATCCACTCAAGGATTAAAACCAACAAAAACATACAGCAAAAGGTCATGAACCAGGTGATTTGCATTTGGTCCCAGATGAACCAGTAACATGGGTAGACACTGGACAGCTGCTATTTTCACTTCAGTATCGGAGTCTGTCTGTTAACACAGAAGTAACATTTGTAAATCTGTAATACTTTTAAGTTACATTTTATTACATATCTACATGTGGGGTTGGGTTACTTACACATGCTTGCCGGTACACATGTACCCTCCACTGGGGGGAAACGTCTTTAGGCAACAAAGACAACCCTCTAAGACACTCACATCTGACTTCATTATCTGCAATGAACACAGATACAATGATAAAATTCTCTTCAAACATATCTGATATAAACCTGAGAGCAATCTCTATTTCTGAAATGCTCTTAATTGCATGTATTTGCAAAAGTAATTTTCACCCAATTTTTCTGAGATTTCTTGACTGATCTTGCTGACTGTCTTAGTCTCTGCTGGTTTCAGGTCCATCCATGAGGGATCATTCTGTGTGGAAATAAAATAGTGGATTTGATTAGCAATTTAATGGTTAAACTTTGGTTTCTATGACATGGATCAGTCAAATTGTGTGGAAATAAAATAGTGGATTTGATTAGCAATTTAATGGTTAAACTTTGGTTTCTATGACATGGATCAGTCAAATTATACTCAGTACAAGTCAAATTCAGTTGGCAGTCGCAGACTTGAATCAAATTTTAGTTTCAACTTCTTCTCTGAAATCTCAAAGTTTTTCCAAAGTGCTGTCATGCACAAGATATTGAGGTTTTAGATGCAACTCAAATTGAGACATTGAACAGCTTAGGGTCTTATATCTACATGTACTTACAAGTAACCATGGTAACGACAATATCCAGCACATTGTATCTTCATGATCAGTCCACTCTACATAAAACAATATTTAACACTGTCACAATTTTGTTTAATTTGATTATGTTGGTTATGGTGTACCATAGGTTCATTCTCATCGTATAGTCGTTACGGATAGCTGGTCACGGCTGCCAGACCGGTTTTAACAATTTTGTCTACGTGTAAGTTAGTTCTGAGCAGGCCGTAGAAGTGAGAAGGTGTGTCCTTCCTAAGTACAAATGTTGTATGACCTGTGTGGTCGCGAGAGAAAAAGCTACGTGCTTTGGGCCTGAATGTTTTGTGTGTGTTCGAGAAGTTTTCCTGTGTGGACAGTAGAGTAATTTTGAGAACTTTGGCAGCGGTGAGTTTGAACTGTATATTTTGTTAGCTAGGTTTTTTTTGTTATTTTTTTTTTTTTAAAGAAAAAGTTATTATTTCATTACTTTGTTAAGTTCAGTTTTATTTGTACTAGATAATGTACCCGACATATTCAAGTATTCCTTATGAATGCGTTTATTACCGACTATGGAAACCCAGACCTTTAAATAATGTGTTATTATAGGTGACCAGCTGTGTATGTGCGTGTTTACAGTAGCAGATGAACATTATGGCATACTGAGACATTCGAGGAAATTCTACGTACTAAGGCGTTGAAGGCTAGAGGGACGTGCGACCTTTGGACAGTGTTGTAACCGTAATTCCATGAGTAACCAACGACTGTGTGTCTATGAACAGTATACGGTAACGTCTTGGGTCAACCTCTGTGGTCTCGCCAGTCAGTGTTTCCGATTTTGATTTTATTCGCACATGGCAATAAAACATTTGTCGGGTCTGGTATGACTCTATTATAGTTGGTATATTGATACTATCATTATTTTTTTTGTTTATTATTATTTTGTTTGTTTGTTTTTTTTTTTTTTTTTTTTTTTTTTTTTATTTGTGCGAGTGTTGTAGATGTGCGTGTTGTGTGTGTGTGGAGGTGTGCAGATATTCTTTGCATTTTTTTTTTGGAGCACTATAATAAACTTGTTTGCACTTACTCTTTGTTCTTTTTCAAAGATTTGGTTACAGCGAGGGAATATTTCCATGCCATTATCACAAATTGTGACAATTGGGGGCTCGTCCGGGATGGAAATATTTAAGATCACATTATCCTTACGCTGATTTAACTGAACTTTGAAAATGGAGAAAGAGTTAGAGAAATTAGTAGAGATTGGGCAAAAGTTAGGTTTGCAAGGAGATCAGTTGTTAGAATATGTTAGAGAAAAAGAGAGAGCTGAAAGAAAAATTGAAGAAGATAAATTGTTAAGAGAGGAGAGAGCAAAGGAAAGAGAGGCGAAAAGAGAAGAGAAAGAACTTGATTTGCAGATAGTGCAATGTGAGCAAGAGTCTAGGAGAAAAGAAAAAGAGTTGAGCATGGAGATGCAAATGAAAGAATCAAACAATCATTTGGCATTGTTGGAAAAACAAATTCAGTTAGAGAGAGCAAAAGCAGAGGCATTAGCATTAGAAATTAACTCTAAGCATCAAAGTACCCCCATGTCCCCTGATGTGTCTGTTCAAAGTCGTGCTAAGTTGCCCAAACTTCCTCCATTTAATGATCAAAGAGACTGTATTGACGCTTATCTACAAAGATTTGAAAGGTTTGCAGAAAATGCTAAATGGTCTAAGGATACATGGTCAATAAATCTTAGTGCTTTGCTTACAGGTACTGCTCTTGAGGTTTACTCTCGTTTATCTCCTGGCGATGCATTTGATTATGATAAGCTCAAATGTTCGTTGCTTCAGAGGTTTAGATTGTCTGAAGAAGGTTTCCGCGAGAAATTCAGAGGTAGCAAGCCAGAAAAAGGGGAGAATCCCCCTCAATTCTTCGCGCGTTTAGACAATTATCTGAAAAGGTGGATGGAACTCGCGATATCCCCATCAACGTTTGAAGGCTTAAAAGATCTTATGTTGCGCGAACAATTTATTTCAAGTTGTAGTAAGACTTTAGCTACTTTCTTACGAGAACGTCACCCGAAAGATGTTAAGGAAATGACGCGTTTAGCAGAACAGTTTATTGAAGCGCATGGCACTTCTTCATTTTCTTACGATCGCACAAATTATCGAGTAGCGACCGATGATGTGAGGTCAACATCAACAACGGTTCAAAAGAAACCTTTTTCAAGTACAGGTAAGAATGATAGAAAGTGTTATGAGTGTGGTCGAACTGGACACATCGCTAGAGATTGTTTTGACAGGCTTAAGAAAGGAATTCGTACCCACACTTACAAAAGCGCAGCGATGTTAACCTCTGGTTCTTCATCAAGGGTTACTTCCCGATCTACGAAGTCACAGCTCCAGAAATTGGATGTTGAGGTAGAGAATCAACTAGGAAACCAATCCCCTGAATCAGGTAAACATGTAGGTTCTTTGTGCATTTTGTCAGATAAACTAAAAGATTGTTGTATACAGAACAATCAAGTAACATTACGCTGTGGACATATGTTACCAGTTATTGGTGGAGCTTGTCGTGTTTGTCATAATATGCCAGTTTCAGATGGGTATGTAGGTAATCATTCTGTGGAGGTTCTGCGAGACAGTGGATGCAGTGGGGTTGTAGTAAAACACAGTCTAGTTTCTCAAGACCAGCTGACAGGGCGGAATGTGGAATGTGTACTCATTGACGGAACTGTCCGGAAAGTTCCTGAGGCGTACATCAACATACATACACCGTTCATATCAGGTAAGGTCAAAGCTCTATGTATGAACAACCCAGTCTATGGTTTAATCATAGGTAATATAGACGGCGCCAGAGATCCATCAGACCCTGATCCAAAATGGGACACTCGCAGAAATAACAACGAAGTTGTGGAAATCGATACACAAGAATTGGTGGTAGGCTCAGCCGTACAGACAAGAAATCAAGTTCAGAAGGAAAAAGAAAAGTACAAAACATTGAAGTTAACTAGTATCACTGACAATTTTACCTCAGTAGATGATATGAGAGTTGCACAAAATGAGGACGCTACACTGGATAAGTATCGGGAATATGCAAGGACTGGTGTTCGGAAGTTCACAGGACAACAGAATGTGTCTTGGTTTGTCATTGAAGATGATCTGTTGTTCCGATATTTTCAGTCTCCGAAGGTGAGTAGCAATAACATTTTTAGACAGTTTGTTGTTCCCTCACCACACCGCATTACAGTTATGAAACTTGCACATGATTGTGTACTGTCTGGTCACTTGGGAATTAAAAAGACAACGGATAGGGTATTGTCTAACTTTTATTGGCCTGGAGTACAAGGAGATGTTGGAAGATATTGTAGATCCTGCGACATGTGTCAGCGAACCGTACCAAAAGGTAAGGTCTCCCCAGTTCCACTAGAGTCAATGCCCCTCATTGATACTCCATTTGAGCGAGTTGCTGTAGATTTGATTGGGCCAATTTTTCCAGCAACCGATCGTGGGAATAGGTATGTACTCACTATGGTAGATTACAGTACAAGGTACCCTGAAGCCGTCGCACTGAAAGGCATTGAGACGGAACGTGTTGCTGAGGCAATGTTTGAATTCTTCACTAGACTTGGAATTCCTAAGGAGATTTTATCAGATATGGGAACCCAGTTTACGTCTAACCTTATGAAAGAGGTAGGTCGTCTACTTTCCATTGCACAACTAACAACCACTCCGTACCATCCTGCCTGCAATGGTTTAGTTGAAAAGTTCAATGGAACACTTAAACAAATGCTTAGACGTATGGCTGCTGAAAGACCCAAAGACTGGGACAGGTATATAGCACCTTTATTGTTTGCATACCGCGAAGTTCCTCAAGATAGCATGGGTTTTTCCCCATTTGAATTATTATATGGTCGATCAGTCCGGGGACCGATGACAGTTCTACGAGAGATGTGGACGAAGGAATTAAAAGACCCAGAAGTCAAGAGCACTTATCAATATGTGATCGACTTGAAAGAGCGCTTAGAAGAGACATGTGAATTAGCTAGAAAGTCCTTACAGAAGTCCAGTCAGCGCTATAAGAAATATTACGATCGGAAAACAAGTTCACGTTCATTCAGTGTCCAGGACAAGGTTTTAATCCTCCTTCCAACGGACAAAAATAAGCTACTCATGCAATGGAAGGGTCCATTTACCATCGTTTCCAAATGTGGAATGGCTGACTACAAAGTTGATGTTCAGGGCAAAATCAAGACTTTCCACGCTAACCTTTTGAAGAAGTATGTTGAAAGAGAAACAAATTCACCTGAAGTTCTTAGTTCTTGCTCTGTCATAGAAGAAGAAATACCTCAAGATGGTGAGAATTTAGAAGTCGAGAGTGATTTCCCTCTAGAGATACCGCCTTCCGAAGCCAAGGAAACATTTGAAAACGTGAATGTTGACGCGGATCTGACTGAATCGCAACAAGAGGACGTCAAAAAGATTTTATCAGAATTCAAAGATGTTTTGTCTGATTTACCTAATCTTACTCATTTGGCTCAACATGAGATACATCTGACAACTACGGATCCTATTCGCAACAAGCTGTATCAAATTCCATTTGCTTTGCGTGATTCCGTTAGGGAAGAAATCAAGAAAATGATTGAGATGGACATTATAGAGCCGTCCGAATCTCCGTACGCCAGCTCTATTGTTGTTGCCAAGAAAGCTGATGGTTCTAAGAGAATATGCATCGACTTTAGAAAGCTAAACAAGGTGACAGTGTTTGATGCCGAACCAATGCCTGATCCCGAGGAAATTTTTGCTAGAATTGGACAAAGTAAGTATTTTACTAAAGTAGACCTTTGCAAAGGATACTGGCAAATTCCTATGAGGGATGAGGACAAAGACCTGACATCATTCGTCACTCCTGATGGTTTGTTTAGGTTCAAAGTAATGCCATTCGGTTTATCAAACGCGGCGGCCACATTTAATCGTATGATGCGTGTTCTGTTGAAAGATTTAAAAGATACCGATAGTTTCATTGACGACATCTTAACTCATTCTGAAACTTGGGAAGAACATTTGGTGTCTATTAGGTGTCTATTAGAAAGACTACGGTCGGGGAAACTGAATGCAAAACCTTCTAAATGTTTTATAGGTTTTAGCTCACTTGATTTTTTAGGTCACTCAGTTGGAAATGGTGTAATGCGACCTAATAATGACAAACTTGAAGCAATCAAGAATGCCCCTCGTCCTGAAACCAAGAAACAGGTACATTCTTTCTTGAGACTGATTGGTTATTACCGTAAGTTTGTTCCCAATTTTGCTGTTGTTGCTTGTCCTTTGACGGATTTGACTAAAAAAGGCACCCCAAATAAAATTGAATGGTGCGATGAACATGAGAGATCTTTTATGAATTTAAAGTCATTACTGTTACATGCCCCAATTCTGAGACTCCCAGACTTTAAAAGAGATTTCTTTCTCAGAACAGATGCTTCCGACTACGGAATAGGTGCTGTTTTATTGCAAATGCATGAGAAAATGTTTCCAGTGGCATATGCCAGTAGAAAGTTGAATGAAAGAGAGAGAAGTTATTCTGTGATTGAGAAAGAGTGCTTAGCTATTGTATGGGCTGTAAGAAAATTTCAGGCATACTTGTACGGTAGGACTTTCCTTTTGCAGACAGATCATCAGCCATTGGTGTATCTGAACAGATCAAAAGTTTCAAATGGTAGGTTAATGCGCTGGGCCATCTTTCTGCAGTCCTATAATTTTGTAGTTCATGCTATCAAAGGTGTTGATAACGTGGGCGCTGATTTTTTGAGTCGTCATGTTTTGTAAATATAGTTGTTTCATGTTTACTCTCAAAATATGATTTCCAATTTTGAAACTTAAAAGGGGAGGTATTGTCACAATTTTGTTTAATTTGATTATGTTGGTTATGGTGTACCATAGGTTCATTCTCATCGTATAGTCGTTACGGATAGCTGGTCACGGCTGCCAGACCGGTTTTAACAATTTTGTCTACGTGTAAGTTAGTTCTGAGCAGGCCGTAGAAGTGAGAAGGTGTGTCCTTCCTAAGTACAAATGTTGTATGACCTGTGTGGTCGCGAGAGAAATAGCTACGTGCTTTGGGCCTGAATGTTTTGTGTGTGTTCGAGAAGTTTTCCTGTGTGGACAGTAGAGTAATTTTGAGAACTTTGGCAGCGGTGAGTTTGAACTGTATATTTTGTTAGCTAGGTTTTTTTTGTTATTTTTTTTTTTTAAAGAAAAAGTTATTATTTCATTACTTTGTTAAGTTCAGTTTTATTTGTACTAGATATTGTACCCGACATATTCAAGTATTCCTTATGAATGCGTTTATTACCGACTATGGAAACCCAGACCTTTAAATAATGTGTTATTATAGGTGACCAGCTGTGTATGTGCGTGTTTACAGTAGCAGATGAACATTATGGCATACTGAGACATTCGAGGAAATTCTACGTACTAAGGCGTTGAAGGCTAGAGGGACGTGCGACCTTTGGACAGTGTTGTAACCGTAATTCCATGAGTAACCAACGACTGTGTGTCTATGAACAGTATACGGTAACGTCTTGGGTCAACCTCTGTGGTCTCGCCAGTCAGTGTTTCCGATTTTGATTTTATTCGCACATGGCAATAAAACATTTGTCGGGTCTGGTATGACTCTATTATAGTCGGTATATTGATACTATCATTATTTTTTTTGTTTATTATTATTTTGTTTGTTTGGTTTTTTTTTTGTTTTTTTTTTTTTTATTTGTGCGAGTGTTGTAGATGTGCGTGTTGTGTGTGTGTGGAGGTGTGCAGATATTCTTTGCATTTTTTTTTTGGAGCACTATAATAAACTTGTTTGCACTTACTCTTTGTTCTTTTTCAAAGATTTGGTTACAGCGAGGGAATATTTCCATACCATTATCACAAATTGTGACAAACACTATATTTATTTATTCTCTTCATACATGTATGTAACACATATACCTCACAGAATTAAGAAGCTAAAATAATGGTTCAAAAAAGGAGATGTGAATTGCTTTTCTTTGAAATTTTAACTGATTAAATCATCTGAGATTATCAGTTTCTTCACATCCAACAATTAATTGTGACTGATTGTAAGACTGATGGCTTAACACCCATGCATTTAATAGAAATGAACTATCATTAATGTTAATGTATTCAAAAAGTTTAGCAGTAAAAGGTAAACAGGTAGACTGGTCAGCAAAAAATGAAGTTTACGAATCAATGTATTGGATTTTTAATCTTTCTAAAAGTCTTTAGATAATACCTTGTGTGTCTAGCAGGGCCACTATTGACCTAACAATAGACAGTGTGTTTATATTCAGTTCATCAGGATTCCAGTGGTGACTGTACTGCAAGGTCAACTTCCAGGTGTCAAGGACACTCTCCACAAGGTCACGTGGTAACCATAACAACAAAGAGCTTGCATCTTCTGGAAGACTGATAATACAAACAAAACCATAGAGCAGATTGAAACCTTTCCATAATAAAAACCTATTTCAGAAGAACTTGCATTGTTAGGGGGAAGGTGAAGACTTGGGTGTTTTTTTTTGGTGGGGGGGGGGGGGCTTAGAAAATAACATATTTATTCTTGGTTATATGAAGACTCACATTTATTAGCTAAAGAGGAACTTACTATGAAATCATTTATTTTCGTGGGGGTTATTTTTTTTTGTTTGTCTGGTAGAAAGAAACCAGAAATTCATGTCCTCCATGAAATATTACAATTGTAATCAAGACAACATGAAATGTTACAATTGTAATCAAGACAATGTTACACTTCATCAATTACAAAATAAAATCCCCACAAACCAATGTATATTCCTCAAACAGGGAATATTTGACCCCATGAAAAAGTGGATATTACAATACACTTTGAAGACCACACAAAACCTCACATTTTCTTAGAGAGGAACTTACATTTTCTTGTGGTTAGCGGAAGCCTCAGTTTTATTAACTCTAGTCTAGAGGTACTTACGTTTTTTGTGGTTCGATGAAGGCCCTGTTTTATTAGCTCTAGTGTAGAGGAACTTGCATTTTCTTGTGGTTAGAAGAAGCCTCTGTTTTATCAACTCTAGTCTAGAGGTACTTACATTTTCTTGTGGTAAGATGAAAGCCCTGTTTTATTAGCTTTAGTGTAGAGGTACTTACATTTTCTTGTGGTTAGATGAAGCCTCAGAACTTGTCATGACGCCCACACTGATCACCTTTATAGCTGTGTGAATCCCCTCCAAAATCTCTGCATGCTTGTCCTGTATACAATAAATAAAAGGTCAAATACATCCACCAATGATGTTCCAGTGTGGTGTGATAAATTAACCCCATTCTTTACCTGGTTTGGGTCCTTTAAGCTACTGATTAGTTTTTTAATCTTTGATTTCAGTCTCAGGTATCTGTGTGGTGGTTTTGCCTTCTGTTGGGTAGGCTGTTCATCTGCCTTTCTGTTAAAAAAAATGATCAAGACAAGTCAATAAATTCTTACATTCTTTAATCTGATACATTGATGAATTTTTCATGTACATGTATTTGTGATATATACATGTAAATTACCTTTTGCGTTTAAACTGTGAGGCACCTGTATCTGTTTTGTCCATTGCCATGGTAACTGATGTATCTGTTAGTCCACTGTACGTCTGTCTGATGTCAGACATTAACAAAATCACCAGAGGCCTCACCAGGTACTGCACACAAAACCAAAAAAAATCAGAAAACCATTTATCTCAATTATTTTCAAAAATAACTTTTTAAACTCAGTTTAATGTCACTTGACCTTTCATACTTTTACTTACCTTTGACCTAGTATTCTTTCCAACTTCCTGTAACAGTACTGAAAAGACTTGGTCTTTGATGTGTTTAGTTTCCCCTTCCAAGGGACCAACTACAGTAAGAGCCTCTAAGCAATGACTCAGTAGGTCAGACAAGGACATTGCCATGGCAACAGTAACCATGTTGTGGAAGCCATGTTGTTGGATGTGGTGACATATTTTCTGTAGGATGTTTTGGTGCTGGAAGTCTGACAGGTGATTGGGGGTCAGGGGCTTCTTGTCGGCCAGACACACACTCAACAGAACCTGGGCCGTCCTCTCCTCTAGTGTCTGCCTTTCACTGTGGAATCAGAAAAGACATGTTAATAGGGAAATTTTATTGTCTTCCTTTTATTTTCAACTCCTTCAATCTTGTTGTCAGATGGAAAATTAAAACGGAGCAATTCAACAGTTAACTCTCTTTGAACAAAACTGCTGTGTCTGGAATAACTTAAAATGGGGCAAAATTAAAAGTGTAAAAGTGTGAAAATACCAAGAAGCAAAAATAATCCTGTATACAGGACTCCACTACAATATCTGATTTACATATACAGGGAATATTCACAGAAAACTTTGGAGAGCTGAAGTTTAAATAGGTAATATCTTTACCTAAAACACAGATTGTTCTAGATTTGGATCATACTGATAACCTTACTTTTTGATCCAATTTTAATAAGGAATATTGATAGAACATGCACACACACCCTAAAAATATACTGTAAAAGTGTCTAAAGCATTGGAAACACAATTCAGAAACTGCATTGAAATCAATGACAACCCTTGCTATTGACTTTTGGATGTCAGACATGCTAAATGAAAATCACTGATCCTCAGATCGTTTTTAATTTTGATCACTGGATTTTGTAGAGACTTCTTCACAAGTACATGTACATACTGTATATTATTTACTAAAACATCCTACAAGAATGAAACAAGACATAAGCTATCTTCACACATATACATGTCCAAATACCGGTATTTGGGAAAGGTTTTATTTTTTAATCAAACCAACCACACAGCAGGCCAAGTAAAAATGTCATTCTAAATACAGTAAAACACGCTTATAACAAAGTACCAGGGATGGACAATTTTGCTTCGTTATAAACATAATTCGTTACATCTGTTAAAATTCACAATATATTTAAAAGACATGGAGAATGATGAAAATCCCTTCGCTATAAGTGTCAATGTTTTACTGTATGAAGCTCAGACCCAATCATTCAAATACTACCTGATTTCTGCCTCCTTACAGCCCTCACACAGCAGTTCTACTAGAGCACTAAGGCAGGCAATGAAGTAGTCGTGTATGTGAATCTGTGGAAGTCCCTCCAACAACAACTTCTCAATTACTCTCAGGGACTCCTACAGGAATTAAAGTTCACCAAACACATATAAATAAGATACAGTATATAATAAGTTAATTCTGCAATGTTGGAAATTTAGAGTTCAGACACAAAAATGAAAAAAAAAAAAAAAACAGAATTGAAAAATATTAAAATCCCATTTCTTTGGTATTGCAGGAATAGGATTTTGAAAGAAATGGCAAAAATCGCAAATGCAATCTGAATGCTAACTTTGAAGGATTCTTGGTGGAATCAGAAATCTACTCACAATTTTCATCTCCAGATCATAAAATTCCAGATGGCAGCACATGGCTCCCCAAACCACGTCACACAGGGGATTCCCCACCAAATCAAGGTCATCACACAAGGACAGTAATACTTTCCTAGAAATAGAAATAGACCGTTATTTTAACAATAAAAAAAAAATTTTAAACTGACTAAATTTTCTTTGTAGAATTCAATGCTGAAAGGAAATTGTTATACATTATGCAGGTGTACAAAACTTCCTTTGACAATAATAAATCTGTACAATTTCAGCAATCCACGAAAATCCCCCCCCCCCCCCTTCAATATACTTACGTTAAGTTCATCTGTAAACTTTCACACTCCTCTACTGTAAATATGTCCAAACTTGGTATAGTGATGATGTCTGTTTCAGTTTCTACATCATCCTGTAATTAAAACAAGAGATGTTTATGAAACACTTATGCCCCCCCCCCCCCCAAATAATTTTTTCTCATGAATATCTATGAAATCCCCATGATTTTCATTTAAAATTTTTTCCAAGGATATTCAAGTAAGGCTTTTTTTAGGCTGCATACTGTGTAATAACTCGTACCTTTACTGGGTCCCTTAAGCTCCTCTTCACCGTGTCCTTGTCTACAGAAAATCTCCGTAGAGTGCTCCCAGCATCTCCGTTGTAGAGGTTTTCATTGATCTTGACTAGTTCTATTTAAGAATAAAGTTAAACAAAAGCAGACATATTAAGCTACAAAATTTCAAATTTAGTTTCCAAGGCACCATTATCTTATAATTAGGCTGAAGTTTATCAATTTTAAGTTCAAACTAACAAACTTGAATTCAGGGAATAGTAAACTTCTTGGGGTTCAACGAGTCAAGCTTTGAAAAAAAAAAAAACTAACTTCAAACAAGGACCAAGAAAAAATTAATACATTTTGTTGGGTGTGATAGCTGGCACCATGTAAAATGGAAATTTCCACATACCTGCGATGGTATAAATCAGCTCCGTCAAGAGTTGGGAGAAAGAGAAGAGATCTCCCCATTTGATGACTTGTAGCAGTTCCACAGAAATTTTCTGACACTTAACATGTAATCCTGCACACTCTGGTTTACTCTGTAGCCATATCATCTTCAGTAAAAACCATCGAGTGAAGGCTACAAACAGATTATTCCTCAGTTAATACAAAATGACCAGCAGCAACACACACCATCAAAGTGAAAGCTGCAAACAAACTACTCTTCAAAATATATATATATATATATATATATATATATATATATATATATATATATATATATATATTACTTTATATATATATATATATATATATATATATATATATATATATATATATATATATATATATATATATATATATATATATATATATACATTCTATATATATATATATATATATATATATATATATATATATATATATATATATATATATATATATATATATATATATATATATATTAACAGAAACAACTAATTTAAATTGAATATTTAATTTTTGGAAAAGCATCTATTAAACAAAAATCCTTACAGACTTCTTAGTGATCAACAAAACTTTTTAATATTTACCAAAGGAAAGTAACTCCTCCTGTGGTGACCTTGTGATCCGGGTGTTGCCCAGGGTGGGGGTTTCGTCCCCTGACGTGTGGGTGGGTGGGATAAAGTACTCTCTGTTACTGACCACATGATGGTGGCACCATTGTAACACAGTGTGACACTCGCTGTTCTCCCCGCTACTGCTCAGAGACTCCGCAACTGTAAAAAAAAAATTATTGTATAGTAAGAGTTGGTCATTAGGAAACTGGGACCTTGAAGCTTGCTTCCACATAACTGAGATTCTCATAAAGTGAATTTCTTTCATGGGATTTTTAAAAAGTTTGTTATAACAGAGATTTTCTAATCAGCGAGTTCTTTATAACCAAATTTTACTGTAAGCACATTTCTGCAATATTTTTCCTTGAAAGACATTGGTATATGAATTTTGGACAAAGATCAGATTTTCTGTTTTGATATTAATGTTAAGAACATATTTTTACTTCTCTTTGTGTCTGATAAACATCCCTCCAATATTTTCAGGATGAGAACACGACCCTCAAACACAGTCTTTGTCTGGTTGCTGAAAGAGAAAAAGAGTACTTCTGACATTAACCTCGACAAGTTTGTTACTAAAAATGTGCACAAGGTACATGTCTGAAATAAAGTTACCATATCATATAACTTTCTGTTCTCCATAATGTTTAGAGAAATACAATAGAGTCTTGTTTATTTGTAATTGTTTGTTGTTGTGATGGTGCTAAGACGATGACGTGAAGACAATGAAGTGCTGCTCATTATCACTGTCATTATGTCATCACACCATCACTATCACACCTTCCCATCAACATAACCACACAATCATCAGTCCATCTCTGACCTTGAAGTTGATGCATTATGGTGCGATGGTGAACCAAGTGGCCCTATCAGGATTCCATTTAGATGTAATTACTGTAGCACGTAATATACTGATGTAGATGTCAGTCTTGTATCTCAGATCCTTACACATTATATACACAGACAATAAAGACAATGTACTTGTTACTGGCCACGAGAATTTGGGTTCTAATGAGGAATTTACGAAAAATAATTAAAACAAGCTCTTCTGGCTTTAATATCTAACAGAAGAGAACATGCCATGCAGAAAGGTACTAATAATAGGAACTTGGTTTTTGTTATTTTACATATTGGTTTTAAATTAATATTCATCATTTTCATAGCAAACACTTCCCTAACACAGTACCGTCAACATACAGACATTATACTTTTCATAAAGCATGTTCAAATATGAAACCACACATCATGATTGGTCAATTTCAAAACTATTTGATTCAAATATGCACATTAAGGTTCAAAGATTTAAACACAGGATACTTGACTCATTATCATGGTATCCAAAGCCTTTTTAAAATGCAAAAATAAGCCATAAAAATGATAGAGAGAAAAGCAATATAAAAATGTAAATTGGATTGAAGGGGACATCTTTAGAGGGAAGGAATAATTCAAATAGTAAAATCCTAAAGGAGTTTCTTAATGTTTGGCATCTGTCCAATCAGGGAAGAAAATCAAGATATTAAATGAAAAATGGCAGATGAAAATAAATACAGATGAAGAAGAAGATATTGAAAGGAAGGGGAAAAGAGGAACAAGAGGAAAATTCTTCAATTTATCTTTAATATCTGACATCCGTGCAATCATGGAAGAAAATCAAGATGAAGGAAGATAAAAGAAGGAAGGAAGACAAGATGGTAAAGAAAATCAAGATAATGAAAACATGTTTAAACTTGGTATACTGCTGAAAACCAGTTGAAAGGGAAACATAAAAATGTATCTCAAGTAAAAATGCAACTTTTTGGTTTTTCTTGAAATTTGTTTACTTTAGGGCTTGGCAATAATACCGATACTCCGGTATATTGCGGTATGTTGACAAAAGTATCATACATGTATTACAATATGTTTTTGTAATACCGATATACCGGCAAAATGCTTGGGCTCAGGAATTCTATCATAAAATATAAAGAAAAGTTGTCAGAAAGGTTTGCGATCATGCCAAACAACAAGACAAAAGCAGTTGTATGGGTGTATTTAGTACCATAACTGTAATTCTATCAACAAGATATCTTTTATTGGTTGTTTATCATAGTTATGTAAATTCTACATGTAAAAGGAAGTTAATATAATAAGAAAATACCATTTTGAAAATATTGCAACACATATCGCAATACAGTTAAAAATATTAGAATATATCGCAATACGAAATCTTTAGCCAATACCCAGCCCTGGTTTACTTGCTAGATATAGCGTTTTTTGTTTACGTAATGTGCAACTTTTGAATAAGTCTCCTGATACATCACATAATGATGTTTATTTGCCTTATTATCAATAGTCTGTAATCAAAGGATATAGAACAAGCCAGTCATTTTTTCAGTTCTCTACACACACCAGGAAGTCTAAATATCTTAAAGAAGGGCGATGTGACAATCTGATTAAAATCAGATCTCTGCGACACTGTACAGTGACATCAGAATTTTAGAGCATAACAAAGATCTGATTTTAATCAGATTGGGGGAAGTGATTATATTTGCCTCTTCAATACTTGACAGTCAGTTGGTCATGTGATCTCTGTACATAGAGGAAGGCTGTATTTGGTGGACAACGCTGACACCATTTAAGTCAGGTAATAATTATGGACTGTATTTATTTGATAAATTCTGCTTATTTCTTACAATTTTCACGCTGAAAATGTTGAGGAAAGAAAACTATAAATCAGATTTTTTAAAATAGTATTTTGATTTTAACTTCTGTATTTTTTTCATCTTTTTAACACTTGTTTCTTGATCTTAACAATAATGTGTCATTATTCAAAGTCATGTCATCCAGGATGGCATGAACATGACCAAGGGTAAGGCTGAATGAAGAGAGAGACAAATGTTTTCATCAGTTAAACTTGTATACAAAACTGTGCTCAAAAGTAACAGAATCTAACCTCAGTTTCCTTCTCCATGACTTGACTATTCATCAATTAATTGCTAGAATATAGTGAAAAAAAAACAATGTCTGTATAAGGAAGGCAGGAAAAAAAAAGAAGCAAAATCAGTTATATTAAGTCTTAATACATATAGGTACCATCAGCAGGATTTTAAAGAAATTAATAAACAAAGTAAAAGTATACCAAAAACTTAGGAAGAAATCAAAGGTAAAAATAATTATACATTGAGATGATTAGGGGTTAAAAACAAGATTGTCCGCAGACTTTAGCATGTGTATTATTAAAGTTAAATTGAATACTTTGAATAACAAAAATCTTCTGTAGTGAAATATGGAGGTAACCAACAGTATTCAAGCTCAAAGTCCATAAAACAATAAAAATCAGGAGCAGAGCAAACATGGACCTCCAAAAACATCAGAGGTGGGATCAGGTGCCATGGAGGAGTAAGCAACCCCTGCCGATTGGTCAAACCCACCCTGTGCTCCTTCTCATGATTGGCAAATAATGGAAAAATCTGTCAACAATTCAGTGTGTAAATAATGGCTTTACAATTAGTATGAAAAACGTCAGTCAACATATGACTTAAATTAATGATACATTGTATTTGCTGACAAGGTCATTGTATCAACCATAGAACTTACAAAATGATGACTTTTACCGAGTCTGTTGATATTCTTGTTTCATAAACTTGTTTGTCAATAACTTACCTTGTTTTAGAAATTGTTCATACATAGAGCATGCTCTTGCATATCGAATCAACTGAGAGATATACACAGGGTTTGAAATTCACTATATACAACTCGTAAAACGCGAGTTAGAATTCCCAAATTGCGAGTTAAAAATTAGGTAACTCACAAAAACTTGCAAGTTGATTTTTTTGCATTGAAACTGTAGCAAAATTATATAATATCATGACAGAACACAATGCTTTTGATTTAAATCAGTAATTTAAATAAAAGTCACACTGTAGTTGTATTTTGTGTATTGTACAGTAGTTACTTTTTCCTTAAGTTACATGTATTTAATTTATATAAATTTAACTTTATATGAAAATTGCGAGTAGTCTTATAAAATTGCGTGTTCACTTTCTTGGAACTGGCAATTATTTGCGAGTTGTAATTTTAGGGAGTTTCTAACCCTGATGCACCCCATATGCAGTTGATAAGGGTATACTGCTGCATAAGTAAGGGGAGTTGACGATTGAAAAGTTAAAGTCATAACGTTTATCATAATACTTTGTTGTAAGATTACCATTAACGTCTTTTTCTAGTAAAATATCCAAATATGAAACAAATGTGTCAGACTCTGTGGTATCTTTTATTTTAAGATCACTGAGATATATGAATGGAAATAACTATTGTTAATTGATAATACGTCGTTGATATATCTAAATGTCGAGTTGAAGGCCACAGCAAGAGATTTCTTTTTCTCATGTTTAAGATTTTGAATAAATTCTGCTTCATATGAATACAGAAATAGGTCTGCTAACAACAGGGGTGCAATTGGTACCCATGGGAATTCCAACAGATCGTTGGAAGACCTGTCTCCAAAAACCACATAGATATTGTCAATCAGAAACTCAAGCATCTTTTTAATATCAACTTCAGAGTACTTGTGTGTACAATCAGAATGTTTTTTAAAAAAAATAATTTTGCAAATGACCAATGTCGATATTTTAAAGAATAAACAATAAAATATATATATCCATATTGGCATTAACAATGTGAAAATTTTGTGCAAGAAGAATGTTATGTATATATTTTCAAGAATAAAAAATAAAATTATCCCATTCACACCAATTTTTTAGCAATTTAAATTTATGTGGCCTAATTAAGGTGCCATAAGAACATTTTATCAAATGTCTTTTTTCCTTCTTTAATAGGCCTTATTTGATCATGGACCCCCGTACCAGTGCCCAGGATGTGCTGAGATGTGACCTTTGTAAGACCGCTGTGGTGGAGATGCACTGTGATATATGCCTGGTCAACCTATGCAAGGCCTGTGTCGGTGAACACATGATATCGGATGAATCAAATGAACACGAAATTGTACGATTTATTCTTAGAAAATCCACACCTATTTACCCTGTGTGCAAAACTCATGTAGAAGAACGATGTGAAATGTACTGTAATCAATGTGATTTTCCTGTGTGTGCCACATGCATTGCTTCAGATCAACATCTAGGTCATAAATTATTAAAAATCTTACAAGTCCTTGAGGCAAAAAAGGATATGATCATAAAAGAAAGAACTGAACTAAATGAAGTAATTTACCCAACCTACCAGGACATTGCCTCTGATGTACAAAACAGAATGAGTCAGTTAGAAAAGGAATATGGAGATCTCTCAACAGCCATAATAAAACATGGAGAGGACTGGCACAGAGAAATTGACAAACTTGTCAAGAAACTTAAAGCTGAAGTTGATCTGATGAAAAACACACAGCTACAAACTCTACAGAAACATCTGGACAAAATAAACAAGAACGTTTCTGAAATCAGGAATAAAATGGATTTAATTAATGTTGCTATGGATTCTAATAACATTTCCAAACTATTCAGTGTAACATCTGATATAAACAAATACAGAAATCTTCCAGAGAAAAAGGTGCCCTCTTTGCCTAAATTTACTCCAGGAACAATCCTGAGAGAAAAATTTGGTAAAATATTTGGAACTTTTTCCCCAAGTTCTTTAACTTCAGACAAACAAGGCTACAGTATGAAGACATCAGAGAAATCACCAGAAGCTGGATCCTCTCCTCCAGTCAAACAGCTGCTTAATCAACCAGAGACAGTCACCACCATAGACACTGGGTATAGCCGTAACCTTTGCAATGTGGCCTGTCTGAGTGATGAAGAAATCTGGACAAGTGGCCATAAAAACAATACCATGAAACTCTTCAGCATCAATCAAGGATCTCTACTCAAGTCAATCAGAACCAAGTCAGGGTATGAGCCATGTAACATAGCAGTGACAAAAAGTGGAGATCTAGTTTATACTGATGCCACAACTCTCAACATTGTGAAGGATGAAGAAATTGAGGAGGTGATCAGACTACAGAATTGGATACCTTACAGTGTCTGTAGTACCTCCTCTGGTGACCTCCTGGTTATCATGTACAGTAATGATAACAAACAAACAAAAGTTGTCCGTTACTCTGGCTCCACAGAGAAACAAACCATTCAGTTTGATGATAAAGGTACACCCCTCTACTCATCTGGTGCTTTCCACAGAAATATTACTGAGAATGGAAACCTGGATATCTGTGTGTCCGATTCCGAAGCTAAAGCAGTAGTGGTGGTCAATCAGGCCGGGAAACTGAGATTCAGGTACACTGGACATACTTCTGCTGCATCCTTCTATCCACAAGGAATCACCACAGACAGTCAGAGTTGCATCCTAATAGCCGATTATAACAACCACTGTGTCCACATCATAGACCAGGATGGACAGTTCCTCCGTTACATAGACTCTGGATTGAAATATCCCTGGAGACTGAGTATAGATACTAGTGACAATTTATTTGTTGCTCAATATGAAAACAGACAAGTAAAGAAAATCAGATATCGGAAATGAAAACATAATTTAAGAAATCAAAGAAAAATAAAACAATATTAATAAAAGAATTTTTTTTACCATACCGATGCAAAGTACACTTCATGTAAATGATAAGATCTTTTTTTTTCCATCTACATGAATTTTCCTTGATATTAAACAATATCATACATGTACATTGTATCTTTTGAAGTTTACCACATAAAGTGTCTGAAAGAAATGTCAGGACAGTGCTGGATCAGGAAATTATATTTGTAGCCATTGGTTAACATTTCGACACAGGGCCTAATAATTAAGGCCCTTTTAAGAATGGACAGTTTTTTCAAAAGAATGGACAGTTAAAACAAACAGAATGGACACTTACAGGTAAACTTTGGAATGTGTTCAAGAGGGAAACAAAAACAAATACATTAAATACTCTTTAATTTACAAGTAAATAACAGAAAGAACGCGGAGATCTAAGTTAATCCAGAACACAATGTCTGCACAGGATCCACTTGATTTTACCCTTATAAATCCATGAATAATGTACATTATTTCAATGCTCAAAACTCAATTTTCACAAAACTTGAATTCAAATGACACAATTTCACTTTTGACTTTTCAGAAAAATCATTCCCTCAAGGAGAATTCATTTTAAGATAGAAGTACGTCTAATATTAAATCCTCCACCCAGAAAACAGTTTGCTCCATGAACACTACACTGCTGCAGTTAATATTTCCGTAGAAAATATTAAAAATGAAACATTTCCAGATTTGATTTGAAAAACATTTTCAGGTCGAAGATTGGCTCATGGCTAACTCAACATTCAGAGCACAATATGCATTTCACCAGTACACTGCTGCAGTTAATATATATCCTCAAAAATAGAATTCAAATAAAACATTTCCAGGTTTGATTTCAATTTGATTTTCTGTATCTGTCGGAGTTCACTTTTGGGTCAAAGTTTGGCTAATATTTCTTCTACTCTTACTCTCCTGCATGTTTCCAGATCCAAATATCACCAAATTTATGCATATTTTGGTTTATTAGATTTTGATTCTGTCATATACTCTTTCCATTGGAGGAAGAACTGTATGCCTTTACAACACAAACTATAAACTGATTTTGAAGCATGGCATACTTGTATAAATACTAGTATCCCCCAAAATCCACCTGTAACTGTCCATTCTTAAGACAAAGATCTTTTGTTATTTGCATCTGGAAACACAATGGCTATTCAACAAATTGCTCTGCATCCCTAGCTTACCTATGACTGTCCATTCTGTAAACAATGAACTTGTCATTGTATGTGTGCTACCTGTCATATCTGATACCAGTTTTGTAAATTTTTTATTTCATTTTCACAACAAAGGAAATCATGTTTTAAGTAGGAGAAAGGCCTCAAACTGTCCATTCTGTGAGAGAAAGAACTAATCTTATTAGATTAGTTCTTTCTCTCACAGAATGGACAGTTTGAGGCCTTTCTCCTTTACTTAACGAACCATTGGTCTAACATTTTGATACTGGTACAAAATCTACAGTGGGGCTGACTCTACTAGTTTGAGTGAATAGGCTTCTAAACAGCTTTAGTTTGGTATCAAAAATGGTAGCCTACTCCAGTTAGATCTCTCCATAAAACCACACATTGATCAATTTACTACAGTAAATGTTTATACACTTATAACTTTTTTTACCAGTTGTAATGCTGAAATAAAAAATCCCCTGTCATGTTCTATTTTAGTCATGCTAAGATTTAAAGAAAATTAGAGATAAAGGACAAATCTTTAAAACTTGAAAGAAGAAAAAATATGAAAATACAATGTAGTATAATCCCAACAATCCAACAAAAAAAAAATCTAGCATCTGTCCACTCTCAGAAGCAGATGTAGAGAAGGGAAAAATGGCTGATGAAAGATAGTGATATAAATACAGATAAAGAAAACGGAAGATATTTTAATGGAAGAAAAAATGACAGAAGAGTAAGATTCGCCAAAATTATCATTAATATCTCACATCTTTGTGATCTTGAAAGAAGGAAATTAAAAGTAGGAAGAAAAAATAAAGAAAAGATGTTAAAGTTTGATAGTGATACTGATAGTAAAATCCTACTAGCAATAGTCTGTTTGTCACAGATTATATTAAAAAGTTGACTCTTAATTTATAAAATTACAACTGCACAGACTATGTTCTTAGAAACAAAATTCTGCAATCTTACTCACTAGAACAAAATAAAGGTGAAAAAAGATGTTCTTAGAAACAAAATTCTGCAATCTTAGAACAAAATAAAGGTGAAGAAAGATTTTAAAAAGGAAGAAAAGATGGTTAAAAAAATTCCAGGTCATATAAAGGAAAGATGAATTTAAGAGAATCCAGAAGTGTCTGACAAAACTTTAGCTCTACTGGTATGTACTTCTAATAATTAAAAGTAAACTCTATCTTAGTCTAGTCAATTTGTGTACCAAGTCTAATTGAAATCCTACCAAAACTATAGCAGGAGTAATGTTTTGAAAGATTATCACAGAAATTTCTATTTATAGTAGCACATGGAAACATCAATTGTTGAAATAAAAAAACAAGATATGTACAAAGAATTAATTATCTAAGTATAGTCTACTTGTGTACCAAGTCTTATTGAAATCATATTTAAAATAAAGAAGGAGGAATTACACAGATATTTTTATTTTTTTAGTAATCACGGCAATGCCATTTGTCATAAACAAAATCTGTTTACAGAATTATGTATCTTAGTATAATCTACATGTGCACCAAGACTTATTGAAATTGGACAAAAACTATGAGGAGTGGTGTTTTGAAAAAAAAAAATCATAGAAATTACTATTCTAGCAATCATGGCAACACCCTATGACAAAATCAGAAACTGATAAACAGAATTATGTATTTTAGTAGGGTCAACTTGTGTATTTTAAAGTACAAATACAGCTTTTCAGTCTTCCTTGAAACTTGATCTTCACTCAGCAGAGATGCAGTGTTTAGTGTGATGTCAAATCTTTTCTCATTCAATAAACTGCATTCCAACAATCTGTGGAAATCCAATGAGGACCAATTGTGCTCTTTTATTATAAGCTTTCCTCTTTTTATATTCCTATGAAGCAGAATTAATTCAAATACTTCTACATGAGAAGAAAACTCTTGCTGTGGCCTTCAAATCAACATTCATATATACTGATGATGTTTAATCAATTAACAATAGTTACTTCCAATCATAGGTATTAAAACTTGATATATCCCAGTGAATTCGAAATAAAAGACATCACAAAGTGTGTCATATTTGTTTCATATTTTAATAGATGTTTTATTTGTAGATAATAACCACCATTTGACAACTAAACTGTATGACAAATGAATAAAAACTGGAGACCAACACCCTAAGGTTCAAATTGCGGAAGATTCTCACGTGTGGATACCGAAAGGTATTCAATAGGGTCTGTACCTAAAGTTATAAACTAAAAGATATAAAACAGATCACCAACACTTCGTGAGAATGCAGCAGTAAATTTATTTGGTTGACCGGTTTCGACCAGAGACGGTCGTCATCAGAACAAATATACATGAAATGATTATACATGAAGTAAAAATTGCGGACTACGTTACTATGTAAATAAAAAATGCGGACGTCATAACAACTTGCGGACTAGAATCTTTACATTAATAATTTGACAACCATAATCGTGTGAAATTGTCACAAAACTTTACATTACATTATTTATCCTTAATGATTAATTAAACAGTCCATAAATTCCGTGGATGGTTATTGTTCTATTTTGTAAGGACTCCGGTAATTCATCTTGGCAGACAGTTTTTGTAGATTCATTGGATGCGGACTTTACAGGTAAGGACTCCGGTAATTCATCTTGGCAGACAGTTTTTGTAGATTCATTGGATGCGGACTTTAATAGTGAACTTGCTTGATATTTGTTTGCCGGTTTAATTCTGAAGATAGGGGTCTTAGTTGATTTTGGGCGGCTCTCGAATGGCGGAACATATTTCTTCGGTTTCTCTGCTGTTTCACGTGGATTTGAACATGTAAATATTAAAGAATCACTGTATTCCGTCTGTGGATGGTCCTTTATAATATGTCTCCTTACAACATCTTTACGGCAGTACGATTTTTTACATATCTCACAGTAATATCTTGTGATCGTTGGATTGTGGATGAGATTGAAGTGTCTTTTTAAATTGCTTAAATCCTTGAATTTCCGTTCACATCTGTTGCAGGTGATGTTGGCTTTTGGTTGCGGATTATTTGGGTCATCTGGGTTTTTCCTCTTGGTGTATTTAACTTTAGCCATATTTCTGGTTAAGTCCTAGTGGATGTAAAGTTTTAAAGATGTGGATAAAGACCTCTTCTGTTCTTAAGCGTTGATTAATGTTGTTATTGATTTTTAATAGCGGCGTTATGGAAACATCCTGTATGCTATGTAATTGTGACGTATCTGATTGTGACGTTGTGGATTGTGCCGTGAAATGGCGGGACACGGGTTTGTGTTGATTTGCATTTTTGATGTCAGCAAAGTGTCCATACATGCGTTCTCTAAGGGAATTGCTCGTTTGTCCGATGTATTGGATAGAACATTTTTTACATGTGATTACATAAATGACTGATGTGCTATTGCAGTTAAGGTTCTGTTTGATGGAATAAGTTTTTCCAGTTGAAGTAATACGTATACTGTTGGTTTTCCTGACAAATGGGCAGATTTTACAGTTCTCATAACACGGACTGCTTCCTTTACCTTCTGGAGTGGGGTTAAGGTTAGAATGGACTAAGATGCTTCTTAGGTTTGGGGGTCTTTTGTATGCTATTATAATTCTGTCCTTCAGATCGCATGTGTCAGGTGATTGTTCTAGTATGGTTTTGTATTTGTTTATTATAGATCGAAAATCTGGATTCAAGTTATTAAAAGTTGTTACTAAAGGAATGACACGTTTGCCTGTAGATTTTTGGTTTCCAATGAATAAGTTATTTCGGTTATGTTTCCTGGCCTTCTCTATTGCGTGGTCTAGTATGGATGGTGGATAATTCCTTGCTAAAAACTGTTCTTTTAATTTTATTGCATGTGCTTCGAAGTCTGTATCAGATGAGCATATGCGTCTAATTCTCAATGCTTGGCTAAATGGGATGCTTTTCAACATATGCTTCGGGTGGTTAGAATTGAAGTGTAGATATAAGTGGGCATCCGTGGGTTTGGTATACAGCCTGGTTGATAATTCTCCAAGCTGATTTATTTGCACTGTGGTATCAAGGAAATGGATCGCTTCTGTAGACTGTTCATAGGTGAATTTGATAGTTCGATGGAAATTGTTTAGACGGCACATGAAGGTGTGTAGATCCTCGCTACTGTGTGTCCAAATAAAGAATATATCATCTATATATCTCCACCATATTAGTGGTTTCTGAACTGACTCTTGGAGGAATTTATTTTCTAATTGGTCCATGAATATAATTGCATAGTTAGGTGCGCATTTTGTACCCATACTAGTTCCTTGAGTTTGTAAATAGTAATTGCCATTAAATTCGAAGCATGTTTTGGGTAAGATAAGATGTAGAAAACGGAGTATAATCCATGTTGATACAGTAGGATTTTCTCTAGTATCGAGTGCTTGTTTGCTAGCTAGTATGCCATCTCGGTGTGGGATTGATGTGTAGAGAGAAGAGACATCTGCTGTGACCAGGATGCTATTTGCCGGAACTGTTCCCAACTTATTGATTTTTACTAGGAAATCATTTGTGTCATTTTGTATGACAAATGAGATGATTTCAGCTTTTCCACCATCACCTTTCTTTATTACTCCCTTACTGGTGAAATCGGAGAGGACTGTAGGTTTCCTCCTCATCTGTCTGTCTGTCTGTCCCTCTATCAGCATTTCTAAATGCTTGCAGATATTAAACTGATTTTTGACATATGAGTGTACCCTGATAAGTTACAGATCAAGTTTAAATTTTGATCTGCTTCAATGATTTTTGATGGAATTATGACTTTTTTTTTATTTTTAAGGGGAGCCATAATTCTCACTTGGTTTTTGCAGGTATCAACAGATATTGAGCTGATTTTTGTTATGTGAGTCTACCTTAGTTAATAAGTTATAGATTAGGTTTGCTATGTTCTGCTTCAATGATTTTTGATGGAATAATGGCCTTTTTTAAGGGGAACCAGATTACACTTGCTGGTAGGGGACTAGTATTACTTACTTGCTTGCTTATGTAGTAACATTCCTCTATCTCCTGCATATAGTGTTTATGTCTCCAAATTATTCAATATGCAAAAGGATGCTCTGAGTAAGATCAATTTTTAAACAGAGGCAGACTACTGACAAATAAGTTGATGTTACAAGGATTTCAGCAACTTTACTTAAAGTCATCACCTTGTTTGCAAAAACAATGATCATTAGGTCATATTTTGACAGACATATTTCATACCAATTTTTAAGTCAATGTTTTTGACTACAATTGACAGGGGAAGCTTACTCCTCCTAGGCACCTGATCCCACTTCTGGAATTTCTAAGGGTCAATTTTTTGTGCTCTGTTCATAGATTGTATTGTTTGTAGGTTTTTTGAAATCAACCACTGTTCTTTATCTTCACTTTTTTTTCATTTGGACAGAAACTCTCATGATATATCACATAATCTCATCTGTGCCACACTGTCAACAGATATTTGCATGCCTTATCAATAATCTGTTTTAAAGTGATGTAGAAGCCAATCATCTTTCCCAGATCTTTACACACACACCAGGAAGTTTAAATACATTAAATATCAAAAAGAAGGGAATATGATTACAGTAGTATAATACTTGACAATAAGTTTGTCATCTGATCCCTGTACACAGAAGCAGGCTGGATTAAAGAGACCAGACAGATACCATTAAAGGAGGTAATAATTATGGGCCGATTTCTTTTGATATATACAGATAAATTTTGCTTATTACTTGCAATTTCACCTTTAGAGCATTACTATAAACTAGATTTAGACCAACAAAAAGAAAATAATTTGCCAATGGGTTGGTAGGTGGACTTTTATAAATTTTTTTAAAAATATTTTGTCCTGGACTTCTTTAAATAAAACATCTAAATTAATTTAGACAAATGACATAAGAAATATTGCTTTAAATCATTTCTGTAAGCTATTAAAATTTACAATCAAATTTTTTATTCTTTAGAAAAATTTAGATCTTCATTGAAAAAAAGGGTCAGCACTTCAACTTAGGGTTGCTATGAAAAGTGAATTTTTTTTTTTACTAGGCCTAATATCTAATTAATGAAATAGGTTAAGATAACAATATTTAATTAATGAAATAGGTAATATCTAATTAATGAAATAGGTGAAGATAACAACATTTAATTAATGAAATAGATAATATCTAATTAATGAAATAGGTGAAGATAACAAACTGATCAATCTCAACAAAATCTATAAACAAATTTGTAAAGAGGGCATTAAAAAACAGACTCCTGGAAATTCCAGAGGTGGGATCAGTTATCTAGGAGGAGTAAGTATCCCCTGTTGACAGGTCACACCCACCGTGAGCCCTATGTATTGATCAGGTAGATGGAACATTCCGTAATCAAATTCAGTATAAAAACAAAGGCTAACAATTGGTATGAAACATGTTAGCCAAAATACAACCCAGTGATAGATTATATTTGTTAACAAGGTCATCATGGTCATTGTTGACCACAGATTTTAAGAAATATTGACTTTAAAAGAGGACTTTAATATCCCTGTAACATCAACTTATTTGTCAGTAACAAGCCTCAGTTTGAAAATTGATTGTGCTCTTGAGTATCAGATAAACTGGGAGATGTGAACACCATATGCAGGTGGCTGAAGAAGTGTGAAGTAGTTATGGAGATGACGTATCATAATAGTATGATTGAAAGAAAACAGGGTCACGTTTTTACCAGTTGAACTTTGTAATTTATTTGTACGTGTATGTGCTTAAAATTTGGTAATTTTTTTTGTTTCCATTAACGTCCTTTCTAATGACTTGGCTAGTACAAATAGATCTTAGTCATTTGAATATACAACTTTTTAAAATTATACATATAGATATAGATGATTTAACAAATTCCCATCTTTTTTTCTATACTAGGACTAAATTGATCATGGACTCCCGTACAAGTGCACAGGACGAGATGCAATGTGACCTGTGTAAAACTGCTGTGGTACAGATGCACTGTGATACATGTCTTGTCAACCTGTGTAAAGCCTGTGTGGGAGAACACATGATATCTGATGAATCCAAAAAACACAAAATTGTTCGATTTATTCATAGAAAATCCACTCTTCTCTACCCTGGATGTACATCTCATATCAAAGAACGATGTGAAATGTACTGTAATCAATGTGACATTCCGGTGTGTGTCACCTGCCTTGCTTCTGATGAACATCTAGGTCATAAATTATTAAAAATCTTACAAGTTCTTGATGAAAAAAAGGATATGATCAAAAAAGAACAAACTGAACTAAATGAAATAATTTACCCAACCTACCAAGACATTGCCTCTGATGTACAAAACAGAATGAGTCAGTTAGAAAAGGAATATGGAGACCTCTCAACAGCCATAACAAAACATGGAGAGGACTGGCACAGAGAAATTGACAAACTTGTCCAGAAACTTAAAGCTGAAGTTGATCTGATGAAAAACACACAGCTACAAACTCTACAGGAACATCTGGATGAAATAAACAAGAAAATTTCTGAAATCAAAGATGAAATCGATTCAATTGATGTTGCTATGGATTCTTATGATATTTCCAAACTATTCAGTGTAACGTATGATATAAATAAACACAGAAATCTTCCAGAAAAAATAGTGCCCTCTTTACCTAAATTTACTTCAGGAAGAATCCAAAGAGAAAAATTTAGTAAAATTTTTGGAACCTTATCATCAAGTTCTTTCACTTCTGAAAACCAGGGCTACAGCATAAAGACAACACAGATTTCACCAGAAGCTGGATCCTCTCCTCCATCCAAACAACTGCTTGATGAACCAGAAGTTGTCATTTCTGCAGTCACTGGGTATGAAAGGCTTTACAATGTGGCCTGTCTGAGAAATGAAGAAATCTGGACAAGTGGGAATGACAAAATCATGAAATTGTTCAGCTTCATTCAACGATCACTGCTCAAGTCAATCAAAACCAAGTCAGGGAATGAACCAGAGGACTTAACAGTGACAAAAAGTGGAGATCTGGTTTATATTGATGACAGTGATAGGACTGTGAACATTGTGAAGAATGAGAAGATAGAGGAGGTGATCAGACTACAGAACTGGGAACCTCTTGGTGTCTGTAGTACCTCCTCTGGTGACCTCCTGGTTGTCATGGACACTGATGACAACAAACAATCAAAAGTTGTCCGTTACTCTGGCTCCACAAAGAAACAAACCATTCAGTTTGATGATAAAGGTCAACCACTTTATTCATCATCAAGAAGTATTTTTTTAATTGAATATAAATACATCAGTGAGAACAGGAACCTGGATATCTGTGTGTCTGACAGTGGAGCTAGAGCAGTAGTGGTGGTCAGTCAGGCCGGGAAACTGAGATTCAGGTACACTGGACATACTCCTGCTCCAAAGAACGAACCATTCAGTCCACGAGGAATCACCACAGACAGTCAGAGTCACATCCTTACAGCTGATCATAACAATGACTGTGTACACATCATAGACCAGAATGGACAGTTCCTCCGTTATATAAAATGTGCACATAGTAACCCCATGGGACTGTGTACAGACAATAATGACAATCTGTTTGTAGCTAAATGTGAAGGACAAGTGAAGAAAATCAAATATCTGCAGTGAAACCATAACTGAAGCATTAAAATCACAGAAAAACATTACAATAATTAAACTTTATACCATATAGATACAATGTATACCCTTTAAAGGGGCTAAGACACAGATTTGCAGTTAATATTTTCTCAAATTTTGTGTATAATATCATGACTTATATGTTGCTATAGCATTTCACACAGAAATATAATGAAAAAGTTATTTTATCTAGAAATTATTAAAACTACGAATTCCAGGACGTGTTTGATAGGCACATCCTTGCACTTTCACAAAGTAAATTTAATCCTTAATACTTAAGAAAAGTAGAAATTTTGTTGGGTGTTAATGAAAAATATTAAAACTATAATCCAGAAAATTCAGCGTTGAAATGTGAGAAAACAAAACCAACTCACCAGTATTGTCAGTCCGTGCTCAGTGATGTGTGCAGAGTTTAACAAATTCAATACATCCATGCAACATAAACTGTTTCAGTAAACAAGGCACAAGCTCAACATGTTATTGTTAATGTTTATGTTTCACAGGGTGTGTTCAATTTGTTAAACTCTGCACACATCAATGAGCACAGACTGACAATACTGGTGAGTTGGTTTTGCTTTCTCACATTTCTACGCTGAATTTTCTGGATCATAGTTTTAATATTTTTCATTAATACACAACAAAATTTCTACTTTTTTTAAGAACTAGTGATAAGGTTTACTTTGTGAAAGTGCAAGGATGTGTCAATCAAACACATCCCTAAATTTGTAATTTCAATAATTTCCAGATAAATAAGTTTTTTGTTATATTTCCATGTGAAATGCTATAGCAACATATAAGTCATGAAGTTATACAGAAAAATTGAGAAAATATTAACTTCAAATCTGTTTAAGCCCCTTGAAAGAAAATGAAAAAGTCTGTTGAATTAATGCACATGTTTACTGTGAAAGCCCTACTTTCTCTCATTAAGAAGTTATGACCAAGGTTATTTAAGTTTCTGTGATTGACAGATGGATGGACAGACAGACAAATAGGATAAATGTCCTTGCACTTTAAGTTTGTGTGACTGGCAGACAAATGAAATTTAGTGATCCTGCACGGGACAAAAGTTTCTTGAAATTGTTTCAGCCATTTCAGAGAAATTGCTGGCAATGTATAAAAGTTTACAAATAATAGAGGACACACCATAACAGACAAGAACTGATCTATAACAATTATCACCTGAGTGACTCAAGTGACCTATCAGAGTTTAGGGTTAGGATGATTGAGTCAGTGGGGTGAAACATGCAACAGTATATTTTTTGTTACAATTTATTCCAACATGTAGCTTAATTTGACCAACTGTGTAAATACCTCTGTAATAGTTGAAGAACCTCTGCTAGCTGCTTTCTTGACATTTTTTTTTCAGATCCTGTAAAGAACAATATATTGAATTAAATGTTTGTTAATTGAACTGCAAAATAAATTTCGAAATCCTACAAGCATGATTATTGCTAGATCTACACTGCAAAGTATAACAGTATCTAAATATTGTTCATTTTTTGTTTTCCTGGAAAAAATAAATAAAAGAAGCATGTTTACACTGATAAAAGTTTACAATTTTGGAAACCACATCCTCACAATGTTAAGGTTTTGTGATTTCGGAACTCCACACAAACCCTTGGCATATTTAAAGTCGCTATTTAAAAGTTGGGTTTGTGGTTACACATGACGTAATGGGTAATTATAAACTAACCAATGAGAATATATTTTTCAAAGCTGCAGTTTTCAAATTGTCCATTGATAACACAAGTTCTTTCTGCATTGTCACCATAATCAGAACTACTGTATAATCCCTATTAACCGCCCCTGCCCCTATAAGTGCCCCCCTAGGTCTTTTTCAATTGTCGGGAAATAAGGGCCCCCTGTACACTGTACAGTGATTTAAATCATCTAGAATGTATCGAAAGCCCACCATAATTTGAAGAAAGTGAAAACGAAACCTGATTATTGGGTAACTCGTATGTAAAAAATTCCTGAAAGTGAAAGATTTTTAGAACGACCTACCCGGTAATCATTTATGTATTTCTGAAAGTGAAAGTTACCTACAAAATTTGTTCTCCTTGTGTATTCCATAGGCACCCCCCAGCTTAATTGTTAAAAAATATATATCTTTATGTTTATAGTATAGTAGATATATATTTCTTAACAATTAAGCAGGGGAGTGCCTATGGTGTATTCTCTAATTTCTCGGTGGAAAAATGAACCATTAAGCATAATTTCCATGGATTATCTTAACTTAAAGGAAAGTTAAACAATCTTTTAGTGGTTCTCTGAATTTATTTTTTTTCAAAAATTTTCCTAATGGCGCCGGTTCTGATGGTTTCCTGGCACGTAAAATATCAAATCGTTGAAAAAGCCAGGAAAACGTCAGATATTTCGGACTAGTTCTAAACCATGAATAAGCTAGGTTCTAAAAGATTTATAGAGTGCATACATGCGCAGTGCTGACGCTTCAAGTGTTTGACTGATACACTTCCAATAAATTGTTTGAAATTTTTTTTTTAATTCTGCGAATTAAGCAACAAACGAACCCATAACAATCCTATTAATTTGACAAGTGGTCCCTACCTGTTGAATGTGGGATACTATGATCAGATGATGTGTCGAGACAGTTACGACTTTGAATTGATTATATTCAGTATTTATTTTACCTATGCTCCCTTAGATGACTTACCATACAGCAAGAAAATTATATATTACTTGATTAACGTTAAAATCATATCAAATAGCACTTCTGCTACCTTGCAATTTTCACAAAAATGGCGCCTTTCTTCGTTTTGTTACCTTCGAACGCAGAAGAGTTCCATCTCGGATTATCGGAACTCATCTAGGTTTTGCTTTGTCATTTGAAGAAAATTAGTTTGCGTACTTGACAACGGACAAGATGTAATAAGGTAAGTATCTAGTATAAACTAGCTTAAACCGTGCGATATTTATGTTTAATGGCGTAGATAAGAACTCAAAAATATATACTGATTCATTGTGGAAAGAATTAATACAAAACAAAGCATAAAAATATCGACGATACATATAGTAACATTTCGAATTTCCTCGGAAAATGTTTAGCATCGGGCCATTATTAAAATTATGCTTGTTTCCCCTAACCCGACCCTAAAATCTCAAGTTGGGTAGGTAGGTAGGTAAATATTTTTTTTTTCTGGCAGCAGCTTTGAAAATACATTTTGAAATTTAATGGAATAATACCTTTATAAATAAGAAAAGTACAAAAGAAAGTATTTTGTAAACAGAATTTCATTAAAACGACATTTAAAAGCAAAATATAAGGTAAATTAATTTTCAACTATTGTTCTATTGAACTTGTAAAATATGATGCCAGTGTAAATTTATTGAAATCGAATATTTAAGAGACAAGATTCTTGGATACGCAAGGACTGGAAATCTGAGTATTTTTTTTCAAACCTACTATCAGGTTCCAGTGCTTACACATGCAATGTACATTATCAAGGGCTTCAAATTGTGCAGTGGTCTAGAGCATTTCCTTTTTGGGTCCCGAAGTAAGGAGCTAATTTAAATTCCAAGTCGTAGGTTCAAATCCGAATGCGGAACGTTGAGACCGGTCCTTCCAATGAGACTGTAAAAAATTAGGTCTAGTGTTGCAGTAGATGTTGGCACGAAAAAGGTCCCTCACCATTAATGGCTAAAAGTGTCGAGTACAAGATTAAATTTGGGGCCCTTCACCGGGCTAATGTTCAACAATTCTCAAAGGAATTTTAAGCAAAGAAACAACCAATCTTCAGGGCCCTAATTAAGGGAAAAAAATGCACTGGACGTGTCAAGAAGCTGTATCATGATTTCAAAACTATTTGGAAAGGGTAAATAAATAATATTTAATGGAACAGAACCATATCTAAAAATGATAAAAATGTCATACACAATGTCAAAGTCGTGACGTTTAAGCCATGAATTAAAGGCATGAAAGAAAGGAACGTGTGAATTCTATTCATCAGTATTAAATATGCAGACATATTAACAACAACTCCTATGGTTCCATATAGTACACATAGGAGAATAGATGAAATTTTTATTAGATCAAAACTCAAATTAATTAAAATGCAGTGAAATTGATTGATGACATGTTCACGAGGAAGGCGAGCCTTACCATGTATCGTGGATACTAAGTACCTTAATTTTAAAAGAGAGGTTAGTAAATACCACAAAAAACAATCGTAATTAGTCGTGATATATTTTATTCGCGAAATATTTGAAGAGTGTAGGATTCTAATTACTAAAGGCATAAGGTTGATATGTCGCCGTTATTTATAACTCGAACTAACCCTCTTTGACCACATGTTGTGGGCACCATTTTTTTCCCCCAACAAACGCTTGAAAATCAAAGTTAACAAAATCTGCCTTTCTGATAAAAACAGATTTTGATGAAATTGTATTTTCATTGATAAACATTAAAAAAAATTACTGGAATTATCTTATTAAAAAAAACTTTTCAGTCAGCGCGATTTAATTGGGTCGGTCGCGTTAGGGGAAACAAAGGTATTTTTTATCTTGGCCTCGTGAACAGAATTTTGTTATAATTTCATCAGGAATAAACCTTACAGTATCGTTTATTATTTAATATAAACTTTTTTCTCTACAATTTTATTTTTATTAATGCATTTGAAGTATTGTACCGTCCGCTGATTAATTCTGTATCTTAGCCAGGAGTAATATTATGGTGTCAGTGATGGATCCCCGTATTGCAGCCATCATGGCTCAGTATGACATGCCCAGAGAAGAAGATAAGCCACAGGAGGCAGTACAGGAAGAGAAGAAAAAACCCAAACCCCCCACAAACTATGAGGAGTTCATGAATGCTGAGGGACTGGTACATTCCATTTTAACAGATTCCCATTTTAGTTCTGTGATCTTATAATTTCTTATCCTTTCTTGTTTCATTTAGATCTAGTAGTCAGATAAAGTGCATTCAGACCATTAACTTTTTAAATTAATTTCCAAATAAGATTTTTTTTTTGTAAATACTAGGAACAGTGACTTAATAACATATGTTTTGTGTAATTTCTGTGCTTGTTAATTTGGCAGTTTAGCTTAAAGTTGCAAAAAGGGAAAAAATAATTAAAATCACCATTCTTCAATATGGTAAAACTAAGTCAGTTATCAGGTCCGGCACAATCTCTTGATTAAGGTGGTATGGGATACCAAACGAAACTTCTCCTACATATTTATGTACCCAAATTAGAAGGATTTGAAATACCCCCACCTTTCAGTATATTAAAGTGTAATTTTAATAATTTTTTTATTATTTTAATGAGAAATACAAAAACGATTTTTTTTCTTGCATAATTCTTTTTCATAAGCTTAATATTATAGGCAGGCGTTTGCTAATTTAAAGTGTTTATAAAAACAAAAATGACAAGAAATATGTCTTAGTATTTTTTTAATTTTCAACAAAAAATAAGCGTAAAAAACTGGGAAAACTTTATTTCTTGAAAACAGACGGATAACATTTCATGAAAATCTACAATAAGAATGTATCTTGATATGTTAGCAAAGTGAAATAAACAAATTGAAAATATATATATATAAATGGAAAATATAAAATGCATTTAAAATTTTTTGAATTAAAAGATCCGAGCGGAAGAGTTATCCTTCTTTATTTTCCAAGGGCTGAAAAAACCTGGGTGCTATTTTAGAAATGATGAGCATTTTTTCCCAACCATAAAAAAATCGCACTTTGTAGTTTTCAACTTTGAGCGGTTTTGAAAACAATGCATGGACAATCGCTTTCCAGGACGTGTCTTGTTCAGAGCAATTGCATTCATCAGCTACGTTTTGGGACTATATACAACAGCTAGCTGATTTGTGACCAAACAGTTTCTTCTTGAATTAAATAACAAAAAAGTCCAGCTCTGGTTAACGTGATAATTGATTGGTGATAATTCAGCACAATGTGAAGTAATCGCACTTATCCATGCCTCACCGCACACAAGGTGCTGTACAGTTACTCAAACAATTGAAATACAGCTTTTGCTTAAAAGTGTTCAAAAGCAGCAATGTTGAAACTACCTTTTACAGGGGTTTGCTTTTTTAAATGTCCGTTGTACAATTATAAGTAAATTTATATACTTGCGATTTTTTTGTCTGTTTTTACTTAAAATGCCGACTTGTGAGAACTTGCATTGAAATAGGCTTCAGAGTGTTCTTTTCAACAGTGTATCTACAAATTTTGACCCGATAATAAGCACTCATGCAAATCAAAACAATACTTCAAACGGAAATACGTCATAACGTGGAGGTATCCCATACTACCTTAAGCTATGTAGCTTGATTTAGCTATATAGCTTTATCAAGCTATTCAAAATAGCTTGATAAAGCTATTTATATGCAGGTTTTCACAAAAATGTTATTTGTACAAAATAGACAAAAAGTCTCAAATATTTGACTATTCATATGTGTAATATGGGTTATCAAATCAACAACCCAAATCAAAGATAGTTCTAACATTGCGGCATTTGAATACTTTTAAGCAAAAGATGAATTTCCATTGTTTGGGTAACTGTACACTACCTTCTGTGCGTTGAAGCATGGATAAGTATGATTGCTTCTCACTGTACTGAATTATTACCAATCAGTTATCTTGTTGACCATAATTGGCCTCCTTTATAATTTCATTGTAGAAGTAACAGTATCAATTGCTTTATATAGCCCCAAAACTTTTAGAACTTTGAGTACAAAGTCTCTTAAGGAGACGCAATTTGATGAGTGATTTTTACATGCATTATTTTCATAAGAGTTCAAGGTTGAATATTATCACTGCATCAAGGTGCGACTTTTTGTGCATACTTGGAAAATAACACATTTGATTAAAAAGTGTGATAAAATAGCTAAATCAAGCTATTCTGAATAGCTTAATAAAGCTGTATAGCTAAATCAAGCTATATAGCTTAATCAAGAGATTGTGCCGGACCTGGTTATTGTAGGACAAATTTCTAGAATAGTGAAAATTAGAATTCCAAATACAAAAAAACCTAATTAAATAATTTATGATAAAAAAATTTATAAACATAAATCAGTCTGTTAGTACAAGTCACACACAGAGTTTTGAAAGGAGGATAGGAGAGTCTTTCAGTGAGATTTGAGTGCAACCCAACCCCAAATCTTGCCAGTATTTCTCACATTTTTTGTATATATGATTCATAAGAATCTCTGATAGAAATCAGGGTCTTTGTACCCTACGAATGTTTACACATATTTATTTTACAGGAGGAATGGCCCCAGAGATTGACATCAGAGGGGGCTTTGGATATCTCTGACGAGGCATTTCTACTGGGGAGTCAAGAAGACATAGCAGCCATCTTAAGGGAGTCGGCACGTATCCTATATTCCAGAATTACAGCTGTAAAATCAGTAGTTATCAAAAGATAGAATATTTGTGTCAGATATGATGTAGTTGTGTAGAAAAGGACACAAATTATGAAAAACAAAATAGAATAATCTCACTTGTATCTAGGTTAAATCTCTTTTGATTCTTAGATGATCCACAACCTAGACATGACGCTGCATTAAATATGAATTAACAACATGTATTAGTCTGATGAATTAATCAGCTATGTTGCATTTCTGGATGCAGGTTAATTTGGGTTGGTGTAAATTGTAAGGTATAGGATCGGATCTGTGTGATTTATATAACAAAGGTAAACTTCCTGGGCCTGATGGGTCACTAATCAAGAATTCAAAGATGTGTTTTTTGTAAATTGTTCATTTAATACTACAAATGATGGCAATATTGATGAATGATGAACAGTTTTATAAATTGAAATGGTAAAGGGCTATATTTGCTTGATTTTTGTCATAATTAATGTACCGGTAACTTGTTTGTAAAACAGAGTAAAGAACCAATGGCTTAATTTATTTTCAAAGAAAATGGCTGGTCACTAACAGTTCTTATCACAGTGACTAAATATGTATGAAGCCCTGGCCAAGTGAATATGGCAACAGATTCAGATTAGGACTAGATATAGTATTATATACAGTAGTATTTGCAAATATATCATACTGTAGTATGATATACTTGCAAATACAACTATTGAAGTGACTACCCCAAAAGATACATAATTATGAAATATCAAACCATAGAGTTAACTTACAGCAGGTGTGTCTCAAATTGTTACTGGTGGTACTTCTTTCACTGAGCTGACCTCTTAGCCCTGGGTCTATGCATGTTGTTATTTAAATTATGAACTCTGAGTTTATTAATGTATTCCTGAGCTGACCTATCAGCCCTGGGTTTACACATGTTAGAGGACCTAGAGGGTAGACTCGATAAGCTTGAGGACAAACTTCGTTTCTATGCCGACCAGGTTGTCACCGAGGAGAAGAAACTACAGCGTGAGGAGGACATTCCTTATGGAGTCAGTCGAGGTAAGATATAAGCTCGAGGATAAACTTTGTTTTTATAAGAGCCAGGTTTTGATTGGAGGAAAGAAAGTGCAGTGTGAGGAGGACATTCCTTATGGAGTCAGTCGAGGTATTGGTATTGCTTTAATAAAGTCTAGCTAGCTTGTATGCATTTTATTGTATACATACCCTAGGTTACTTGCCTCAGATGAAAGAAACTAATTCATTGTCAATATGCTGTCTTGGAAGTGTATAAACCTTAAAATTTTGTGTCATCTTCTTATCCTGACACAGGGATTAAATGTTGTTTTTTTTTTCATGAGTAGTCACATTAGTCAGCTACACTAAAATGTACAGAAGAAAACTATTTCCTCATTGCATGTCTGACATAAAAGAATTATTTGATGAACATGAAGGTCTTAATGCTGTGAGTTTATGTTTACAGCATTTATAACACAGATGGCTGAATCTGATGCTGTAAAGAGTCACCATAGTGCCAGGGGAAGAAGAACCATGGTACGTAAAATTAGTAAGGGTAATTAGCCTAAACATATTGGTAACTAGTCTAAAAGAAAAGGTAACTAGCCTAAACAAAATGGTAACTAGTCTAAAAGAAAAGGTAACTAGCCTAAACAAAATGGTAATTAGTCTAAAAGAAAAGTAACTAGCCTAAAAAAATAATGGTAACTAGTCTAAAAGTAATTGTAACTAGCTTAAAAGTAATGATAACTAGTCTGCAAATAATGGTAAATATACTCTAAAAAGTAGGTAATGGTAACGCATCTGCAGTGAAATTAATGGTAGCTTATCTAAAAGAAATGGTTATTTATTATAAAAGTAATCATCGGGTAACATATCTAAAATTAATATCAGGTTATTGAAAAGTAATGGTAACTTGTCTAAAATTATTGAGGTAACTTCTCTAAAAGTATAGTAACTTACTGAGAAGTGTATGATATTTAATTGAAAAATAGTGACAATATATCTAAAAGTAATTAATTGTAACTCGTGGAAAGTAATGGTAACATCTGAAAGTAATAGTAACTTATCTAAGAGTAAAGTTACTTATCTTAAAATCATGGTAAATTTTGAAAAAATATTGTTAATTTCTCTAAAAGTAATGATACCTTGTCCATCTTATCTAAAAGTAATTGCAGCTTATCTTAAATTAATGGTAATTTATCTCAATGTAGAATTAATCATAAATGGATCCAGTAATTAAGGATTAACATATCTAGAAATTAAAAAAAAATTGAAAATCACACTGAAAGTTATTAATCACTTCCTCATAAATGTTAAATGTGCACACTGGGAAAATAATTTTACTGTATAACCTGGGGAAATAATTTTACTCCATAACCCCCTCTCCCTATATATAATGTCTGCAAGGGTTTATTCACATCATGATGTAAATTACATGTTGAATATGTAATAGCTACCATTAACAATATACGCCAAGGCATGTGATGCAGTGGAGCTAATATTATGAAATAATAACATTATGTGTAATAAAAAAATTGAATTAACTTACACTCTGAAAGAGTTACTAGCAGTAAAAAAAATTAGCAGTGCATGTTTTTATATTAACTTAATGTAGAAAATGTGATTACATGTAGTTGTACCGTGATTGTAAAAAATTACAATGTATTGACTTTAATAGCAATTCATATATGTATTAAATAACTGGTCAAAAGCTTTAAAGTAACATTTTTATGTCATAATGGCTAATTTGAAATAATAATCATTGTTGTTTGTGGACTAACATAGTATGCATGATTATGTATTGATTTCAGAACAAAGAGGACTCGGTATAATTTTATTATAATATTATAACATAAATTAGCACTTCTATTTTCCACATGGTCCAATATTGGCATCACTTTATTTTCACTTTGGGGAAAAAATGGTTTAAAAAGTTTTTGGTGTTGGCTTATAGTGATATATATATAACGATATACTAGAAAAAAAATGATTAATGTAGATAACTGAAAAGTCATTTGCAATTAACAATTCACCTGCATTGTCTATGATCGAATCATTCAAGGTCATTATTCAAATGCTTATATCTGCTGGTAGCATGCAAGAAAATGTGGATTTTTGTGTCATTGTGTATGATAACAATTTGCATGTACATAATTCTAAATTTTGCCTGACCTATTAAACCATACTCATCCCAAATCACTTATTTTCCTGGGGTCAAATTTTGGTGGTTTGAGGAAAAAAAATTGGTTCGGAGGGATTTAATTTTGTACTTTACGAAGAAACATCATATACTGCATAAATTGAATTTTATCATTTCAGTTGAGGAACATGAATTCATGAGTCTCTCCATACCTTGAAAACTACAAAAATTTAACCTCCCTTGAAAATTAGTGATTGATTTCACAGTATTTATATTTAAATGTGATAATCTGCGTAAATTTTAATTTTCATGTATTGTTCTATACCTTTATACCGGTAATACATATGCATTAGCAAACCGACCCTTACTTATATAATATACATTATACACCATTTTAACTTGTTTCTAACCATCACATTAAGAATAGTCTAACATTTATATATCTGGCAGCAAAAACTTACATTTTTTTATAATCAGTCCACATATTCAGTAACAACCTTGACCCAAATATACCAAAACATTTTCAAGAACGATAAATAGTTAAACTACCACATTGTGAATATACATAAATTTATGTCAGCCAGAGTAGTTTTTAGCTCACCTGAGCCGAAGGCTCAAGTGAGCTTTTCTGATCACATTTTGTCTGTAGTCCGTCTGTCCGTCTGTCTGTCTGTCCGTCTGTCTGTCCGTCTGTCCGTCTGTAAACTTTTCACATTTTCGACTTCTTCTCAAGAACCATTGGGCCAATTTCAACCAAACTTGCCACAAAGTATCCTTGGGTAAAGGGGATTCAAGTTTGTTCAAATGAAGGGCCACGCCCTCTTCCAAGGGGAGATAATTAAGAATTCGTGAAAAATTAATGGCATCATTAAAAAATCTTCTTCTCAAGAACCACTGTGCTTGAAATCATGAAACTTATGTGGAAGCATCCTCAGGTAGTGTAGATTCAAGTTTGTTCAAATCATGACCCCCGGGGTTAGGGTGGGGCCGCAATGGGCGATCAAAGTTTTACATAGGAAATATACAGGAAAAATATTTAAAAATCTTCTTCTCAAGAACAGCAAAGCCATAATTGGTCATATTTATATGGTAGCATCCTCAGATAGTGTACATTCAAGTTTGTTCAAATCATGACCCCCGGGGGTCGGGTGGGGCCACAATGGGCGGTCAAAGTTTTACATAGGAATATATAGGAAAAATCTTCAAAAATCTTCTTCTCAAGAACAGCAAAGCCATGATTGGTCATATTTACTTGGAAGCATCCTCAGGTAGTGTAGATTAAAGTTTGTTCAAATCATGACCCCCGGGGGTAGGGTGGGGCCACAATAGGCGATCAAAGTTTTACATAGGAATATAAAGGAAAAATCTTTAAAAATCTTCTTCTCAAGAACAGCAAAGCCATAATTGGTCATATTTACCTGGAAGTATCCTCAGGTAGTGTAGATTCAAATTTGTTCAAATCATGACCCCCGGGGGTCGGGTGTGGCCACAATGGGCGATCAAAGTTTTGCATAGGAATATATAGGAAAAATCTTTAAAAATCTTCTTCTCAAGAACAACAAAGCCATCACTGGTCATATTTATATTGTAGCATCCTCAGGTAGTGTAGATTCAAGTTTGTTCAACTCATGACCCCCGGGGGTCGGGTGGGACCGCAATGGGCGATCAAAGTTATACATAGGAATATATAGGAAAAATCCTTAAAAATCTTCTTCTCAAGAACAGCAAAGCCATAATTGGTCATATTTATATGGTAGCATCCTCAGATAGTGTACATTCAAGTTTGTTCAAATCATGACCCCCAGGGGTCGGGTGGGGCCACAATGGGCGATCAAAGTTTTACATAGGAATATATAGGAAAAATCTTCAAAAATCTTCTTCTCAAGAACAGCAAAGCCATGATTGGTCATATTTTCTTGGAAGCATCCTCAGGTAGTGTAGATTCAAGTTTGTTCAAATCATGACCCCCGGGGGTAGGGTGGGGCCACAATGGGCGATCAAAGTTTTGCATAGGAATATATAGGAAAAATCTTCAAAAATCTTCTTCTCAAGAACAGCAAAGCCATAATTGGTCATATTTATATGGTAGCATCCTCAGGTAGTGTAGATTCAAATTTGTTCAAATCATGACCCCCGGGGGTCGGGTGGGGCCACAATGGGCGGTCAAAGTTTTACATAGGAATATATAGGAAAAATCTTTAAAAATCTTCTCAAGAACAACAAAGCCATCATTGGTCATATTTATATGGTAGCATCCTTAGGTAGTGTAGATTCAAATTTGTTCAACTCATGACCCCCGGGGGTCGGGTGGGACCACAATGGGCGATCAAAGTTTTACATAGGAATATATAGGAAAAATCTTTAAAAATCTTCTTCTCAAGAACAGCAAAGCCATGATTGGTCATATTTACAAGGAAGCATCCTCAGATAGTGTACATTCAAATTTATTCAAATCATGACCCCCGGGGGTCGGGTGGGGCCACAATGGGCGATCAAAGATTTACATAGGAACACATAGTAAAAATCTTCTTCTCAAGAACAGCAAAGCCATGATTGGTCATATTTATATGGTAGCATCCTCAGATAGTGTACATTCAAATTTATTCAAATCATGACCCCCGGGGGTCGGGTGGGGCCACATTGGGCGATCAAAGTTTTACATAGGAACACATAGTAAATATTCTTTAAAAAAAAACAATTTGTTAAGAATAGCAAAGCCATGATTGGTCATATTTATATGGTAGCATCCTCAGGAAGTGTACATACACATTTGTTCGAATCATGACCCCTGGGGGTCGGGTGGGGCCACAATGGGCGATCAAAGTTTTACATTGGAACACATAGTAAAAATCTTTTAAAAAAACTATTTGTTAAGAATAGCAAAGCCATGATTGGTCATATTTATATGGAAGCATTCTTAGATAGTGTACATTCAAGTCTGTTCAAACATGACCCCTGGGGGTCGGGTGGGGCCACAATGGGCGATCAAAGTTTTACATAGGAATACATAGGTTAAATCTTTTAAATCTTCTACTCAAGAACAGCAAAGCCATGATTGGTCATATTTAAATGGAAGCATCCTCAGATAATGTAGATTGAAATTTGTTCAATTCCTGACCCCCCCCCCCCCCCCCAACCACTTTTATATTTAAACTTTTCAACCTTTCAAGATTGAAGTGATTTCTGCTTTTTCCTAGCCATAGTGCTCAGGTGAGCGATGTGGCCCCTGGGCCTCTTGTTAAGCTAGCACTTGTCTGGAGACTACAAGATTAAGACTCAAGAGTTAATGAATCTTACTTGGGCTAGATTATATTAATACTTGAAGCTATTATGTACTACTTTTCTAGTCACTGTTAGAATTTTAAAAATCAAAATGGGATGAATTTTCCCATTCTTAGTTTAACAGGTAATACAGTTGAACTTCGGTATCTTGAACACGCAGATATCTGGAATACTATGGATATGACCAAGTGATTTTGAAGTCCCAACTACTTATTCCTTAAGTATTTTACCCTGGATATCTCGAATCCTTGGTTATCTCAAAGTATTTTTTCAGTCCCTTCGAGTTTGAGATAACGAGGTTTGACTGTACTTTAATGAACAATTAAATTCTAAAAGCTTTTTTAAATGCCCCTTGTATAATAGATTTTGAAAAATTGAAAATCAAGGTTGAGTCCATGTCACATGTTGATCAGCATGGACTTTTCTGTAACTTACCTGATTTAAGTGTGATTTCAGTACCTGTAATTACCTGTATTTACCTGTGATTTTAGGACCTGGTGGAGACAATGATGGAGACTAGGAAGAAGAGTATGGATTACTGCCAGTTCCCAGGGTTCAGACACGGTGAACTGATAGAGCTCCCTGCTCAGCTTGAGTCTCCTCCCATACTGCACAGGGTCACAAAGGCCCAAAACTTTAATGTAAGTATAAATAGAACTGTACAGGTTCACCAAGGCCCAAAACTTTAATGTAAGTGTAACCAAGGCCCAAAACTTTAATATAAGTATAAATAGAACTGTAAGGGTCACCAAGGCCCAAAACTTTAATGTAAGTATAAATAGAACTGTACAGGTTCACCAAGGCCCAACACTTTAATGTAAGTGTAACCAAGGCCCAAAACGTTAACGTTAGTATAAATAGATCCATAGGGGTCACCAAGGCCCAACACTTTAATGTAAGTGTAACCAAGGCCCAACACTTTAATGTAACCAAGGCCCAAAACTTTAATTTAAGTGTAACCAAGGCCCAACACTTTAATGTAAGTATAAATAGACCTGTAAGGGTCACCAAGGCCCAACACTTTAATGTAAGTGTAACCAAGGCCCAACACTTTAATGTAAGTGTAACCAAGGCCCAACACTTTAATGTAAGTATAAATAGAACTGTAAGGGTCACCAAGGCCCAACACTTTAATGTAAGTGTAACCAAGGCCCAAAACTTTAATGTAAGTTTAACCAAGGCCCAACACATTAATGTAAATGTAACCAAGGCCCAACACTTTAATGTAAGTATAAACAGACCTGTAAGGGTCACCAAGGCACAAAACTTTAATGTAAGTATAAATAGACCTGTAAGGGTCACCAAGGCCCAACACTTTAATGTAAGTGTAACCAAGGCCCAAAACTTTAATTTAAGTATAAACAGACCTGTACAGGGTCACCAAGGCCCAACACTTTAATGTAAGTGTAACCAAGGCCCAAAACTTAAATGTAAGTGTAACCAAGGCCTTAACTTTAATGTAAGTGTAACCAAGACCCAACACTTTAATGTAAGTGTAATCAAGGCCTAACACTTTAATGTAAGTGTAACCAAGGCCCAACACTTTAATGTAAGTGTAACCAAGACCCAACACTTTAATGCAAGTGTAACCAAAGCCCAACACTTTAATGTAAGTGTAACCAAGGCCTAACACTTTAATGTAAGTATAGATAGACCTATAAGGGTCACCAAGGCCCAAAACTTTAATGTAAGTGTTACCAAGGTCCAACACTTTAATGTAAGTGTAATCAAGGCCCAAAACTTTAATGTAAGTATAAACAGACCTGTAAGGGTCACCAAGGCCCAAAACTTTAATGTAAGTATAAATAGAGCTGTACAGGGTCACCAAGGCCCAACACTTTAACGTAAGTGTAACCAAGGCCCAACACTTTAATGTAAGTATAGATAGACCTGTAACTTGGGTCACCAACGCCCAAAACTTTAATGTAAGTATAAATAGAACTGTACAGGGTCACCAAGGCCCAACACTTTAATGTAAGTGTAACCAAGGCCCAACACTTTAATGTAAGTATAAATAGACCTGTAAGGGTCACTAAGGCCCAAAACTTTAATGTAAACCTAACCAAAGCCCAAAAGTTTAATGTAATTGTAGCCAAGGCTCAAAACTCTAAGTGTAACAAAACTATGCTGGGTCACCTGAAGGCCCATATCTTTGAAAAATGCAAATGAAATAATAAAATTTTAAGGGTCACCAATGCCTAGAACCTTTATGCAAGTGTCTAATAGGAAATAAGGAATTGCATTGAACAAAGCATAATTTGAACACCTGAACTATAACTTGTGTGAGTGCTAAGAGAACTTAATTTAGCTTTTGGGTTTCTTTCACTTTAATTGGAAAATAATATATTGAATTAACTTTGAATTATACACTGTATGAAGTACCTGTAACATTTCCTACTAAAGATCTAAAGATTTTTTTTTATATTTCATGGTTTCCAATCTTGAGACAATTCAACTGACTGATTTTTCTGACTTAATTATATTGACAAATTAGGTAAGATTTCTATCAGTAGCAAACACTTCTTGCCTGTTAGCCATTATTCATAAGGATTTTTTAAATATATATTGTTTAAAGTAAAACTGTATACAATTTGTTTTTAGCCTGGTTTTAAGAAGTTCTGGAAGAAGCTGTTTTTATCGGAGGCCTCAGTCGCTGTAATGCAGGACACGTTCTGGTGGTTCTTCCTGAACCGCTTTGACGTAAGAATTTAACAGCAGCTTAATGTCTTCATTACTTATAATGCTAACAAAATTCATTTGAAGAAGTGCTGGTAAACATTCTTAACATATTCAACAAATTAATTTGCAACAATTTTCATCCTCACAATGTCAAGGTTTTGTGATTTCGGAACTCCACACAAGTGGAGTTCCGAGATCACAAAACCTTGACATTGTGAGGATGAACAATTTTATGCCATGCCATGAATATTATAAGCTTTGGCATATAGTGTTTGTCATGTCCATCTTTCCCTCTGTCTGTCCATCTGTCACACTTTACATTTAGTTTAGTTTCAAAGACACTGTTCATGGTATGTTGACCAAAATGCTTACTTTTATAAATTTTGTTGAGAGCTATTCAAATGTGGCATAATTTTCTCATCTTGACAATACATGTGACCTTGACATCACTATTCCATTTTATGTGCTTAGCTCAGTTTTAAAGCAACTATTGAAGATATTTTTATTAAAACTCTTACACTGAAGAATTCAATGGTGTCATAATATTCTGATCTGGAAATTTTCCATGACCTTGACCCATTATTCCTTAATTTGCATTTAACTTAGTTTTGAAAGAGATGGTTCATGATTTTTATCAAACTTCAAACAAAGATGCAAATTATGAAAGCTATTTAACTGTGTCAGTATTTTCTGACCCTGACCTTCCATGTGGCCTTGACCTCAATATTCCCTATTTTGTGTTTAGCTCAGTTTCAAAGAGATATTATTATCAAAACTCTTACATTGATACATTCTAGTGGGAGGTATTCAACTGTGTCATAATTTTTTGACCTTGACCTTACCTATAACTTAAACACCATTATTCCTCATTTTGCTTTTATGTTTCAAATGAACTCTTAAAGATAAGAGCTATTAATTCTGATCTTGACCTTCCATATGACCTTAATCTCACTATTAAATGTTTTACATTTAGCACAGATAAGAAGAAATTATTCTTAATATCTTCATCAAACTTCATACTTACACTAATACAAATTGGTGAGAATTATCCAACTGTGTCATAATTTTCTGAGCTTGACCTTCCCTATGACATAAACTTAACTTTTTAAGATATTTTAACCAAATTTTATATACAGTTACTTATTGGAAAGAACAATCTAACTGTCATTATTTTTTTACCTTGTCAGACCTTCCTTTTGGCTTCATTCTTCTCATTACCACGACCTTCACTTTTGAAGATTTTTAATCAAACTTCATATACTAAGATTCATATTGGTGAGAGCAATTCCACTGTGTCATTATTCTCTTATTCTCTTACCATGAATTTTCCTACTGTATGACCTTGTCCTCAATATTCCTTCTTCATTTTGCAGTTACCTAAGTTCTGAATGTGAAAAAAATATATGCAAGTAAATTATTCCTCTTTCATCATATTTTACTATTATGATATCTCTCACCAAAGAAGGGTGGTACATTTCTGTTCATGATGCAATACAAATGTACCTTGAGCAGGGCATTCATGTCCTATGGACATTTTTCTAGTTTTTGGATTACAATACAATATGCAGACACTAGCTTTTATTAGAATATTGTTCCTTTTCCAGCGTAATAGTGAAGATGAGAAGAATCTTCTATATGACAGAATCGCTGATAGTTTTGTTGGTCTGTTTGCCAGTATCCACAAAGACGTCAAGGACAAATTTCTTTCGGTATGGAAAAGCTGGGTTGCATTTATGTACTTTAAATTGACACATCACATTTATATATTATCTATTACACTCTTTTATTATCTACAATCTGGGTTTCTGAGAAATCATGCTTTACCATCAATGTTTGTTTAACAACAACATCTGTGTTGTAGGTATACCCAGACTGCCTTGCTCAGGCTATCTACATGGCTTATTGGACAGCATTCCCAGAATCCCATGCCAAAATGGATGAATCCTTCAAACAAGACTTACTAAATGTTGTTCATGAGTGGGTTACAGGCAAGTCAAATAGAAAACCAAACAGAAAATAATTGGTTTGTAAAGAATAACTAGGTCTTTAATGAGTGCATTAATAAGGAACAATTAGCAGATAATATACTGCAATGTTCTTATGTGGGTCAGGTTTTGTCAACTGTCTAACAAAACAATTCTCTAAATTTTCGGTAGGATTAAAACCTGTTCCTGGAACCTGGAAAACATGGAACATACAGAAGATGGAGGCAAAAGCACCAAAAGGACTGGAGAGGGAATCGAACCAAGCAACCACGAAACTGATGCAGGCAGCCGCTCTCAATAAAGAAAGTAAGAAACTTATACATGGATTACATGTAGTGTAACAGGATAAACTCAGGAGGCAGAGAAATGCACTAGATAACAAAAATCAGTGCACGAAAAAACAAATTTCTATTTATGATTTCACCAGACTATTTCATCTAGGCAGTTACAGGGTATTCTAAAGCATTTAACCTAAAATGCAGGAGTAATGTAATGCTTTTGTTATAATTTTTGACTATCTTTTCAAGTGAATCTGAGTTTGGACATGGATTCCTTCAATAGAATGATGGCTTCTCTGGGTGGGAACCACACAGGTCCCCCTTCCTCTGTCAGCCCCACCCCCCAGAATGTGTCCCGAGAGATGACCAAACTCACCACGATGACAAACTTCACCAACATGACGAATGGGTTGTCCATAGCCTCCCACAACTTTAATGTCCCTCCCACTGCCCTGTCTCAAGGATCCACCTCTAGGCTGGCTACGTGTGGTACCACTTCTCATAGGGTGGAGAAAAAAGAGGTAGATTTATCAACAAATCTTGTATTAAATCAACCACTTCTCATAGGGTGGAGAAAAATTAAGAGGTATAGATTTATCAAGAAATCTTGTATTAAATCAACCACTTCTCAGGAGAAAAATTAAAGAAAAAGATTTATCAAGAAATCATGTAATAAAATAAAAAGAGAAAAAAAAAGGTTGATTTTGTAAAAAAAAAAAAATCTTATCATAGACCTTTACAATCTGGATTTTGCTTTAAATTAGTTTGCAAGAAATGAAATCATTAATTTAGAGTTTTGAAATAAAGCTGAAATGGTTTACATTAATTCACAATTAAACTTCAAATTAATGCAAATGCCCTACAGTCAAATGTGGATACATTACCAACTTTGCATCAGAATTAATCTTTTGATATGAGGCTTTGCTTCAAAGTTACTCTTCCTGAGTGCATAAATAAGGACCAATTTTGATATACAGTGCATTTGTATCAGTAAATGTCTGCATCTGTTTCAGTGCATTGTCACTGAGATTTGTGATGTGTTTTCTATCTAGCTAATGCCATTATCAGTTATTTGACTCTTCTATTTTAGTCTCACCAGCTGGGTCCTGGACCCGAATATGAGAGGGTCCTCTTCAATACGAGTGGTCGCAGTCCACTGATTTCACACTACCTACACCTACGACAACTCCGAGACTTTAAACAACCTGGCAAAAAAGTCCGCAGGACTGAGATATCAGCCATGCCATATCCTTTCTCATTGGTTAAATATAAGCCAATATAAATGCTTTAAATCAGTATGCCAACAATTTGAGCATGCTGCATATGATGATCAAATTGCAAAATTTAGAATATCTATAGAGAAAATAATTGACAAGTACATGTAATATTTGTAATATGAATTTCGCTATTTCTGTGACACTCAATTAGCTTATGTTTTTTTTTTTACCGAAATTTAAATTATCTTTAAGGTTTTCAGGGTGATAAACGGTAATATAAAATTTAAATATTGGAATGCTTTAGTTGGAACAATTATTGCCTTAACTTGGACACTCCTCCAGGTCCCACATACAAACAGCTGATAGAGACTCGCAAAGCCATGTCTGAGGCTCTAAAGAAAGAATACGAAAAGTCAGTAGTTCCAGCATTTAAACAAGCAATTTATCAAATCACTCTCTATGACACTTTCTCTCTGTACGTCTTGTGAAAATCTAATTTTTGAGTTTAATTTATATAAAAAAATATCACTACTTTGATATTTTTATTTTGATCATTGATGATTTGCTATTTGAGAAATATATTTGACCTTATTAATATTACTGCATGCTGAATTATTTGAGATATAAATTGATTGTTTTGTAGGATTTGTGATCAGACCCATAAGGACATTGTTGAAATTGAGAGGAAGAGGATCAAGACAAACCGAGAGATCAGTAATATTACTCGGGAATTAATGATGACCAAGAATCCCCTGGACATTAAGATACTCAGCGAACGAATCATGGCCATAAGGGTGAGAACAATCAGATAATGTTAACATTAGAGGAATCTAATTAAATTAAAAAAATAGCAGGTCATGTCCAAATCATTATTGTAGAAAAACAACATCAAAAAGCTTTTATTTGATATGACATTCCATTGTAAAGGTTAGGAGTTTTATCGAGTTGTAAATTAATTATTTTGATAACTTAGAAATTATCAAAATACTGATTTTTTAAAATTTTTTTGGGGGGGGGGGTGTATGATATGCATTAGAATAGCTGTCTGAATTAACTAACAAGCGTCTGTGTTTGTGGAAATAGGACTCTATAGAATTGAATGCTTTTAAGTAAAGATAAATGTCTCAATGGTTTTCTGTGACTTGCTTTAACAGGACGACAAAGATCCCATTTTACTGAGGAAACTAAACAAAGTATATATAAGAGTTTTACAGACATTAATTATATCGCACAGTCACATGATATGAATTATTGTGTAGTCACATGATATGAATTATTGTGTAGTCACTTGAAAATTCTGAATTATTGCGTAGTCACCTGATAATTATGAATTATTGTGTAGTCACATTTCAAACATTTTCAAAGACGTTGATAGTGTAAATATTGAACTTTTTGTAGGTTTATATATATGGAACTTAATGGATAAATAAATGAAAATTATCCCTTAAAAGAGTTTTAATTTAATTTGTGGTACACTCTTAATGATGAGAGAAAAATTTAATACTCTGCACTTTTTAAGATTTTAATTAACTTAAATATTTTGTCACATTTGTTAGCATCATTGCGTACAATTGAAACACTGACCAAAACATTAATTAATGACAAATTTCGAAAGTTTTTTTCTTTCAGGTATATAAATATCTGTTATAAATTATCATGCAATTATTTTCGTATTGGTTCGAATTTGTAGAAAAAAAAATAATACCTTATCAAAAACCAAAGTATATTAATATAACAAAAACTTCAAAATCCCTGTTTAGTACTATAAACATGGATATTTTTACAGGGTAAAATTTTGCAAATTTCAGTATTACAAAACAATTGTGTCTGGGTTATTTTTGCAGAACATAAAGAATTCACAAAATTGATGGTATTTTGTTTAGTATTATACCTCGATCTTTTCAAAACCGATCATGCGGTGATAAATGTTGCAAAACTTTACTCACTGCAGAATTTTCCCCATTCAATCATTTCCATGTTTACAGTACATGTATCTGTTTTACAATAAATGTTATTGTTTACTAACTCCTGTAGAGTAATTTGTGATGTTATGTTGCTTACAGAACATGAAGGTTGTAGAGGTATGAAGGCTAACTGTGTGTGTTTGCATCTCTCTGCGTAATCAACACCCCACCCCCTCCCTTACATTGTTTTGCATGTTTTCTCTTGATTTAAAAACCAAGATGCACCATATACTGCATAATTATATTTCAGCTTGAGTACAAAACAAAACTGACAAAATTAAATCAATCGGATCAGGTGGGGAATATAACTTAATTCAAATCTGTGACATCAGAATAGTACTTATGTTTGAAGTTTGTATTAATTTTTTAATTTATATATTATTGTATATGATAATTTTCTTGATAATATTGTCATATTTAAGTTAACAGTAAGAAATGCATGTGACATTATCACATACATACAATTATAGCAATTAATATTTAATGTTTCTCTACCCACCCCCTACACTGTTTGAAGTGCCAGAATCACCCCTACTGTTGTGTGTGACATTCCACTTACAATCTTTATCATACATGTGCACTTTTCACTTTTAATTCCAGACACCACACATTGCATTTATTTTAAACTGTGCAAACTTTATGCACATGCAAATTTTGGATGCTTATTCAAAATTTCATTCATATACATGTAATATACTCGGCACAACTTTTTGTAATGCAAGAATATAAGTACATTTTTCATTGAACCTTTTTAAAATCTTATTTAAAAAAACGAGCAATTGTATAGCAACTTATTCTTTTCAATTATGAATTGTTATCTTAAGTATTTCTGTAGAACAATCAAGTATACTTATTCATCTCCACTACTAAGTAGATCCAATATACCTCTGCTTTGTAGAGTGAAAAATGTGGATGATTTTAACCACCAAACTCGGACCATATTATGTATTTGGTATTCTATTGTAGGAGCGTGATCGAGACATGTCCCTTCTGGACAAGGACTCTGATGCAGGACCTTTGGACAGTGGACCAGGTCTGGAGGAGGAGGAGGAGTGATACAGATCCCCCAAAAGCACTGTGATAAGGGAGATAACTCCCTAGTGATAGGGGAAATAACTCCCTATTAATAAAGGGAAATAACTCCCAAATAGACACAAAGTTATGTGATTCATGTGTCATAACTTGTTTTTTTTAAATATGTTTCATATATATTTAGTTGAAAATGTATACATTGTGAACATCTTGTGCAAGTTTTGACATGCCTGAATAAAAACCAGTTGAGTTTAGTTGTCTCCTTTAATCAATTTATTCCAGTCAACCATTCCAGTTCTCTTCATTATTTTCAGCTATGAAAAGTATACATTTATTAATAAATGTAAAAAAAAAAAAAAATATTTGATATATTATTAAATTTTACAAATAACACCAAATTGATCATGAGAGTAATACTGAGGTAGATAAAAAGATCACACATGTCCCTGATAAAAAGAATGTACGTATCACAGTTTATGTAAAAATAAAAATTGAGGATGATTCTAGTATATTGTAAAATCACTAATTTCATGGGGTCAAATTTTTGTGGTTGAAGCAAAAAAAGGGGGGTTCAAGAGAATTTGATTTCATGGTTGAAGACTGATACAGTTGAACTCCAGTGTCTCGAACATGGATATCTCGAATACTTTGGATACGTCGAAGTGATTTGGAAGTCCCAAACACTTTTTCTTTAAGTATTTTACCCTTATTATCTCTAACCCTTGGATATCTCGAAGTTTTGAGATAATGAGGTTTAACTGTATTTAAAAATTGCGTTTTGTTGAGATCATAAATTGAACCCCCACAAAAAATAGTAATTTTACAGTATCTCATTACTTCATCTGCATAATTTATATATATATATATATATATGAATATGAGAATCAAAATAGTGGATTTTTATATAAATTGTGCAATGTAGATAACTTATTACAAAATGCCCAGCTCTCACTTGAAGGCAGATAAGTACTCAAGCCTTGCTTTGACCCACTCAGCCTCGCTATGCATGTCATGTTTTTGGTAAAATCCCAATAACTTTTTATATCTCTCTGTGACATCAAACCCTACCAATGTCTGAAGTTTATGGAGGTCAACTGGACACAGATGAATGGGCTGACGGAAGTCTTCCTGTAAATGTCCAGAGCCATTCATACAGCAGTCGTAGAAAATGCAGTGGTCAATTCCCAGCAGATGACCAATTTCATGCACTAAAAGCTTGCAGCTTCTTTGTAATATGATCTTTTTTCGCTCCTCGGTATCGATTCCTTTTAAATTCTGTTGTATTCCATACCAGTCTCCAATATCGAAGGTCAAGGTTGGATCATATCTAGCAAAGCTAAAAATAGCCACTCTGTGCTTCCCTGCTGCCATCCCTGCCACAAAGAGGTCTCTATCATCACCATAGAGATCAGACATTGTCAAGGCAATCATGCACAATGCATCATCTGGGATCCTCTGTTTCAGCTTTAATAAAACCTCATCTACACATATCTGGTAGTGTTTTGGTTTAGTGTTAAATCGGGCATTCAGTGTGTGCTTTTTTACTCTGCTGCTAATTCTTTGAGCTCGGGAGGATGCCTCAGATTGATTGTCCTCGATCCAAGAAACAGATCTGTCTTTAATCTCAAGTTTGACTCCAGGCAGAGAGACAACATCAATCCCAAGGTATATCTGTGAAAATTCTTGAAGCTGATCAAAATCCACACAGTGGTCGCTGTTAAACTCCCCAAGGGGAAGTAAAAAGATTTTACCTGCAGGGTATTTCTCTAGGATATTTTTCCCCTTTGGTTTGAATGCTTGTTTCATGTATGCCCACTTTCTTGAGGATAGCCATGGACACTCCTCACAGAATTCCTTATAGGTTTGGCCCTCCTCACAATATTGGGCCAACCAGTCATCGATGTCTGTAGGTTGTGGCACTGTTGAGAAGAAATTATCAGTGTCACTACCTGGGGAAAACTCTGGAAGGTTTTTATCATTTCCAATAGCTGAAAGCTGAATTCTCTTGGTAGGTGGTGTAAATCCTCTGGCATATGGAAGAAAACGCTTTGATGAAACTTTGGTCTTTTCATTTATCTTTGACATCTCTGTAAATACAAAGTACAAGACCTATTCTCGGATGTTTGATCAGTGTCCATCATCAATATTGAAACATAAATAGATCCCAATCCTCATACATTATAAATAATGTCAAGAACCCTGTAGTATAATATCTACAATTTTTTATGACCCCGAGAAATGAGAGAAATCATATTTCTCAGTATCAAAATATCTATATAAATCCAAGTCATAAACATGAATTTTCACATAAAATGTATGTACATTGTCACTGAATCATTTAGTATCAAAACAGGTTAAAATTAATTCACCTTTCTCAAAGATCATGCGAATTGGTCACGTCTGCCTACTTTCGTTTCGGAAACGGAAGTTGTGCAATAGGGAATGCTAGAGTTATCTTTGCATGTGATAGATGTCGCTTTCAACGATCGGAACTTCTTGGACTTTTCTAATCTCTTTGATCGAAAAGATCTAGTATGCTCCGATTAAACACGCTGCTGAGGATAATATGGCGCTAAAAAATAAAGAACGGCTAAAATGTTTAGAGTCATTAGGGTTGGAAGAAAATGCAACTGAGGGTATATGCATGCACAGAAACTGTTGCTTATTTGAATGCGTTTTATTCACAACATTATCCTTGCTTTCCTGGGTGGTAGTTAAGTCAAAAGTTTCGAAAACGAAGTCGCCGAGGAGTTATGTTACTTTCCAAAAAAAAAAGAATTTTCAATATTTTGATGTTTTTAATGACGAAATGAATTTGTATTTTGTCTAAACACTAGGTCATATTTCATGAATGCATGTAGAAAGAAAGCATTGTACACACTCGGAAGTCAAAGGTCAAGGTTATTTTGAGGTGTAGATGTAGTATATATACTTTGTACTGTTCACAGTAATACCTATTTAGCATTGCTTGCACATACAAGTGAAATTGCAAACTTCTCTGAATTCATGCTAAAAAGCATTTTAAAAAAAGAAAAGAAATCCATTAGCTATAATTAAGATCACCTAAAAAAGGGTACAGGTCTGTGTAAAGGCTTTTTTTAAATGATTAATTCATAAAAGTGCATGACTGACATACCAGAACATCAGTTCGTATCATAATCAAAATCATATATATTGGCCAATGGGTCGTTAGCAAATTTAGAGATTCTTACATCAACATGAAAGGCAAGGTCAGCAGTTGAATACAGGCGACTAGAAATGAAATTTATTGTCTTGGTAAAGACATACACAATGTAAAAGTGGAAGCTTTGGCAACATGGAAACAGTGATGATGTGTGGAATGACTAAAAATCTTCAAAGTTTCCTCTCATCAACTTTAATATTCTTGTTAAAGAATACTGTTAAATACTATCAAAACGTCGAAGTTTTCACCACCATATTTCTGCAATATTGAAATTGTCAATTTCTGAACCGTTCAGTATAACAACGTTTACTGTATTTTGTTACCAAGTAGAGCAATAAACCTTTCCTGTAATTTTATGTATAGCAAATTATGGATATACCAAAGTTTGCTATTCCTGCATGTAGATTAATTTGCATTTTGTTATACTTAATGTAAAACTTTTTTCGTTTGTAGATGAAATTAAAAGAGCATATAAAAATTTAGCACTGAGGCATCATCCAGATAAGGTATCTTTTTAAAACATCCTTTTTAGTTCCCATTGCTATGCTTTCTACTTCTAGTTTTGCTTTGTTGTGTATCCTTAATGGTCTAAAACATGGTGGACTGCCCTCTGTGGAGTAGTGACAAATAAATAAATATCATTTAAATGCAATGCAGTATCTTTAGCAAAGAATTAAAATAAGTCTTTCTCACCATATATACAGTTTATTTTATTTGTATTGAGCAAAAAAAGTAACAAACTGAGAAAAACTGTAATGCTTTTGATGCAAATTACCCTGTAAAAGCTAAACTTTGAATGTAGGGTTAATGCAGTTTAAATGTTCTTTTTTTTTAACATTCATTCAGTTGTTTACCTGTTCATGCAATTGAATTATTAATTTGAATTCCAGAATCCTGACAATGCATATGCCACAAAAGTTTTTCAAGAAATCAGTGAAAGTTACTATCTACTCACAACAAAATATGCAAGTAAGGCTTCTTATTATACCCCCCGCAAACGAAGTTTAGGGGGGGTATATTGGAATCACCATGTCCGTCTGTCTGTCCGTCCGTCTGTCTGTAGACAAGATTTTGTCCAGTCTGTTTCTCGGAAACTATTGCAAGGATTTGTCTGAAAATTTGTACACTTATTATTCACCATATGAAGGTGTGCACCTGGTTTTTTCATCATGATTGGATAATTTTTCTGCATTTTACAGGTGTTTTTTTTCATTTTTATTGTGTGGTTTTGTCCGAACCTGTTCTCAGAGGCTATTGCATAGATTTGTATGAAAATTTGTACACTCATTATTTACCATATGAAGATGTACACCTGGTATTTTCAACATTATTCGATAATTTTTCTGCATTTTACAGATTTTTTTTTTTTTCATTTCTATTGACTTAGTCATTATGGGTTTATAAATGTCTAAGGTTTGAGACATAGAATCTAGAACATCTGAAGTGTACAAAAATGTGAACTACATCTTAAAACTACTCATTAAAACTAAAAAAAAAAAAACATCACCAGATATTAAAAACAATTTTTACATTACACAGCAGATAGTGTAAATCCATTTGTCCCTTGGGAGTAATGAGTGGACATGGATCCAGTTAAAGATTAATTAATGAGTTCAGTGTGGGAAGTTGTTAGGGCATCTCTGATCAAGCAGGTGTTATCTATATCTCCTGGGAATTTGGCAAAAGAATTAAAGATTTCTGTTCTCTAATTCTCTTAATTGTAATTTATTGTCTGTCAAAGCACTGACCAGCCTTTTATTTTTAAAATAAATTTGATATAAAGTTATCAAGATTAATTTGATTTCGTATAATACATGTATGTTGTTTTTTTTTCAACAATCAATTTCAGTGTCATCTCCCACAAAGATGAAAGATAGTTGCAATGTATTAAAAAACAAAGTAATTACAATGTATTAGTGTTGTTATTTTATTAGGTTGCACCTTAGTTTCATTCATTTAAAAAATATAATGAGCAATTATATTTTTACTCTAAATGTTTATAAGAAAATTGTGAATATAACCACTTAGATCCATAAAATATTAGTAATTTGGCACCTTCTCTAAAAAACCCAGCGGGGGGTATTTGTCCCTTTTGGACAGTTCTAGTTACAAAACTTAAGACCAGTAAGACCAAGAATGCAGTCATAAACAAATTTTTGGGGGGAAAGGGGGGGGGGGGGGTGTTTTCATGGAAATGATCACAGAAAAGACTTTTATATTCACATTGTTAGTTTTGTACATCAAATTTCAAAATTTCAAGGGACTAATAGTAATCATTGTGCCCATTTATCTGTCCATTTTGTCATCTCTTTATGTGACATGATAACGTTAGTAACTGTTGAACTATAGACCCATATTTTCTGGTGGAGAGAAGAGGAAAACACCTACTGTGAAATCACTAATTTTTGTGGGGGTTTTAATTTTCATAAGATTGTTTTCGAGGTACGGAAAGACGCACAAATTCATGTTCACCATGAAATGTAAAATTTCATATGCATTATTGCTCAATACTTTTCCAACCCTGAAATCAAATCCCCACAAATCATTTTTATGCCCCGCCATGAATATGGCCGGGGCATATAGTGTTTGTCATGTCCGTCTTCCGTCCTTCTGTCCTTCCGTCACACTTTGCGTTTAGCTCTGTTCAAAGCTCAATTTCAAGGAAACTATCCAAGATATATTTGTTAAACTTCCTATGCTGATAGTTATTGATGAGAATTATGCAACTGCATCAACATTTTTGGACGTTGACCTTTCCTTTGACCTTGACCTAACTTTTCTTAAATTAGTGTTTAGCTCAGTTTTAAAGATACCATTCAAGATAGTGTAATCAAACTTCATATGTTGATACATACTGATGTAAGCTATTCAACTGCATCAACATTTTTTGACCTTGACCTTTCCTTTGACCTTGACCTCACTTTTCTTAAATTAGTGTTTAGCTCAGTTTTAAAGATACCATTCAAGATAGTACAATCAAACTTTATATGTTGATAGATATTGATGAGAGCTATTCAACTGCATCAACATTTTTTGACCTTGACCTTTCTTTTGACCTTGACCTCACTTTTTTTTTTTAAAATTAGTGTTTAGCACAGTTTTAAAGATACCATTCAAGATAGTGTAATCAAACTTCATATGTTGATACATACTGATGAGAGCTATTCAACTGCATTAACAGTTTTGACCTTGACCTTTCCTTTGACCTTGACCTCACTTTTCTTGAAATAGTGTCAAACTTCATATGCTGATACATACTGATGAGAGCTATTCCACCGCATCACTATTTTTTTGACCTTGACCTTTCCTTTGACCTTGACCTCACTTTTCTCAATTTGTGTTAAAATGTTGCATTACTACTCGGCGGGGCATTCATGTCCTATGGACATATTTGTAGTTTTATAAACCTCAAAAATGTGACTCTACGAAAGTATGTGATTTTACAGTATTAGTTTCTGGGATCCTTTTGGATCAAAGTTCAATATTTATTCTGTAATCATTAACCATTTAAGCGTTGAAAACAATTTAGATATTTTTATGCCCTGCCTTAAATATGGCCGGGGCATATAGTGTTTGTCATCTCTGTCTTCAATCCTTCTGTTCTTTCATCTGTCCATCCATCACACTGCATTTAGCTCACTTTCAAAAAAGAAAAGCTATTCAAGATATGTGAACCAAAATTCTTACACTTATACATATTGGGGAGAGCTATTCAACTGTGGCATTTTTTTTTTTACCTTGACCTTCCTTGTGACCTTGACCTCACTTTTCCGTATTTTGTGTTTAGCTCAATTTCAAAGTCACTATTCAAGATATTTTTATAAAAACACATACTTGGATACATATTGGTGAGAACATTACAACTGTGTCATTATTTTTTTTTTACCATGACCTTCCCTGTGACCCTGACCTTACTATAACCTATTTTGTGCTTAGCACAGTTTCGAAGCAATTATTTAGGACATTTTTTATTAGATTTCTTAGATTAGATTTTCACTGATGCATACTGGTAGGAGCTATTTAGCTGTGTCATATTTTTCTGACCTTAATTTCCTATGACCTTGGCCCTGTTATTCCTTATTTTGCATTTCACTTATGATACTTTTGATATTTAACTCAAACTTCTTACAAAGATACAATTAATGAAAGCTATTCATCTGTGTTATTATTTTCTGACCTTGACCATCTGTGTTATTATTTTCTGACCTTGACCTTTGCTGTGATCTTGACCTCACTATTCCTCTTGTGTGTTTAATTCAGTATTTAGTCAAATATTAAGATATTTTTATCAAAACTCTTAACACCGATAAGTATTAGTGTGAGCTATTCAAGCATGCCATAATTTTCTCATCTTGAAATTCCCTATGATCTTGAATCCATTACATTACATTGTATAAGATGTTCTTTTTGTACAGAAGACAAAAGGAGGAAAATCCACATGTGTTCAAGCTGTGGAAACATCCATTACATGGACAGTGATGATGAAGACTTTTATGATGATTATGATGAGCAATATTTTGAAGATGATGATGATTATTACGATAATTTACCATGTGATGATGATGAAGAATCAATAGTAAGAACTCATTGCTTATTTGTTAAAAAGAAATCTAGATTTCTAAACAGGTGAAATTAAAATTTGTAAATGTTGGGGGGGGGATTTTAGTTAGTTATTTTTGTGTAGTTTACTATGAATCACAAATTACTTGTTAATTCTAGCAGTGACTAGCAATGTCACCAGACTTTCTAGTTTTATCAATCAATATGCTTTCTTTCAGTTGTGGTTTTTCGGGCGATTATTTTATGATGTTTTTGCAGACTTTGTATTCGAGAGACGTAAGTTTGAATACCTTTTATATCTGCTTTGGTAGTTACAACTTGAAGTTACTGAAGAAAAAAAAGGAATCTTATATTAAGATATAAAATACAGAAAATACTTTATTATTCCATTTAGTACTGCATTGGCATTTGGCATAAAGTAACATGCTAGTTGCAATGTATAACAAGGAATAAAGGTACTTTATGCACTAACAACTAACATGAAAAACAAAAAAGTACCTGTAAATAATTTTATTAGATCAGTTTTTTTATAAATGTTAATTTTCTCTTCTGTATATGATACTTTATGAGACAATTATACAAATTTTTGTGTTTGATATAACTTCTATTATTTTTGTGCAATTTGCTCCTTCAGAAGTGATATATAATGTATATACTTCTGCATTTACAGTTTTGCAATTCCAATTTGTATGCATTACCAAGGATATACATGATATAGGGGTAGCATATCTAGCAATTCTAATTTTTTACAATTTTGCTTGAAGCCAAATACTCTGCAAAAACTGAACAGCCACAGACATTACCCAAAATGTGGTGCATCAAATTAACAGGATATTTTAAAAATATTGTTTAAATGGGAAAATTAGTTTTTAAAAATGACTACATTTTTGAAGGATTTCAGTCCAGTAAGAAGAAGTCCACGAAGTGGACAGATGACGAGAAGGAAGAAGACAGCTTTTTTGATTCCATTTTCAAGGTCAGCAGAATGTTTCATAAAGCAGAGGATACTAAAGGCTTGTTGGGGGATACTAATATCTAGTCGATGAGATGAGATACATTGTGAACTAGCAAAGCAAATTCTCAATGATTTACATGTATTTGCAATATACATTTAGCTATAGCTTGTATTTCCTGTGGAAATGATTGTTCATGATTTATTCGTGAATAATACTTGAAATATAATTTTTATGCCCCGCCATGAATATGGCCGGGGCATATAGTGTTTGTCATGTCCGTCCTCCGTCCTTCCGTCTGTCCTTCCGTCACACTTTGCGTTTAGCTCTGTTCAAAGCTCAGTTTCAAAGAAACTATCCAAGATATTTTTTATCAAACTTCATATGCTGATAAATATTGATGAGAGCTATTTAACTGCATCAACATTTTTACCTTGACCTTTCCTTTGACCTTGACCTCACTTTTCTTAAATTAGTGTTTAGCTCAGTTTTAAAGATACCATTCAAAATATTGTTATCAAACTTCATGTGCTGATACATACTGATGAGAGCTATTCAACTGCATCAATATTTTTTTACTTTGACCTTTCCTTTGACCTTGACCTCACTTTTCTTTAATTAGTGTTTAGCTTAGTTTTAAAACCATTCATAATATTTTTATCAAACTTCATATGCTAATACATACCGATGTAACCTTTCAACTGCATAAACAATTTTTTTTTTTGACCTTGACCTTTCATTTGACCTTGACCTCACTTTTCTTAAATTTGTGTCAAACTTCATATGGTGATACATACTAATGTAAGCTATTCAACTGCATCAATATTTTTTCACCTTGACCTTTCCTTTGACCTTGACCTCACTTTTCTCAATTTGTGTTAAAATGTTGCATTACTAATATACCCTCGGCGGGGCATTCATGTCCTGTGGACATATTTCTAGTTTAAAAACATTGTAGGTTAAATTTTCACTAATATAAGAAACTTCCACATATTATTATTGCAATATAAATAAATGGTTATATGTATTTTTTAGATACATTTTACATATAAATTCTTTGGCTGCTGTTTGATTTTTTAAAACTCTTTAAAGCATTAATGGTTTTTGTTTTTGTTTTTTTTTTTTTGTTTTTTTTTTTGGTAAACTAAATGGTGCAGAGTAATAAAATTTTAATTTTTTCATATAGAAATATAGACCACCACAAGATGTTGAGCTGACAGAAGAAGATGTGAGTTTTTTCAAGTATTTTCAGAGTTTATTTAAATGAAATAATACCATAAACAGGGTTATTTTTGCCCTTTCACACTTGAAAGCAATATTGCCCAATTTTCATTTCACCCAAACACACCTGTATAAAAGAGATAAATGCTATCTCCATAGAGTTCGCATTTTTTTAAATTCACCTTTTGATGTGGCATAAGGGAGGAAAATAAACCAGAGGCAAAAATCTCCCTGGATACAGTATTCCAAACATGTATTAAACAATATCATAGCAAATACAACATTATAATAAAATCCATTTATTCAGAAAAGAAACTTTTGTTGGGTTCAAATCCGGTTCCCTTGTTTTACAACATAGTGATATAATTTATAGATGCTTTGAAATAAGGAAAGCCATGCTTACAAAGTCTTATTTTTTACAAGACAGATTCTGAACATATATTTATAGTCTCTTTCACATTAACTTGTTTCTGGTTTTAGCTGAAGAAATTTCATTCCTATGATGAATGGTTGAAAGCCAGACATCCTTCAAAAAGACACAACCACAGGATGCGGGTAAGTTAAAGATGTATAAAGATACACAGCCACAGGATGCAGGTAAGTTAAAGATGTATAAAGATACACAGCCACAGGATGTGGGTAAGTTAAAGATGTATAAAGATACACAGCCACAGGATGCAGGTAAGTTAAAGATGTATAAAGATACACAGCCACAGGATGCGGGTAAGTTAAAGATGTATAAAGATACACAGCCACAGGATGCGGGTAAGTTAAAGATGTATAAAGATACACAGCCACAGGATGCGGGTAAGTTAAAGATGTATAAAGATACACAGCCACAGGATGCAGGTAAGTTAAAGATGTATAAAGATACACAGCCACAGGATGCAGGTAAGTTAAAGATGTATAAAGATACACAGCCACAGGATGCAGGTAAGTTAAAGATGTATAAAGATACACAGCCACAGGATGCGGGTAAGTTAAAGATGTATAAAGATACACAGCCACAGAATGCAGGTAAGTTAAAGATGTATAAAGATACACAGCCACAGAATGCAGGTAAGTTAAAGATGTATAAAGATACACAGCCACAGGATGCAGGTAAGTTAAAGATGTATAAAGATACACAGCCACAGGATGCAGGTAAGTTAAAGATGTATAAAGATACACAGCCACAGGATGCAGGTAAGTTAAAGATGTATAAAGATACACAGCCACAGGATGCAGGTAAGTTAAAGATGGATAAAGATACACAGCCACAGGATGCGGGTAAGTTAAAGATGGGTAAAGATACACAGCCACAGAATGCGGGTAAGTTAAAGATGTATAAAGATACACAGCCACAGAATGCGGGTAAGTTAAAGATGGATAAAGATACACAGCCACAGGATGCAGGTAAGTTAAAGTTGTATAAAGATACACAGCCACAGGATGCAAGTAAGTTAAAGATCTAGAAAGATATCAGTCTGAACAGCTTGCAAAAGGAGTTTGTATATTTATAACCTGCCTTACTTCCAAGTGGGGTGTGGAAAATGTATAACATTTATCAAAAATTCAGTAATAATGGCAGTTTAATGGGATTTAAAGCAATCATTGTTCTCTCTCTCTCTCTGTGTCTCTCTGTCTCTCTCTCTCCATATATGGATAAAAAATATATAAACAAATAATAAAATATTAAAACGGCAAGATGTTTGAATTATTATTGACTAGTATAGTGTAGTTCATGCTTTGATTCAAATTTAAAAAAACTTCGATCAAAATTTTTTGAAATACAATCTACAGCAGTATATATACAGGGTGTGTTTTATTTTTCCGGTACATAAAGAAAGGAAAGAAGAAAGCAAAGCAAAATCTTCTCCAGAAACCAAAACCTAAAAGTAAAAAGCAGCTGCTGGCAGAGCAGAAGAGAAGGGAACAGGTGAGTATTAAATAGGAGAATGCTACGCTAAATAGACGATAAACTTTCTTTGGCCTAAAGAAGACCCCTATTGATTTGGAGGTCAAAAGGTCAAGTTCAGTTATTCATACTCTGTAAGAATGTTACTGTCCATACTTTCACTGAAAGTAGGGGGTATTTAATTTGAGTCTCTCCATCTGCATGTATATCATTCTGACTGTGTGTAACACTTTTCAGGGTTCGACACTAACTTTTTAAGGCTTTAGTCCAGCCGGACTAGTGGTTCATTACTTTTACTAGTCCGCACGTGATTTTATTAGGCCGTCAAAAAAAAAAACATCAATGTTTTTTAACATTAACGTAACAATTAATATACGTATTTTTCTTTTTTTTGAAATAAAGTATTTACATGAAGTATATTATTCCACATATTCATTGAAATCTCGCTATCAGCAAGTACGATCGTATTCCCGATCTCGTTTTTTTTTTTTTTTGTCTTTCCATTACATCCAAAACGTCCAACATCTTTCTTAAAAGTGTCATACTAAATCATGGTCGCTAAAACCTTATACTTCATATCGATCAGTCGAAAAATTAAGCGCTGAATTGACCCAACATTGCGTAACTACCCGCAGAAATCTAAAAATACACGTAGGGTTTTCCAGTAAAAGTTGTCGAGAATCGGACATTGGTAATTTATTCATATTGTTTTTCAGAAATTTTTATTGGTCCGTTCGGACTAATTAGCCACATATTTTATTAGTCCGAATGAAAATGTATTAGTCTGAGACTAACGGACTAACGTTAGTGTCGAACCCTGCTTTTGTTTCCAAATTATATCTCTAAAAGCCTTTGAGAATATACAACTTTCTATGGCCAAAAGAAGACCCTATTGATTTGAGGTCCAAAGGTCAAGGTCAGTTATTCATACATTCTGTCTGTGTGTAACCTTTCACTTCCAGATGATATCTCAAAAAGCCTTTGACTTTTTTCAATGAAATTTGACATCAGAATTTTCTTGGGCCTAAAGAAGACCCCTATTGATTTCAAGGTCAATTAGTCATACATTCTGCCTGTATGTAACAATTTCGATTCTGGATGATACCGTTAAAAACCTTACACCTTTTGCAGCATAATTTTATATCACAACTCCCTATGGCCTATAAAGACCCCCTTTGATTTTTAGGTCAAGGCAGGGTTTGACACTTAACTTTCTTACCTTGGTGAGCCACAGATCCACTTGTCAAAAAAAAAAAAAAAAAGGTTCACCGAATTCTGGAGAACCTTCATAAATGTTTAGATTATTAATGAAAATATTTGTTACACAAGGCTTGAAACTAAGTTGCTATGAAACCTGTCCAGTTGGACTAATTAAGTATATTTTCAACCAGTCCCAAAAAAAAATCCATGATTCAGGAGTTTTCCAGCAATGTTGTTAACCATACAATGTATTTTTCAATACTGAAACAACAGAACACAACCTACACCTTCAAACAATTTGTTATTTTGACTTCAGGTAGAAACCTGCATTTATTTCGCTTCCAACGTACGGTAAAGAAAATAAAAAATCCAAATAATTAAGGAGTTTACATTAACATATGATCAACTTTCTATTATGATGCAAAACTGTAAAAACTATATTTTTTCATTAAAAAAAATTATTTATTTTAACTTTTTTGATATGATAAAATGTATAGCAGAAAATATTTGAGAGAAAAAAAAATCAGAATCTGCAAAATACGTGTTTACTAAATATAAATCACACCTGTTAGTAGATCTTAAAAAATAAATAGTGCATAGCTGTCAAACAATTCTAATACTCTAAACCTGGCCATCGGTGTGCATTCAAGCGTGAAGTGAATGCCTGTTATAAGTGTATATTTTCACACCTTCTGTGCACAAAATAAACAAAGAACAGATTAATTTGGCATGACATGCTTACATGCTTCTTTTTCAAGGTTGGTTTTGAATGTTCTTGTATTTCATATGTTATTGCTGTTGTATGAAGTCATGAATGTTATGTGTAAAATCTATGTTTAGTCACCAGGTTTTTCTGTATAAAGTCATGGATGTTATGCTGAAAATCTATATTTAGTAACCAGGTTTTTCTGATTTCTACAAAGTTTTTTAGCTCTACTGGTCAGAGACCAGAAGAGCCTATGCGATAATAAGGTGTCCGTCTGTTTGTCTGTAAACAATTTTTCAAAATGCTACTTCTACAGTTTTGGTCTGATTTCAATATAACTTGGCGTACAAGTAGATTACATTAAGATACATAATTCTGTGGTTTCTTGATTTCTATGAACAGTGTTACCATGGTTACTGAAAATAGAAATTTCTGTGAAATACTTTCAAAACACTACTCCTCCTACAGTTTTGGTCTGATTTCAATATAACTTGGCACACAAGTAAAGTACACTAATATACATCATTTTATATATGGATTTTTGATTTGCCTTGGATACTAAAAATAGAAATTTCTGTGAAATTCTTTTGAAATGCTACTCCTACAGTTTTGGTCTGATTTCGATACAACTTGGCACACAAGTTGACTACACTATGATACATAATTCATTGTATTGGTTTTTTATGCCCCTGGATCGAAAGATCCCGTGGGTATTTTGTTTTTGTCCTGTCTCTGTCAAGGGTAAGGCTTTAATATTTGACATGAGTGTTCATTATGACAAGACCTTTCCATTAGTACAGAAATTTTTGGTCATGTGACCTCAACTGTGACCTTTGACCTACATTTGAAAAACTTTAACATTGGCCATAACTATTGCACTGTAGTCTACGTCCCACTCCAGATCTGTGTTACCATCGGGGGCACAGTGTTTCACAAACACATCTTGTTGAATACAAGACTAAACCAAGGATCATTATTCCAGTTTATTGCTTTTGCATAGTTTTAAGTCCAACTGTTACTTTTCTCTTCCTTTGTTAAAAGTACAAACCAGTAGAGCTACAGTCTTGTCAGAGACTTCTGGTTAATATTTTTAACCTAAAACAAATTATATTTATTTCTTGTTAAAGACAAGTATGAGTGAATTAATCATTTGATTTCCTGTTGTCAATTTATAGAAACTAGAGTGTTCCAGGGAACACATATGTTGCCTGCTTTATACTAGCGTCATTAAAGATTAAATTAAATCTAAGGGTGGACAGCTATTTATTTGCTATTAAGCATTATAGTTCAGGCATTTCCCTGCAAAGAAAAAAGAAATGTTCACTGATAGTAAGACCAATAGAATAGCACTTAGTTGTCATATAAATTTGACATTCAAAATGGAAATATGATTCCCCAACCCTCAATGCTAAAATGAATTATGAAATTGAAATTACTTTTCATTTTATGAATACGTTTTTAATCCAGCTATCCTCTAAAAGAGATTTCAGCTGTCTAGTGTCTTTACTGCAATTGTCAGTCTACAACAATCCTTTTGGTATATCAAGCCCAATGCATCTTCATAGTATTTTAAATTCCAGTCTATGTAGCAACTGTATAGCAAACAGTTTCAAAAGTAAAGTACATTCTTGTGAGCTCATAAACATTAGGGGTGTGCAATATTACCAATATATGTAATATATTATCAATATAGAAAATATATTGCAATATTTTTTTTTCAATACCAGTATTAACAATTTGCTAACCGAAAGTACATGTATTACATAAACGCTAAATATGGTGTATCTGAATTCAAAACTCAGTTACTTGGCTGCTGTAAAGTTTTTTTTTTTTTTGTTTTAGACATTGCTACAGAGTTTAAAAACTAAGAATGAAATAAGAAAGATTAATTTATACTATGAGGATAACATTGTCAATTTAATTCAACAACAATTTTATTAAATTTTTTTCCAGAATACTTACTCTTAACAATTTACAATTTTGTACTTTGTTTATCAAAATGGTGTACGAAAAAACATCGTGAACGATCTTTTGAATTGTGATGCTTTTATTCTGAGTCCTCTGTCGGAGTACACATTCATTGAAAAATAAAATAAAAGCTGAGATATCTGGCAGTTTCTCAAATTTTTTGCAGACATTATAAAGAAGGTAAAAACCTGTCAACTGTCTTTGCAAAAATTACATGTAACCACGTCGATCTCCAACACAAATAACTGTGACTAATAATTTAGCAGGGAACTATATGTAACCTGTAAACATTCTTTAATGTTAAATGATCAGAACCAAGATAGAGTATTTTGGTTTCACTGGAATGAATAAAATACATGTCTTTCCAGTTTACTTCGGTTTCAAAGAAAGTGGCTCCCATCAGCCACGTACCTCAAATCACTTGGCTCGACACTAATCTAGTGTTTCGGCAGTGTGATATATACGAGGTTTATGATTTTGATAGTTTATTAATTAGCTGCAAATCTGCCATCTTCAGGAGCCTATTTGCACATATGGGGCCCGTTTTACAAAAAGAACTTATGACTAAGACTAAAAACTTCAGTTGATTGTAAAATTTTGCAAATTGACTTCATGATTCTGTTTAAAAATTGCTAGCGTAAAAGTATCTTTCTAGATACCTTTTAACAAGATTAAAACCATTTTCTATTTAACATAAATTAGAAAGTTATTAGCAGAGTTAAGTTTGGTCTTAGTCGTAAGTTCTTTTGTAATACGGGCCCCTGTTACACAGATAAGTAAATTAGTTAGCAGAAGAGCATATCATTCTGATTCTTACTGTGTTTAATGACACAATAGGTTATTCGGGGACGATTGGATTGCAATCCTTTTATTTCTTAGAGTCCTTTGATTCCCGGTCCAGCAATACATTTTCTCCTTTCCTTTTACTGATTTAATCATCTCAGATTTTTTTCAGATTTTAGTTAGAATTAAATATTTGAGAACAAATTATTCAAGAAGTGTGGAATCACCTAGTTATGGGGAGGGATTTTAAAAAAAATGTTACTGTGATTTTTTTCCTTTGGGTCATAAAAACTGAGATAAGAATGACATTATGAGATGTATTTGAATGTAGACTTAGTACCAATACAAACTGAGATGAGGTCTTTGTCTTACCAATATGCAAAATAAATTTACTTGTGTTAATTGAGGAATGTAGGTTGTATTTCTACAAAAAAAACTGAGCTTGCCCTCATGGTGTCACCATCTGGTATATTATTATTTTGTAGGAAATGAGAGAAATAGGTAACACTCTTTTACCAAAAATGGAGGAGAAGCAAATGAAGAAATCAACAGAAAATATACCATCATTAGTGTAAGTATTAAGCAGAAAATGTGTCTGACATCATCGGTGTTAGTATTCAGCAGAAATATGACGTCATCAGTGTAAGCAATGGGGTTTGAATATTATACTAAATAATAACAGATTAAAGATGCATGACTCCTAGTTTAAATTTTAAAATTTAGACAAATATCAGAATTTGTAATATATACCTTGCAATATCTGATCAGGAAGTTGATGACAGATGACCATTCTGAGGAGGTAGAGAACCAGCACAAGGAAAATTTCCAGCGTAAAATACAGGAAGAAGAGAAACTTCAGCTGCTAGAAGCACAGGAGCGGCAGAAAAATAAAAGACAGCAGCGGAAAGACATGAAAGAAAAGGTCTGTTAATGAAAGTGGATAATTGTGGAAACATTTTGATTTATGGGGGCTAATGTTCGAAGATTGTTAAATGTTTTGGGGCTAGTGGGGACCTAAATTTTTGGGGTATCATTTTGTTAGACTTCACCTTTATTTGATTTTTCACTGACTCAGAGGTTGTAAATTCATCGGTGAAGGATACCCTTGAAGTAAAGTATTCCACGATAGAAAATTAAAGCATTAAAAAATAGTATAAAGACAAAAAGAAAGGTTTTATAATGGATGCTTTAGACATGCATGTATACAATTAAGAGTTGACATTTTCAAGTAATATTTGGACATTTTTAAAATTGAAATCCATTGTAGAAAAAACAGTTACGTCAGGAAGCTGAGAAGGTGTTGCAGGAGAAAAAGTTTTCAAATCCTGCTCCAAAAAGAAAAAAGACCGAGCTAGAACTTCATGAAGAAAAACAGACCAATTTGTTTGGAAATAAAGACATCAACAAAGAAAATGTAACTCTATCAAAATTCCTGGAATATAAAATTGTTTTCCAATTTATTCCATATTAAATGAATGCAGATTAAATAATTCTGACAATCCAGTCATAAAAATCAGTGTGTTTAGTTCTAAAAATAAATCTTTACAGGTGCTTGTTGATTCAAGGAGAGCTGAAGAACACGAAACAAAGTCCTCATTACTAGGAAAACATTTCAGTGATCTTGGAAATTTATGTGGTAGTTCAAATACTGTCAGTTCCACTCAGAATTCCAATTCCAACATTTACAATACTTTAGATCCATTCCCCAAACCTGAAGATAAAACAAAAAAGAATGGTATTGAGAATCCCAGTGCTAAACCAAAACCCTCCAATCAGCGAGGACTTGTGACAAACCAACCAAAACAGACAGCCAGACCAGCAGGGAAGAGTCGATCAATAGACACAGATGTGAAGTCTAGTTTATTACAGCGCCATCTGCAGGAGTTTAATGATTTGCTGAAGGTTCAGCCACAGAGGCACACAGAACAACAGCTTAAGGTGGAGCGGGCTCGACAGAGGGAGGAACAGCAGCTGTTACAACAGCGGGAGCTAGATTCCCTCAGGAGTAGGCACACTGAACAGGTTTGATAATGTTTATATTGAAGGTTATCATTTTTAGCAGGAAAGAATTTGAATATCAAAGCAAAATGAAAATAGTTACGTGGGATTCAAAGCTAGAAATCATGACATCTTTTATTAATCTGTTTTTCATTTTCCCTGAGAAACAACTTATAAAAAAAACAAATGTTTCATTATGATAAATGCATGTACATGTACTGTATGTAGAAGTGTATTCTTATTTGTAGTTTGTACCTTTACCTCCGAGTCCCACAGACACAGGTAAGGAGCCCACAGTTATGGACATATCTGTCCAGGAGGAGTTTGAGAGGATGAGGAAGGAGCATATACGTAAACAACAGGAACTGGAGAGGAAGAGGAATGAGGAGGAGGTCCAGGAACTCAAAACTTATAGGAAGTAAGTAACAAGTCACAGCAAGTTATAGAAAGTAAGTAACAAGTCACAGCAAGTTATAGAAAGTAAGTAACCAGTCATAGCAAGTTATAGGAAGTAAGAAACAAATCACCACAAGTTATAGGAAGTATGAAACAAGTCACAACAAGTTGAAGTAAGTAACAAGTCACAACAAGCTGAAGTAAGTAACAAGTCACAGCATGTTATAGGAAGTAAGTAACAAGTCACAGCAAGTTGAAGTAAGTAACAAGTCACAACAAGTTAAAGTAAGTAACAAGTCACAACAAGTTGAAGTAAGTAACAAGTCACAACAAGTTGAAGTAAGTAACATTTCACAAAAAGTTATAGGAAGTAAGTAACCAGTCACAACAAGTAATAGGAAGTAAGAAACAAGTCACAGCATGTTATATGAAGTAAGTAACAAGTCACAGCAAGTTATAGGAAGTAAGTAACAAGTCACAGCAAGTTGAAGTAGGTACAAAGTCACAACAAGTTGAAGTAAGTAACATTTCACAACAGTTATATGAAGTAAGTAACAAGTCACAACAAGTAATAGGAAGTAAGAAACAAGTCACAGCATGTTATATGAAGTAAGTAACAAGTCACAGCAAGTTATAGGAAGTAAGTAACAAGTCACAACAATTTATAGGAAGTAAGTAACAAGTTATAGGAAGTAAGTAACAAGTCACAACAAGTTGAAGTAAGTCACAAGCTATAGCAAGTTATAGGAAGTAAGTAACAAGTCACAGCAAGTTATAGGAAGTAAGTATCAAGTCACAGTAAGTTATAGAAAGTAAGTAACAAGTCATAGCAAGTTATAGGAAGTAAGAAACAAGTCACAGCATGATATATGAAGTAAGTAAGAAGTCACAGCAAGTTATATGAAGTAAGTAAGAAGTCACAGCAAGTTATAGGAAGTAAGTAACAAGTCACAACAAGTTATAGGAAGTAAGTAACAAGTCACCACAAGTTATAGGAAGTAAGAAACAAGTCACAGCAAGTTATAGGAAGTAAGTAACAAGTCACAGCAAGTTAAAAAACATAAAGGAAGTAGGCAATAATTTAGGACAAACCTGAAAAGTGAAGTAGGCTACAAGTCATAACCTATACTAAAACATTAAAAGAAGTAAGCATCATGTTATAACAAACTCGCTTGAAAGTACACACTACAACTTGAAACAGCAATGTTTTGAGTGACTAAACTATTAAATCTGTCAGAATCATATTTGCGAAATGCAACAAAGAACCTGACTGGTGCATTTGTATAGGTCTGCCCATATTCTCAAATATTGCTGAAAATGTTCAGGAAGACAGAAAAATTACAATAAGGTTGTGCTTACTGAGTTAAAAATTGCCAGTTTTTTCCCATTTTCTTTGACAGTACTCCAAAAGTATTGAGAATTCTTAGATTTATATTTTTTATAAATTATATAACATACTGTAAGTGTAATTTTTCTACAGGGCTGTAATTTCATGGAGTCATAATTTCTATTCAACCTGTGGGTAGGAAAAGACGCTGAATTCAGGAATTGTCATTTTTAGTCTCTAATGCACTTTAAATACACTGTGACAAATTTGTGATTGCATACATAGCGTACTAATTTAAACTCATGCAGAAAAAAGTACGTCTACAGGAAGTATTCGCTTTAAAAATTTTACAGCTTTACTGTATTTTTAACAGTTTTGGCAATTAACCAATGAACTTTTGCATTATTCTGATGTTTCACATTGCATTATACCAGGAATAATATTTTCCTTTAGACAGTGGTACAGTATGCTTTGCAATAATAATAGAGTTTTCAATTTGCTCTGGTCCACCAAACCAGTGTAATAAATATACTCAGGACTAAAACACAGAGAAAAAAATTCTGCAGTGCGCTAAAAAGTAGCATAAACTACTATTTAATTACCGGTAACTGAAAATGGAAAGTGCCATCAATTTATTGCAGAAAAATTTGGCAGAAATTTGGTATGTTGCACGAACAGTGTGTACCATTAACAACATACAAGTATCATCTGTGAAAAGATTCACATTTTAAATAAAGGCTTTTTACATTTTCATCTCCAGAACCACGAGGCCAATTTCAAATATACTTTGCACAAAATATCCTTGAATAAAGGGGATTCAAGTTTGTTTAAATGAAGGAACAGGTCATCTTTTAAGGGGAAATGATTAAGAATAAGTAGTTTTAGGCAAATATATGGTTATATTAAAAAAAAAACAAGAAGCACTGGGCAAGAAAAGATCAAACTAACAGTAGAATCTTATATATTTACGCGAAGAATTATTGCGTAATTTTGCGAGAAGCGCCACTCGTGAAATAATGCTGAAATAAATGTAAAATCTCTTGATCAACCGTCTGATCATGAATTATTGTTCTTGCAATTTGACATTAAAGAGCCATTTCGTGATAATAGTACTCACAAAACAAGATGTGTTTGTGAAACACTGATGCCCCTGTATGGCAACTTATAGCAAAGGTTAAACTTTCTCAAATGCAAATTGAATATGTTGGTACCCAAAGTAAGGTCTTGTCTCGAGGAATAAACCTGTGAAATATGAAAGCCCTAGCAGCAACCATTGAGTAGAACCATTGAAAAGGTTAAAGTTTTTTCAAAAGTATGTCATACATCAAGGTCAAATGGTCAAAATTAATGGTGCCCAAGGAAAGGCTTCTCCCAAGAAATACACAGGTGAAATATGAAAGCCAAAGCACCAATTGTTCAAAAGTTATGGCCAAGGTTAATGTTTTCCAAAAGTAGGTAGACTCCTAGGTCAAGGTCAAAGGGTCAAAGTTGTTAGTATCCAAAGAAAGGTCTTGTCACAAGGATTACATATGTGTAGTATGAAATCGCTAGCACCAACCGTATAAAAGTTATGGCAAAGGTTAAAGTTTTCCAAAAGTAGGTCAAACTTCAAGGTCAAGGCCAAAGGTCAAAGTTGTTGGTATCCAAAGAAAGGTCTTGTCACAAGGATTACGTATGTGAAGTATGAAAGCCCTAGCACCAACCGTTCAAAAGTTATGGCCAAGGTTAAAGTTTTCCAAAAGTAGGTCAAACTCCAAGGTCAAGGTCAAAGGGTTAAAGTTGTTGGTATCCAAAGGAAAGTCTTGTCACAAGGATTACACATGTGAAATATGAAAGCCCTAGCACAAATTGTTCAAAAGTTGTGGTCAATGTTAAAGGTTTCCAAAAGTAGGTCAAAGGTCAAGGTCAGAGGGTCAAAGTTGTTGGTATCCAAAGGAAGGTCCTGTCACAAGGATAACACATGAAGTGTGAAAGCCCTAGCACTAACCGTTCAAAAGTTATGGCCAAGGTTAAAGTTTTTCAAAAGTAGGTCAAACTCCTATGTCAAGGTCAAAAGGTCAAATATGGTGGTAACCAAAGAAAGGTTGTGTCACAAGGAATACACATGTGTAATATGAAAGCCATAACTCCAACAAATCAAAAGTTATGGGCAAGGTTAAAGTTTTTGCGGACAAACAGACAGACAGGGCAAAAACTATATACCTCGGAATCTCCGAAAAAGTACATTCAGGGGCATAAAAAAAGGAATTTACAGTATTAATAGCTTATTGATGTACTGCAGATTTCATTTTTTTTTTCAAATTTTGGTTCCCTGAGGTAGGTTGGGGCCACAATAGGGGATCAAATTTTAACATTGGAATATTTTGGGGAAAATTTAAAAAAAAAAAAAATCCTCTACTAAAGAACAGCAGGGCCATGATAAGCAAACATTTGGTTGGGGTTAAAATGGGGGGGGGGGGGGGGAGGATGTGTTACATAATATTGGTATATAAGGAAAAACTTTTTGAAAAAGCTAAAAAGCAATATCAGTCGCATTGATATTAGAATTATCATGTATTGTGGATTCAAGTTTGGTTAAGCCATGACCCACTGAGTCTAGCATGGTGCCAAAATGGAGTCAAAATATTTCGTGGAATTACAGAGGAAATAAAATCTTTGAAAAAATTTTATGAAAAACTTCAGGGCTAAAGTGACTCAGGTAAGTGTTTTGGCCCATGGGCCTCTTGTTGATGAATCAATTTGCTTAAGTTTTATTCTTATAAAAGAAATGAATTTTTAGCAACCATTTTACCAGAAAAAATCTGTAAGAGATGTTAACTGATGTGAGTTTTATTCTTATAAAAGAAACGAATTTTTAGCAACCATTTTGCAAAAAAAAATCTGTTTGAGATGTTAACTGGTGTGTTGAGTTGATAGGACTTTGTAATAATATCTTTACATTTGTATATAGGAGGCAGAAGTGGACAGAACTAAAGGTGGAGTCTGCCCCGAAGTGGTTTGAGAGAGACAATTTGAATCGAGTGCCACCTCCAAAAATCCAAGGTAATACATAAAATTTTATCTTATTTATTAGATTCAGTAAAGACTATGCAAGCAGTTCCAAGCTTTATGTAAAAGCCAATGAATATGTTAAATGTATCAGATCCCCCAGCACCCAGTGTTAATGTCTGGCAGCAGAGGAACCTACGACAGCAACAGGTGACTTCACTGAGACCCAGGACAGCACAGGAAGAGGAGGAAATTCTAAAACAGGTGCTCCTCCTGAGTGAGAAAACAGCAGCTCAAGAGGAGGAACAGAGAAGGTAAGACTGTACCCTCCTACTGGAGACAGAGAGCAGGTGCTTCTGTCTGGGAGGCTCATTATCATATCAGTAATAAATCTAGTGGAGTAGCTAGATTTGAAAAAACGAGTAGTAAGGAGTGGTAGCTGTAGTCAGGGGAGGTAACCCTAGCTACAAGAGATAATGCTAGCCAAGGGAGAAAACTTTTTGCTAAGAGAGGTTTATTTAGGTGTGGGAGATATCTCTAAGTAAGAGAGATAACTCTAGGTAAGATTGATAACTCTAGCGAAGGCCAATAACTCTGCAAAGAGAGATAAATCTAGCTAAGGGAATAACTCTGAATTGATAAATGTATTTCCTTTATAAAATTGTCATCCTCAACAAAATATGACTTAAATTCTGCCATTTGTTGCTTGCTGGATTTCCTCCTATTTTTTATCTCCTCTACAAGAGAATTATCTCACCAGGATTCATTGTAGATGGCAGAGTGGTGTATTTTCTTTAAAAGTTATAATTTTGTAAATGTTTAATTTTATAGGTACCGAGAGATCATGGCAGTGAAAAACTTTATACCAGAACAATTACAGAGGAGACAGGAGATCCAGCCATTGCCAGAGCCCATCAGTCTTGTAGATAAAGGACAGAAAAAGATGTTTAATTATTCTGATAAAGTCACTACTACAAAACAGCGGTAAAAATGGAAGAAATCAAATTTCTAAATACTCTTTCACTAACAGAAAACATCCTTTTATTGCAGAATTAACATGTTTCTTTTCATAATATTTAGTACAACAGAAGCGAAAAAGAGCCAGGACGGTGTGTCATTGACAAAAATAAACAAACCAGTGGCAAGTGAGGGTGTAAAAAGTTTTGCTTCCATTGTGACTACTAAAGAGCCCAGGTAATGCCTGTAGTTCACAAAAGTTTATTGAAGAAAAAAAATGCTCAATTCCAGCAGAGCTTTTAACTGAGAACATTTTTTTTTCTGTTTGTAATATGTAGAACTACAGAATTGCCAAAGAACCAGGGTGTCAAACCACCAACAAAGCTTACTAAACCAGTGGCAAATGACAACAGTGCAGAGAATCTTGTTTCAAGCATCACTACCAAGAACCAAAGGTACGATTACCTAATTAACATTTTGATTAGGTCTTTTTAAGAAAAGAAATACTTGTACAATGTAAATGAATAATGTGATACTGTAGATTCCTAAATATACGCGAGGAATTAATTAACGCGTAATTACGCGAGGAGCACCACTCGCAAAATAAAATTACTCGCTTTTATTTTTATGGCGTTGAAATTAATGTTAAATCTTACAGTAAACTGTACATTCGCTAATTATTGTTCTCGCGATTTTAAGTACTCGCGTAAAATAAGGAATTTACAGTATTCCAAAAGGAAAAAACTTCTTTTTAAATGTAGGACCACTGTAATGCAAAACAACAATGAAGTTAAAATGTCAACAAAGCTTAGCAACCCATTGGCAAAAGATGTTGCAGAAAGTTTTGCTAAAGCTGTTACTACCAAAATGCAAAAGTAAGTTTGACTATACATGTACTGCACATTTCTTAATAGTCTTTTCATTTAAATGAATATGTTTTTAGGCACCATAATTACATTTCTTTTTGCACATTTAGAAGCAAAGAAGTTGAGAACATCTGGGAATCCATTCCAAACCAAAGGCCTAAAAGCAGTTTCCCATTGGGTGATAGACCAAAATTAGATGAGGACGAGGAAGCCCCAGGGAGACCCGTTCTTACCACCAACTACGCCAACCTTGTACCTCCCCCCAGACTCCACATCTCCCCTCAGACAACAGCGACGGAATCGTGGGACGATGATGGCCAGTATCTGTATGTGTCCTCCAAACTACCCACCACTGCCAGAGAGTGCTATAGGTGGCAAAACAGTGCCAAAGTTGTTATGTCTGCAAATGAAAACAGGAACAATTCTGCCTCTACAAGTTCTATGGAGCAGGAAACAATGTTATCAACTCATAAGGGACACAGGTCAAGTGTTGAAGATGAAAAGAAAAATAATGTAAAACTGAATCAAACTGATTTAAAGCAACACAGACCTGATATGCCTAGGTATGTGCCTGGAAGTGGTTTTATAAAACCTAGCGAAAAGAAAGATTTACATGATAAGGAAGAAAAAGACCAACCAGCTTCAGCACGAAGTAACCAATTAGTGAAGGAAGAGAGAGCACAGAATACTAGGAACCCCTGGTCCAATAAAGCCATTGAGCACCAGTCGGGGGATCCAAGACCTAATGCTGCATGGTCAGAGAGCAAACAATTTCCACTGAAAACAGGCAAATCTATCTCCAGTGACAGAAATCCAACTCCCCTACAAAATCCAATTCTTGAGAAAGCCTCCTTAAGCCAGAATTTGAAAGAGCCAGTGTTATCAGAAACTGGTGCTAAAGTCATGGCACCCTTACAAAGTAATCTCCAGAGTACCAATCCACAGGGTAATTCTCAAAAGACAGAGGAGTCAACAGTCCAGAGAAGTGAAGCAATGGCTGCACCTTTGACAGCTGAAGGTGCCTGCACTCTTTCTAAAGTAAAAGTTAAAGAAGAACCAGGCCCTGCCCTTCCTGCTGCTGTGACAGCAAATAATCAAAATACTGATGATTTTTGGAATGTTTCCAATATTACAAGGAAAACTGTGCAAGTCAAGAAAGAAGTAGTTGCTAAATCACCTGACTTATCTTCATCACATGATACAGAAGACAAGACTTCCATCCAATCAAAAGAGAACACAAAGCCTCTGAACCAATCAGAAGAGGAGACTGAATCCCTGATAGCTTCACTACAGCGGAAGGCGTATCAGATGACTACTTCTAACAGTGGTTCCTCTGGTGCTATACATGATTACTGGGCCATTCCATTAAAACCACAAATTAAAGTGGAAAAACCTAACAGTCCTCCTGAAATTTTTATATCACCAGAAAAGAAATTGGACAAAAAAACTGTAACTGAGCAGACCAGTGTAAGAGTTGATGCTGCATTGGACTCCTTAGTGCCACCAATTTTGTCACTTGTCCAAAACAAAGAAAAGCAGAAGGCAGCAATGTCAGACAAAATTGTCACAAAGCAAGAGAGCTGGGAAGATGAAATATCTGCACCTATTATTAGCAAAGAAGCAAACAACTCCATCCAACCAAAAACTGAAAAAAGCAAAGTGCAAATTGATAAAGATGGAGCATGTGAAAGTGATGGAAAGGCTGAAGTATTGCAACTTCCTCCAAAGAAAATGTCTAGCATGTTTAACAAGATGGCAAAGTTTGGAATCAATCCAAACCCTATTAAAAAGGAAAAGACTGGTGAAAACACTGCCACCTCTTTGCTGAAATCTGGGGCAGAGGGGAGTCAGGAGCCAAAACCTCAGAGACCTGGGTACAGACAGCGACCAATGAAACTGGTGTCTAAACCCTCCAAAGCTTTTACAGAAACAATAAATACAGAGGTTAAAACTGCAGAGAATTCACAAGCAATGAAATCTGAGGTTGACGATCTGGATAGTTTAGGACTAAACTTTGACAAAATGTCTTTGTTGGATAATACTACAAGTTCCCCTACACAAGAAATGTCTCAGACATTGGAAGACAATAGAGTCAGGTCCTCTGATTCTAAGCCTCCTTTCATGAAAAGACAAGACAGTGCAGCTCAAAGAAGTCAGAAATCTCATGACATCAGCCTAGCTCAGACATTTCACTCCAAAGATAAAGAGGATTGGGAAGGTGAATTGATCACCTTGCCCTCAAACAGTGGTCCTCCAACTCAATCAAATGCTGAGGCAGAGAACTTCTTTAAGGAAAAGCTGAGGACTGTCAAAAAAGACACTGTTGAACATAGATTACCTGTGTTGAAAAATCTGACCAAACATATGGAAGACTCCAAGAATTACCAGACTTCAGAACCACAAGCCTCACCATCTAATGATCAGTATGATGTAGTTGAACATTCTGGAAATAGTGACCAATTCAAATATACAATTACCAGTGAACAAAATTCCAAGCAAATACCAGTACCAACTTTTCCAAGTTCAGCAGTAAAAACAGCACACCATGATACTCCCTCTTCAATTTTCAATCCTGTTTCTTCAACTTGTTCCACATCAGACTCTTCCAAGCCTGTTCAGTCGTACTCCCTTCAATCAGGACCCACAGGTACAACTTCTTCTCAAGGGAACGTTGATCAAGTCAGCCCAGCTGCAGTTAAGACAGAACCAGTCCACTCAGTCATTGATTTAACAAACTCACCAGAAAAGAGCCTGGCTGCAGTGAAAACAGAACCAGTCATCGATTTAACAAACACACCAGAAAAGAGCCAAGACTCTCTTCCCCCAGGTTTGCACCTTCCCACGTCTGAGAATTCCACATCCATTCCACAGCCTTCAGGTGTTGCTTCAGCAAATCCTACAAATATTCCAAACCTTGGCCTACCTCTGTCAATGCCACCACACCTTGTCCAGGCTTATATGCAATATCTTGCCACAGCAAGTGGTCCCTTAGGTGGGATGTTGCCAGCTTTACCCCTCCTTCCAGGGATAGCACCACTTATGTCTTTAGGGTTGCCCAATGCTCTGTTGCCAAATCCACTTCTCCCTATGAATTTGATGGGGTTACCTGCACAACCTCTAGCTGATCCTTCACAGGGTGTAAGTCAACCTCAGACACACACTGAGATGTCTGAGAGTCAGCCACAGTCACACAACCAACCTCATTCAGATGCTCAACAACAGTCCCATGATCAACCTCAACCTCAACTTAAAAATCAGCCAAAACCATATGGTCAGCCTCAACCTGAAATTCAACCGCAGTCACATAGTCAGCCTCAACCTGAAATTCAGCCACAGTCTTTTGGTCAAACTCAACCTGAAAACCATGCTCAATGTGGAAAGCCATTCCAGGCATATGACAACACACAGTCAACAAAACAAGATTCATTCCACAGTCAGTCAGCTTTTCTTCAGCATTCCAAGTCTTGGACAACCAGGGAGCATGTGCATGATATTGGGATTCCACAAACAAATAATTCAACAACTGATGAAAATAAACCACAGGATTTAAATGCACCACAGATGGGAAACATCACCATAAAACCAAGCAGAGAGTGCTGGGATTCAGATGAAGCTCCTGTTACCCAAAAGTCATACAGAATGCCATGCAGAGAGAGTCGGGAGCAAGGTGCTTTCTCAATGAGACAACAATCTTCTAAAGAAAATAACCGAATGCCAGGAAAGGGTGTTCCCACAAAACACCATGATGTACCAGCTGAAATGGGGCAATTTACAGACAGATATTCCAAACCTGATTTTACAGATGGTGAAGAGAAGCGGTGGCGTGGAGGTAGAAGTCCGCCATTTAGAAGTGTGTTTGAGAAGCCTTCGGTGACCAAACTCCCCGAGAGTCTGGTCAAGAGGAAGGAGCAGACTCGTACAGTGCAGGCCCTGATCCAGCATGTCCTCAAAGAAAACCAGGAGAAAAAGAAGGTACAAGATTCATTGTGTTTAACTGATTGTAATCTCTTACTGGTCAATAAACCAGAAAAGTTTATGCATTGGTATAATTGTTTCATTCTATATTAGTGTTTATAATGGGCAGATTGAATGTAATGTGGGAACTCTTGTCTTTGCAGGCAGATTTGCTTTCCTGTAACATGGATAGAAACTAATTTTACCTCCAAGCAAAGAAGAGCAGAAGAAGAAAAGTGGTTAATGCATGTGATCTGAAAATGATGAATTCCTCTGCCCTTTTTCAGAAGAGAACATTGGCTTTTTATACTGTAGAAGTGTTTTAACTGCCATGGATTCTATTGTCTAGGAACTATGTACTTTTGCTTTTTCATGATTTTGTTGAGCTGATAAATTGTGATTATGTTGATTAGTAATCTTTTTTAAATTAGATAGATTGTCTCTCTGTAAAGTCATATACATGTAACTCTATGCAGTGGATTATTACAGTTATTGAGCTTCAGTTGTTTAAATCTCATGTTTGATTTTTTTTTGGGGGGGGGGGGGGGGGGGGGTTACTATCGATATCAAAATTTCTTGTTGAAAACAGCCTTTTTCTCTCATAAAACAATATCAATTCCAAGTAAAAGAAACTACCTTCTGTTCTGGAAGTATATCTCATGAATCAACTAACCTCGTTTTTAGATTTACAAATTGTATGGTTACTAGAATCTCTGAGTCATTTGAAAATTGAATGTATATTTTCATTGTTTCTTTATTACAAATGAAATTGGATATCATGCAGTATTAAAATATGTGCCAGTATTCTGTTGTGCCAACACCCTAAATATAAGTGCTTTAGCTTAGGTATAATACATGTAGTACCAGTAATCTCTAGTGCTATACTAATTGATGATTTTCTTTTACTTAATGGGTTGTGATTAAATTACAAGATTTCATTGAAGTACCAAATTTTGCTACAATGGACATTGAGTGGAAGATGTATGATATTTCACAGCTCGGTGACTTGTTTGCCTTTTTTTTTAGCCATTAGCTTTAGATTTATCTCTGTCCAAACTGGATGATTTGCCTCTGTAGTGTATGAGCTTTTGGTAATGTCTTTGACAGGTCTTTTTTCTAGATATCAGTTTTAGAGGTAGTCTTTTGAAAATAAAGTTCTCTAAATGTCTCAAATGGCTAGGTATTCATCCTATCAGTGTTTTTAATCGAATACCACGTCATCTATTTGTTTTATTTTTGTGATTGAAACTGTAGAATTTTGGAGGTATTATTTTTTCTCATTCAGCATTTTTCCACTTAAGGTTATCGTGACCAAACCAGTCATGCCCATATTTACACTGTCAAATACTGAATCTGCAGGTTTTCGCATAATTTGTGGGTTGTACATTTGTTTATTTTTGTTGGGTTTTTTTTTTTCTTTTTTAAAATAAATTTTATCTTTGAACAAAATCGGTGTTTTTTTCAGTCATTTTATGCCATCATAATGGAAGATTCAAGGGCATAGTTTTTGGTCTGTTTGTCTGTTAATCTGTCTGTCCCCAAAAAATTAAGCCTTATCATAACTTTTGAATGGTTGGTGCCAGGACTTTTATATTTCAACTGTGTATTCCATGTGAACAGTCCAACATGGATCTTTTGACCTTGGAGTTTGACCTATTTGTGAAAATCTTTAACTTTGCCCTTAACTTTTGAATGGTTGGTGCTAGGGATTTCATATATTACATGTATATTTTTTGTGATTAGACCTTCCTTTGGGTACCAACAATTTTGACCTGACCTTGACCCTGAAGTTTGACCTACATTTGTAAAAGTCTTTAACCTTGCCTATAACTTTGAACAGTTGGTGCTAGGGCTTTCATGTAGTCCTTGTGACATATAGTCCTTGTGACCAGACATTCCTTTGGTAACAATATTTTTTACCTCTTGACCTTAACCGTGGAGTATGACCTTTTTTTAAAAAACTTTATTCTTTGCCTTATTTTTTGAGTGGTTGGTGCATTAGATTTCATGTGATTGTGTATTCCTTGTGACAAGACCTTTCTCTGGGTACCAACATTTTTTGAACTCTTGACCTTGGAATGTAACTTCAATTTTGGCCTTGAGCTGCCATATGGGGGCATCAGTGTTTCACAAACACATTTTGTTTTTATTTCTAATAGACAGAGTAGTATGATGACTGGAATTTAGAAAATGGGAAAGGTGCACATCAAACTGCAGTTTATCCTTTGAATACACTACTGTATATTGTGCCTCTGGGTTGAAAAGTGTCATCTTGTGCAAAAAGGTAGAGAAAAGATTTAGAATGCCTAAACTAGCTGGGGCCCTCTCAAAGTTCTTGTGTATTTTAAATATGAGCTGTGACATTGCAGAATCAAGGAGAGCTCTCAAACAATATCCTCTCCAGATCAACTTTTAAGACCTAGTCTTTTCCTAAGCTACTCCAACCGTACAAGTAACTGTAGCAAAGCATTTAGGGACAACTTTGGCTGTGGGACGGGGTGGCCTATTTGAAGAACAGATTAATATTTATTTTCAAGATAATCTGAGACAGATTATTTCTTTTCTTCTTCATTGCAAAATGTTTGACCAGCAAAAAAAAAAAAAAAGGAAAAACTTACAATCTATAAATCTATTATTTCATGGGGGGTAGGGTAGTAGCACTTGGCAAGGACAGATTGTTTTCTTGCCAACTGACTACAGACTTTTTATTTGCAATGTAAAATCAATGACAGATCATTTACTTCCAAAATCTGCCATCCCCCCTCCCTTCTACATGCCCATAGATTAGATTATGCTGCAGCACATAAAATTCTTTTATATCAATTGGGAACAACATTTTCTGTATGTATGATTTTCTGATGATCATATGATATGATCCTGATTTTTAGCTCAACTGGTCAGAGAATGGAAGAGCTTATGCTCTAGTAATGTGTCCGTCCATCTGTCTGTCAACAATTTTTCAAAATGCTACTCCTCATACAGTTTTGATCTGATTTCAGAACATAGCTTGGCACACAAGTAGCAACATTAAGATACATAATTCTGTAAATCAGTTTTTAGGTCACCTGAGTCACTCAGGTGACCTATTGCTATCTCTTTTCGTCCGTCGTCGTCCGTCGTTCGTCGGTCGTAAACTTTTGAACATTTTCAGCTTCTTCTCTGGAACCAGCAAACCAATTTCAACCAATTTTGGCATATAGCATCTATGGGTGAAGGGGAACAAAAATTGTGAAATTCGTGGCCCCTGCCCCCCTGGGGCCTGAGGGGTGGGGCCAAAACCATAAAAATTCATGCAATCTTTAAAAATCTTCTTTACTCCAGGACATCAAGCAGTCAAACTGTTGGCATGATTGTAATAAGCATTGAGCCCTCTACCAAAATTGTGAAATTCATGGCCCCAGGGTCAGGGGTTCTGGTGCTAGGGCAGGGCTATATAGATCATATAGTGAAAGTGCATTATTTCTTTGAAAATCTTCTTCTCTACTCCTGGGTATTATTGAAACAAATTGAATACATAGTTATGATATGCAAGGGTGACTCTACCAAAATTGTGAAATTCATGGCCCCAGGGTCAGGGGTTCTGGTGCTAGGGTGGGGCTATATAGATCATATAATGAAAGTGCATTATTTCTTTGAAAATCTTCTTCTCTACTCCTGGGTATTATTGAAACAAATTGAATACATAGTTGTGATAAGCAAGGGTGACTCTACCAAAATTTTGAAATTCATAGCCTCAGGGTCAGAGGTTCTAGTGCTAGGGAGGGGCTATATAGATCATATAGTGAAAGTGCGTTATTTCTTTGAAAATCTTCTTCTCTACTCCTGGGTATTACTGAAACAAATTGAATACATAGTTATGATAAGCAAGGGTGACTCTACCAAAATTTTGAAATTCATAGCCTCAGGGTCAGGGGTTCTTAAGTGCTAGGGAGGGGCTATATAGATCATATAGTGAAAGTGCATTATTTCTTTGAAAATCTTCTCTACTCCTGGGTATTACTGAAACAAATTGAATACATAGTTATGATAAGCAAAGGTGACTCTACCAAAATTGTGAAATTCATGGCCCCAGGGTCAGGGGTTCTGGTGCTAGGGTGGGGCTATATAGATCATATAGTGAAAGTGCATTATTTCTTTGAAAATCTTCTTCTCTACTCCTGGGTATTATTCAATATTGAAACAAATTGAATACATAGTTGTGATAAGCAAGGGTGACTCTACCAAAATTGTGAAATTCATGGCCCCAGGGTCAGGGGTTCTGATGCTAGAGCAGGGCTATATAGATCATATAGTGAAAATGTATTATTTGTTTGAAAATCTTCTTCTCTACTCCTGGGTATTATTTAAACAAATTAAAAATTCATAGCCCCAGGGTCAGGGGTTCTGGTGCTAGGGCGGGGCTATATAGATCATATAGTGAAAGTGCATTATTTCTTTGAAAATCTTCTCTTCTCCTGGGTATTATTTAAACAAATACATGGTTATGATAAGCAAGGATGCCTCTTCCAAAATTGTGAATTTCATGACCCCTGGATCAGAGGTTCTGATATTAGGGCAGGGCTCTATTTATTATATAGTGAAAATGCATTAATGCTTTAAAAATCTTCTCTGCACCAGGGCATATCAGAGGCAAAAAGAGTAAAAGTTTTAATAAGGAAGGTTATTTTTACCAGCTGCAGATTTTTGAACATCAGAACCATTTGGTCAAGTGTTCTGGTCCAGGCCAGGGCTCTATTAATTTGTATTCTGAGAGGAGTTATTCCCCTTTGCCATTTACTTGTGATAATTAATCACTGTAAATAATGTACTTGAAAGGTTAATAGAATAATAGAATTATGCAAGAATTTTTATTGTATAATACAAAAAGTACTTTAAGGTATGTCACTCGTGAAATTTGTTATATCAAGGATTTTTTGAGAAGTATATTTTGGATATGTACTCATATAGTATGACTCAAAATCGCAGAGAAAACAGGGGGTCAGTGTGCATCTGACTGAGCTACGGTACAATTAAGTTGACCTTTTTACACTTAAATTTTAACTCTTTGGTTAATCACTTTAACCCTTATCATGTTTTATCATATGTAACCATGGCAATAAATATAATCTTATTTTACGTAGAATAGTTTGAATAATATTTATCATTGAACAAATCTTGCAAATTAATGCGTGTAAATTATTGTGTGACCTTTTTGCACTAAAAAAGTAACATATTTGGGGTATCAAAAATCTAAATAGGCAATAAATATTTTCTTGTATCAAACTTTTTACGACTTAAGTGCTGATCAGTCACAAGTATCGAGTAGTTTTAAATAATGAAAGAAAAAGTTGGGGTCAGTGATGTAAATTTTGAAATATTGGTCAAAATATGCGATTTTCAGGCCAAAAACGGTGTAAATTTTATCTTGACTTCTTTAATATATCTTCATTTCTCGGCAAAGTTTGTTGAGGGAAGGTGTAAAATTTGTTATAAAAATATAAATTAAGACCTATATTTAATATTCCTATCATATCATAACGGAAAATATTCTCTAAGTAAAAGTATGTGAGGCTAAAGTTCCAAGATATTAAATTTAATAAATGTGCAGGTTTGCAGAATTTTCTGCTAAATATCCTTTCACCACAAGAAATAGTCCCTCATAAATCTTGGTTCTTTATGAATTTTTGAGCATTTTTTTCATTGAATGTTGAACAATTTACATTATTTCATTTAAATATGTTAGGAAAATTGAATTTTAATAAATAGTTTTGAAGTAAGAGGTTCTGCCTGAAATTTTCTAAAAAGCTGACGAGTGACATACCTTAATAGTTTTAATGATCAGGTAGACTTGTAAGTAACAGATATATAAAAATGAGACAAAAATAACTTGTCTTATTAAATGTTCATCAAAGACCAATAGAGGCCAATGTAAGAGATTTCAACAACGAATTAAGAGAGTTCAGAAGCACTGATTGTAAGTTTGTTTATATACTGTCTGGTGAGAGTGATAAATGGGGAACAGATTAGAACCTAATTTATGTACTGTTAATGAACACTAGACTAATTATTTTGTTGATCCTGATCACCCTATTTTTCTTGCTTTTGGGCAACAAAGATTCACCTTTCAGTTCATTTTATACTCTATGGATCCTCTAAATTGTTGTATTATACTCAGGTGACTGTTAAGGCCCTTGAGGCTCTTGTTTTTTATTTTTATGACTGCTGTTGCCATGGTTACCAGAAAATAGACATTTCTGTGAAATACTTTGAAAATGCTACTCCTCCTACAGTTTTGGTCTGATTTTAATATAACTTGGCACACAAGTAGACAAACTAAAAGATAATTCTGTGTATTGGTTTTTGATTTCCATGAACAGTGTTGCCATGGTTACTAAAAATAGAAATTTCTGTGAAATACATTGAAAAATGCTACTCCTCCTACAGTTTTGGTCTGATTTCAATATAACTTGGCACATCAATAAACTACCCATAGGTTCCTAATTCTGTGTATTTATTTTTGATTTTGATGAACAGTGTTGCCATGACTACTAAAAATAGAAATTTCTGTGAAATACATTCAAAACACTACTCCTCCTACAGTTTTGGTAAGCTTTCAATATAATTTGGCTTACTTGTAGAATACACTAAGATACATATTTCTCTATATTGGTTTTTTGATTTTGATGAAGTGTTGCCATGGTTACTAGAATCTAAATCTTTTTAAAAGGCCACTCCTCCTGCAGTTTCAGTCTGATTGCAATAAATTTTACCTCAAAAAGAGAATAACCCAAGGATCATTATTCTGTTTATTTCTGTTGCAAAGTTTCAAGTACAAGTGGTCCTTTTCTCTTCCTTTGTTTTAAGTACAAACCAGTAGAGCTACAGCTAGTTTCGTCAGAGACTTTTTTTTTTAATAGATAAAGAATTCAACTTGTTTCATGATGATGTCAAATGCATGCGTCACTGAAGATTCTTAAATATTCTCATAGCATGGCCGTAGGAACCGGGGGGGGGGGCTGCCCCCCCCCCCCCAATAATTTTGCCGATATATAGATTACTATAGTAAACATAGATACTATATATGCTTGTGCCCCCTCAATAAAAACGTCTGATGACCTTTTTTTTTTTTTTTTTTTGCCTGTCAGGAAATTTCTGGTAGTGTCCCCTCAGCTGTCAATTGAAAATGTATGGCTGTGCCCCCCCCCCCAAACTGAATTTGCTTCCTGCAAAGCAAGTAAAATTTCCAGAAGTTTTAATTTAGTTACATACGCCATTCCAAACAGGCTTTGATCCGCCCCTGTGATGAATAGGAAGACTAAAATGCTCATAACTGGGCTAAAAAATGAAACTATCATTACGTAAAAGCACAGAGAGTGGATTTTTGTTAAGTTTATAATTTAGTATCCATTCTATCGATGCTAAGTAGGCAATATGCGTGTTTTATGCAGATGCTGGATGTGTAATAAAAAGGATGACGTCACACCTGCGTATCAATATCCCACAATGCATTATCGTCGGCCATGTTCATGACATCCGAAAGAATGAACGTCTCGATAAAAGGAGGGTGTATAAACATTCAAATCAAAGGGATGCAATCTTAAAGAAACGTCATAGGATTGCAGCTTAAAACTTGTTCAACAAATTATTTAAAACTACTGGTGACAAAACAATCGTCATTGGACGCAGTGAATAATTGACGTTTAGTATCGGAAGTATGAAGATTATTTTGACAGGCTCCCCTTAAAAGCAGAGTGATAATTTTACTAATTTCAGACATAATATGTATTCTTATAGTAAGTGAAAGAACAAAAGATCATACCTTGTATATAGAAAACAAGGTATGAGTGCAGTCTGTTCTCAAAATTTTGATTCACGAAGGTTTAAAGACGCTCTCTCGACACTATGATGTCTGCAGAAGAGCGATTGAAAAAGTTGAGTGATTTGTATGTGGGAGGGGTGCCGAACAGCAATGGACAGGCCCTAAGTGTGGAGACTTTGCTGGACGTTCTTATTGTCCTCTACGACGAATGCTGCAACTCCACACTACGCAGAGAAAAAAACATATCTGAGTTTCTAGATTTTGGTAAGGGAATTATGAGTATTTAATATGTTTCATGTATATTTTGTTTAAAGGTGTGTTTTATTTTCGCAATTTAGTACATCTCCATTTCTGTACCTGTATAATACAAAGAAAAAATAGCTGGAAAACATCATGTTGATGTTTCTTTGACTCATGTTGCACTTGCATGAACCTGTTAAGTGATGGTATTTTTTTTTAACAAAAATTAAGGCCCTTTGTAACAGTATAGTAGACCTTCCTCAAGGAGATCAAAACATATTTATTCACCAATTGTATACCAGAACACTTGATCAGTTATTTAGTCATGCAGTACCCTTAATATTAGGTACAGGCACTGACAATGAAATCCATTGTGTTGAGTAACACACATTTCACACAAACCAATCTTATTGATATATCCATTCATTTCATAATAACAATTTTATTATATTATTAAGTTAAATTTCAAGTTCCGGGACTGTTGGAGAATAACAAATTTACCAAACTATAAACTTTGTTTTTGGTATTTATGAAGACCCATATATAAGAACTATGAATTGATAATGACAATTTATAAACATGACTTTGCTATAACCAACATTAAACTGCCTTAAAGATTCAGGGTTGCAAATAACCACTTGCAAATGCAAGTAGTTTTGCCTGTGGGTGACCAAATTGAGGATATTATCACCCACATGGTGAGTAAGAATTTTATCGGACATTTTCCGGAACCTTTATGTGGTTTGGTTCCACTATTAAATTCAAATTCATTTTCACCTTTTTTTTTTCCAATAAAGACCCAGAATTATGTCAAATGAAATGATTCCTTGAAAATAAGAAAATTCATTTGTGTATCAACGGTAGCAGGTTTTAGTCCAATTAAAGTGCACACTGTATTATTCACAATTAGCAGCTTTATATTAATTTTCCTCCTGAAATTAAAATGTTGAAAATGTTTTCTGATTTTTTGCTGCAACCTTGGCTAAAAATATTTCACATGATGAACTTTGAAAGTCGGTAAAGTACGCTTTCTGTTAGTAAAGTATGCTTTCTGTAATTTTACGATAGAAACATTCAATTCAAAATATATATTTTGAAGTGAATGAAAACATGGAATTCTATACAATTGGTTTCAAAACCCCCAAGAAAAATGAATTGAAGGACTGTGGACAGGAATGTATTTGAGATTTGTTATCATAAGAAATGATTTTTTTTTTTTACCAAGTGAACAATAAGTAATGGGCCCCAAAATATCAATATGGGCTTGTAAAATGTGTTAAGTTGGAAGCTCACATGGCCCATTAGTTTAAAATGTTATTTGCAACCTTAAGATTAGGTCATCAATTAGTTTGATCAAGTTTTCTGTTGAATTTTGTTCTTGTTGTTCATAAATGTCTTACCTTTTTTAACTGTATGTCATCCTTTGATGGTTTACTTATTATGAACAAAATGAAGTTTATACTAGGGGATGCTGATGGTAGGATTTATTTTATTCTAGAAAGCAAATTAAGCAATTGTGTATAAAGTGATAGTTACTGTAAACATACTTTTTCCATGGAGTCATAATTCTGCAGAATCACAATATCTATTCAATCTACGGGTAGAAAATTAAATGGATTTCTTATAGATTGCCACTGTGTGCCTTAAATGTACCTAATGTATGCGGGAAGAAATATCCACAAAGAATTTGTGGCTGTGTACATAGCGTCAATAACTTCCACACAGAAAAAAGTACTTCTGTAAATAATAAGTACTGTAAATCACTTTTTCTTTGCGAGAACTTTATTTTCACTAAATGACGCGAGACTGTGTGCTGGCGAAAATAACATTCTTGCGTATATTAGTATTCTGAAAGATTATATAGAGCAGTAGTAATCACAATTAGTGAAAATTTTGTCTCGCTAATACACAGTAAATTTCCAACTCGCAAAAATAAGGTGTCGCGAAAATTTGGTGATCTACAGTATTCCAAAGTCTATTTTTATTGTTTAATCCTACCATGATGCCTTCTGATTTGCAAGGCAGAGATGTGTGTGACCAAGAAGCTGTAGTTTCAACATCAGTAACTCATGCCAGGTCAAGGTCATATCAAGGTCAAATTAAAATATTTTTTGGCAATAGCATTACAGTGGTGTTTTCTGAATACATCTACTTTAAAACTGAATGTATATTTATACACATACTCAAAATAATAGTGCAGCATCTCGGCTTACTAAGAGTTACTTTATATAATTACAGCTATAGTTATACATGTCTGTGTATATAAGATTGTTGTATGACTGAGTCATTTCTTTAATTTGTTACTTCCTGAAATATAATAAGAAATAAATGTAAGACATACTCAAATTATCATACCGCTAAAAAGGAAGTACTTTTGTATGACATGCAGGTAATCACATTTCTATTTTGAAAGCACATGTAGTGCTTTCTAGGGTACAAGGTTATATAAGTATTTCATGAGGGTATAAGGGGAATTGGTTGTGATTAAGTATTGATAATAGTATATCGTCTGGTTTGAACATGTGATAGGTAATAAATTAATTAAATGGAAATCTAAGAAATATGATTGATAGCGGTACCAGCATTAACCAGAGACCTAATTGACTTGTACCTTACCTTAATGAGGTATGCAGGAGTTCAACCTCTGCACATGATTAGAAGGAATGTTTCTCTCTTTTCCAAACTGTTGATTCCTCAAAATCTAATGTAGTGGTAAATATCAGTTATATCCACATGCATGGAATAGTAATTGTGAAATGCCACCAGGTTTATTTGTTTCAGAGAAAATACATCTTCATGATCTTGGTTTTCTTAGACATTTTCATTTAATGCTTTGTTATTCCCAAGTTAGTAAACATGGAAAAAAACATGCTGACAAAGTAAATGACAAAAAATGCTCCCAAAAACTTTTTTCAATCTCCTTTCTGAGAAATTTATCATTTTCCTACTCAGATTATATTTTTGAAACTTAATCGTGTTAATTGGAGGGTGTATATATTAGGATAGATTATTACATTTTCAACAGTGAAATACTGTGATTTATTAATTGAATAAAAGTGATATTCTCTCACAGTGTGAAAGGATACCAAAAATGATATTCTCTCACAGTGTGAAAGGATATCAAAGTAAGTAAAAATAATTTCTGGCCTGTCATAAGATAGAGATCGTGACTAAGCATCTTGATAGAGCTAAAACTGCAAATTTCTTCCCAAAAATGTTGCTAAAATCCATGCTATTTAATGTTTTCAATCACACAACTTCTAAGCTATGACGTTTCAACCGCTCAACTATGACGTCATGCCTATGACACTGTGTTAAGAAAAGACAGAGGCAAAGGGAAAATCAAAGAAAATGTAATAAACAGAAAATTCAATGTTTTGTAGATGAATATGGAATTTATTTCACTTGTGAGACAGGATTTTTTTATATTTTCACTCGTGCTTCGCACTCGTGAAAATATCAAAAAAATCCTGTCCCACTCGTGAAATAAATTCCATATTCATCTACAAAACATTGAATATCCTCTATTTATCCGTGTATATATTGTATGAGTAATATTATCTAATTAGTTAAATCATTAGGTTGGTCTGAGATAATCAATTGTATAAATCATTAGGTTGGTCTGAGTATAAGATAATCTATTGCATAAATCATTAGTTTGTCCTGAGTTTATCCATTGTTTTTGCATTGTTTAATCATCCAATTGATTTGAGATGATCTATTGTATATATCATTTGTTTGATATAAGGTGTTCTTTTGTTTAAATCATTTGTTTTTTCTAAGATGACCTATTATTTAAATCACTAATTTGGTTTGAGATGACTTATTCAAATCTTTAGTTTTGTCTGAGATGACTTTATTGTTTAAATCATTGGACTGAGATGACTTATTGTTTGAATCATTAGTCTAAGATGACTTATTGTTAGGGCTCTCAGAGTTCCAAAAATTTTCAGTTTGAGTCGGTTCAATTTTTGGTTCGATTTTTGGTTGTTTAAATCATTAGTCTTGAGATTTTGTTTTTCATTACATGTAGTTTAACTTGAGATATCCTACCAAGTCTACTGTGTATAAATCCTCGTCGTCAGGTCTGAGATTCTGAGTGGATTATATACATTATGTTGTTTGTTGTCATCAGATTGATTTCTCACTCAGACATGCCATTCCTAAGATAGTATAGTTTATCAATAGACTCATCTTTAAGTATAAGCAGGATTTTCCCTGTAAAATTCATTGATGGTTGAAATTTGCTGCCACCTGCTGGTTGTCAGTACTATGTTAAAAAAGAATTTTGTTGATAAATTGCAATATACCTACATTTCTAGGTCATGGTGATATAAATAAACCAAGGCTAAATTTTTTTCTGTGAATAAGAGGAACGAGTGTTCTCTGTGCTAACAATGAACAAAGCTAAAAAGGAAATGAAAATGTTACATGCAGCATGCCATTATTTCCCTATAGTGTCATCTTCGGAAATTTAGGGGTAAACTAGTATCAGATTATGTCTGAAATATTAAATAGATAGCTAATGTTTTCCCTTTCCTTTACAACATCTTCCTGGGTGGGTTCAGGTTTAGATGTGTTTAATAAGATGACTAATGTTCAGGAAATGAGGCTAGGTCTCAGGTAGACTGTCACCCGGGCCCAGTTTTACTCTCAGGAGTTGTATTAGAACATATGATTCCACTAAATGTCTTGACTAGGTGTATCACTTGCACATGCAGAATATTACATAAGTAGAAAAGCTTCTGTTTGAACTGAGTGTAATTATAGTGGTGTGAATGCAGGAAGAGGGTAATGACATGTAGGGCTAACTCTGAGCGTGTGCGGTTTCCACTTCCTGAGCAGCGGTTACACAGAATCTTTTGTAGACAGATGCAGGACTCAAAGAAATTCTCTCCTAGTCACTCTGAGTCATCATTGACAGTTATTATACAAGGGGATGTCTCAAAAGGCAAAAGTGACTTAACAGATTGTCGACATCAATAAATTATCATGTTAGCCCTGTCTCAGAGACCTTTAACTTAGTTATGTCAACAATGTGAATTGGAGATAGCACTTCCCTGCTTATCTTGAACACATTGTGTATCCTTATTCACTAGAGATACAGCCATTTATGTAATTAATTTTTACCTATTTATACCTATATCTGACAGTGTGATGCACAGTCTACTGAAAACAGAAAGGTGGTCAGAACTCACATTGACCTGTGATGACCCCTCTGGAAATAACTTTGTTCAAAACAAAATAAAGCTCTCTCTCTATCTCTCTATCGTGTGGCCAATAACACAGTTTGTTATAATCAAGAGTTGATAATAAATCACAAAGGTAAACAGGATAAACAGACGTAAAGTTTCCTGTAGTTTTTAGCTATAAATATTTTCACTTGCAGCCAGACAGATTGTTTCCAAGGTAAAGCAATATCGATTACACAGAGATGATTTTGAGGTCATTAGGATCATTGGAAAAGGGGCATTCGGGGAGGTAAGTACTGTATCGCGTAAAGGCTTTCAGCATCTGGTTCATTCAACCCTAGCATATTTGTCCTTCAATCAGAGTTAAAGTAGCAACTTCCAAAATAAATAAATGTGCATTTGCATGTTTATGTTTCACAAGAAACAGAGAAATTTCAAAAGTCTAATTGTATTTGTATTTCAAAAGTCTAATTGTATTTGTAAAGACAAGTTGTAATTTTTGTTAGTTTATTATTTTTCCCATTTCAAGAATATGACTGCTGAATATTACTTGGGAAAAACACCAGTTGATGTGTAGTTATATTTGATGTAATTCATTATCCATGTTTTATCTGCAGGTTGCCGTTGTGAAGTTAAAATCCACTGATAGAGTGTACGCCATGAAGATTTTAAATAAATGGGAGATGCTGAAGCGTGCAGAGGTAAGCGTACAACAATAAAGATTTCTTGGCTGTAGAATTTTCAACTTAGTTCGTGTCGCTAAATCTGTTAATGGAAAATATTTGTTTAAACAGCCCAAAACTTAGAATAGAATGAATTTTATAAAATGTCTTTCTTTGTTTTAGACGGCTTGTTTCAAAGAAGAGCGAGATGTCTTGGTATATGGTGACAGAAGATGGATTACAAATCTCCACTACGCCTTCCAAGATGATAACTATTTGGTAAGTATCAACATGAAGTGTATTTGAAATGGTTTTATTCCTTATATAATTGTACATGAACAAAATGCATAATTCATTGGAAATGAAAACATTTAGCCGAGAGAACTCCAAGATAAAAATTGTTATCCAGAGGTATATAGTCAGAAGCAGTTAATAAATTAACTCTGTAGCCTTTATGTAATTTAATACAAACTAGATATCATGTACATATTTCAGAACTTGATAATACTGCTGTACAATATTTTTCTTTATGTACATAGTCATGCTATAAGTAGACCTGTCTGCCTTTTTCAGTACCTGGTGATGGACTATTACTGTGGGGGAGACCTTCTGACCCTCCTTAGTAAATACGAGGACCGCTTACCCGAGGACATGGCTCGGTTCTACATCGCGGAGATGGTGCTGGCTATCCATTCTCTCCACACAATGAACTATGTCCACCGTGACATCAAGCCAGACAATGTACTGCTAGACCTGACCGGACATATTGTACTGGCCGACTTTGGTTCTTGTCTGAAAATGCTGGATGATGGGACAGTAGGTTTTATTACAAGTGTTAACATTGGCAGCGGTCAATGTTAAGCATTAAACTTCTTTTTCTTGAAATTTTCAATGTGTTGTGCTTAGTGTAACCAGACTAGTATAAAAAGTAGAACTTTTATATTTTATATTGCGTTTTATCAAGTAAATTCATAGAGAGTGATTGGGATTTTAGTTTTAAATAGCCATGCATTAGAAAGTTGCTGAATTAATTCAATTATTTGTGTAATAGGTCCAGTCTTCTGTAGCTGTGGGTACCCCTGATTACATCTCCCCAGAAATTCTCCGGGTAAGTGCTGATAAATGACTATTAGCTGTTCAGTTCCCAAGTCATAAATGAATAATTTAACTTGTGTCTCACGACACTAATACCGAGATTTTTCCATTCACCTACTGGACATCATCATGTAAATGTACTTTCTCTTGTCCCCAGGCTATGGAGGACGGGCATGGCCGCTACGGTCCGGAGTGTGATTGGTGGTCTCTTGGAGTCTGTATGTACGAGATGTTATATGGTTTTACACCCTTCTATGCCGAGTCACTTGTAGAAACCTATGGAAAAATAATGAACCATCAAGTAAGTCAGACTCTATGATAAATACATGTATCAGTCACATTCTCTACTTATAAAAATATCAGGGCCCAATTTTACAAAAGAACTTATGACTAATACCAAAACTTGAGTTGAATGTAAAATCTTATTATTTATGATTCTGTCAAAAATTGCTTGCAAAATTCCCCTTAAAAAAAAGATTAATACCATTTTGAAATTAATGTAAAAAAGAAAGTTATTTGCACAATAACATTTCGGTCATATTAGTACATTCAAGTTATTTTTTTCAAACCCAGAGACAAGAAGTTTAAGTTGCACATATTTTATAATAGAAAGATTTCAATGCATTGACATACAGTTACAATAAGGGTTGTATAAAAATGTTATGGAATTATCCTACTCAACATTTATTTGCTAACTTTCTTTTTATGTAGTCCAAGTTTGAGTTTCCGACAGATGAGGATATAGAAGACATATCAGATGAAGCTAAAGACTTACTTCAGCAGCTTATATGTTCCGCAGATACGAGGTTCGGGAAAAATGGTTTGGAAGACTTCATCCGTCACCCGTGGTTCAAGGGCATCAAATGGGAGGAAATCCGAGATAGTGAGTACAGGGTTTAGTAAAATAATGGGGACAAAGACAGGTAATATTCTATTCCTAACACTTGCTGAATAAAATGTGTTATTTTATACAGTGGATGCTCCATACATACCTGAAGTAAGCAGTCCCACAGACACCTCCAATTTTGATGTAGATGAAAGTGACTTTAGACACACTGTAAGTTTTTTTTTCACATTAGTTTTAAAGTAAATATATGTTTGTTTTCAATAGCTGTATACACTTACGATAGATTTAAGTGAAGATGCGTTTATAATGTGTTTCGTAGGATACCGTGCCACCCACCTCTAATGCCGCTTTCAAAGGACATCACCTTCCTTTTATTGGCTTTACCTTCACCAAAGACAGGTCAGTTATTTACGGAATGGTTCAAAAGAGTGGAATTATGGTCTGGGTCGGAACTTTGTATAGGAGAAATACATTGTTCTAGAGGCTCCAACTTGGTGTAAAGTTTGGTTTGTATTACTGGAGGGTTTGTCAAAAGTACACTATAAATCTGCAGTGCAGGAATAGTTGAATTCTGCTTGGACAATTCAAGGATAGGAAGTTGCTCATGAGTAGAGAATGTATTATGACTGTGAGCCAAGAGCATATTTGCATGGGTTGAAATTTCAGACCAAGGGTATCTTTATCTTATTACTGTTGGTGCATGAATGGCAATATAAAGTCTATAAATTAGTGTTTTTGTATGCAGATTTTCAAATATGCTTGATTGTGGTATGTTTTGAAGTGAATATTGATAGTTTAGGAAAGTTTTCAATCTGAATTTATTTTGCAGTCAAATTTCTGACACTGGAAATCTTCAAGATACCTCAGGGATTGCCACAGAAAACCTAGAATCTCTTGCTGCAGCTGCTTTTGAGAGAAGGATAGCTAATTTAGAGAGAGAGAACAAAGAATTACAAAGGAAACTAGCAGGTTATTATAGATAAGACTAGCTGTACATATCAAACTGTTCAGTGAAGCTAATATAAATAGATTGTAAAGAAAAAGACTTGTCAGAATCTATGATGTTCAGTCTGACAGTGGAAGCAAATTCATTAGCAAAGACTTAAGTAATCAGTGTCCTTTATGATGCCAGATACATGTAACTGCCTAATTTCGAAGTTTTGGGGGGAAATTGTTCAAAATAAAATGACGGTTGAACAGCATATTTGTGTTTGAAAAGTATGTGTCAAGAGGCAACATCAACATTTATGATGTTCATAAAATATCAATAATAATTTTGCTGAATGCAAACACTGTCCATTCTTTATAGGAAAATTGCATGATTGTACTATATTAGAAGGCTTTCTTTGGATCTAATTTGATCATTTCATAAATAAATATATATTAATTACATGTACATCACAGATGTTGAATATTTTGATCAAAGTAGCCTTGTTTTCTATCCTCCACAATTTCACATTTAATGTTAATACTGTATCTATGCAATGATTTTTTGGGGGCCATAATCAATGCTTCACATGTATTTACATGCTTATAGATTATTGAATGAGTTTCTCCTCCTTGTAGAAGCAAATGCCACAATTCAAAGAGGAAGTAGTTCAGGGGAGATAAATCCAGCTGCTGGGGCTTCTTCAGCATCTGCTGAATCGGAGGTTCGTCAGCTGAAGGAGGAAATAGCTGTGTTACATAGAGTTGTAGCAGGTATAACTGGTCAAATTATAGATTTATATCACTCCTGGTTGTGCTTGGGGTATAGCTGAATTAGTAGGAAATTTTGAATAGAAATTACATGCAAAATATTATTTTGGATACAGAAACAAACAATTTGGTCTGGGAAAAAAAATGAATTGTTTTCTGTAAATACAAAAGGAATTAAAAGAATTTTGTTAAAGAAAATCAGTAGACAGTGCTTTTATGTTAAGAAGTCATAGGACAAGGCACTTTGTATGCTGAATGGTGTTTACCCACTAGACAATACATACTCATAACCTTGTACACTGAACTCCAAAGGGAAATGTGCATTAAAAAGAGAACATGGTAAACAGTATGTTGACAAAATCAAAACAAGACTACTGAATAATATAAATTATATTTTTCCAGAATCTCAGACAGAAATCAGTGAAGTGGAACAAGACTTTAAAAGAGCACAAGACCTCAAAATAGACCTCGAACGTAAAATGAGAATTATTGAAGAGGAGAAAATGGCTCTTGAAAAGGTGAGTGGCATAACACAAGTAGTAGTATGGTACCAAGTGGTTTGGAATGGACATTCATTACATTGTACATTGTATTTCCTCCCTCCTCTATTTTAGGACTTACAGGATTTGAGGGACAAGTACAAGTTACAAGCAAGAGAGCTCAAAGATGCCGTAGCCAAACAAAAGATTGCCATTGAACAATTTACTGACACAAATGAGTCGTATGTATTTATGTGTTTCTTTTCCAATAATAAGACAAGTGGAAGCATTGAAGGCATAATGATAATAATGAGATAACTTATTTCTGTGTTTGTTGTAGGTTATTAAAATCTCAATCCAAAGTTAAAGAATTAACAAGGGATGCCAGGAACAAAGATGAAGAAATAGATGAATATAGACGGAAGCTAGAAAGTGTCAAAAATGAAAGGAGGAGGGCAGAGAAAAATGTTCAAGAGGTAAAAGCCACTACTCTTTGAAAATGATTTTCAAATATAAAAAATATATATAATAAAAATAATTATATCAGATATAAAAATATTTTATTAAAACAGAGACCTTCAATGCTGTGGTAGAATTGTTGTAGAGGGAGTCAATTATTTGTTGTTCATTTCCTTTCATTGTTTGTGCAATGTAGTACCTTCTACATAGTATTATAATAATATGAAATGCACTTATGATATTCATTTAGTATAATATTAATGGGGAACTTTGGATTTATTCATGGTATAACGGTATCATTTTAAAATCAACCATTATTTTAACCATTAATGATACAATTTGCACTACTATATATCATTCCTTTTGTTTTCTGCAGCTTCATGGCCAAGTGGATGAGTATCGGGCAGATTCCAACAAGGAAAGGAAGCTGCGAGAGCGAGCTGAGCAGTACTCCAGGGAACTAGAGCAAGAAATAGAGGCCGCCAAAAGAAAAAATATCAGTCGGGGTCCCAGTGCAAGTCAAGTGTTAGAAATGTCTCAGGAAATCTCTAGGTACATGTGTACCCAACATCACGTGTCTAATATCAGTCAAAATTGTTAGCTTTTCAATGGATTGTCTTCATGCTTTGGTTTAAAAGTCAGCCATTGTTTCATATTAAGTCACTGATCATTTTCTTAAAATTTTTGCAGGCTAAAAACAGAACTAGACAGAAAAAGTGTAGAAGTAGAAGAAACTATTTCAAGACTCACATCTAAACACCATGCAGAAATAAAGGACAAACAATTCCACTTATCAGAAGCCGAAAATAGAAACAAAGACTTGAAACGTGAAAACAGTGCATTAAAAGAAAAGTTAAATAATCAAGTTTCAATAGAGGATTTAAGTAACCAAATACAGAGACTTAAGTTACAGTCCGAGCATTCAGAACGGGAAAGGTCACAGGTCAACGATGAAAATGAAAGGCTGAAAGAAGAAATCTCCTTCGTAAGTTTCCTAGATACATGTATGTTAGTATTGTTAATATAACTTGATGCTGTTTTTAACATCTAGTGATGAATGGAAAAAGAGGGTGCAAAATGATAAGAAATGGTTGAGGAAAGTTTATATAATTACCATTTATTTTATTCAGCAACAATCCACGATGAATGACGTGGTTAAGGAGAAGAATCAACTGGAGCAGGAGATGAGGGAGATTTATGACAAACGGGAATCAGTGGCCCAGTGGGAGGCTCAGATCTCGGAGATCATTAAATGGTAAGATTTATCACAAACAGGAGTGTGTAGCACAACTGGAGGGGGGGGGGGGGGGTCTTAGTAATTATAAAATTGAGGAGGCTTTCCTATCACAACACTTCAGTGCTAGTACAGTAAGAGCTAAGCTCTTACAAAGGCAGAGGGAATGCTGTTGTCTTTGGCTTTTGGATATTTTCAAGACTAAGATTTGAAAAGAAAAATATAGCTAGTCTTGCATGTAAATAATGGAATAAATTCATTCATAGAGTTTTAATTACTGCTTCTTTACTGAATTCAATACAATCATAAAATTTGGCATTTCACATTATCCCCTTAATGTCAACAGGGTCAGTGATGAAAAAGATGCACGTGGTTACCTCCAAGCCTTGGCCAGTAAGATGACGGAGGAATTAGAAAACCTTAAAGTAATGGGTGTGTCGGATGATGGGGTCAGTACACAATATTTAAAAAAAAAACGGAATAGTTTTTGTTAAATTTAGGTTTCTGACATCAATGAGATAGAAATAACTTTTTATGTTTATAAAAACTTGTTACAGGGTCGCCAGAGATGGAGGAACAGGAGGTCCCAGAGACTGGATAAGATGGAATTGCTGACTCTCCAATCTAATCTGAACAGTGAAATCCAGGCCAAGACCCAGATCAGTGAGGAACTGACCCGGGTCAAATCTCAGAGTGTCAGTCTAGAGAAGTAAGTACATCTAAGTCACTACTGATTTCCTGCCAGTAAAGATCTCTCTGGAAAAAGACCTACTCTAGATGGAAAAATAGACATGCATGTACATAGCAGCATTATTTTGGTTTCCTTTGCAGTAAAATTGAGGAACAGAGCCAGTTGATCGAAAAGTTGACTAAGGATCTTGAGGAACTTAGAGCTGAAAATCGACAATTACAGAACCAGAAACTCAGTGACTGTAAGTCATCAAAAGATTCTCCAGTTTACATGGAGTATATTGTGTTAAATGTATATCAAGACTTTATGGTCAAATATTGGCTTCATTTGGGGAATCTGTAAAAGTGTATTTCATAAATACAGGTATATACAGTGCTATCGTATGTCCCATAAATGTTGTTTTAAGCTGCATATGTGTGTGTCTGAGTACAAATCAATTGACATGGTTGTTTGTCATACAGGGGAAAAGTCCAACCACCAGGATACTAGTCTTATGACATTTATAAAGGGCCAATTCTCAATACTTAATGATGTGAGTATGAAAAATATTCATAGTGTGAAAGTGGAAAAAAATATTCAGAATTTCATTGATAATCTAAACATTGCAATAATCATTCTTAATTATTCTACAGTCTGAGGAGAGTTTAAATGACGAGGATAGTGTAAGTGAGGATGCAGTATCCCGTGGGGCCGATTCACGGACCAACTCTCGCCAAGATCTGAGTCACGAGGAACCCCACCTCCCTTCCAGCACATCTAGTCCTGCTAGCACCATTCACACCAGTCACCCGGCCGGCACCACTGAGCAGGTGTATGACCAGCCCTGGGGGGCCTCCAAGATAGGAGCCACTTTCCCAATAAGTCCCTCTCAAAGTCTGCCAGCACAGCCCAAAACTCATCAGTTCCTCATGAAAACATTCTCATTACCGTATAAATGTAATCATTGTACTTCACTAATGGTGGGCATTCAGAGACAGGGAGCTACGTGTAACGGTGAGACTTTAGCCTGATTCACACACAAAAAAAAAGAGAAAATGCTTTATTATCTTAATAAGTTCACTTGTAAAGTTAGTGGTTAAAAAAAATTCTGGAAGTTGAAATGATTCCTATGAAAGAGAAAAACATATGACATTCATGTTTATGTTACAGAATGTGGTTACTCATGTCACATCCACTGTATGGAGAAGGCCCCAATGGTGTGCCCAGTCCCTCCCGATCAAAGTAAGTGTGTAGTGCACCCTATGACGGTGAGACATTCAAACCTCACTACATTCATTGTATATGTATTTGTCAGTGTTATTTGGACAAGATTTTGTACTAAATTGTGTCTTGCTTCATTTTTCAGCTAAGCGACCTATGGGTATAGATGTTTATAAAGGAATAGGCACAGCCTATGAAGGTTATGTTAAGGTAATAGTCTCTTTTATTGACTGTAAGCAAGCATTAAAGTCATTGAGAATATTGAGTTATTTGCACGAGTTGTTTTCTTGGATACTATTTTCAGGACATGAATCTTTTCTTTACAGGTTCCTCGATTAGGAGGAATCAAGAAAGGCTGGACGAGGCAGTTTGTTGTAGTCTGTGATTTTAAATTATTTTTGTATGATATTAATCCTGATCGTAACCAGCCCAGTCATATAGTTCAACAAGTGCTAGATATGAGGTGAGTCTTTAGTTATATCAGTAGCATTGTGTGAGGGACAGTAGTTAGTATATATATTGCATTACAGCTACTCTTACATACCATTAATCTCTCTCATTTGTGTTGACAGAGATGAAGAGTTTACAGTGAGCCCAGTGCTGCCGTCAGACGTCATTCACGCTAACAAGAAGGATATTCCTTGTATATTTAGGGTAAATAACAACGATATTTACTACAAGCTATCAAAACATTAATGTTTAAAGTAGTCATCTTCTGAGACCAACCTATAGGGCAGCTGTTTTTCCATTTCATCTGAACATTTCACCAATTCTTTGTCAATTAAGTTTTCAGCATAAATGATTTTATGTTTCCTAGGTGACAACCAGTGAATTAAATCCACCAGGATCTAAACACCAGGTTTTAATGCTGGCCGAGAGTGAACAAGAACGGCATCGCTGGGTGGGCGCTCTTAATGAGCTTCACAAACTTCTACGCAAAAATAAGCTTCCAAATAAAGCTGTGAGTATTTCACAATTTCTACACAAAAACAAGCTTTTAAATAAAGCTGTTAGTACATGTATTTCTTAAAGCTTTATTAATACTTTGATCAGAAAGCATGATTCTGGGATGAAATTGTACACAATTTAAAGTCATTCTATATTTCAATGAAGTCTCTTAATAAATGCAAAAATTGATCCAACAGCATCTGCATAAAAATGAGCTTAGGATGAATACATACATGTACATAAGAATTTAACATATCAACATTTAGAATGATTATAAAATTTCCTTTTTTTCAGGCCTATCTTGCACAAGAAGTTTATGACAATGCTTTATCTCTAGTCAAAGGAACATTTTCCGCTCAAGTGCTAGGTAAGTTTTTAATAGCTTAGTTTTGATCCATGTAGTTGTGAAGAGAAATCCAAATATGGTTGCTCAAATAAAGAAATTTGATTTACAGATTCAAATCGTGTGGTCCTGGGAACAGAGGATGGACTCTTTGTTGCTCAGTTAGCAAAAGATGGTGAGTTACTTAAAATAAGTGGGGAAAAAAACTAGTATGACTGTGTGTAGATTTTAATGGGAACTGTGAAGATTGAATTAAGACATGACCTTGTTCTGTTTGCAGTGTTGCTAAGAGTTGGAGACAAAAGTGAGAAGAAACCTGTCTTTCAAGTGGAACTTGTTCCCAGTGAACAGTTGGTGGTCTTTATCAGTGGTCAGTATACATACTTGTAGATACTTAGATAAAAAAGGAATGTTTAATACTGTGGAGTCCATAAACATTGGTCCCCTTACAAACAATGATTATTTCAGAATTGTTGATGAGCTTATTTCTTTACTCTTAATTTAATACTGGCATATAAATAAAGGATCTGTACTTTTGTCAAACTTAATACATGTATGTAAAACTTTTGAATTGATGTATCATTCAAGGTTGACTTGTTAAACTTTGTTACAATTTATTCTGAAATATATTTTATTGTGGTTGTCTGTCTCAAAGAGTTTTTTTTTAACAGGTAAACAGAAGCACATTAAGCTGCTTCATCAGTCAGGATTAGAGGGCCATGACACTGACCCCGTCAAAATCCCTGAAACCCGGGGCTGTCAGTTGTTCTCTGTAGGGACAATTTCTCATGGAATACAGGGCGGTTCCATCACTTGTCTTTGTGTAGCAATTAAACGAACAGTGCAAGTCTATGAACTGAACAAAACACGCCAAAAGTTTCGCAAACTGAAGGAAATTCAGGTGCCTGGGCTTGTGCAGTGTTTAGAGATGATGAGCCAAGGGCTATGTGTGGGATGTCCTTCTTATTTTGCTATTTATAGTGTTCAAGGGGATTCCCCACCTACAGGTTAGTGGTAGCAGTAATTGAATAGAAGTTTTGTGACATTGATGAAAGGGGTTTTTCCCTCATTTCCATGTACAAGTAATTCAAAGTCTGAAAAAAAGTCTGAAAAAAAATAGATGCAATATTTCTTTTATGTCAGAAGTGATTTTGTTTCCCCCTACCAGAAAGTTTGCATCATTCAGTGTTATTATCATCCAAGTGAACTTGTGTTGTGTAATTTTAACTTGATAAACTTTCTAGGCAATGGTGAAACATGGAAAATTTGATAAATTAAACATTTATAAAAATAATGATATGAAAAGAAACACTCTGCCTGGAGGAGGTGATGGTTACGTTTTCCAGAATTAATAATTCCCAGTATGTTTTGATTTGTAGCTTTATTGAATGCAGAGGATAATTCTCTCCAATACCTGTGTCGAACACAAAATGACTCCCTGCTGGCAGTGGAGTTACCAAAGAATGAATTTCTACTGGTCTTTAGTGGTAAGTAATTGTAGGAGAAACTTTAAGTGATATATATTGTAGGGGGAAATTTTAAAAATATTTGAAGTTAAGATGTTGCAGAATTCGTCTCGGTAGAATAAATGTGACCCAGCAATATAGAGGCTGTTCAATGTATGATGAGATAACAGAAGATGGTGTCAGATTCAAACAAAGCTGTATATGATCTTAAGTTTGTCATGGGTAAGAGCTTTTATTTAGAGTATGTACGAATTATTGATATTTTTAACTAATTGTGTTTGGCTTTGTTACAGTTTGTGGTGTGTATGTAGATTCTAGCGGAAGAAGAAGTCGTCCTTATGAACTCATGTGGCCCGCTCAGCCCCACGCTGTTGGTAAGTTTATGGACACACTGGAATCGATTCTGTGAGTCTGAGAAATCTGTCTGAGTATGGTTCACTGAGTGTTGTATTGTTTTGTAGCCTACAAGGAACCCTACCTCACATGTTATACAGAAAATACAGTGTACATGTTTGAAGTGAATCAAGGAGAGTGGGTCCAGACACTGTGTTTGAAAAAGGTAAACGTCAAAAAGAAAGGGGGGGGGGGAGAGAAAAATAGAGCTAAAAGAGTTTTTTAAAAATGTAAACTAACTTCTAATGATTGTAGCATATTGTTTATTTGTTGACAATAAGCTTTTAGCCCTTTACCAAAATAGAAAAAAATTATGTCCTTTGGGGATATGGTTTAGATCCAAGGATGGGTTAAGTTTACCATATATTGAAAATGCATTATGTTTTAGTAAAACTTCTTTATTCCTGAGCAGAATCTTAATTTGTACAGTTAAACTTCGTTATCTCGAAGTTGACGGGACCGTTGATGAACTTCGAGATATCCGGGGGTTCAACATATCGAGGGTTATAATTCAAATGAACTTCAGATAAACTTAGTGCATTGAACATGTACTTAATAGTAAAAACGTCAAATTCCTTCTTGGTTGAAATTCTGTATACGCTCTCTTCAATACAAATGTACATGTATTTAGCAATAAAAAGATTTTTATATCCTCTTTATAATTCACAAAATAAAAACTTTGTATAATGTGCAATGAAGTATAATCCTTCTATCAACCCGGCAAGTCAACTGCTAGCATCGTTTCCCATGTATACATATCAACCGGATATCATCTATGCATTGTAAATTTAAAACCGGTCGCTGTCAGAATGACGAAAACTAAATATACATTTTTTTAATTGAAAAAACATGTTCAAACATGTAAAATCGGTTAAAAGAAAGTTATTTTACCATAATAAAATCAAATGCAAAAGAAGAATCACGCATTTTTGTCTAACAACAGAACAACACTGAATCACAGGGCACTAGCACAAGTTTTCACTGCGACACACGCTAACATGATGGTGTGTACTGACGATATGGGAAAAATATATTCTAATTGCATTAAATTACAGAATTTTGTTCCACTTTGATGTTTATAATTTTCGCTTTCTTATGCATAAACTATGCAATCGCGCATATTACACATAGCATTAAATAGCGATAATCAAGATAAACGTATCCCAGCCACAAAACAATTAACGTGTCATCCACACGTTTGCATAAGACTAACAACACACACAACCTTTGGCTTGCATAATTAAAATCAAGGTAAGCCATACCTACATACACGTCGTATAATTATTGCGCTATTATCTGTTGATCACAGAAACACAGGTAACCCGTGCGTGACAGACAGGTGGCTGTTATCAATAGAGCGGTCAGTTTACCTAACGGACGTGATCGTCAGAGCGGAAAATTACCCTGACTTCGAGATAACGCGTGTGATTTTAATGAATGGGTACACAATTTTACTTCGAGATAACCGGGGTATTCGACATTACCGTGTTCGACATAGAGGGGTTTATTTTAATCATTTATAAAGCAAATTTCATCGGGACCGCGGCCTTACTTCGACATATCCGGGGTATTCGAGATATCCGTGTTCGAGATTTCGAAGTTTAGCTGTATTTGATAAAAAACAAAATCTCCTCTATAAAAATGAAGAAAATGAATGTTGAATAGTTTAAGAGAGTCCCAGGTGTTGCTTAGTTTTTCACATGTTGAAGAACTCATGATGCATATGCTAATGGTTGTCAAGGCATGTTCTTATAATACCTGTCTACCATATGCTTATATACACGTATATAAATATTACCACTGTGTGTTTATTTTCAGACAAAGCCCCTTTCACGGGATGGCTCACTGAATCTCTATACCAATCTGGACATGCAGTATATAGTTTACTTCAAAGATTTACATGCAGGTAGAGTCATTAAACTTTTTCACAGAGTAACAACTTTACAATACATGTATTCAAATGAGAGTATTTAAGTTTTCTTTTAATATTTCAGAAGAAGACATCCTAGCTGTATCAGAAATCTTTAAGGGGAAAAGTGTCAATCGTAATAAACGGAGGTTTTCTTTTAAAACAAGAGACGATCATGATCGTGGATCACGGGGGTAAGTCTTCTACAACAGTGTGTAAGGATACAGGTCTCTATCTCAACAGGTGTCTCATCTTATCACAAAAGATCAGATAGAAGTCATATTTCTTAAAATGTTGTTTAGTTGGGGTTCAGTTAGAAGGGATTTTTGCAGATTATTATTACTGTAATAACTTTACATTTATTTCATTTTTAATAATTATCCTTACGTGTGCACTCATACGTATCCTTATACATGTATGTACGATCATATCTGAGTAAGGTGATTATGGTGTAAGCATTGGAATGTGATAGAATTTTTTATTAATATACAGTAAGTATAGGGACGTAAACTTTGCATAGGTCATTTATACATGTATGTATTTGCAACATTATATAATAGTGTGATAGTATTGCGAAATGTAAGTAATAAGACTGTACAGATATATACACTGTACATTTATTATCGTCACTTTTAGAGCGGATATCACATTTACAGATTTAACTTGTGTAAAATGAAGTGATATCATACATATGTAATTGTTTTCTCTGATGTATAGAGAAACTACAACTCAGAATATCTTACTATCCATACTAGCATGTCTGCTCACTGACTCTAATATAACCCTCTTGGGCATCATGACCTAATCCACTTTGACTTCTACTTAATTTATGACCAACATCATTTATGGCATACTACTAAGCATTGGTGACTCTTAGCATCTTGACATAGCATTTTGAGACTTACATTTAAAACAAAGCATTTTGACTGCCATGTAAACTTGTCAAGCATTGTGACTGTAGTTAATTTACAGCAACATTACGACCTTTGTAATAAAACAGGGAGTAAGTGTTTGGAAGCATCATGAGCTAACTTTGATATAACACTAAGGGTCTGTGTTCTGTAGCCCTGAACGGAGATCTCGGGAAATCTCAGCTCCGATGTCCTTCAGTCATGTGGCTCACATGGGGCCGGATCAGGTGTTCTCCTCCGGCACCACCCACAGCGTTCCTACTGCCACCCAGTAAGAATCGTACCCATCCCCACCGCTTGTACTAACTGTGCATGTCACCGCCCGCTAGAACTAGGAGGCTCCACTCTGCGGGGTGGGGCTCCCTATGCTGGCTTTAGCTTGCAGGCTATGCCAAATCATAGTAGAGATAGATTGTAGTAATCCAGGTTTAGTGGAGTTTTCACACAGGTGATGGGATCTTTAACACAATCTCTTTCATTTATAACTCCATTACTTTCACTGCCATTATATACTGCACTGAATTTTGCTGTATCAATTGGGAAAAAGATTTTGTTTTTGCATGAAATATTTTAAGTGGCATGAGAATTTCCAAGCATGAAGGAGGAGTGTTTCTGGAATGGAGGCAAAGATCAACACTTAACATGTATATTGGGAGTAGATGGGCGGGTGGGGATAAATGCATTTTGTGTGCAATGAAAGAGGAGGTGTTTCTAGCTTATTCTTTCTTGAAAAGAAATACTAAAATTATGTAGCAGGTACATATATATTCAGCACCACAAAATGCAATGCTTATCTGAAACTGCATGCTTTGAATTTATAGTCGGATCTTTTTAGAATGAGAAAGTCTTTTGCATGAGTGTGACAGTATTGTGAAGATTGGCATTGCATGATTGGTAATGTGTGTTATTGTTTTAGTCTGCAGTATCTATTTTCCATAAATGAAGGATTTGTCTTAGAATTTTAAGTATGCTTTAAAAAAAAAGATTTTGGACAAAAATTATGACAGTTTAAAGTATGTAGTATTAGGGCTAGAAAGCTGACTGGATCTCTGAGTCTGTATATACAGTTACAGGTAGAAATGTTACCTTTTATCTAGGTCAGACAGGAGGTCAAAGGTTATATCTGGTCCTATCAACTTCAGTCATGTGGCCCACATGGGACCAGACCAAGGAATGCAGGCACTTATTGACCTGCCTAGGGTAAGTTTATAAATGTAGCATTATACAAGTATATATATCTAAATTTATTATATCCCCCACAAATAAATTTTAGAGGGGGTCTACTAGAATCAAATTGTTCTGTTTGTCTGACCAATGTCATTTTTTATCAGCATTTTATCTCTTAAAACTTTCTAAGAATTTTTTTTTTCACAAAAAAAAACGTATGACGTCCACATCCTGACTTAGAAAAAGGTCAAGGTCACATGTTTCAGAAGCCAGGCTGCAATTTTGACCAGAGAAACTTAAAAAGATTGTTTATAGCCAGAGGATGTGTAACAACCCTTCAACATGATCATTTGGACAAGGTTAAGGTCACTGTGTTTCAAGTGTAAAATGTTTGTCCATTCTGTAATTTTATAACGGAATATCTTAAGAAGGTCATACTGGACCTAAGGTTGATTATGATCAAAAGATATGCCATGACATTGAACAAAGGTTATTTAGAAAGATCAAGTCCACAAGGTAAGAAGTATTGAATTCAAAGATCTTGGAAATGTGATATTCTACAACAGTTTGAAATGGAGAAGCATTGAAGTTCACACCAGGGTTGGGGTCAATTACATGTACTTTGAAATGTAATTAAATACTTTCAAATACATTTGTAATTTTGTCAATTACTTACAATTACAATTACATTGATTTTAACAAATGTAATTGTGTGAACTTCACACTTGGCAGAAACATAGCTTGTGACCAAGAAATCAGTTGTG